TGGTGCTGCTGTGGACTCGACCAACAAAGCTAGCCGGACACCGCTGTCATGGGCCTCAGAGAATGGACACGAGGACGTGGCCCGCCTCCTGATTGAGAAGGGTGCTGCTGTGGACTCGACCGACGAATATGGCCGGACACCGCTGTCATGGGCCTCAGGGAATGGACACGAGGACGTGGTCCGCCTCCTGATTGAGAAGGGTGCTGAACTCCTGCGACCTCCTGCAACCCACCATAGGCGTTGAGGGGAAGGTGAAATGGACGCAGCCTTGGGGGCGAGGGGTATAAAGCTTAATCTCGTACTTGCCATCTGCTCTCGAGCACAACTTGCACAAAACTGTTTTTCGAAGGCATCTCTCACCTTCAGTATCATGTGTTGTCTTTCCGCAGCGCCTTGCAACAATCGGGCTGACGGACTCTTTCTAATGACATTCTGACGCAAATGTCTTCACTTACGCCTCACCTCTAGATATCATATTTAATTTGGAAGCTTTATGTTGAATGAGGGTGCAACTTGAGATGTGTTGAATGCTCTGTTTTCTATCAACTGGACGGACAATGTGGGTCCCTCCTGTTCCATGAACTGTCGCAGAACTCCAGGTACAACAACTCCGTCGTACGATCAGTTATCCACTTGTCAGACCATCTACAAACGTAAACCTTGTTCGACATGTTTAAATACGAATCGGGGGAGCTTGTATGTCATAAGAGGATACTTCAGATTATGTTGGAAGGGGGATAGATAGCATTCGAGTGTTCACTGATGGTGTCTTCTGAAGGTATCGTCCGCCCATCTCCACATGGGCCATGGACTGGATCCGATCAGGCTGGGGAGGCTGCGCCGTACAGGCTGCCGACCACTGTCCCCGATCCCACTCGGCCACATGGTCTACGGATTGGATCCGATGGCTGCGGTATATCATGGGATCCGATCTAAGGACAACCTAGATATCGAGGCCTGCGCCATACACTTGTCCCCCGTCCTACCCGCCGTCCTACCCGGCCATAAGGTCCACGGATTGGATCCGATGGCAAGGGAGTGCCAACATCTTCACGTGATGCTGCCAAGCCATTGTCACACGTTATTGGCCAACGCGACAGTCTTGGCGTCGTCACGCGCATTAAGTTATAATCACGTGACTCAAAATTACGTTAGGGTAAATATTTATTCCACCGCAGACTGCTTCAAAATTGACGCCAAATCTTGTCTCAGCATCTCAGACCCTTCTGGCTTCTGGCCGCGCCAGAAGGGTCTGAGCTCTAATACGTGTAATGGGCCTTTCTTAACGTTCGTCAGATCAAAAGTTTTACTAGTAAAATTCTCTGCACTTTCATAGAACTATACTTCACCGTAGCCGTCATTCAAGTCATTTAAACGTATTTCAAAAATTACTCATACTGATTATATGTCATTACATAATGAACGCGAAGGACAGGGGTTTTCGCGTCCTGGAGCTCAGACCCTTCTAGCGCCGCCAGAAGGGTCCGAGATGCTGAGACAACGCCAAATCGAAGTTGACCTGTCAAAGACGAAAGTTAGTGAAAACTGGGTTTTCGTCGAACTGGTAGAATCGAGGGACCTCACTAGTGTTAGATCATAGGTGGGACAAGAAGGTAAACGTAGTGCTCCAGCCAGTGATTGTGGAGTCCTATATGACGTATGACGTACCGCATATTTTTGGCGTTAGCCCAGTCTCGAGCTTAAGCAGACGTATCTCTGTGCGGTTCAGACTGCAATGCCTTAAAATCAGAGTATTTGTCAAATTAGGCGCCAACTCGACGAGTTCGGAGATGCTAAGTTTAGCGATGCCGGTTTTCGCGTCGATATCCGCGATCATCGCAACACTAGGAGCGTGGTTACATGGGATCTTCAGGAGTGCCCAGGTGTTGAGATCGATAGGGGTGGTCTTCGAAGTGAGAAGGGGTAGCGTGCCAATTCAGCAATCGCCTAGTTAAGTAGCGAAGCAGAGCGTGGACCAGGGTAGACTAGAGCCATGGGTATCTTCACGCTTCCACGGCACTCTCTACGCATAGTCGGACAAGGTTAGCCTCTGGACGCCATGGAGGAACAGCAGTGCTTATCGGCCCAGAAGCAGCTATAAACAATTCGCTATAGTATCGGCGCGTGAACCGAAAAACAAAAACAAAAAGCGCGGTGATTGCATATACACTCGTAAATCCATCCACCGTTACGATCGCCGATATTGCCTCTTTCGCTTCTTTTACTCCCTCCGTCGTTACATTCTACGCATCTGTCTGCTGTGCCTCTTTCCCTTCTTATCCTTCCTGCTCTTAGGTCCCTTATTTTCCTTGCGTTTATTTGCTTTCTTTTCCCTCCCTCTCTTTGCTCCCATGTTTTCTTCTTTCCTGCTTGATATGTATTCTGGAACCTGAGGCGGAGTGTGATTTTAGGCAGACGGGCCCGTAGTCGAATGCGAGGGCCATTTTGAACTTGGCAAGTGTCCTCTGGATCTAGAGCTCATTCTCTCTCCGACACGTCTTCCGAAACTTGGTTCTTGAGTATCTCTCTGCCTCGCTCTACGCTACCACAAGACGGGTCGCGTTCAGCGCCAATCAGCGTTGTTCCGCTCAATTCGCTGGCCGCGGAAGTCCGGCGACGCGGACGGGGAAGGCGACGATGAAGACTAATGTGACTGGATAAACTGGTCAAACAGCGTATCGAAAGTGGGATCGTAGCTGGCGTCCTCTCGCGGGCCCCTAAAGTTCGAGCCCTCTTTGGCGACCGTCGCTTTGCTTCTGCATTCAGCGAGGACGCCAAGGCAGAAGGATGACGAAGAGCGGGAACGAGAGAAGCAAGAGAATAGACTGTCACGGCGGGCGCACGATGTCGGCCTTTCGTCCACAGATCGGTTATCGTCAGATCACCCGTCTCGTTCGTCAAGGCTACGCGAATCGCACTCGGACTCGGCATCGCCGAGATCAATCATCGTCAGATCCGCTGCCATAGGTAGAAGGGAATCGTCCGACTTCATCTCCGACTGGACGTCGACCAAGTCGACGATAGGCAGAAGAGAAGGAGAAATTGTCGGACTCGTCATACGCGCCTTCTTTCGTGGCCGGACAGCTACTGAACATGCCGTATTAAAGATATGGCGGAACATACTCGACAGCTTCCACTCGAGGATTTCACCCTTGTTGGAAGGCTTCCTCTTACGACCCCGCGACGCGGGCTCATCCGCAGCATTTGTGGATGGGTCGTATTCAAGGGGGTGGAGAAGATCCATCGTTGTAGATTGGTCAGGTCGTGGCCGTCGATGAAGTGAAACTGGAGATCGCGATTATGTTCGAGAGAGACGTCACACAGCGGATGTGGACACGACATCAGCCGGCGGAATCTCTATATTTCCTTGTTCACCTCTGTCTAGAGGTCAAATCTCGACTCCACGACTGTAATCGGGGAATGCTCAAGTGAGCTGGCCGTCGATTTTCCTCGTCTTGACCCGCAAATAATCAGTGGGTGTACATTGATTGTGGTTGAGTACTCTCGAATTGAAAGGGTGCTCTGACTGGATCCGATCAGAGAATAGAGCCCATCTACATAGCTATCTGAACAGTGTCCGTCAGCATTGTTGCCTGTGCTGTTGTCTGTCTTGTGGCCATTTGGGGATGCTTGTAACCTAGGGGACAGCCGCCTCATGGAATTGACAGGAACAGGGGTCCAAGGAGTAGATTTGCTCGCTGGACCCTCTATATCTTGAATAAAGAAACGTCGGTCTCGTGGAGAGGTCTGTTCTTTTGTTGCACGGTCCAAAATCTGGCGAAGCCAGTCAAGACCTGATGTATCATCGCTCCACCCATTCTTTGAGCATGCGAAGAATGCGAGATGCTCTGAATCATTGAACTCGTCAAGCCAGGTGTCCTGAAGATCGTATAAGGCGCCTCGATAGATAAGAGCTGGTGGTAAGTGTGACCCGTCAGCACAGATAAACGCGATCAACGTAATGAATTCTCGGCTTCCATCCTGACTGGCGCCTGCGATACGCTTGCTTTTTAGATTCTCAATTGACATAATATGCTTCTTCGTATGTGCGATAGGTTCATGTCAAACAATCAGTGGATGTATGGCTACTGTTCAACACCCTGTGCTGTTGTCTGCGTGGTAGCCTGCTGGGTGCTGTAGCCTAGGAGGCAACCGCCTCATGGAACGGACAAGAACAGAGATTATAAGTAGAATGGGTCCATGGAATAGATTTGCTTGCTGGACCCTGAGGAATGTGATCCAAGTTGCCAAAAAGGTGACGGGTCAACGCGGAGTGACGGCCACGTGGGTGATCTGAGTATGCCAAGGAAGCATTGGGTTGTTTCGTAACGCTCGTGCAGCCTTGCGTTATACCAAGGAAATTGTGGGATCCTGCGTCGGTACGTATTCAACCGTGAAGTGGAACCTCCGGGAAGAGCCTATCTTGTACCTGGATATGTATGCGTTGCCAGTAAATAAGGGGTTATCGTCCTGAGCAAAAGTCACATGAAAAATAGGGGTCATCGTTGGTCATCCCTATTAATCCGAAACCGCCTGGAAAAGGCAGCCCATGTCCATGTGCCCTCTAAGCAGTGCTTAAATGCGTACTGGACTTAGATCTGCCACTTGTCCAGAAGTGTGGGAACTTTATGCTCCAAAAACTATCCACTAACTGATCGTGAGTTTACCGGCAAAAGCTTTCTATCTAGCAACCAAGAACAGGAGGAAGATGTACCGCCTACGGAAGAAGTATTCTCGCGGCACATTTCGACTTCGATGATATGAAAGGTGTGTCGAGATTTGATGCGAGTGTGTGGAACCTGTCTTGGGATTCGTCGCCGTTACCTAGATCAGCCAAAGCTCCCCCTAAGCCTTACACGGACTATTGGAAGAACTGCATTGTCAATATAAACGACGAGTCTTTGGTTTTGAGGAATAGATATGTCGCCGTCCAGCTTGTGCAGATGGTGCATGCAAGACAACAAGAAAGTCTCGACATAATCGGAGATGAGATCCAGGCAAAATATTCAGATCGACAAGCTCAATGTCGGGCATAATGCCTGACGTTGTGGATGAGGCCAGTCAACGACTGCTCTCATATTTGCCATTCAATTATGGCTTCATTTGACACCGACACTCAACCATCCGAAGCCTCAATCAGCCCTAAAACTGATCCATTGGGTCAAGGTCCAACTTCCAGCCGAGTTGCCGTAAGGGCAAATCAAGAAGGGTGCATTGTCCTGTGATTTCTGCATCCCCCCTTTTGTAAGAAAAGTTGAGATGATGATCGTGTGGGAAGACGACACTGCCCTACACTTGATAAATTCCTCCACGTGTTTCGGCACGACTGTGTTAACTAATGCGAGGAGACCCCGAGAGGCTTTCGATGGTATAGTCGCTGATGGGTTTTAGTCGTCCCTTTTCTCCAGGCTTCGTCCGTGAGACACTGGATGCACATTATCTCTTGTTCAGGCCACTGAACCGCGGAAATCGAAACGGAACGAGTACATGATGAAGAAGAGTCCACACCTGGTTCTTAAGCGGGCGATGGCGAAACAAGCGTCTTTTGGCCTGAATGGTTATCGATACTGGCATTAACGCCTATCTAAAACTCAAGCGGCGTACAACAAGATGTCACCAAAAGATTGGTAACAGTGGTGGTTCGATAGGAGAGATCGAGTTCAGTGGGCGACATTCTGAACGGCATTCGTAGTGTTTATTCTCACGGTTGTGTTCGGTGTAATTGGGAATGTGGCAGGTATCATGCAAGCTTGGATCGTATCCCAGGTGACAAAATGACGAGGAGTGAAAAGATATGTGTCCTTCCCTTTATGCTCCGGCTTCAGCATGGAGTTCTTTGAAATTGTTTCGCACTAGTTGAATTTGTTTTCAAGAGCTCCGCTGAAACCACAGATACTTCCTGTTGAACACATTGCCGTCGAGGTCGCTGTACATGATCATGATCAACTCATGGAACCCAGGCATTTTAGGTTAGAAGAGTCGGGGAGTGTCATCTGACTGCTCATGATAATGTCCATTGTGCAGAATGGGCACCCATTGCACGTGTCTCGGGTTAGCTCAATGAGATTGCTGGAGCTTTTACCCTCTCGTCAGCACCTTGGTCCTCGGTTAGTCTGACGAATGTGATAAATCATATGCCCGATCGTTTTGTTGTCTTCGTTCATGATACTTCTTCCAGCTTGTCTCAAACGTCTCTTCATTCACAGCGAAAGCTTTGATGTAATCTTTTTCCAGCTCATGCGCTCTTTTACCGAGGAGTACAACACTGTGGAGAGGAGGACCAAGATCAATTTCAGACAATTCCTTGAGTGTTCCACATGCGAATGTTTGGTCATCTGCGCCCACTCTCGCACACCCGATTGCCAGACTGTCTTCACTGTATACAGCTTCATTCTTCTCTTTTTCAATTTCGAGCATTTGCTGTGCACATTGTGCAACGGTCATGTAGCGTGGAGGCTCATAGATTTTCCTTCCTCTTGCCATGTTTTCAAGTGACTGTTCTTTCACTTTTATATCCAATAGGACCAATGTATGGAGACCGATGGAGACATTTTCGCGGATTCGATCGTAGAAACTTGCAGGTTTCCAGGTATCGGTGAAGAAGACCATGGACACAGTTTGTCCAAAGTTGTACAGCTGCAGCCCGGAGGCGCCAATAGCGTTCAGTATCGAGGCATTGGGAATCGATTTCGTGGGGATAGACAGCTCCTGAGCGCGGAGGACGAGATCTGTATGTGTTGTGGCCCTGGATGGTTCATTAGCAGTGACAATGGTCTAGACGAGGTTGACACACCCAAAAGGGTCCCCAACAACGAGGAATGCTATATCGATCTTGTCTGCACCCTCGAGAATTTCATCGCTGGATGATTCAACCATTTCCCGATCTGCCACGATCACCGGGCGGCTGTAAAATGACTCCTACCGTAACTGTTAGACTCGACGAGTTTGTCGGCGACTTTGCAGCCACCGGTTCAAGTATTCGAAGGTTCATAGACGATGACGAAAACGGACCAATTTCTCTTTTCCCACATGGAGAATGCTCGTGTATGCTTCGAGGTAAACTCGTTCTGCGCGTTTCACTACTTCTAAACCTTTCAGGGTGATGTCAGTCTCGTCAGCGAGTCCGAGACCGACGAGGTACAGCATTTCGACTCGGGTTTTACATGGTCGCTCTAGGAATGGCGAGTTGGAACCTTGTGGTCCGGCCGGGGGAAATTTGGTTTTGCGGGGAGAAAAGGAAGAAGCGGGAAAAACTTCGGCCAAGAAGGCAATGCCAACCACAACCTGTAACAATAGACGCTGACAACTCTCATTCATCCCTTCTTCATTTCATCTTTGCGCATCAATTCAATACGCTTCTCGAGATGAATCATGTATATGTCTTCGTTCCCATGTGAATTCCAAAATAGACGAGTCGGGGTGCCGGTGTAAATCTCAGATTACTGCGCGTGGCAAATGAGTCGAGATGGGGAGTGAGAGGCCAGCAAAGTACAGGCAGGAGATCCAACAGGTGAGCAATTCGACTTCTTCCTTTATTTGTCTTTGTATCTCTCTTGTCCGTTGCTCGCGAAAGATCCATAAGGAAGCCTCAGGGACGACTTGAAAAAGATCGACGTCACACTGGACATTTGGATGAAATAGGGCGAAGTGACACAGTCATCCTGTGCCTGGGACTGGACAGGAAGATCATGGGCAACTTCTCTCGAGAGCCCGCTGGAGTGTATGACACCACTGGTTCAGAGTTCTACCAACTCTGGTGCCATTGACTCTGGAAACCCGGAGCTCTGGTCACGGCTTGGAAGCCCCTGTCCTGATACCGTTTTCGCTGTATCGGATGACCAATGGGAACGACGCAGAACACCCCAGAGACCGAGTGCCGAACCGGGCGAGTGACAACGTTCGAAAGTCGGATCGATTTGATTGCTTAGAAAAGGCTGCCGTCAACAATGCGAATGAAAAATTTAGAAGAAAGCATGAACCATCCACACTAGCACCACAGCCTTAGCGGCTGGCCTTTCGGCACCAAGAGAAGTTGGCCAGTTAGACCGTATTATCCTTTTTGATGATTGACACCGTCTGCTTCATTAACGGCACGGGCGATCTTGCTGGCTGGACCATATATGGAACTGGAATACCGTACCTCCGCCGCCCGGACTCGGTGTTTGATAGACAATGCCATAGTCGTCGGGTCACTTTCCTATTCACTTTTCTTCACCCGAGGCCTCCAGACTCAACCTTCCTTCCTGCTCCTGCGATCGGTAATCCCGGCCAGCGAGCTAGACACCAACGACATGGATGGCGGCAAAGATCCGGACATTGACCAGAGGATTTCAACTAGCCTCGTTTTGGGAGATACACTGCAGGACATGAACAACAAATGCGGCGTTCCTGGATCGGATTTTCACCCAGATGTCCAGTCTTCGATCATGCCTGGAGATGAAGATGATTTTATGCTCAGGCTAACTCATGGGATCGAGCAGATGATGTTTGTGAGCGGTGAAACGGCCGAACCAAGTGTGGAGACGACATGGATGATTGAAGAAATTGTGCGCGAACAGGTTCTGGAAATGGTATGTAGCACTGAACGCCACCTATGTGAGCTTTACTGATATGAGAATTAGCTCACTCAAGCCACTGCCCTCGCACACCGTCGAGGTTCCAAATCCATCTCAATCGTCGATCTCATCTTTCAGATCCGTCATGACAGAGCCAAAGTCTCTAGGCTCAAAACATTCCTTTCGTGGAAGGATGTGCGCAAGAATGTCAAAGATTCGGACGACAAAGGCGGAGGTGATGCTGGTGACGTGGGTGATTTTGACGAGGTAAACAAGCGCTCTCCACCTTGCCGTGATCGTGAATAACAAAGACGTAGGCATCAGGAGGAGTCAATCCATCGGCCCCTCAAAAATCAAGTGCGAACAAGAAGGCCAAGTTAGTCCTGCCCTGGGAGGTCCAGTCTTTCTACGCAGAACTAGTACCCGAAAGAGACGACGAAGAAGACGAGGAGGAGGAAGAACAAAATGAAGCCACACTCGCCCGTCTCGCTTCTGCCGATGAGCGCACCAAAAATATGACCAAGGATGAATACGTGTACTGGTCCGACTGTCGACAAGCAAGTTTTACGTTCCGCAAAGGAAAAAGATTCCGAGAATGGGCTGGATTTGGCACCATCGTCGACAGCAAGCCAAATGACGATGTCGTCGATATTCTTGGCTTTTTGACGTTCGAGATCGTGCAGACCCTGACTGAAGAGGCGTTGAAAGTCAAAGCTCTGGAGGACTTGGCTAATAAAAAGGCAAATGGAGGTCGAGGTGATCAGGAAGCGCTGAAGAAGAGAAAGAGAGAGGGGTGCAGTTTGTTCGAGATGCCCGAGGAGGGAAGAACGCCTGTTGAGCCCAAACATGTTAGAGAGGCGTTCAGGAGACTGCAAACAGTGCCTAATCGATACAAGTTCATGAGGCAAGGGTTGGCAGGAATGAGGACCCCATTGAGGTTGATATGATATATTATTATCAAAAGGTACCTGACAGCGGTCGGCAATTGTTAGCAAGGCTCTCTTAGCGCGCGACGAGTCATGGATCAAATGGAACAAGGCTGCATGACTCGTGAATTTGACCCCCGCGCCACGCCACTTACAACTGCATAGCTTCTTTCCTGCACATAACCAGTGTATGCCCATCAACTTCCGTACATTCTCACCTCTGCAGTTTATCCGTATCTTCGTCATCGTCAATCTCACCACCTACATCACCGTTAACGCCTATTTGAGCCAGGCCACCAAAGACTCCACCTCCCACCAGCCTCAGGCCGAGAACCGGCAAGATGGGAGGCAAGAAAGGCGGCGAGAACACCAAGAAAGCCGCTGGTAATGCACGCAAAGCTGAAGCCGCCGCACAGAAACAAGCAGCCATCGACGCCCGACTGGCCGCCGAGGAAGACGAGAAATGGTCCAAAGGTGCCAAAGACAATCGAAAGAAAGAAGCGGCAGCGGCCAAGGCTGCGGAGGCAGCAGCGAAAAAGGCTGAAAGAGACGCACAACTAGCAGAGGAGGAGAAGAGTCAGCGCAGCACACCCAAAGGTGCCAACAAGAAGACAGCAGAGAAGAAGAGTCGCGGTACACTCGACCTTGGGCAGTTGGACGGCGAGCCGAGCGGGACAAGTGGCAAGGAGAAAGCTCTCAACGCTTCGGGCATTGACAACGCACTTGACGCGCTGAGCTTGACGGGTTCTGCGAACGACCTCAAACTCGACAGGCATCCGGAGCGGCGATTTAAGGCGGCGTACAAGGCATTTGAAGAGCGACGTTTACCGGAGATCGAGATCGAGCATCCTGGTCTACGTAAACAGCAGCGGATTGAGATTGTGCGCAAGGAGTTCGAGAAGAGTGAGGAGAATCCATTCAACCAGGCTGGCAACATCAGATTCGACGCGAGTAAACAGGAAATGGAGGAGACGAGGAGGAAGGTCAGAGAAGGTGTAGAAAAGAGACTGGTTGAAAAATGAATGAACAATGATGGAAGAGGCTTTAATTGGGGCGTCACCTTCCAGTCTACCAGTCATGACAGGATGAGCGGGCCCGCGTGGGAGATGCTGGTCATTTCATGGCCCCATGCGTTCATTGTCTGGACATATATGATGAGCTAGGTCAGGAATTGACAACCCTCGGCTCCCTATAGGAGTGAAGGATATGGTAATGATGCCTAGACGTTCGAGAATGCACGATACTGTGCTTTCCCGTCTCCGGCAAAGCTGGATCCGTCTTTGCTTCGCCTTCAAGGCGTTGGAAAGCGGCGGGTGTCAGGGGCAGGAAAACACTGGAACTAGAGTTAGAAATTGGCAAATGCTTGCTTTCGTTTCAAGATCCATTCAATTCATCTACCTCCACCTCGATCTTGCGCCTAGAATTGGAAATACTACCTCTCTCGTCTGGCCAAGCGTGCGAGACACACCATGAGAGGGTCTAGCACAAGCCATAGACGGTTTAGATGTTCGCTGTCGTTTGCCTGGGGAGGTTTAGTCTAATACCAATGTTCGTCCGACTCCGGGTTGCGCAACCGGACGAACAATCAATCCGTCGCGTTGCGAAACACATTGCTACGTGCGCAATGGCATCAAATGCATGCAACAAAAGAAAAAAGGCATTTCATACAATTTCTATTAAGAAGCCCGTGTTGTTCTCTCATGATGACCTTACATCTGTTCTCACACACGCCTCAAAGTCAAGAAAACACCCACCAGCACCTTACTTGAATGGACCAAATGCTCAAAGCTTTCGGCCAGCCGTTTCATCGACTGAGGGTTCCAGCTCCAGATTCTTTCAAGGGACAGACGGTATTGGTTACCGGATCGAATACAGGGGTCGGACTTGAATCCGCCCGCCATGTTCTACGCATGGGGGCCGCGAAGATCATTCTCGGTGTCAGGACTCTCGTGAAGGGAAAGGCGGCAAAGGAAGACCTAACTGCATCAACGGGGACACGGCCTGAGAGCATCGAGGTGTGGCAGGTCGATTTGGAGTCGTTCGAGAGCGTCAAAAGCTTTGCGACACGGATGAAGAGGTACATCGAAGACGAGGACGGACAGCTGGATACAGCCATCCTGAATGCCGGGATGGCTTCGGGTCAATGGAATTTGACGTCTGACGGCTGGGAGAGGACACTTGAAGTCAACGGCTTGTCCACGGCGTTATTGAGTCTCCGCTTGCTACCGTTGCTCGTCACGCAATCAAAGAAGAGCGGGAAAACCCCCCACCTAGTCATCGTGGCGAGCGATATGCACATGTACGTCAAGTTCCCGGAGAAGCACGCAGACAACATCTTGCAGAACCTGAATGATAAGGCACAATGGGAGAAATCTCAAGCCCTCGGCGGACCAGCGGAACGGTACGGCCTCACCAAGCTGCTGGACATTTTCGTCACTATTGAGCTGGCGAAGATGATGTCAGAAGACCACCAGGGCAATCCTCCCGTCATTGTCAACTGTGTCACACCGGGATTCTGCAAATCCGAACTCCTCACACGGGAGCCGGCGCCACTGATTTTGAAGCTCCTCCAATGGGCCACGGCACGAGACGTGAAAGATGGCAGTAAAGCCCTCGTTGATGCGGCTGTTCGAGGCGTCGAGACGCACGGGCAATGGTTGGAGAATCAGCACATTACCGAGTAGGTTGATTGTTGGAAGATACTTTTGATTGGTGCTGACTGCTGAAATAGCCCTGGTGCAAACGTGACGAGTCAGGAAGCGATCAGGACGAGGGAAAAGGTGTGGAAGGAGATGCTCGAGGTCCTTCACAAGGTCGACAGAGAGGTTGCCAGGATGTGAATGGAGTTTGCCTTTGGTATCTCTAACAGTATATGAGCTTCTCTGTCTATCTGGTGCATTTATCTTCGCCGTTTTGGAGATTTAGCACCATAGACAGCAACGCATCGCGTCGCGGCTTTTGCACCATTTCCTTTAGTGTCTGTGATAACATCCAGTATATCATGACGTTAATGGAAGGGAGCAAGGTGTACCTGCCATCCGTAATGTAGGGGGGTAGGATGGAAAAAGCTTTGGGTGAGAAACATTATCCTCAACTTGGGGGTAGGTAATCTTTAGCCTTGCACTTACAGTTCAAGAAGCCCTAACATTGATAGCATGCGGGACTTATATAGGGTACGAACAAGCCATTGCTAGGCTCCACAGACGGCTCTTTCGGGGGATCCTTTGCATCACCCAGGTACAGATGCATTGACTTCTGGGGTCTCTTCCACTCAAATTGGATCCTGGTCCTTCTGCTATGAGTATGAGGCTGAGGAAAAAAAAAAGGAGTAGAGTTGTTTGTCGAAAATCCTTCGGTTCAGGCACGGTCCCGGGTTGGGGCGCGCCGCCGTTTTTGACGGCTATAGGATCCTCCTCCCTTCCCAATTGTTTCTTTCCTCACAACTTATTTTCTTCTCCCCTCCATCGCTCTGACATACCCGTTGTGCTTCCGTCCGACACTTCTTGAATCATTCCCCCTGCCGTATCAGGCCTCCTATCCTCGATTCTATGTCGATTGTCTACCGGCTCCCTCAAAATCTGCCTCGCCTCTTCCAGTGCACCCCATGGACCCCCCAATCCCCGATCATGTCCTCCTCTACCGATCTTAAGGAAGATCATTTTCAAGCCCTCCTCAAAGTCTTCAATCCCTCCATGGCATAATTGACTTCACCGGTCGCACACCGTGCAGGCTCAGCTGACCCAGTCCATCATCCACGCCTCGACAGGGGGTTCCTTGAGGGCATGGGTGGTGGTGTCGGCAAGTCCCTTTATACAGCCTTGCGAAGCGCCGTCGCAGTCGGAACTTATGCACCCAGACTAGGTGACATCTGACACTACATGAAATCAGATGCTTGGGCGATAAGCCTTCTTTGCAAATATTGCAGGTGGCATCACAGCAGTTCATTCACCAAGCGATTATACCTGCAATTCTGCCATTTCCAATTTCCATTGTATGCTCCACTTTTGGACTAGTATGACCAGCCACGAGTTGCACCAACTGTGAGAAAGCTGCGCGCTGAGGAAAGTCAATTGCCTGGTTCCGTCTCCATGTCTTGGAGATGGGACGATAGTGATTCTAGAACAACTTTAGGCGGCAGCCCCCTGCACCCTGGACAGGGCCTCTCTACTGGTATTGACGTCAGGGTGTTGGGTTCCTAGCACCTTTTCCTGTCGCATGACCAAGTTATCGAACAATGCCAGCAACTCGCCGGATCCTGTGCTTGCCTTTTCCATCGCCAGGCCCAGTTGCATTGTCGCCCACAATGTCATAGGATGGTCCCCGCCGAATGTGGCTGTCCGATCCTCTACGACCATCGAAAAAGTCTGGACAGCTTGTGCGAATTTGCCCTGCGCCATATACACGGCGGCAAGGGTGTTCAGGTGGGAAATCGAGTCCCGCGGCAGAGGAATGCCGATCTCGCGATGCGAGTCCAGCTGATCGACCAGTTGTTGGCATAGAGCCTCAGCTTCCTGCGCACGGTGGAGTTTCATAAGGACTTCCGCTAGGGTTATCTTAGAGCGAAGGGTGAGCGATGAGGTCGTGCCGGAGAGCTTTGTGGCGAGCTGGAGGCCGTGCGACAGGTGAGCAGCCGCGTCGGCGAGTGACCCTAATCTCATGCATACCCAACCGAGACTGTCCAATGCAAACATCAAGCTGGATTCCATTGGCGGTGTAGAAGGCTGGGGTTGAATGAGTTGAACCAGTTGCTCAAGTATGGTACGTGCTTCGTTATATTTGCCACCACGTTTCAAGGCGTCTGCTTGCGCCTGATATGTCGCAATTTCCAGAGAGATATCCAAAGAAAGCTCGTTGGCGAGTTTGAGGCGTTGTGCCATGCTGAATGCCTCAGCAAAAAGGGTTTCTGACCTCGATCTTTGGTCAGGTAACCAGCCGTAGACTTCGCCGAGATCGAGCGTGCGTTGGAGTACGGTCGATGTCTCCAGGTTTGGGCTTGCATCGGCTCTGGCATCAGCTAGCGCTCGTTCATAGCTGCTAGAGAGAAAGCCAGAGATCTTGCGATCGAAATCCGCCTTAGGCTCGTCTTGATCAAAGAATTTCACAAGTTGTGATTTGAGGGTAAACAAGTGAAAGAAACGGGCGCTATTCTTGGGTCGTGGCGGTATTGGTAAGACGGAGCGAGAGAAAAACGCTGGAAGAAGGCAATCCAACCAGACAAAGGCCGTTGAACCATCAAAAAATTGCGTGATAAGCGACTGGAGCTCCTTGTTTGTTCTGTCCGCTTGAGTGACGTGATGCACCCAGTAGAGCGCAGCGTACTCCAGGAGTGGATAGCTAGACTTGGGAAACTCGTTGGTAGTATCTATTCCGCTGGGGACGGCGAAAGCAGGGTGCGACAAATATCGTAAACAAGCAATGGCAATTGAAGCATGGCCAGCAGCGCCGTGCACATCTGCCATTGCTGCCGCGCTCTCGTGCGAAGATCTCAAAAAGTCCAAGAGAGAATGGTGCATGGCCCGGACCTTTCCGCCTTCAATTTTGACAAGGCCATCGCACACCGCCACAGCCTTCTCCTCCACTTCGGCCACGAAGGCATTGGTGCTAACTGACACGGCATTGGAGAGTTCGAGCACATTCAGAGGGTGAATAGCATTGACCGTCCAACGGAGGATTGCATTGCGTATCTGAAGATCAGTCCATGTGAGCCGTTCTGATTGTTTTGTTATGATGGCGGCATAAAGATCCGTCGATGCGGGAGGAAGGTTGTTGAGGCGTTCGATTATTCCTTCCTCCGTTGTTTCCAGGGCCAGAGACTGCACAGACACTTCAACCCAGGTGAAGATGCCATCTGCCCCCTTCACTAAAGACCGTACGATTACGTCTTTGTAAGGACCTAGATGAGGATGGCCATCAACGAGATCAGAGGCGAAAGTTTTGATGTCGTCCTCTAGTTTATCCTGAGTAAGAACGATCGTAGGGACGTTGTGAAAGTGGTGCCGAATGTTTGCGAGCGTTCGGCTTGAGACGTAAAGTTTTCCAGCTCCTGAGCTTCCACTCGCAAGTCGGCGAAGACGATGCGTGAAGTTGAACTCCTGTTCACTGAGGATAGGCCACTGCAACTCGTCGACCCCGTCAATGACCAGGTTCCAGGTCGAGACACCCTGCAAGGCGGTGGTGAAAAGATCCCATATTGCATCGGGCGAGGCAGCCGCAGAGTCTTTGCGGGCTGCCAGCTCGTCAATGGCATGGACCAGTACATCTCTCCCTGACGGCGTCGTTCTTACATGGCCAGCCAACTGCTCGAGAACGGAGCGTACAATTTGGAGTAGGGAGCTCGCTTCTTCGCAAAAATAGCAAGCTGTGGCTGGTTGTTCTGACGACGCCCGTAGAGTATCAGCGACGAATCTGGAGAGAAAGGTCTTGCCAGATCCTGGAGGACCATGGACCCAGAGAATTGGACAGACACCATTTTTCCGCTCAATCCAGTCCTTGTATATCTTTTCGTTGTTAATCCACTGGCAACTATTTGCTATACGGGCCCGTTTGCCTGAAGAGGAGGAAGCAGCCGAAGGCTCGTCTTCTGCCTGTCTCTTTTTGGTGTCGCCTGTCTCCATTGAAATATATTTCACCTCGCTTCGGCGAAGCAGAGTTGTTGTCCAAGAGCACGGATTGCGAACCAACTGACTGGTTCTGGCCAAGGGATAAAATGACAGTTTCAGCATCAAATTATACAATTGCTTAGTACCGTGTGTTCCTAAGTACGAAATATCATGAGAGGAATGGATGAGGCTGGGTTGGGATTTAGGGAGCCTAAGCGGCAAAGTTTGCCTTTCTGCATTGCGAGACCCAAGGGCAATGTTTCATCACACTTTCAGCCTCTTGCAGATACGAGGTTTTAAGTGGATCATCTGCCAATTCGGCGGATGGCAGTTTTCCAACAGAGTGAAGTGATTCATTCAATCACTACAGTACAAAGTCATGACCAGTTGAGGCCTTGCCAGTTGTTGCACATCTCTTTCAAGCCATGTATAAGGAGGATGAGTACTCCTGAACATGATGCCGTTGTTGACAGTTAGGGCGTATGCGGCTGAGGGGAAGCGAACCCTGATCTGACGGGTAAAGCGTTGCGGCCTCGTACGCTTCACCAAGCCCCTGTGAGTCTTCTAGCGGTCACCGGGCCACGCCACCTTCTACATTCCAACTCCTGCTGTGAGCGGCTAGCATGTTGATGCAGAAAACAAGTCTCCTGGCAGCATTCACAATAAGGCCTTCCACGATTGGGACAGCGCCCTGGTAGTATAGTCCGCCCAATTCTTTGCCCCGAAGTGAATCGATGTCGTCGGCCAGCACATACTTGCACATATATTGGTTGGCTTCCTGTGCCCAGCCAAGCACATCAGGAGAGAAGTTGGGAGCCAACAGCGCATCTTGCGGCGCGTCAAGCTGCGTGGCTTTTCTCCAAGTCCCAGGGGCGCTCGGGCTCTCCTGGGCCTCAGGCGACAACAAATGCTGGTATAGCTTCGCCGCCCATGTCTCGGCCGCCGCCCTCTCGTTTGTCTCGTTGCTCTGAGTGATTTTCTGGGGGATACAGACGTCCCAGACGAAATGCAAAGATTGGACGTGGCCATCGAATTGGACTTGGATATTATTCCCCCCTCGAGCCATACCTTCGACGTGAAGAGGATGATGGATATCGCCAATCAGGTGGATTAGAAAGGCGAACGCCTGGTGATGCTCGTACCATCCCATACTATCGTCCTGTAGCTGCAACATCTGAGCCTGTCAGCTGCGTCTCAAGGTGCCATCAATGAGGACGCACCATGTTCATGATCGCTTGAATGATGCACGTCCTTGAAGGTAAACAGTCCCTGCTTAATGAAACATTGCATGTATGGGGAGGGTCATCGTGAGCATCGACAAAATGCCAGCTTGCCGTGTGCTTTCCTTCGGGTGTGTTTTTGTAAATATCCGCCCAAATAGACGTGTCAGATAAATCGTTGGGACCTAGAAGAGACCGAGCATAGACTAGGCCATCATGATTCAGAAGTTTCTCCGCGATGAGTACAATGGTTCTGTGTCCTAAATTTCCCCAACCCACGCATGTGTATGGCAAGAACGCCAGGAAAATAATGATGGTCAATGACAACATAACACTTAGGCGGCAAACGAACAAAATGGCTCAAGTCATGTCTTAGAGGAAGGACCACCCTACAACCTGCAACTGTCATATATATGTTGGATGAGATGTGAGCGAAGGAGTCAGAATCAAAAGGATTGTCTAACAAGCGCTGTGAAACTGCTAGGCTAATTCGCTAGGACAAGAGCAGGCTAACAATGGATATCATCTTTACAGCTCACTTTTTCTTATTCGTCCTAACCGATTTAATATTCATATCGCCAACGAACCATTCATACTTGGACTTTGTTGCGCAGAAACATTGAACGAAGCCTTGATAGCGATCTCATTTTGGGGATTGCCCCTGCAGTCAATCCATTGGCAGGTCCGACATCGAGTTGGGCTGGAGTCTCTCCATTCGCGTAGCGTTCTGGCTGCGGTTGCTCAAGCCACAAGACAAATTCATCCCATGAGCAAACTGTTGCCTTGATGCTCTCCGAGGCAATGTCAAAGTATTCTTTCTTCTTCAAAAGTTCGCCAAATACTTTTACTTGGTAATTAGCATCGTAAGTGTCCGCGTATCTGTTCACGGTCCTTGGGAAGTCAATGAGAAAACCCCTCTTGTAGTAAAGGCCTCTCTTTCCGTGATCCTGCTGAACGTTTAACATTTGCACTGTCCAAGTTGGTAAATATACGTACACCACCGACTTCGACTTCGATGATATCATATTTTTTGCACAGCGCGGAGATGGGGCCAGGGGTGCTATACTGGCGAGGCTGGTTGTCTTTGGGTAGTATGATCTTGAGTCCAACAATCGTATTCCCGTTGAAGTCGACTCTGGGCGACCGCCTTTGCCGTGGTTGGTGACTAGGCTACGGAATATCAGCGTTCCTTGGCTAATGGTAAAAGCGTCTTGCTCAGACCTGTTCTTGGATAGCCTTTTTCAATACAGGGAGGCCTTGAGTGATGTTGTCCAGGACGCGCCTTACGAAATTATCGTAGTATCCCGGAACTATTTCGGCGGCTGGTTCTTTGCCTGTAGAGCAGTTAAAGAGATGATATTCATAGTGGGAGCAACTAACTGTAGTCGATGTCCCAGTAGATGCTTGAGATCCTTGTGGTAGTCCATTCTCGTAATGCTATCGCCGTGTTCTGAAGGGCGTCCTGTTTCGCGTTTGGGTCGTCGCCTTTGAACTCATCACCAAAGTCGGAAACTCCTTTTACGACACCAAGGCAAGCGCTCTCTTTGAAGAAGTATTGGCAAAGCTCAAGGAAAGCGCTTGCCTCCATGTCAAGGGCTATGGCGTTCCGCTTGACCTACGGGCTGTGAGCGATGCATTTGCTAGGTCAAACTCTAGCAATTACCTGGTGGCGAATCTTTTCAAATATCGTGGGTGCATCCCCACGGACGGCGGAGCCGCTTATGAAGTCGCCATAATGGTAGCCTGCCCGTGCTCCGTCGTCGGCAAAGGCTTGCATGTCGCCTGCCCTGACGCTGACGATGTTGTAGTCAGGGACGAAATCAATGTCGCCATCGCCGAATTTTCTGAACTTGCCCTCTTCCAGATTCACAGCGTTCTCGCCCAGAATGACGTGGCCTAGCTGAATTCTATGAACATTAGCTGGAGGCGTGCAATTTGCGATCCAAAAGTGATGATGCCGACCTTTGAGATGGGTCCTTGTAGCCTGCACAGACTCCTGCGTGGATGACAAATCTGGGCCGTAGTATATGGAATAGGAGCGCAGTGTGAACTGTGAAGGACTGGATGCCCTGACGTGTGCTGCTTGTCACGACATAGCCTAGTTTTTCTCCAGAGGCAAGGTCAAAGTCGCCGTAGTAAAACGTGTGAGCGTTGTCAACTTCGGCAACTTCATGGCCTTGGAGTTTCTGCCCAAGAATTTCCAACGCACTAGCGATTGCTTCCGCTTCTCCTGGTCTCCCGCAGACAATACAGACGGGGCAATCGCGGAGTCTCCGTAGATTCTCCCCTTCCTTTACAGATGGAGCCATTTGCTCAGGAGTTGGCAATGTCCGGAATGGACGACCTCAATGGGACAAAGAGCAAATCAACCATAGATAAAGGAGTCTAAGACAAATGAGAAGAGAGTACCAGAGTTTGAGTTGTGTTAAGAAATCTAGAGGATTGTGGACGGGAGGAGTGGGTTTGTAAAGTACGGAACGCGGAAGGAGCCATTCGGTCATGCGGCCATTCTAGGACACCAGGATTCCTTGAAGGTTGAGAATCTATGCCCATACTTCTGGTGAAGGGTCATCAGGCTGAAGAAGGACACACTGGGAAGTTGGAAGAAACCGGGGGCGGTGCAATTTGGTCGGCTTGTGAATAGGGCAAGTTTCTCCTTAAACATTGCGAGTTCCAAGGAGTCGACTCGCAAATCAAGAGCCAACCATTACTCGCCCCCTACTAGCCAAGCGCCAATAACAGATACATGGGTGGCTGTCGAACACCTCCCTCATATCTACTGTACAAGCCATTGCCAAATCGTCTTGCAGGGCTTGCCTCAGCCGCACCAATGCACCCGACACAGGAGGAAGCGTGCATCACAGGGATTGACCCCCTAAAATGCGCAGAGGCCCTTCCAGAACTTCAGCCCTGTGTAAAGTATCAGAAGCAGTGTAGCACTCATACCTAGACCTAAACTTCCATCAAGGACAAATCGATCAGGCTTCACCTGGGAAATCAAGCGGAACACAGTTCCAGCATGAGAAGTGATAATAGGGTGCGTGATTCTGGCGCACCTGAGGGTATCAGCCTCGCAGTGGCTCCGCAGCCGGACGATAACGTAAGCATATTCACGTGATCTAATCATGTGAATACCTCCTGGCAAGCCACCTTTTACCAAGAAACTGGAGTTTCCAAGAGAAAACACTTATTATGATGGTCCTCTGGGTGTTTCTGAAGAGAGGTCGTTTTTGGTTCCTATGATGCTACTGCGATAGTTGGGAAGTCAACTTGGAATAAGGGCACGACCAAGTTTGGCGATCTTGGCGCGGAGAGAAAACGACGCCTTAAAGAGGCGGCACAAATCGCCTGTTCACACGTGGTAAGTTGTTTTCGGGTGCTTCGGGCCATGGCTGCAAGCGAAAAGGGGCTAGGTCAACCCCTGACTCTTACCTATCATTTCATTCCATGGTTGGCTCCTGGCATGGTATTAAGCGGGCTCATAACCTTGCACGAAATTTGTTTTCTTCGGACTCATGTCGCTTATTCAATTTCCGCCCTCTGCTAACTAAGCCCAAGTAAGCTGCAGCCCTTTCGCAGTGGGCCATCCCTCCCCTGCTGATTAGGCTGATTTGTCCAACTGGAGGCCCTGTTCCACCAAAGGATTGGGGGGATCTATGGGGCTCGCCGCATGCGCGAGATTCTTGACTTAGGGAGGGGGCCACAGATTTTAAACGACAGCCTTACTCTACACAAAAACTTTTGTCCATCACCTTCTTCTTCGTGGACCGATTCTTTGATCAAATTGAGCCGCGGTCAAAGTCTGGAATCAATCCGCCTATGATCTTCGTCCATGTGGTGACTCCCAAGGCAAAACCTCAGGCATTCTGCGGACGACATCTCTGAGTGGAGCTGCCAAATTCATCAAAAAGCGCCGATTCGGCGTGCGGCTCTGGAGACGACCTCGGGGATACACCGTTTATAACATGCCATCCAAATGCCCATTCATATTTTTGGTCATCATCTCTTTAGCTCTCTTCACAGCTCCAACCAACGCCGTGGCTGTTGCTGCCACGGCTGGCCCATTGGGCTCTCCAGCTGGGAACCCTCCAGGAACGATACCGGCGGGATCTGGATCCGACAGCAATGAGACCACCACTACCACAGATGAGATACTAGAAGATTATGAACCGGTGGTACGAGCCCTCGACACAGTTCTCGCTGTGGTCTGCGTGATACTGACCACCACGACCTACGCGGTCTTGATTGGACCGGGCACAAGGTTGTTGAGCACCTGCAAACTCCCTCTTACCGTTCTCGAGGAAAACATCGGAAATTTGCTTTCCAGAGCTTGGCCTGATACCAGTGAGTCCACGGCGTCCACGGATCCACCGGGAGGAGGTCCGACTACGACGGATTCCATCCGACTTCTATATGTTGGTCAGATGGACGGGGAACCGCATCAGGCGGCCCGAGGCGTTACACAATGCAATGCGGTTCCCAACGAGAGAATCCAGACACCTCCAATGTGGTTAACCACTGGATCATCACTCACCAAAAGCATGGTACAACTAGCCGTGTGGGAGTGGGTGTGTTTATGGACAGCTCTCTCGATGTTGGTGTCCACCTTGGCATTCAACGGATTCCTTACCAACGAGAGGGGCCCAGACAGCTATCCGAGACTGGTGGTCGTTGTGATTTACGCATCCGCCTTCTGTACACACTTTTGGTATGTCTTTCGGACCATCATGGCTTTCTTTACCTTGGTCATCGCGGGCTCAAGTTGGAGCTTGTTGAACAAAGCGGCCTTCAGATCCGTTGAGCTCGCTCAGCTCAAAGCTCGATTGGAAGGTGGTCCGACATCGCCGACGTTCAGAGAACTTGGAAAACCTGCTGCCAACCCAGCGTATGCAATATGCCCGGCAACTCTTCTGCAAGATGTGGACGTCGTCCCGATCGCGGACAAGGAAACCATGACAGACACGCAACAAAGCGAAGCCAGAACCGTTGGAGATTGGCAGAAAAGAGATATCACGAGCGCGGTGGACTCGGGGAGGACCGCTCTAGACGGCGTCGTAGCCAATGTCATGACCATGGTAGGGATTGTCATCACCACAGGTTTCTCAGGATGGACGACCAGGCCGACTGACGGCACAGTGAGCTCTCAGCTTGGTTCCCTGGCTCTTTTGGCTTCACTTACGCTCGGAGCGGCCGCCATGTTCAGCAGCGCCATCGATTTGAGCGTCATGTTGACGTCGTTTCGAAACATTCTCTTTCTAAAGGAAGTCCTCCTCAACGGGGAAGCCTCAGGCCATGTGCAGAAACGTGCCTCGAACAGAAAAGTGGTGGGTTTCACGCACAAGACAGTCACGCCCCGACCGCTGGGACTCAGAGATCTAGCCATCAGCGCCAGTTTCTGGCCTCTGGTTATCTTTGGTCCCGCTTATACTCTGCTTCCCAGCGAAGAGGACCATGATCGGCAATCTATGGGAGCCAAGTTTGAGTTAGGCGTCAGAGTCAGAGGCAAGAAAGTCATTTTTACCACAGAAACAACCGATCGACATAATACCAAACCCGATGGCACGAATGTTGGCTCGATCAATGTTTGCCATGAAATTCCGAGTATGCCATCGACGGAGGCACCACGTATTTCCAAGCGTCGAAATCCTTTCCTCACATTTCTGCGAGATTCTCCAAACCGAATCTCCGTCAAAGAGAAAGAGAAACAGATCAGTGTTCACACAGCCAATGTGGCCGGACCGTGACAAAGAGTAATGTATTGCGGCCTCGGAGCCATTTTCACTTCAAAAACAAGACGCTTATGCTCAGTCCATGGTGCGGACACTCGCGTCGATATGAGTGGTATTTCATCAATCCCGAAATTTCTCGATCAGGCGACAAATACCGTTCAACAATAGTCGACTCCTCATTGCATGAGATGTTGGACTCAGAGATGCCACAACGAATGAGCTCCGTCCGAGCTAAATATGAGAGCTTGAAGCTCGTGGTTGTTGCCTTTACCTCCTCAACCGTATCTGTTTGTCGGCTGCCAAGTGCGGCTTGAAGTCTTGCACAATCCTGTGCAGTCATCTCGTGGCGTATCGTGGTATCGCCCAACAAATCACTCCGGCCCCCTTGGACAAAGACATCCGTCACCGAGTCCTCCATGTCCTCGTCCCATTTGAAGACATTATATTGATCACCGGCACCAGCAGAGATGTACGCCAGAATGTTCCGCTGATGAGCTCCCAGTTGGACCATGGCTTCGAGTACATTGCCCACGACGTTGCGCACAAGAGGCTTCCAACCTGCATGGGCCAAGCCCATCACTCGAGCGCAGGGGTCATACAGGAATATTGCCGGACAATCGGCACCTTGAACGGCCAGGACATGTCTGGACGACCGACTTGCAATGGCGTCGTATGTGACGACTTGTGTCGTCTTGGTGACGACAGGCATCAATGTTCCCGACGCCTCATTCTCGATCCACGTATATTCCTCATCCTCCGCTATGATCGCGTGGCCTGAATGCGGCCAGGCGCCATTGGGAAGCAGCAGACTTCCCGGCTCGAAGCCCATCGCACTCGCTAGTTGTTGCAAGTTGGCTCTGAAATGCTGTGAGATCTCTGTTGGATCGTTGTCGACTGGCGGTGGCCGATGGAATGAGAAATGTCGATTAGCGGGATCGGTTCCTTTGCCTGTAAACGCGGCACCGACATCACGGAATTGGTGGAACACCGAGTATATTGGGAATAGATGGGGAGTGCGTCGATATCGATCTAGGTTCGCGTTGGTGGCCTTGGGCATGCTGCACTGGTGATATGGAGGAGGGCAGAGGAGTCGGAGTTGAGTATGTGCATATCGAGAATCTCTTCCTCTATTCTTCTTTTTATTCATGTCATGCCCAGTATTCGACGGGTTACAACCAAGGCTTCCATTTTAGACTCTGCCTTTCAGCTCGAGTCTTTACTTTCGGGACCTTTGCACTGCTTGTCGCGACTGCAACTCGGATAAGGCGAAATCCGATTAGGCTCAGCCACTTTCGTCACCAGATCGGTTGGCAGCACCGCCACAAAACTTAAATCAGAAGTGGCTAAATCACGTGTCTTGAATCTTCATATGGGGGAAGGATATTTCACTCGCTGCATTGTTGCTCGAGAAAGCGAGAAGGAGATCAAGGAATTGTGACCCGTTTTCTTTGAAACATTACGGCTTGTCTTCTATTCACTACCTCCTAGCCGTCCCCCAAACTCGGCGAGCCTCCCCATCGCAACCCGTAAGAACTGCGTAGCAGCCTCTCGAGAACAATTCTCAGGAATGTGTTATTGACAATCATCCCCCCGCTTATCCATCACACTCGACGAAGTCATTCCCGCTTGCTCCTGTATGCGTAATCACACCTGCCAACTGGCCATCCGTATTAAACACAACACGATCCGGACCCGGATCTCCTCCATCATATTCTTGGAAATCATTCATGATGGGAAACTCATAATACGGTCCCGACACAGGGAAATCAAATCCTTCATAGTTATTGTAGACGTGCGGGTAGTCGTTAGCCCCCTCGGTTTCACCGTCGAGGTACAGCTGGTATCCTTCGTCGACGGCGTCATCGATGGTGGATTGGTAATAACAGACAGTCCCGCAGGTCTCGGCGCAGCTTTGGCGTTGAAAGAGATTGGTCAGATCTCTATTCCCCCAGGGTGATGGGAGAGAGAGGGCGGGAGTGAGGATGAAGGAGATGGCGAAGAGAACCTTGGCATTGGTCAGTGGAGAATGCCAGTAGCGGACGGCCCAATAAATAGTGTACCTGTGGGAAATGCATTTTGCTTGCAGTGCTTGATTGTAGTGTGGGATGGACGACGAATATTCAATACTCTTCAACGGGCGGGCTGAGAATCAACGAAGCTTGGAGGTAGGGTTGGTTGTCTGCACCTCCCTCGGCGAGCGCCTGGACGGATCTGACGAACACAAAATAGACCTCCCACAGGAGATCCCATCTTATATAGACGTCCAACGGTGATTGTGACCTCGGAGGCCCACCGGTTCTGCAGGCGGCAGGTAAGTTGTAACGCAAGTTGGATGGGAGTCCACATGACCCTTGGATATGTGATAGAAACAGCAAAGGGAAACGAAACATGCATCTCCGCTTAACGTATGCGCATCAACATCGTCCGAACAGAGAACATGCAGATAGATCACCACGACCAACATCAAGGATGTGAGCGGCAGGTACCCGCCGACCGAATGCGGCTGTACGCTGAATGGCTGGGGGAGTTTGAAACAAGAAAGTCAAATGAACCTCAAAAATAAAGCTCCATGGGATCCGTTGAAACAAAGGCCTATCAAGGAGTCGAAGTTGTGCACGAACAGGAAAAAGGAAAGTCGACGAGGTCAAAGTGATCGACGGGCTCCACAGGTTCGAAGGAAGCTTCTATGCTGCCTCATTGGGTGGTTACCGATCCTTCAATGTACGCCAGGACTGCATCGTCATCGACGTCTTTCCAGAAATGTAACATAAGGCGGCGATGAGCCTTGTTTTACGGCCCCGCTCAACAACATCAGCAGCATGTACTGTGGTATCAAGGGCAATTTAGCCAAACCCTTACCAACGTGATCCCTAAAGCTTTAACTAAATACCACCTATACTTTCAGGCAGACTTAGGCCTCTGGTGCCCGGAACCACATACCGATAGTCATGTGCGTCCACGCCCCGGAAGAAAATTATCCTTGATGCCACAGTAAAGTTGAATATCTGTCATATTTTGGGTGGTTGTCCCGAGTGCGACTCGGCCCTATCCAATCTTCAAATTGTACCAATCGCAGCCGTGATCCAAAGCACACAAAAGCTCCCAGCATACCTCGTCCTCGGAAATCATGGATGCATGAATGTTCGTACATCCCACACGCAGAGTCGTTCATCCCAGCCACAACTGGCAGCCCAGCCTTCACTGCCGAACAAACACCAGTCGACACCGGTCACGAATTCTGTATGTCGCCCCATACGACCGAGTTCTCTAGCTCGTGCTCCTTGATCACCACCATCCGTCCAAACACGACACGTCATGTCATAACTGGCACTCAGCAACAAATCCGGGAGGTGAGGGCTCCACGCAACCTTTCTGACCGCGTATCCATGACCCTGTAACATCTGCAGCGGACCTTTCGGTTGTCTAATATCAAATGTCCGAATGATCCGGTCAACTCCCGCCGTGGCCACAACAGTGCCACGATATTTGTTCCAATCGTGGGTCAGTGCTTCTGCCGGTGGGAATGTCGGTTGGATTTTCCCCATGCCCGCTGACAAGGGGGCCGAATGAATGGGAATCTGCAACGTGAGATGATTACTCGCGCTTGCTGGTGTTCGCAAATCCCACACTCGTAGGTGGCTGTCCGAACACACTGCGCTCAGCACGCCATCGGTATGGGGGCTCCATTGAGTGCTGTATGTACATGAGTGCGTAGGCAATGTCAACAGACTCTGCTGCCGTTCCGGATTCCATATCTTGACGGTCCCATCCCACGACGAAGAAGAAAATGTGGCTTTGGAGGTGAGATTCCAACTGCAAGAGAAAGCCTCTCGTGAATGTTCTTGAAAGGTTGCGATGGGGAATTCTGGTGTTAACGAGGTATCATAGAGTCGTAGTGATCCGTCTCCGGAAGAAGTGAGGAGGTGAAAGGAATGAGCTTCTGAATGGGTCACGTCGTAGAGGGCATCTTGTGTGGGATAACTGGGATGGTCAGCAAGTGAAAGAAAGATGGTGAGATCGTCTTACCTTTTCAACAGTTGGATCCCCTGCGGCGTCAATTCGAGCAGATAGAGTCGGCCGTTTCCCACAAGGCCATAGTTGGCTGACGCCGCTACGGCTATACGATTGTCAAAGAAAGGAGAATATTTGACCGCGTAGCCTTGAAAACCCTGCGTCTGAAACTCTAGCATGGCGAGATGATGTAGCCGGTGGGATGTGTTTTGCAAACTCCAGTCCCTGATCCCGTACAGTCACGCATCATGCAGGAAATTTCACCGTTGAGGAGGATTAAATCGACGGCCTAGCCGTCGTTTCCATCTCTGCTTGCTCAATTTGACGACAAGTATTTGATCATCGAATGTCGTAGGCAAGTCGAGGATCAAAATCGTGCCGAGGTTTTTCCCTCCCCGCGTATTCGGACTTCAAGGGGGGCATCAACACTTTTTGTTTTCAGTCATACGAGAATTGCGTCTTTCGTAAACATTCAAAGTCAAACCCTGGTGAACAATCTGACCCTTCTATAATGGCACCAAGTAGAGGCCGGCACGTCCAATGTCTCATTTGGTCGCATCATGGAGTCGTTCATCTCATGCAAGAGACGTCGCGTGTCAGCAGACACGCTGGCGAATCCCACTACGCCGTATGACGAAGACCACGAAGAGGAAACAACGGATGTCAAATTAGCGATTCTCTCGTCGCTATATCCAGAGAGGCACCAGAACGACCTGCTTGAAGTCCTGTTGAGCTACGAAGGCTCTGTTAACCTGGCTATCGAGTCCTTGTCAGCCTCGATAAAAGATTCACCGTCAACGCCAACGCGTCGACTCACCGCGCCTGGTCTGCAAAGTGCTCTTCCTTTCACGTTGGAGAATAAAAGCCCGTCAAAATCCGGGTTGCCACCGTTGACAAGGAAAGGGAAGACACTACACTTGTACACGCCGCAGGATATCGCGACACACACGCCCTGCTCCATCGTTCATAACTTCCTCCCACCGGATCTAGCCAACGCATTACTGGACGAACTTCTAGCCGAAGTCCCCAGCTACGAGAGTGTCAGGTTCAAAATCTTCGACCGTGTGGTCAAATCTCCGCACACGGCGTGCTTCTACGTTGACAGCCTGGTGGAACTCCAGCGCCAGAGGAGCGAGTACTACTACAACGGGAATGACTTGGGGGATATCCGCCAGATCCTCCCTGTGATGCGTCAAGTCAGCGACCTGGTTCGCGACGCCGTGAACAAGGAAATCGCCATTCGCATCCGTGACTTCTACCCTGACAGCAAGAAGCTCAAGTACCAGTCACCCCAAGAATGGCAACCGAACGCTGCGTTCGTGAATTGCTACGACGGAGGCGCCCAGCACGTCGGCTACCATTCTGACCAGCTTTCTTATCTCGGTCCACGACCCATCATCGGTAGCCTGAGCCTGGGCGTGGCACGAGAGTTTCGTGTGCGAAAAATCGTGCCCAAAGACGACCCGGACGACAACAAAGAGAAGACCAAGTCCGATTCGTCCAATCATCCAGCTTCTGCCGCCGACATCTCCGGTCAAATCGCCATTCATCTACCTCATAACTCACTTCTGGTCATGCACGCGGAGATGCAAGAGGAATGGAAACATAGCATCGCGCCGGCAGTGACCATCACGCCGCATCCGGTGGCAGGCAACAAGCGCATCAACATCACCTATCGCTGGTACCGAGAAGAATTCCGACCGAAACACACTCCAAAATGTCGTTGCGGCGTACCCTGCGTGTTGAAGACCGTGCAGAGACAAAGAGCCAATCGCGGGAGGTATATGTGGATGTGTCAAGTTGGGAACAAACCAGATGGAGGCAAGGGATGCGGGTGGTTTGAGTGGGCGAGGTTCACGGACGATGGAGTGCCGGTTGGTTGGAAAGTTGGTGGCAATGAAGATGCCAACAGAAAGAAGCGAGAGGATGCTTGTGATTCTGAGTTGGCGCATGACTAATGGAGTATAAACGTGATCATGAGAAAAGATTTGGAAGTGTATGTATCATTATTGGCCATCGTGGTCCTTGCTATTGTCACTGCGGCCATTGCTCTAAGCTCGACGAGGTCGTGGCCCTTCTCGTCGGGGTTGTCGTAGTCCGCCGCCCGCTCAATCGGATTCGGCGGCGTACAGCCGTCCTCGTTGCTGCCGCCATCGCCATTGCCATTTACTTCATGGCGTCATGGTCGTCATTGCTGTTATATTCTGCCGCCGCCAAAAAAAGGATTGCTTGGTTTCTGGGTCAGCGGAGGCGACAGATCATCTGAATCGCCTATATCTGTCGTAAACCATCTGGGCAATAGCTATCAGATCAGGGCGGTGAAAATTCTGCTTCATAATGCTTGTGTCGCTTGAAGCATTCCATCGAAAGCCGCATGCCCCGGATCATTTCAACGGTGGCAACTTCTCACCTTCCTCCGGTTGAAGGAACTGAGAGCAGCATGGACGCTCCGACAGAGGCAAGTACAGGAAATGATCACCGGCGAGGCCCAACCAGAAAATGGTCCATTCCATAACCTGAACATGTTCCGGTTATTCGTTGACAATTGGGGTGAGACGGTCCATCACAATGCCATGGTACTGGCATAACTTGACCATTCGCCTTTGAGCTCTTCGAAGCGCTCGTCGTCTAGTTTGGAAAAGCAGATTTGTCGGTCCGCCCAGGCAAGAGAATTCTGGCGAGGATCTGTTGTTGCCATGTCGACGGAAACACTTCCAGCTCGACCACCCCTTGTGTTGCCGAAAAGGGTGGCTTCACTGATGCTGGCCTCGATACCATTATTCACCCGTGATTCCCATACGCCATCCCATTTCCATTCCCCAGGATGTTTGGGCGAAGCGGGACTCCCACCATTGCTTCCAGTTACCGGACTTTTTGATTGAATTGCCTGCCTCGCCAGACCCCGATGAGCGCGCCAGGCATGCCACGCACTTGGGTCGCCCGCAGTATCAAGCGGCAGGTTGTCCAACAATGCATCATTTTCAAACGCCTCTTGAACATGGTTCAGCACTTTCAAGATTATGTCTCTTCGGTCCAGGTTGTCATCATTCATCTGAGCATCTTCAGCCGCATTTCCGGGACCTGGGAATGAAACGGTCGGAGATATTTGCGGATCCTTGTCATTTTCTGTCCCACCAGTTGCATCGCTTTTGCTGTCCGAAGAGCGGACACGAAGAAACCACCGTGGGAACCCATAGCGTAGACTGAACGATCCCGGGGGGAGGCGATCCTCATCTGAAGCGCTGACAGTGCCGATTGCATCCACCACACTGGTGCTGAACGTGTAGGTGGTCAATGGTACCACCAATGGGTGAAAGATATCGGTGGAGAAGGTGATCACCGGAGGATGTTCAGGGTAATCGTCGGGGAAGGAGATTTGGAAGCGAAGAACGGCTCCAGCATATGGCCCTACAGTGTTCAAGTCAGTTCACGCTTGAGGTTTCGATCACGTCGTTGCGATGGTAGCACCTTTATGTACAAAGAGGACCGCAGCCCAGAGAGATGGGTCACCGGGGGTAAGCGAGAGATAGAGGCCCTCAGGGCAATTATCCTTGAGAGAAGAGCTGGGGATGGTTAGCCCGGGTCGTCAGAGCTTGGCACCTTCACTCACAAGTCCAGGACAAGCTGTTGTCGACGAAAAGAAGGAAGCAAAAGAGTGGACATTGTACATTGATGAGGAGGGAAGATACGCGGTTGGAGAAGGCGGAGTCTACGGTAATCCCGCCAACCTTGGGAAGTCCTATATCAGCCTCAGCAACAATTTAGAGAGTAGATATTCAGCGATTGGTCACAGTGAATGACTACGTGCTAGACGAGACGCAACGATTGGAGGGAAGAAAAAAATCAAGGCGTTTTCCTTCGACTCCGAGCCACGGCATCAATGCCGTCGTTTACACCTCCAATGATTCCCTCGAGGAACCATGACCCAGCATCAATACAAGCGCCTCCCACCCGCCCATTTTTAACCCGAATCAAGGCCTTCTGCCACAGCAAACTTCGCTCACCAAGAGTGGTAGTCAAATCAAGACCATTGGCGATCACTCGCTCAGTCACCTGGTGTTGGCGTTCAAATTGCAGGATGCGATTGAGAAATGTCATAATGAACGGCAAAACGAAGAGAAACCCCGCAAAGAGCCAGCATATAGCTTGAGCGACACCCTGCCTCAAAATGTTCGGAGACCGTCGAGCCTGGACGTCTGTGATCTCGGCCGACCGAAAGATGAGTTGAGGGGACATGCTGGCCCGTAAAGACTCGATCTCAAGAGGGGTTAGATCCGAGGGTAACGCCATATGCATATATCGTAAAGCGTCAATATGCATGCTTCGAAGAGCGGTGGGCTCTCCACCCTGCTCGGCTTGTGTTTTGGCAGTCACCCATAATCTCACGCCTGTTGCGGCAACATCCCAATCCACACCAGACCTTGTTTCAGGTTGTGGAAGCACTCCGAGGCTCAGTTCTTGAGATGATAGTCTTCCCTCTGAGCTGTCTGGTCTTATGGTTGGAGCACTAGTCCCACTAGAAGGAATGGTGAAGGCGTAGCCATGGGTCGTCTCCTTCTCTTTGGTAGACTCAATACACGATAGGGTATATGCTCTCCTTCGGACGACCGAAGCAATGACAATGGACCTCGCGGAATGGCGTAGGGAGGTCAATATTGGTATCCTCGAACGAACGACTGAGGGGATCATGGTATAGAAGGTTGACTTGGAGATCTCGTCGCAAGGCGCGGGGTTCGGAGCCGCCATAGCTCTCCTTGAGGAGTTGTGGTGAGTAACCCTCCTCTGCTGGATCGGCTAGTGTCTCGTCAGGTATGCAATCGAGGTCGACAAGGGCGCAGGCAAAGCCCACACGAGGGATACTCAAGTCAAATCATAAACAGAAGTCATATCAACACGCAGAGGGAGGAGCAGCATGTTATCAAAGCTCTCCATGGGGGTTTGTTTCACATGCACACACTCCGACCGCTCATGCACGACATACGAGGGAAGCGAAAGAACTGCCCTGTTCTTTTTCTCTTATTATTTATTAAATCTTCACATGCAAAATAAGTTTGTTGAGAGCTTGTTTGGCATGTTTTCGCCTAGTGGCCGGCTTGGGAGGCCTGTCCCCTGCGATTACCCGGAGCTTGCGTATGATAGGAGAGCCGGGTGCACATGGAGTTTGAATGTCATACATACAGCACGTGTTCCTCTTCTGCAGATGGCGGATTGATGTGGGTAAAGGTTTCTCGCCAGAGAAAGCAGTTTATGAACTGTTGGGGGAATTGCTCGGACCGGATTTACTTTCTACCGAATCCACTTTGACGGGGGGTGCCGCAAAGTCCTCAGCACTTCGCGAAGTCACTCCGAACTAGATATTTGGCATCGATCAGACCAGCCTCCCGGTGTATGAAGGAAAAGGCCGGCCGCTCTCGACGTAAGAGACACCCCTACCCATGACTCGACACATGATCACATATTTAGAAGAGAACCTGAATCATCTCATGCCATTGGCAGGGCGTGGGCTTTCCACATCGACAGTCCAGGTAGCACCCACCAAAAAAGTCTCCAGAGCGATGATTCGTGTTTCGGGGCATTATGATTTAATTAATTTCCTCCACTCGTCATCAAGGACGCCCTGGAACCCTCGTATATAAATGTAATGTAGCAAGCCACGCCCTGCGCCCTAACTTGACACCAGCCCAACCCATACCAGCGGACTCTGTTGAGGAGACACGCTCTTTTTGGCCATGTATATAATGAGAATCAGAATTATCAGCTATCCTCTGAGTTCAACCCCCAAAATTTTGGTTTCATTCTTATGAGGCCCTACTGTCTTTGGAGTCAATTTCTCATTCCATTGAATCCAGCCATATGACCCGTCAGCTGGTTCATGCCCTGTTCCGTCATGAAGTCATGGTTCTCTGGCAGTTTCCGCGGCGCAGGCATTCCCGTGGGTGCGACCATTCCCATCATCGGATTCGCACCGCCGTACGAGGCAAACAAAGTGTCACCGGGAATGCTCGATGAGAATGGCGCCGATGTCAAAGCTCCCATGTCTCCAGACATTGCTCCTTGACCATCCAAACCCACGTCAAAATTCATGTCGTCCATCATCCCGAGATCGAGATTGCTGAAGTCGATGCTGTCAAAGTCATAATCCATATTTGGCTCAAAAGTGGAGGCCATAGCAGAATTGGGCGCACTCCCGACGTCCGATGTCATGGCGGAGAAAGAGGTGGTATCAATGGAAACACTTCTTCGCTGCTGCGTAGATACTGGTTTGGACTTGTTGCCGCCCTTGATCACGTATGGCGCCATGATAGGCACTTCGGCCAAGGTCTGGGTCATCATGGCTTCAGTGAGAGTGCCAATGCCCTGCTGATACTTGAAGGTGTCGAGCCATTGCTGATTGTCAGCGCAGGTCCAGTTCCATGGATCATTGTCCTCATAAATGATCATACGAGCTTGATCCTGAATCTCTTGATCCGTGGGGATTTTGCCGGCGATTTTCTGCTGAGATACGAACTTGGTCAGTTCTTGCTCCAATCTACCCCAACAGTTGGAATCTTTGGTAATCTGATCAGGCTCTGTGCTCTCTGCAGAGGTGCCGTTGGTCAACCCGGCGTCGGTGTTGGCCGAAGGTGTGGCCTGAGCTCTGGCGACATAGGGCTCCATGGTCATCCGTTCGTGTCCGATGAGGTATGGGGGAATGGCATTTTCAACCAGTCTCTCGACGTACGGTTCAAAGCCCCAACCGTTGGCCCACATGCTCATGTCTGCCCCATTCCGAAAATGTGCAGCCAAGTGGTCGGCACGTTGTTGCCACGTGGTGAACTTGGACGGACAAAATCCGCAGGCCGATTTGATTTCGTTGGTGGTGCTCTTCCAGGTGTCCATGTGAGACTGCACTTTGGCATTGTGCATCAATTTGAGATGCTGGCTCAAATGGTCTTTCCGATAGAAGGTACGTTCTTGCATAGTCTTTTCTTGACAAGCAGCGAAATTGTGGGTCTCCAAATGGTCGGCAGTCACGTTTGCTTCCCGACAGAAAACGCAAACTTCTCTTCCCGTCAATGGATCAGTCATAGTGCCTCCAGTGGGGCAGCACGTCCATCGTTCCAGTGCCAAATGCAAGGACTTTTCGTGACGCTGCCAATCATATTTGGCCGGGAAGGAATCCGTGCAAAATGTACACTGGAATATCCTCGCATTTCGAGACTTGGCCTGTTGTGCAGCGGTGCGCTGTGTCATCGGTGCTCTCCGGCGCCTTCGTCGATCTTGGGACGAAGCGAATGACCCCTTGGATCGGTTTGACCTCGAAGAAGCAAAGGTAAGATCGGAATTGCTGGATTCTCTTGTTTCAAAACTGCTCACGGATGGAGCGCGGAACATGGAGAAAGAAGAGTCATCTTCGCTGGACGCCTTCCTGGAGCTGGGTCGGGAGTTATGAAGGCTGGACACGGATGGGTTGCGGACGGGCAGAGGCGTGCAGGTGACGGCTCTGGCAATGGCCGTCATCGACGCAGGTTCGTGTTCGGGGGGAGAGGCTTTCCATCGGTCCAAGGGGTTTAGATCTGCCATTTCCCGGTTCTCCCGTCTCGGGGGGATGTCGATGGCGCCGAGCATGGGAGACGACGGCCCTGAAGCAGGCCGGACTTTGCCTCGTCTACGTGCATTGGCCAGCCAATTGGAGATTTGGCTTCTCTTGAGGCCGGTGACTTGCTTGAGCTCGTCCTTTTCTCGTTCATTGGGGTATGGATGATCAGAATGCTCCGCAAGCCACTGCTTCAAGATTTTAACGGCGTCTCTGGGAAAGCGGGCGCCAGTTTTCCGGCCCCGGCCCTCTTCCATGGACTTCATAGCCCTTCTGCGTTCGGTCAAGGAACCCTCGCAGACCTGTTGGTCTTCTGTGATACCCGGAAACGTGCTGACGAAGCCCTTGGGGATCTTCGGGTGGACAAAGCTACATTCTCGGTAAAGGGAGATGCAACAAGTGCAGCCCGTAACCAATGCTCCTCTTGTCGCCAAAAAACAGTCCAACCCCATTCTTGCACAAAGATCACATGACTCTTTGGCACGAAACATGGGGTAGTCAGTAGAGATATCAGAAGTATGTGGAATGGCTTCGATTTCCACATTGTTGATGAGTTTGAGCATGATGGTTCCAGGGGGAGACGTTGTTGGTCGACTAGCCGGAAGAGCATTGGACTTATCGAAAAAAAGTGATTCATAGCATTCATTAGCCTCCTGCTCATTGGCTTCGCCTGCTAATGAAGAACAATCATCCAGGTCCAAGCCTGGGATGGTATTGGAAGCATCCTCAAAATCAAAATACTCCATGGTGTTACCAAGTCTTACCACGATCCCCAATGGCGGGATCAAATCATGCCTCACGGGATGGAAAAGGAGGAGAAGAATAGAAAAAGTCAGATCTCGTGTCTGAGATATTCAATTCAGCCTTCCCCGTCGGATAATGAATACGAATGTCCGAGGTCGGTGGGGGTGAAAAATGACTCCTCAGGCCGGCCTGCACGCCCTTCACACGACATTGACAAGGCCCTTTTGGGGTCTTTGCGTCTTTGGTGGGCACATCTGAGTACGCTATCTGGGGGGGGGGGGGTTTGGCCAACCCGCGTTGTGTCTTTGGTCGACGGCTGATTGTGGTACCTTCCAGAAGCCTACTCCATGTGAGCCTAATGCGGTTCCTCCTTCCATTCGCAGCATTAGCTTGGGTTGTGGGGTTTTACACTCGCAAAGGCCCCCATCACACTTTCTGTTAGCGTACTCAAGCATTGGCTGGGGCGTTCATATCCCGCCAATCGCTTCCCAATCTCAGAGGTGACAGTCGAAGCAAGCTGACAAAGCTGTGAAACTCTGAACCACGTAGTGATACGGTGATGCTTAATCGCGCATTTCGCATAATTGGGGAAAGTGTTCCCTGTTGTCCCGAGCATTTATTGGCATAGGTAAACGGTTGTCTGGGGTTGGGGTGCGCTCCGAGTTTCGGATCGAAAGGGGGCTCTGCAAACGCTGCCGAATGCGATGATGGTAATATGGGCATTCGCAAAGAGTGGGATGTGACTTCTAAACACACTTATGATTTCAGGCCTGTCAACATTGCACCACCATCTTTTGGATGAATATGTCATCTCGCAAAGATGGCCGCATGATTTCGGCAGGAACAGGACGGCTAAGAAAGGAACACCGAGCAGGGAAGATTTGTCGTTGCGATAAGTACAAGTCTGTTCAAATTGACATCCTCGCTATCATGACCAAGGGCCAGGTGTTTGGTTGAAGCCGAAAGGAATGATCTCTTTAGGTCTGCTCGGGAAATGGGCAACAACCCTGTCAAAGCCAAAAATTCTGAGGTGATTCACTTCTTGCCTCCATGAGTAGTGTCCTTTCAGCTTCCAAAAGTTCATATTAGGTGCCCTCTTCACCATACCAGCAACGGACATCCCACACCTGTCGAAACGAATCACCTCGAACCAGGTAACCTTTCTGACCAATGATTGAACGGATGGAGCGACGGCAGTTGGCAAAATTTCATGACAGCAATGCCCGCCTCGAGTGCATCACAAGCAGTAGAAACCCTACGACATTCGGCAATCCGGCAGCAGATGACGTGACGGGCAACGCGGACGCTGACTATCTTGTGAACAGGAGGCACAGCTTTGAAATATCGACTTTCCACCGTATGGTAGTTGACTGCGAGAATATCGGGAGTGTCGACGGCATCCATATGGGAGGGACGGCTTGGTCATATTCAGCTAATCAGCTGCAATATGATGCCTGTAGACTCTCCTCGGGGACAACAATCATAGCAGCGATAAAATCATGCTAGGGTAAGCAAGCAATGAGAAGTACCCAAGATATCTCAGGAATCAACATTATCACTCGATGTGTTGTCAGGATCGGACGCTTGGTTTTCCATTCTTCTCTCCCTTTTTATCTTTTCCGTGCTCCTTACCGTGGTTCTCCCCCCCCCCCCCCAAAAACTGATCACTGGATAGGGAGACATGTCGTGGATGTCGTCTTGACCAAAAAGGGAAGTCCATGCTAGTGTGGCACCGGCTCACACAATCAAACTTCCCTTTCATTAGAGTCTTGTTAGAGGCTTAGCCACAGAGAACCTAGCGAATATATGGGATGGGTGGCGTGATGTTGAAAGGGAATAAATATTACTTTCCTTTATAGGAGGCCCGTTTTTTTCCTGAAATTTCTTTCCAGGTGGGACTCAACAGTCCGAAACAGCGTTGGGTGCATTGGGCATCACACAGAAATGGTATGGCGGAAGCAGGATCACAAATCGAGGCTTAGACGTCATTTTTGAGATAGTGAAAGTTTGCTCCTACTCTCATGTCTTTTTCGGCTTGCGCAGCAGCATCAACGGGTTTCCCGCTTGCACGACGTCGTTGGGCTTTACCAGCATCTTCTCAACTGTGGCCCCTTCCATGATTGGTTCTGTTTTGACAGGAATTTCAAGCTTCATCGCCTCCAGGATGGATACCACTTGCTCGACCTTGACGGAGTCACCTTCCTTGACTTCGACTTTCCAGACATTGGCATTCAGGGGTGCCTCGACCGCGATGATATCTGGATCTAAGGCACGTTAGCTGTTTCATCCACTTGGCGGAAGAAGAGGAGAATATACCGTGGAGCAGCCCTTCAACCGTATCCAGGCTCACCTTTGCAGCCTCCTTCTCTTTATTCCATTTCTCAAGGAGTTCTTTCTCCAGCTTGTCCATCTCGGCTTGTGCCTCTCGCTGTTTGGCTCGGATCTCCTTCACTTCATCCTTGGTGTCTTTCAGCAGTTGATTATGCTCCTTCATGTCGAATTCGGTGTCCTCATACTCGTACTCATAGCGACCACTTCGGAACGTGGCCATCATGCCCTCGTACTCGCTCTCGGTGACTTCGTAGAAGGTAATTTGGTCAAAATCTTCAAACAGCCACGGTTTCTCCGAGTTGTACCCTTTCTTGAAACCAAGAATATCAGCCCCCGGAATGGAAAGTCCGGTATTCATGTAGCCACCTGGCGACTCGACGTTGTACAGTGCCATGCAAGATCCTCCCCAGCCCACTTGGCCTTCTGGGGTGTGAACACGAGACGGATTCATTTTGGGGCATTGGATGCGTTGACGAGGATCAATGGGCAAGGCGATCGGCAGTGCCACAAAGAAGCCCACCGCAACCACCATCAACGAGGATTTTGTAAAGACGTCCCGCAGCTGCGCGATGTGTCAGGAGGGGACGGTATCACAATCAGAGAGCACACCTACCTGTTGCATGGTAAATGCATTATTTTTCGCCACAAATTCCAGAGGGTCAGGTAAGTAAGACGCATACGGCCTTTGAGTCTCCATGTACCTCTGCAGACTTTCCTTCTGCCTCTTACTCTCAAATGTAATGGGCAGTTTGTATTTGCGACTGGGAAACCTGGCTTCACTCAAATCGCCAAGTTCAGTTTCAAGTTTCAGGAGATAGTCCAACATCTTCTGTCGATTGACTTTCATGGAATCATAGTAAAGCATCAATGAGTTCCCACATGCCATACCGGTGTGCAGTGCTCCACTGGAGAATGATATGTCTCCGGTCGACTCTCGGAGCTTCCGATACAATGCAACGGCACGGCACCGATAGTTTAGATCGAAGGAGCCGTGACCGTAGTCGATCAAGATAAAGTCGTCACCACCCTGGCGATAGGAGACCAGCGGCCGGTTGCCTTCTTCTTTGATTTGATGGATGACGGCTGGCTCCCAGCCTTTGTTCTCCACAGATGGAGGTAATCCTTGATATCTCAAAGAAAAAACGTCATCGAAAGAGGCTTTGCCATTGCAACAGTCGTGGATCCACCCTAGAAACTCTTCGACTGCTTTTCGCTTGGCGATGGCGTCCTGGTATGACACCCGTTTGAATCTGAGCTTATTGCCAGCCTTCATCTGCCCTAGTCGCCAGTAGTCTGCCTTGACAATGGTCGTCGCAGACACAAAGCCACCAAAATCAGGAGCATCGATCGGGAATAGGCATGGGTCGTCTCCTGTCCAGTTGACCGTGCCAACCGGATACCCATACTCGATGACATTTGAGGGATGCGCTCCTCCTTCACCTCCGTCGGTCCTTGCCCATTTTGGTTTTGGTCCAATGAGCCGAATACCTCCTCGAGCGGCGTTATGTGAAATGGTCCAAGTGCTGTTGTAGAACTCCTCTATGGATTCCGCGGCAATGAATCCTTCGTCATAGGGACCTGGCATAGCAAAAAGATCCCATTCTGCGGGATATTGAGGAATGAGATATTCTGGTAGTTTCAGTTCACCTTGGATTTCAGGGAGATCTTTCGTGATACCCAGCAGATCACCAGCGGCAAGCGCTCTTCCTTGATAGCCACCCACGGCTGTCATTGGAGCAGTTGATTTGGATCCAAACCACGTTGCAATGCTCGGGAGACCTCCGTAGATGGCCAAATATGATCTGCATCCACCTCCTGTCGTCTTTCCAATAGTCAGGCGTTGATTGGCCTCAATCTTCATTCGTGTCCACATTGATACAGGTGCGCCATCGAGCTTGACGTCCATCGGAGCTCCACAAATAGCAACGATCGCAGGGCCCAGGAATCTTAGGTCAGGTCCGCTCAAAGTGATCTCAATTCCTTCTTTTCCGGGTGGATTCCCAACGAGGGCATTGGCGATACGAAATGCCAGAGGGTCCATGGGACCGGAATGTGAGAAACCTCTTCCAATCGTAGGTCGACCAGGCCAATCTTCGATCAATGTGTAAGCGCCACCTTGCAGCACATCTATTGCAGCCGGTTGGTACTGGAAAGAGTCCAAGAACCTGGTCAGTGTCTTTCCAGATTTGAATGTGTGGTCTTGCAAAATGGCGGCCAGAAAGTCCATATTGGTTGGAGGTCCAAAGATCTTCGAATTCTCCAGCATCTCGGATATTCCTCTGATGGCTTCATCCCTATTCGAAGCATGCACCATGACCTTCGCCAGTAATGGATCATAGAATGATGTGACCTTAGTGCCGGTATGGACCCAACCATCGATCCTTGAGCCTGGAACTTCTTTCCATGACACGTGCTGCAACGTTCCTGGTGATGGTGCATAACCTTTCGCTGGATTCTCGGCGTACACTCTCACCTCCACTGCTGCCCCTGTTGGACCTTTGAGTCGGATACTATGCAAATGGTCACCCGGTAGGCCGCCTTTTCCGCACAACTCGGCATCAGCTTGCTTCAGCATCAACTCCACCAGATCAACACCGTAACACATTTCCGTAATGCCATGTTCTACCTGCAGCCGTGTGTTCATTTCCAGAAAGAAGTAGTCTCCAGATTCATCATCCACAAGATACTCGACAGTCCCAGCGGAGCCATACTTGGTTGACTCGGCGAGTCGGACAGCCGCCGACCCTAGTATTTCGCGCAGCTCAGGATGTTTCATCACGAAGGGACTAGGACATTCTTCGATCACTTTCTGATGTCGACGTTGAATTGAGCACTCACGCTCGCCGAAATGGACTGCTTGACCAAGACCGTTGCCAAAGACTTGGACTTCGATGTGGTGTGAAGATGGATAGTACTTCTCGATGAATAGGCCAGAGTTCTTGAACAATGTCTCGCCTCGAGATTGGACCGTTTTGAATGACTGGCGAACGTCGTTTTCGCCATAACACGTCAACAGGCCCATCCCACCACCTCCTGCAGTAGCCTTGAGCATGACCGGGAAGCCCAGCTTCTTTGCTTCATCGACCGCTTCCTCTTCCGAACCGACAAGGCCTTTGGTTCCGGGGACGATTGGGACATCTACTTTCGCCGCGAGGTCACGGGCAGTATGTTTGATTCCAAAATCTTCGATGCACTTTGGGCTTGGTCCAACAAAGGCCATTCCGGCTTCTGCGACCTGGCGGGCAAAGTGGGTATTCTCAGACAAGAATCCATAACCTGGGATCACTGCATCAGCGCCTTTTGCCTTGGCAAGTTCAACGATGTGCTTTTCATCGATATATCCCTTTGCATCAGGGCCGGAAAGGAGGACGGCTTCATCTGCCGCACCAACATGAGCCGAGGCGGCATCCGTGCTCGTGTATATGGAGATTGTCTTGATACCGAGCCTTCGGGCGGTTTTGCAGATACGTACTGCAATCTCACCTCGATTTGCGACGAGCAATGTCTTCAGCTTCTCCATCGCGCGAGCGTGAGGATGGAGGAGGATAGGATGTAGGACAATTTGTCGAAGGAATTTGGAGCAGATCCGAGAAACGCTGGCATTATCAGCTTCCTTGCAAATTGCTTGGATATCTTGAGCAGAACATTTGCCTTGATTGGACCTGATGGACAAGGTTCCCCAAGGAATATGAGGGGAGTGGAGTTTATCTTTTGCGAGAACACCTCCACCTCGTTGATCTCCGTCATCATGGTGACGTACTGCTTGTCGAGTGGTCTGATATACCGGTGTTCCCTTGGACCGGAGAAGCAGATATTGAGGGAGCAAGAGGAAGCGTGGTGTGTTTATCCCCCAAGTGTTTCTCCGGATCTTATAAACATGGCTCCTCCACCAATCAAACACAAAGCGCTACTGAATGTCGATTTAGGGGAGGCGGTAAGCGATTTGAGCTGAGTCCTTGACCATATCTGACAGAAAATTAGTATGGAAACTATGTGTGCGGCCCGGATCTGGAGCTTCTGCCCTTGATCGACCATGCCAACGTTGCATGTGGTTTCCACGCTGGCGACCCATTGATCATGCAGGAGACCGTGCGAAACTGTCGGGAACATAACATCAAAGTGGGCGCTCATCCGGGACTTCCGGATATTCAAGGCTAGTGTTGCAGATGATGGAAAGGAGTCTCGATTGACAGCATCCAGGCTTTGGTCGACGTGAGATCAAAATGTCGCCAGATGAACTGACCGCTATCACTGTCTATCAAGTCGGAGCATTGAAGGGGTTTCTTGATCGAGAAGGCGTTCCGCTGCATCATGTCAAGCCGCATGGTGTTCTGTACGGTATGATGTGCAGGGACTATGACATTGCAAAAGCTGTCATGGAAGGGATACCTAAAGGCATTCCTGTCTTTGGACTGGCCGGAACCAACATGGAAAAAGCCGCGAATGATCTGGGGATACCCTTTTGGGCCGAAATGTACGGCGATGTGAAATATAGCAGCGATGGGATGCTGGTTATTGACAGAAAAAAGAAGCCCTGGGACTTAGAGGATGTGAGGAAGCATGTCAGCCAGCAGCTGAACTCGCAGTCTGTGACGGCGACGGACGGGAGTGTGGTACAATTGCCTGTCAAGGAGTACCCAATATCCATTTGCTGCCATTCAGACTCACCTGGGTGTCTTGGGATTATTAAGACCACAAAGGAGGTCATTGATGAGTTCAACAGGAAACATGGAAGATAGCCTTGGAGAATGTTTGGTTATCATGAAGAGGTGTGCTCTTCGTAATTTGATATTCGAGGTGGTGCCTGCGATAAATCGTGTCATTCCGAAATACGAAATCTTCCACTCACATAGTACACCATGAAATGTTTCGAGGCATTTCAGAGAACTTTTTCTGCTTTCTGCGTGATGGTGATCACTTCAGGTAAGTCGTGAATTCATATTTATCCCCCAAAGTTTCTCTGCTGCGTTTCTCCAGTATCAGGCCTAAGGGATATGCATGATCAAGGCACGCCGCAGCCTTGTGAGCACAAAATTGACCGATTTCTGTAAGAAGACAAAGAAAGAGAAGGGAAGAGAATGTGGGTTCGACGCAAAGCTGCAAGACCAAACACAAAGTCAACTCCGCAACGCAACCAATGGTCAGCCAATGAGCTTTAGACGAACGACATGCCAAAAGCAACAGCAAAAACAACAGAACGGGATGGACATTTCTAAAGAAAAGATGACTTTCTGATTATTCTTGCGATGATTGCGCCCGAAGAATCGACTAGCCCAAATCTTCCCTGAAGTTTCGGTGCTGGTAGCTACCCATGGCCGACGTTTTGCCGAGAAATTGAGAGTCATAAATTTGAATTTTGCATTTTATCGAACAAATAGTACTCCATCCGAGCTGGTGTAGAGGTAACATCTGTCGCTCTCATTTCTGATCCAGAATTGCAATGAAAGCCGCCGACATGCCCGGGGTTCGATTCCCCGGCTCGGAGAAAACTTTTTTTGGTCTAATTTTTTTGGTCCATTTCTTCATGAATTTGCAGCTTGACAAACTTTTTGATCCAAAACAAGGGAATTTTGGAGGTAGCAGTTCTGTGTGCGACAATCATGTGCCAACGAGTTTCGCCAAGTCTCAGGCGTTCAGGAAATATTTTTAGATTTGGATCCCTGCGGAACCTCTCCAAAGATCAAATGCGGCGCACCCTACCAGCGGATTGATAAAATGATTATTGCAGCAAATCGACATCATTCAAGCATTCCAACGATACCATTTTCATCCTTCTTCCCCCGACTCCCATGCCATTCATGTGATTATTATACCTACACTCTTCCAGCCTTGTTGTCTTTCCCTGCCCAGTGCAAGTTTTGCAAGCGGGAATGTAGGTTGAAATGCATGGATGGGCTTCAAGAAACCATATTCTGGGTATTCCTCGAAATTCAAACATGACAGATTGCCATGACAATTTCATTTCATTTCACTTACCTCAACGGAATGACAGTATCTCCTTACTAGCTAGAAGTTATTAGGTGAATGCTTGGATCAGCACTATTTGGGGATTGGGATGTTTTTACTTGCACGGAGATTGATTGTCGCAAATCTACACAGACGGCTGGGCCGCTATCCTTGTGGAGACCCTCTCAGGACAGATCTGCTTCTGCTCATTACACTCGACCATAATTTTACTATTGACGGTCCACAATTTGTGCTCCACTTCATTTCACGAGAGGTGATATAGAATTTAATTGTACTCTCATTGGGGACTAAACGCTCGCTAGTAACTCACGCGCATGTATAGAAACAGCTATTGCAGATGTCCTCAGAGAGTATATTCTTGTCTGTTGATCATGAAAGTTTCCTTCATAACATTGAACCATCATGGAATAGTCTCTACACCTCATCAACGCCAACAATCTTGCTGCTGACAGTCCACAATTTCTTCGCGTCCTCCTCATCATACACCCATGGGGCGGCGCCAGGTGCACCGAGCTCGGAGGCCAACTCAGGCTTGACCGGTGGAGAGACAGCACAATCATCGAGGTACTTTCCGCCCTGGCCTTCGAGCTCCTTATCCACGGCGGCCAAGACGGAGGTGGCGGCGCCCTGATCGGGAGACTTCATGGCGCGTTGGATCTCTGGAATCTCCTTCATCGCAGAGAAGTCGACGTGTACTTGAAGCCCGGTGTCGATGCCACCGGGATGTAGAGACCAGGCGTGCAGGCCGCGGGCACCATAGCGACGTTCGATCTCGTTGGCCATGTAAATATTGGCCGTCTTAGATTGGCCATAGCTGACGAATGGGGCGTAGGCGCCCGGCTTTTGGAGGTTGAGGTCGTCGAAGACAATGCGCGATTGCCGATGGCCTATGCTCGAGACGCTGACGACGCGGGAGGCAAATTCCGGGGTCGAAGACGCCAGCAGGGTTGGCTTCAACAGCTGGAACAGCAAAAAGTGGCCAAGGTGGTTGGTTTGGAACTGCAGTTCGTACCCATCCTCGGTCAGTCTGCATTCTGGCACGGCCATGATGCCAGCATTGTTGATGAGGACATTCAACTTTGATTCTTTGGCCAGGAATTCCTTTGCGCACTCGCGAACGCTGGCGAACGATGCCGTATCAAGTTCGAGAAGCTCGACCTTGCCCGGTTCCAGGACCCCGGCAAGAGCCTGACGGCCTTTCTCCAGGTTGCGAGCGGTGGCATAAATCTTTGCGCCGGTGGCTTTGAGAGCGCGCACAGTTTCAATACCGATGCCGGAGGATGTGCCGGTCACGAGCATGATCTTGTCGCCGAGAGCATTCTCCAAGTCGTTGTCCTTGATGATGTCTAAAGCAGTCGGACGGGCATCACCAGGTCCGGCGAGGAGAGTGGGAAGGTGGGCTTGAGCGTAACGGGTAGTCATTTTGGTATTGATCCGATAATGATACTGAGATTCCAAAAATTGAAGTGCTTGGAGGGGTGTCTTCTTATTTATAGTAGAAGACCTACTTACCTTTCGAACCCTTGATCCCAAACATTGAGCCTCCGATGCTGCGAGACGTGGCAAGCTATTGCTGGGCGGACGGCATTTCGTGCCATCAGGAGCCTGAAGGCTGGATCTGCACGCTGCTTACAGTGTGGCCTCGAGGATCTATCTGCGCCCGCAAAGTCCATCTGTGTCTGGGCAAAATTTTCTCTCTGCTCACGGATGGAATCGGTCAAACCCCCGGGCGGGCGCCTTGACGAGTCCTTGGCTGACGCAACGCGAGATCATTGGTTCGCGACTTGGTTGATTATGTGAATACAACGCAGTATCGCGGATTTAAGAAAAGACATTGACAACGATTGAAGGTCACAACCACCGGGCTTATCGGGACGATGGACAATGGATTCGATCGGGACCAATTCAGGAATACTGTATATGCGGTTTTTGGCCGAATTAGAGAGGGTGTCCATTTAAGAGGGGGTTCTAAACGGCTCTGGACAGCAGATCACCAATTGGCTCTTTGCTTATGCTGCCAGAATTCCCCATTGGCGCCCTTAATATCTCCAAGCGCAAGCAACACCGGAGTCTGCGCCCCTTCATCTGGCGTCATCGTTCCTCCACCTCGAGTCATGTCTGTCTTGACGTAGCCTGGACAGCAACTGTTAATCAACGTCTTGCTCCCCGATTGAGCATTCTGTTGTGCAATGGTCTTCGTCATCCCAATGACACCTGCCTTGGAAACGGCATACGCAGCACTCGGCCAGTCCTTCTCATGAGTCCCTCTGGATACGGCCATGGTGAATTCCTCCATGAGTTGACTGATGTCTTCTGGTCGTTTCGCATTCCGAAATCGGGATCTAATCGCGCTGGAATATTTGGAGCTGAGCTGACCCGTCTGGCTAGCCACATTGACTAGACGTCCCCCGCCTCTAATATGCGGAAGAAGCTGCCGTGTCGCCTCGAGTGTTCCGTAATAATTACAGTGAAGAGTCTTCTTAACCACATTGTTGTCAAAGCCTTGCATCGCAATCGCAGCGTTGTTGATCAAGAAATCTATCCCTTCTGGGTGTTCTTTCCTCAGATAGGTCGCAAACTCATCAATGCTCTGCTTGCTGTCTATATCCAAGGGCAGATATTTGACATCCGAGAGTCCTCCTTGACCGCGTAATGCTTTTGCACGTTTCAATTGCGGATCCCCTTTGATTTCTTCGAGCGCGGCTTTGCCTCGTTCTTCGTTTCGCGCCGTCAGGTAGATAAGTAGAGGACCGGTATTGTAGGGGGATTTCGGGTACTGCAGCGCAAGCTGGCGAACGATGGCCAGGCCAATGCCCTTGTTGGCCCCTGTGACGGCGCCCACACGCGCGTACGTTGTCATTCTGTTTCCGGGGTTGGGGAATGAATAAGTTGATGGGAAGAGTGGGGGATTTCTAGACGAGGTGCCAGATTAGAAATACGTTTTGATAGCTTACTTTCTGTGCATGGAGAAGTGTACATGTTATCGAGCCGCCTGCGCTCTGATGACCCTCAAGCCACTCAGCCAATTGAGTGCAAGGATCCGCGTCCTCTGTTGGCACCTTGGAAGTTGCTATTTCTCAAAGTTCGGGACATGAAGAGACCAACGTTCATTACGCCTTTGCCATGGCCGAAGGAATAAGAAAGAGGACACAAACAAAGCCGAATGAATCTTGGGGGTTGATTTGGATCACATTGGTGCTTATTGGTGGACGATTCTCGCAAGCCGGCGCACTTTCGGGCCCCATTTTCCAAGGGTCGGGTTTCCAGGACCGAGGCTAACCGACTCAATCGACCGTGACGTCTTGCACATAACTTGGGCCAGCAGCCCTGAAGTGATTCGAGTCAAAAGGCCCGTCAAAGTCCTCCATACTCTCGTCCAGGTATACAGAACTCGTAATGACCTCCAAACACATCACCAAACCTCTACCGAGGCTCGCGACACTGACACAACGGTACCGCTCTCTCTCCAGACCTTCTGTGTCACCAGTGCAAACATTCCTCTCACAACGAAGAGCCGTGACTCGAGCCACGAGACCCCTCTTTGTTGCCGGTCAGAGACGTTCTATATCTGCGAGCCTACAGCGTCGGTATGCCGATGTCGACGAAAGCTTCGATCCTGCCACAGTCGATCGAGAATCCGACCAAGTCGACGTGTGTATCGTGGGTGCCGGCCCAGCGGGATTGAGCGCTGCCATACGGTTAAAACAGCTGGGCAATGAAGCCGGGAATGAAGAGTTTAGGGTGGTGGTTCTGGAAAAGGCCGGCGAGGTTGGAGCACATATTCTGTCTGGAAACGTGCTTGAACCTCGGGCTATCGATGAATTGATCCCGGATTGGCTGGCAGAGGACAATGAGAACCGATTCGCGGGTGCAACACCTGCAGGAGGTGATAAGATGCGTTTCTTGACCCAGTCGAGCGCCATACCCATTCCTGCTCCTCCTCAGATGCACAACAAGGGCAACTACATCATAAGTCTGAGTCAATTCACCAAGTGGCTCGGCGAAAGAGCGGAGGAATTGGGCGTGGAGATCTATGCTGGCTTTGCGGGGGCAGAGATCTTATACAACCACGAAGGAGCTGTGAAGGGCGTCGCCACCAATGACCAGGGAGTGGGAAGAGATGGCAAGGCCAGGTCGAATTTTGAACGAGGCATGGAGTTTCATGCGCGATTGACGTTACTGGCTGAAGGGTGCCATGGCAGCTTGACCAAGAGAGTCGCGAAAAAGTTCGATCTAAGGAGAGATTGTCAACCCCAAACCTACGGCCTGGGTCTGAAGGAAGTCTGGGAAATCCCGCCCGGAAAATTCAGGAAAGGTGAAATATCACACACCATGGGCTATCCTTTATCCAAAGATACCTATGGTGGTGGCTGGATGTACCACTTCGGTGACAACCTGGTGAGCTTGGGCCTTGTTGTCGGGCTCGATTACTCCAACCCCTGGATCTCTCCCTACGGCGAATTCCAGCGCATGAAGCTGCATCCATTCTACAAATCCGTGCTGGAAGGCGGCAAGTGCATTGCCTACGGAGCCCGTGCCTTGAACGAAGGGGGTTTCCAGTCTATACCCAAATGCTCGTTTCCGGGCGGCGCCCTGATCGGCGACACGGCAGGATTCCTCAACGTGCCTAAGATCAAAGGAACACACACGTCCATGAAGTCTGGCATGCTTGCTGCGGAAGCTGCGTACGCGGCACTCAACAGCAACAATGAGTCAAGCACGATTTTCTTGTACAAATACGAGGATTCGCTGCGTGAAAGCTGGATATGGCCCGAACTCAAAGCAGTGCGGAACATGCGACCGTCATTCCACAACCCACTCGGCATCTACGGTGGCATCATGTACTCGGGCCTTGAGGCATTCATCTTCCGCGGCAAGATGCCTTGGACACTCAAGCACAAACAGCCAGATTACGCAGCGACGAAATCGGCAGACCAGTGCCCTAAGATCGAATACCCCAAGCCTGATGGTGAGATTACCTTTGATATCTTGACGAGCGTCTCACGAACAGGGACGAATCATGAGGAAGACCAGCCTGTGCATTTGCAGGTCAAGGATTGGGATGCACATGCACAGAAGGAATGGCCGAAGTTCAAGGGCGTGGAAAATCGGTTTTGCCCTGCTGGGGTGTATGAGTATGTGGAGGATGAGACAAAGGAGATTGGTGTGCGGTTTCAGATTAATTCTCAGAAGTAAGCCGTCCCCTTTTTCTAGCTGGGATGAACTTCGGTGCTGACTACATGTTCACAGTTGCATTCACTGTAAGACATGCGATATCAAGGTCCCAGATCAGGACATCAATTGGCAGACTCCCCAAGGTGGTGAGGGACCGGGTTATAGCATCACGTGACAGCACATTCAAAGAGCTTGAGATGGCGGACCTTCATATATATAGCCAAAAGCATCGCTGTGAATACGTTTGGATGCGTGGTAGTTCGGGTTGAAGCACGAATGTTCTCAGTGTTGACAAGTACTAGCAAGCTCCTGCATCGGTGTTGACATCTCATCATGTGGATGCAATGCCCGTTCCGAAGTTGATGGGTGGAATCACCGTTGAACCAGTTTCAATGATATCCACCCGAACCGACTGGGGTGATAGTTCTCCCAGCCATCTGTGTCTTCCTCGCTAAGGCTTGATTGGTCCTCTATTCGAGGCTGAATGAAATGGTTTTTGTGGGAAGAAAGGGAACGTCTGTCTTTAACCTCAACGGGTCGCCCAGTTCAAGTCCGTAACCTGCTAAAATTCTTGAGCGGCAAGCTTTCCACCTTTGCGCGTTGCGTCATCAGGCGAAAGCTTCAACAGTGCTGAATAAAATGGAGTGTATGCAAATCTATCTTGTGAAGGGAGGCTGATCCCTGGGTTCTGGGTCACAGAGGTGGAAAGTGGTTGCACCCTGGGGATTCATCGGATTATATTCCACGTGGTTTAGGTCAACTGGGGCAGCAGCTGGGACAGGAGAATCCCCATCCGTTGGAGAGAAGCGAGACAAGATCGGGGACTCATTCGACGGAGCGCGCCTAATGATAGGGGGACTGGGGCTGAGCCACTCGTCCCCTTCTCTCGGGGTTTACATAATCGCGATGATTGAACATCGAGACACGTCCGTACCACCTACCTGTCTGTCACTGCTGCGATTGCTGTATGTCTCGCTCAGAAATGGTATCCTCCACGTCGTTGTAACCTTATCTTGAATAAAGTAGGTGACAGGCTAGGATGAGGCTGAATGACTGAAACTGGTATCTTTGGCGAGCGTGATGGGTGGTCAAAATATACCCACAGCCTCAATATCGGACAAGCGTGATTGGTATCAGGGTCACCGGTTTTGGGAGGCTGTGGACGCCCTGTCCAGATGTTCATTGGCCTGATCGAATAGCAGAAGTTGCAGGTGGCCCCGGACAAGTGCATGCCAAGTCTAGGCCTTGCGCGGCATGTGAAACCACATCCTGGCACATCCTGATCGACTTGCTGGTCGCCCGTTCGGTGAGACGGTGAGTCATGGCATCTTGCCACCAGAACAAAAAGTTTACCAACCAGACGCCAGCGCCCACTGAGACAGAGTATTCAGTCAAATGGCTGTCAACACCCAACTTTTTGTGGATTGCTCAATACGGTCCAGCAGTTGAGCCAATTCACAGTTCCCGATAGAAAAATTTCAAGCACGTGAGCTTAGGCCATGTTACACTGCTACCCCTAGTGGCAAAGAATCGGTTTGGAATTCATCCTCCGGCTCAACACAGTGCCCATTGTTTGTCCAACGTTCTCCTTCTCTTCATCGCTGACAGAGTCCAAGGCAGAATGACTTTCTCGTAAAAGGGGGTGGTCATGATGTATGTTTTAGGGGGAGGGCGCAGGCAGCAAAAATCCCGTGGGAGATGCACAAAGGTTGCATGAAAGAAAGCAAAAGGGGCAGATAAGGTGCAGGGCGGATAAGGCATGAGGTGACGCGCGGCTAGTCCCTTTTTAGTCTGGGGCGACATTAGTGGCAATTAGCGTGATTTTCCGATGGCGGGGTTTTCAGCGCACACCGCGAGTATAAAAACCGCCTTGCCCTCCTTCCCGCGCGAACATATCCGACCCTTTTTTGTTCTTGACATTTCTTGGCTTGGCATCTCGCCGCAATCCGCACCCTCGCCATCCACCTCCCCAAATCGTCAGGCATCAAAGCGCACTCCCCACGCCGCCTGCGAGTCCTCTCCATATTTCATCGTCTGGGCTACGATTCGGTTCCCCCTCTGATCGTGCCTTTCATAACCTTGGGCGCTTCGCGACTCCCCCCAAAAATCTTCAAAAGACAAGATACCGTTGCGCGCGCCGTTACATTCTCTTCAGAACAGGGCACAGGACATAAGGACAAAGAAATTCCACAATTAGACAGTCTGCTCTTTCCGCAATAGTAATTCACAAATCTTGCTTCTACTCCTCTTTCCCACCTCATCGTCGTTATTCCAGGCGCCGGTCAATTACACGAACCTGGTACTCATCTCACTTGCCGGATCAAGACCAGACTCAGCCGACGGTCACATTGAAGTAGGGCAGTTTGTTTGTAGGGGAGACATTGAGTTGTTCATCTCCCACATCTCGGTACGGTCACACGCGCTCACCTCTCCACCTTCCTGTCGCATCGAGTCATTCCGTCGTCGTCGGAGTCGAGTCGACAAAGCGCTTGCTTACGGCGCAGTGGGGTATCTGCATCAAAGTCGAGCCTCGCACCGACCGACCGACCGACCGACCGACCGACCAACTTGTCACTTTTCTGTCGCCACTTTTCAGCTCCATCACAACATCATCCTAACTTGACCTTCCCAGACTGCATCCGCAATCCTCACTGTCGACAAGGATACCAATTGCAACTGCTTCATTGCGACACATTACTGTCCTCACACTCTGCAATCATGGAGTCCCTTACCACTCACCCCTCCACCGCACAGCAGGCCAAAGCCTTCACCTCTCCCGCGTCTCTGTCGTTTCCCGGTGGAGCTGGGGACTTGACACCGCCCTCCTCTGAGAAAGATGGACAGAACCTCAATGGTGGCTCATACGCAGATGGGAAGATGAATGGTCAACAGCAGGGAGGAAGTGCCTTACAGGCTCCGCAAACTCCTAGTGCGACTCCTGGCGCTGGAGTGAGTGGTATTGTGCCCACACTGCAGTGAGTATTGATCCTTTGTTGCCCGCTCTTGGTCAGCAGAGGTTAACAATTTCTGTCTTTTCAAAGAAACATCGTCGCTACGGTCAACCTTGACTGTCGTCTCGATCTCAAGACCATTGCGCTTCATGCTCGTAACGCCGAGTACAATCCGAAGGTAGGTTGCGCCTCATCCCCCACCCCCAAACAATCATCTCTACCTACTAACATCTCCAGCGTTTCGCCGCCGTCATCATGCGTATTCGTGACCCCAAGACTACCGCCTTGATCTTCGCATCGGGCAAGATGGTGGTTACGGGGGCCAAGTCGGAAGATGATTCGAAGCTTGCCAGCCGCAAGTATGCTCGTATCATCCAGAAACTTGGCTTCAACGCCAAATTCACCGACTTCAAGATCCAGAACATTGTCGGTTCTTGCGACATCAAGTTCCCCATCCGACTGGAAGGCCTTGCTTCAAAACATCACCCTTTCAGCTCGTATGAACCTGAGTTGTTCCCCGGTCTCATCTACCGCATGATCAAACCAAAGATTGTCTTGTTGATCTTTGTCAGCGGAAAGATTGTACTCACTGGAGCCAAGGTTCGAGAGGAGATTTACCAGGCGTTCGAGCAGATCTACCCGACACTATCCGGTAAGCATCATTCAACTAGCATACTAGTTACAATTTCTAACGCCGGCTCAGATTTCCGCAAAGTCTAAATCTAGCAGTATCGGCGGTCTTTCCACTCCATTGCCTTGTATCAACAGAATTAAGGGAAAAAAAAAAAAAAAAATCCTTAGTCTTCCGGCAATGGCCACCTTGTCGGAGATGGGTCGGAGCGGCCTAGATATTACCTATCACGAACTAGGCACTCCCTTACATTACAGTCATTTCGGCTTTTATGTTTTTGTTTCTGGAGAGGCCCTGTGTTACGACTTATCCATGAGCATTGCAAGGGCGTTTTGAGCGAAATCCTTCTAGTCTTTTTTTCCCAGTCCTACCATCAAAAGGGGAGGTGCAGGGGCTTTACACCAACTAGACATGGGTCTTCATCGACACAAAGGACATTGGCGGTATTCGGCGCTGGTCGATTTCGGAACCGTCTGGGGCTTCTCTACTATTTCCCTTTTTCGATTCCAATTGCATCGTGGTCGGGTCCAAAGGCCATTGACAATATTTTCCGGCAATACATCAGGTTTCGTACGGGTATGTGAGATGTTGAATTGAGAGCTCAGGTCCGTGACTTTTTTTAATCGGACGTGGAAACATGGACGAAGGATATCATCCCGTCACATTGTAGAGCGAAAAAGCGAGGTGATGGTGTTTTTGACGGTTAGTGGAGGTTGCTACTCATCGTTGTCCGTGCTGCACAGGGGTTTCGATATCGGGACTTCGAATGTCGGGTCCGCCTGATGAAATGAGTGTAGCGGCAGCATTGCATGATAGCTCAATATGATATTTCATCCTCCGAAAATTGTTTTTGTCTTCTGACCAGGGCGGCATCTTGGATTGATGCTGTCCTGTAGCAGAGTACTTTTCGTCCCTCGCATGAGGGATCATCATTTATCGACGTGCATCCTCCTTGACTCGGGACCGAATCTTGGCAGGATGGGAGCTCTCTTTCCGGTAGGAATCGGAGAGGTCGGTGTGCAGTAGTCATGTTTTTAGGGGAGCCGAATTTTTTGTCAGTCTCGAAATGAGAGCCACGTTGGTGGTCTCCGTCCTAGACGAACAAAGGTCAGTCGATTGTGCGTGAACGAGTGATGGGTTGAACGAAACACAAGAGCAGGAGAGATTGAAAGACAGTCATACATAGCCCTCTCTAGGAGAAAAGAAATGATTCTTCATGCCAGGCACAAGCGGAGCCATCTGTCCTAGCTTGTGGATGGTGATGTATAGTCATCAGTGACGAAGAATCATTGTCCCTATTCCTCTCGAATGCGCTCGTCTTTACGGCTCGAGATTGTTGATTCACGAAGCATTAGCGATCGCAGTCACTCCTGTGCAGTCGAACAAGGAGAGTGAAAGGCAATCCAGCGGAAGACACAGATAAATTAACGTCAGAATACCTTGATTATCTGTGACAGCAGACAGATAGGGGATGAGACTGGCCGAGAACAGGATGAAGCAAGTCAAATCTTGTTTACCTACACTGCGCGTCTCGAGTCTGCGGTCCTGTGACATGTTACCTTTAATGCTTCTTGGACGCTGACAAGGGACCAGGCTGCGGCTACTGCTTGCTGCTATATCTGCAGTGCCCATCACCGCTTGAACGTTCGCAGCCAGATGTCTGATATCAACTGGGTTGACCCCTGGCCATCTCCTCGTCCAGCAACATGCCTTTCTTACCTGCTCTACTTCCGTCGTCACAGCCCACGAATCCCTCCCTGCCACGACTCGCCTCCAATTCGGCATCCGTCCTCCAGCGCCATATCTCCGCCAATCCAGGCTCGAGTCTTCCCTCGATCGCGTCGACGATGTAGTCACCTATCACAGGGAAGAATTTGAAGCCGTGACCACTCCCCCCGGTTGCCAGGAAGAGTGATCTGTATTGCGGATGACGCGTTATCAGGAAATCCCCCGTCGGTCTGGGTGGGTTAGATTGGTTGGTTGGCAAATGAAAAGAGTGAAACTTACGTGTCGCAATACCAACATATCCTCGTCCGAGAGAATGGCCGGTCTGCCATGTGCGGCACAAGCTCTCGAAGTGCTTCACGACATGCCTCCTGCGCTTCGAGAGGAACGGAAATCCCCACCTTTGGTACGCTTACATCGATAAATTCACCGTCGTCCCCATTGATATCGCCATTCGGGAGTTCCGGTTGAAGATTCTTCCTTGGAACTTGGACCATATTCCTGTAGCCATACCCATGTCGTGCAATCTTCAATTCCTTTCCTCGGGGTGGAATGATGAACATGCCACGGCTCATGTTCATGACCGTCGGACGGTGCTCCATCGCTGTCTGCTCTTCTTCGGTGATGTTGAGATAGGCCAATACTTGGCCCGTCGCTAAACATCGGCCTTGAAGATCGATGAGTGTTGGACTCCATGCTCCTGCGGCAAGGACAATCAAGTCGGCACTGATTTCCTCCCCTCCAACCAGTTCGACACCGGTACAATTCTCTCCAGAAAAAAGCAACTTTGCGACCTGCGCACCGCTCCGTATGGTCACACGATCGCCGCCTTCCCTTTCTATCCTTCTCAAAACGTACGCGACGGACGCTTCAGCATTAGCCCAACCCGAATTGAAATTGGCATATCCATGATCGCCGCTCACACCCTCATATCCAGTGGCTTTTCTGATCTCATCTTGTCCTTCTAGCTGCTTGATCTTGTTTAGGTCAGCCCTGCCTTGGTCATCTTCTGCCGCCAGCTTCCGCACAGTGGCCAACGCCTCTTTCAGATATGCATCTTTGTCCTCTTCCCTGCTCAACACGAAGCCTGGTTCATGATACCTGTCTTCTCCACCCCATGCTTCTTTCCTTTTATCGCGCCAGCGTTCCTGCGCCTCAAGAGCTAGCCGGCAATAGTGTTTGGACCCGTAGTCGGCGCGCACAATGCGGCTGGCATCGACGGACGACCCGGAGGGATTTGGAAGAGAAGGAGACCCGTCCACGACAGTGATTCGGGTTGATTTATATGTGGGGCTGGAGAGAAGGGACAGAGTGGTCGAGAGACCGAAGACTCCGGCTCCTATGACAAGGATGTGCTGGAGGACTGGCATGTTAGACATCTTATTCCAAAAGCCACGAGAACTAGATTTGCATTCAAATAGGGCATTCAACTTACATATCACATATCATGACCCCTCCTCCGGGTGGGATTTTTAGGATTTTAGGTATGGTTGCGTCGCTCCAGTTGGTTGAAGTCGTTCTTCTCCGCTGCAGCACTGTGGTCAAGCACAAATTCTGCCTTGCCGGAAGCTGTAGCGCGCAACGCGGTTTTGGGGCTTACTACGAGGAACCATCTCTTTCTTCGCAAACGTCAAACACTGACTCTAACCCACCGCTCAATTCCGAAAATGGCTACTGACCACGTCTAATTGCTGATGGGAAGACAGCCGCCGAGATCATTGCAGAGGCCGAAACGAAGCCAAAAGTCGAAATCCACATGGGAAGCAAAAGCTGTCTCAAGGCGGTCAGATGGCCATGTTAGGAAACTCAAACTAAATGTATCGCTCGCTCATGCAGGTTAAGATACTGAACACCGTCGTCCAAATTAATTTTAGATTACGGTAGACGATGATCCTATCCGAGAAAATATGTTCTACTCAAGGTTTTACGTTCTGAATTGTTTTCGTATGCCGCGATAATGTTTCAAGATGTTAACAATCATCCATCCAACAATACGCTGTGTTTTCTTCAGAACCACAACTTGGCCTTCATGACTGATAACTCGACATCCAAACAACACGCCGCTACGCATCATCCTCTGTCAATCATCGGAACCATCCACAACCCTTGTAAGTGTCTCTATGTCACGTGAATGTCACGTGACTACACCCTGGGGAATTAGTCACGCCGCTTTATGCAATATATCTCAATACCTTCGGCTCCATCAGATCTCTTCTATAGTCACTGCTCACGCCTATTCTTGACATTCTTTAAACATCCTACGCAAAGCGTATGATCTGCGTCCTTTGTATCTCGAAAGCTGACCCGACGAAATGGGGCAAAGTACGAGATGGAGAATCTAGCCGTGAGCTATTTCGCTGCGGATGGAAAATCTTGCAAGTGTTGAAATAATCAGTCTGGCGAATGCTGCACAAGGAAGCCGCGGGTGAGTGCATTGACTCCATCGCCCCCCTGTTCAAGTGAAGGTTGTCAAGCTGACTAGAGATGTGGACGGCTTGTATGTTCCGAATCGCTTTTCGTTGGTGTGGGTGTTGTGACCGCATACTTCGATTATGGCATGTTCTTCATCTCGTCACCTACTGGCATCACGTGGAGACTGTCGATTGCTTGTCAGATGATCTTCGCCATTGTGGTCATCTTCCTTGTCTTCGGTTTCCCAGAAAGTACTTGTTACTGTTATCAACGAGATTGCCATGAGGAGGCAGCCCTCCAAATTCTGTGCGGTGTCTATGACAGGTCTTCGGACGACCTAAGATTGTCGGTGAGCAAACTGAAATCCTCGAAGCATTCGCTATGGAGCCCCTTCATGGCGAGTATCGGTGGAGCAAGGTCTTTACTACGGACAAGGTATACGCCGGTCGCTGTGTGCTGCTCGCATATGGAATTGCAGTTCATGAACCAAATTGGTGGTATCAATCTTGTCTATCCCCCCTTGGTCCTGCCGGGGAAATTCCACTGACTCCATTTCCAAAGTCTACTTCGTGTCCACGTCTTTGGAAGTGAACGTCGGCTTGTCTTACAATCTAGTCCTCATCATCAGCGGCTGTGTCCAGTGCATGATTTTGATCGGGCCTTTCGATCCCACTTTCTTCGTAGATCGCTCGGGACATCGCCCACTTATGACATGGGGTTCTATTGGCCTCCGCGTGTCCATGATGGTGAGTGTGCTGTTGCTTTCTGTCGAGAGGCAAGCGACAAGTTCAGCTGTCATCGCCGCGTTCTTCACGTACATGGTGGTGTTGGGCGCTTCGGTAGCCTCCCTATGTGATTCCCGGACTAGGCTGACAAAGTGACAGTTGTGTTCCCGAAATCCTTCCTCTCCACGTGCGAACCAAAAGTGCTGCCGTATGGTATCTCGTCAATTGTGAATCCTAACAACCTTATCCTTCCATCAGGCACTCTCTTCTTGTTTCGTTCGGAAAGAAACCCTCCCTAACTAACGGAATTTTAGGGCTCTAGAACTTCTTCGTGGCGATGATCACACCGGTCATTATCAATCGTCTGGCCTGGACAGCCTCCCTCGTATTAATGTTCCTGAACTCCCTCTTTGTCCCGTTCGCGTACTTCTGCTATCCTGAAAGGAGGAACCTCATTCTGGAAGAGATCGATTGTGCATTTACCGACCATTCAAGAAATACCGTCAAATTGAGCAAGGAAATGAAGGAGGAAGGAGGAGAAAGTCAAGCTTGGCTGGCGTGAATCTCCACGAGAAGGCCGGCGTAAGCAGAGGGAGGAGCTTGGAGGGAGCAAAAGCAGAAACTGTCGTATCCAGCGAGCCTGCTGAAAAGGCGGCTTGAGTGAAATACGGTCCAGTTGGCCGCGATGATACCGAAGTTATCTGCGAGGTTTCGTCTTGCTTTGAGGTATCCGAGCGGAACTGGAATAACAAATGATCCGATAATAAGCACTGTCGTAAGGTTTTGGCCCCTTTCCAACACAACCCCCTATTCTTCTTTCGGGCAAATGACTTTATTTTGAGAGCAAGTAGTATTTAAAGCGAAGTTGATCAGCGTACATACTGACGATGTGGTTGGAAACGCATAGAACAGACCGAAGTCCTTGTAACGTATCGAGTATGGCTGCATGCTTTTAGGTGGCGTTTCTACCAGCTACCTGAATCTCAGCCTTGCCGTATCGAAACAACTTTCTTCATCATTATTTCCCCGACACCATGAAAGCGTGCAGCAGTGTTTGCACTCAGTCATCATGGATCATATTCCTCAGGCCACGAGAAGCCCCCACTCGCCCATCAAAATCCCATTCGTTGTTTCAGAGAGGTTTCAACCTGTCGTTCTCAACCAGGGCAGGATCCGGGTGGAAGTGGATTTTGACGACGATGGTCGGCCACTTTTTGAGATTTCAAAAGACGATGAAGAGACAACTCCCGAAGCCCTCTCCAGAATGACTGACATCCTCGACTTTTACCAGGCACGGTGCTTCTTTGGCCTCCTGGCATCAGCCTACTCCGCTGCCGGCAAGTTGTTGGACATGGAGATTTACATAGACCGCAGCGATGAGAAGCAGGTGGTGCTCACCACAAAAAGGCTTCTTCCGGAGCTTGAGGATATTTTCATTCAGCAAGCGACATTGATGGATGCGGCAAAAGTCGAGAAATATATGCAGATGGACAATGCTATACAAGAGTCGGAAAATTTGACTTTTGTACTCCAGAAGTTTGCTGTCGACCTGTTCGAGACGCTACAAGCAAATCAGGAAGCGAACCAGACTCGACGATCTGAGTTGTGGATGATAGAAGTCATCACTGAATCAGCTGCAATGCTCCGGGAGACAATTCTCACCGCTTCACGTCAGACTTATCTGCCTGTCGACTCGAGCGACGACTCGGCCCTGGCACCAATATTCGGCCGTGACCTTCCCATAGCACCTGACAATATTCTTTGCATGGACCGCTTTCATAAGGCCGGATGGTGTCCTCGGCAAGCCACGGAGGTCGCAAGCACAATCCTGAGGTCTAGATCTGTCGCATTCTCTCTCAGTTCCATCGACCGGAGAGATGCTGCAAATGGGAATCACAGCATGTGCTCAACAGCTGAATGCGTTCTGGAAAATATCGACAATGATGCATATGAGCCGATGCACACAATGGAATGCGGCGGAGATAACTGTCCGCTGGTTCCAAGCAGGGAAGACGGATACGATACTCCATCCGCCCTTATCGCGCAGTCGGTTAGAAGCAATTGCATCCCGGCTATCAGTGTGATTGAGAAACCAAACGGGGAGATTTTCCTGGGCGTTAGAAGTTATCGGCCGTGCCCGGCCGCTCCCAGAAGTCCTTTTGAGAATCGCCTAATGAACGACGTAGTCCCCGAGGACAGCCTCCAACAAAGCCTGGTGGAGGAATATATGATTAAACTTTGTGATGATCCTGTTCCAAATGCAAACCGCCACGAAACAAGTACAGAATGCTCTGGATCAGAGGAGCTTTTTCCTTCCCGAAATGTTTTTGACGCGGTCTTTGGTTCGGTCCCTTCCGGCCATCTCCTTCCATACATTGCCATATCTCATGTTTGGTCTCAGGGCCTCGGGAATCGTCGCAGCAACTCACTGCCTTTATGTCAACTCAGACGTCTCCAACGGTTCGTGGATGCTCTTGTTCCGCAGGAACGCCGCCCAGTGCCTTTCTGGATTGACACTATCTGTGTTCCATTGGAGCCAACGGCGCGAGACGCCGCCATCAAGGCTATGCGAATCGTTTATCGCGATGCCATAGCAGTATTGGCGGTCGATAGCACGTTGACGGAATTCGATCTTTCGAGCGTCTCAGGTGGGAATTGTGGTCAGTCTAGCCTTCAAACTTGGCAGGTAGAAATTTTGATGAGAATCAAAGCCGCGCCTTGGGCTCAAAGGCTGTGGACATATCATGAAGCTTGCCTTGCACAACAACTCTATTTTCAATTAGGCGGCCTCGCTCCAGCAATCTGGAGTCTGGATATTGCTGGCATCGAAGACAGCCTCCCGCGGGAAATGAAACGAATCAATCGAGGTGACACAATAGCCAAGCCAGAGGGTATGACGAGTGCTTCGAAGGAGGAACTGGGCAATTCCTCCAAGAAGCAGCCGGTTTTGATGCCGCTTGAATATACGAGGGGCTATCTATTTGTCGAAGCTGCCGCATTACAGCTCTTCGGTAAGGACGCCCCGGATTCTAGCACTCAAGACTTTAGCAGCGACCTCCGCTATCTGAGTCGTCAGCTTGCTCTGCGCACCACATCCCGTTTGCAAGATGAGGCGGTATGCCTTTCTACGCTGCTCGGACTAGAGCCTGCTGCCGTCATGTCAGATAAACAGGGGGAGCTGGTTCCGGATGAGGAGAGGATGATGAGGCTTTGGGAGGTTCTGGAACCGGCGAAAATTCCAGCAGGAATCCTGTTCTGCAACCGACCAATTTACGGCAAACGGGGGTCGGGATGGATGGTGAAAAGTTTGTTGAGGGACGACAGAGGAAATTGGATCGACGGTATGGGGTGTGGGAATGTCTCACAAAAGGATCAGGACCTGGGAATTCTTGTTGAGATGGGCGGACTAGAGTTTGAGATCGACGATATGGACCGAAACACCTGTCCGTGGAATGTCGTGCTCAGCGTCGCCGGATACAAGTATAGGATACTCGAGGTGGAAGCTTCCCAAGACCTGGTTGAATGGAGGCGATCGGGGAATACCGGGAAATTTGCGATTCTGATGCCACAAATCGAACTGAAGGCTTTGTTGGAAGATGTTGAATATCGGGTGAATGGATTGGGGAGCCATACCAGCGCATTGCCCTTTGGTCTGCTTGTGTCGGTGCCAAGCGAGTCCGAGACACGGAATGTTGACTCTAAACGGCTGAGCACTAATTCAACTGAAGACGTGCTTCATGTTTGTCGGAGAGAGATGGTGGAGTTTGAGATTCTCTTGGACGATGAGGACGATAGCGCCATGGAGCTAGATGCAGTTTTCGAGGGCGAAGAGGACAATGAGATGGGGGAGACGGCATCTTCTGCAGATGGTATTAGCACTAACGATCATCTAGTGGAGGTCAAAGTGGTGTCGGAGACTCAGAAATGGTGGGTTGGATGATTGTCGAGGTGATCAAGCATGGTTGAATAGCGCTTTTCCTCCCTTGGTGAGTGTACGAGTACATTCTTCCAGGTCCAGAATCAAAAGAGGTTTGTTGATAAAATCATTGAAGTATTATGATACGAGGGCAAGGAAAAAGTACAGCCCCCACCCAAAACGACAGCCTCGTCAAACCTCTGTCTTGATTACGAAACCACCGGTGGTCGTACACTCATATAAGCCAGACCAGACTCCTTCGCCAACCAGAAGACTCGGCAAATATTGTGGCCCTGTCAATATTGGTCAGATTATCCACCAAAGCTCCCTTTCACTTTGTTGAAAGTCTCAGGCCACATCCTGTCGACTCTGGAGCACGACACTCGTGGCCAGCTGTTCCAATTCGTCACTGAACTCCTTCATCTGCTTCAGATGTCCGAGTTGTATGCCTGATAAATTTTTATTGCTTTCAGCGAGCCGGACATATTTGCAAACATCTCTCAAAAGGTTAAGATCGGATATCGCAGCAGCGCTCACAGGGTTGAGAAGGATATTGCAGAATATGGTCAATGTCGCTGATACTGGGTAAAATATTATGACCCTGTCAAATCAAAGCGATCATGGTTAAAGTTAGCTTTTCCTTCTCTCCATCTTTCGAGGTCTAAAATGGCTGGAAGTACGTACCAGAAAAGATGGGGCATCATAAAACGTTCGGAAGAGTGAAGATATAACAACAAAGAACGGCTTGATTCCAGGGCGAGATCCAAGCTTGATCCAAGAGCCTCACTGACCCGTTGATTTTCAGCCCAGTTCTTGCAGCGGCTACTCGCTTGATGAATTGTCGTCATGCAGTGGTGGTACTCGAGCCGGAGCAGGAAAGCAGGGATGTTGGGCTCATCACGCTCCGGAGATATATTTGGGAGTTCCTGCGAGAATGAAAACGTAGGTCGGGTCTTCGGAGGCAGTGATTGTCTCCAGGTTTCCAACAGATGATCCAGCTCACGAATGTCTTTGAGGAGCTCGGCGTCTGATTTCCGGAGGGCATGTGGCGAGTAGAGTTTTTCATAAGCTTTGGATTTAATCAGGCTGAGGCGAAGATCCCCGGGTATCCGGGGCACTCCTGCGAATTCTGGTGTCGTTTGCTCCAAGTAATACTTGGGTAATGTGACATCGCAGGATGTGTCGTTTATTATGGGAGGACGCCCTGTGCGGAAGGTGATTTCCCTGTCGATCGAGTAGCAGATCCAGAATATATCGCGCCGATGAAGAGCTGTCCGGATGTCGATGGTGTGTGATTCCGAGGGCATCTTGTCGACATCTTCTCCAGGGTACAGGTGCCCACCCAGCATGAATAGGAATCGTACAGCAAGAGACAGGATAACATCTACCGTGTGTATCTTTCCACAACAGAAATGATAGACGGCCTAATATTTCAACGAATGTCCATTAGCAACATTTAGGTACAGCAAGTCAACTAATCGTTTAAGTAAAGCCAGCACAGGAGCTGGGCTCGGTCTGACAGGTCCTCTTGTTTGGGGATGAGAGAAAGGTAAGTAGTACATACAATCATTATCAAAGTGTCGATTACCTCAGTACTGGCTTGTGCGTTCAAAACATCAGGTAGAAGCATTTGGCTTGATGCTGTTAAACATCCAGCGATGTCGACAGCGGGCAATTTCCTTTCAGGGTTCTCGATCATCGACGTAAATGCCAGGAACGCGTAGATGCATGCCTTGGCGGCTACATTGCTGTCGGACTTAGATATGTTCTGCCCATAGGCTCTTTCAACGGTCATCGGAAACAAAACTGGATCTGCAATGGGAAAAATGCTCGAAAGTGGTGACTCTTGATAGAGTTCTAGGTATCGCTTCAGGGTGTCTCGTGGTGGTAGCTCGGTCATTGTCCAATGTGACAGGTCCCCGAAAGATGAAAAATTGGGCCACGTTTGTTGATGATTCTGCCACAAAGGGTGGTGGCTTATGCCCTGATTTTCCTCGGACTGAAAGACAATCCATTTTTGCCCCTGTCGTGATAGAAAAGGAACGCCATGGAATAGATTGATATCCCCAAGACTGTATCCAGCACAATAAATTCGCCCAACGGTCGGCAAATTTGGACTTCCAGACGCATCAGCACTGCTAGAGCTCGAGTCTGGTGGATTTGGTTCATCAGCATGGGAGCCGCGTAAGGCTAGGTTAATTTTCCCTGCACTTGAATGAGATGTGCCAGAGTCTATAGATGCTGCAATTTCAAGCCTTACCGTTCAAGTTTCCAAAATCATTGCTTAAGAGCCGTTCGATTCGCTCCATCCGCTCTAGAAGATTCGTCTCTCTCAGTTTCCTACCAATGTTACCGGTCAGCAACAGTGTAATTGACAAACAGAAAACATATGGAGCTTTGCATGAAATTGTCGAACTTGGCGCGATTTTGTTTCCTCTTTCCCCCGCGCTTTCTGGTAAATGTACAAATAATGCCGTGGTGCATACACCAATTGCACCGGGGTTTGACCCCATCGCATTTTATCTGTCGATGATCAGACAAATTCAACGCAGGCCAGGACAGAGAACGACGTCTTGCTCGACTTGATCTGATATGAATACCTTTCGTTGATGGCAGGAGTCACATGCACGGAGAGCCCGCCTGCTGGTCGGGCTTTCGTTCCCCGAGGCCGCAGGTGAAGAAAACCTTGTTGTATCTGACATAGTTATAGGCGCGGTCTCAAGGGGAGGTCCTCGACGCTCTTTGGCTGCGCGCAGTGCAAAGGAGCGAGAGTGTCAGGTGCCGAGTGATCGTCTAGCATTCTTGGGGGTGTTCGAGATCAACAAATTGGGCCCCCTAGATGAAGCATCCTCAAGGAGTAGTTCATTCGGCTTATCAAAAATGTACATTAACCGGAATGATATCTGGTGCAAAAATAATTTCAGGCTAGGGACCGACGGGTCATGTGCAAGACAATTTGCCGCTTAGTCAGCGGCATTTCGGTTCAAACATCAAAGCATCAAGTCAAGCCTCGCGTATCTTTGTGAGTTTGTCTCGATAAGGCCTGAAATTCAAATCCTACCACGTTTCCTGTGGCTACCAAAGTTTTGGTTCGTCTGGGGGATCCATTCGGAGTCCGATAGTTTCCAGATTCCGTTCATACGCGTTTCAATCCCGAGTGGCAAATGAAGATGGCTTTCACATCAACCATCGAAAAGTTGCTGAGGGCAGATTGGCTTTGTGTGGTGGACGCGTAATGATTGGGGAGATTTGGTGCATTATTCCGTTCCACTTGGAGCAGAAAAGACATGACAACATTGCATTCAGGGCCCTTCGAACCTGGGTTGTTTTGTCCCCGATTCCGACCAGGCCCCAATACATATAATGAAGATGGCAACTCATCCAGTACCCAATCCGTCCAACAAGTTCCTCACATACTGCTCCGGATGAATGCTCCCAAGGATATGGGAGCCCTACACTCTCTATCCCAAGATTCGCTTCCCCCTCACCCTGGAGGAACCGAGATGCCCTCGGAATCGAATGAAACCTTGTACAATGACATGCAGCCTACCTCGACGCGTGAAGATGACTGGGCACTGGCTGGGCAAGTCAGGTCCTATCACCAGCGGGATTCAGCCTCGAACAGAGAACGAAAGTTGGGAGTCACCTGGTGCAATTTGACTGTTCGAGTTCCCCGCTCTGACGCCAGCATTCAAGAGAATACCTTGTCACAGTTCAATCTTCCGAAGTTATTTGAAGAATCTCGACGAGAAACACCACTCAAGACTATTTTGCATGGTTCCCATGGCTGCGTTAAACCAGGCGAAATGTTGCTTGTACTTGGTCGTCCAGGCTCTGGGTGCACTACTTTGCTGAAGATGCTGGCCAACCGGAGAGGCGGATATCCGTCAGTTTCTGGGGAGGTTTGGTACGGATCAATGAGTCATCTGGAAGCGAAGCACTACCGGGGCCAGATTGTGATGAACACCGAGGAAGAACTTTTCTTTCCCACGTTGACGGTGGGCCAAACCATCGATTTTGCTACACGATTGAAAGTCCCATTTCACATCCCAAATGGCGTTCAGTCCGCGAAAGAGTATCAACAACAAGCCAAGGATTTCCTGCTGGAATCCATGGGTATCGCGCACACAAGCGATACCAAAGTCGGAAATGAATTCGTTCGAGGAGTTTCTGGCGGGGAGAGAAAACGGGTCTCCATTATCGAGTGCCTGGCCACTCGAGCATCGGTGTTTTGCTGGGACAACAGTACCAGAGGCCTCGACGCAAGTACAGCCCTGGAATACACCAAAGCCATTCGAGCTATGACCGACATCCTCGGCCTGACTACGATTGTCACGCTATATCAAGCGGGAAATGGCATTTACGACCTCTTCGACAAAGTTCTGGTGCTAGATGGCGGGAAGCAAGTGTACTATGGGCCAATGCGAGAGGCAAAGCCTTTTATGGAAGACCTTGGCTTCCATTGCCCTGAAGGGGCAAATGTGGCAGACTTTCTGACGGGGGTCACTGTCCCGACAGAAAGACAGATCCGACCGGGCCACGACAGCCAATTTCCCAGAAATGCCGACGAGCTCCTCCAGCATTACGAGAGATCTCACATTTGCGAGCATATGTCGGCCGAGTACGAGTTCCCTAGTCTGCCGTTGACCGAGGCGAACACCAAGGCGTTTCAGGAATCCGTCACCTACGAAAAAGACAAGAGGCTCCCTCGTACCAGCCCTTTGACAACCGGTCTGGTGACACAGATAAAAGCTTGCGTCATTCGTCAGTATCAAATCATTGCCGGCGACAAAGCGACATTCTTCATCAAACAGATCTCCACCATCGTTCAAGCGCTGATTGCCGGTTCGCTTTTCTACAATGCTCCCGGAAATTCCGCAGGCCTTTTCATCAAGGGTGGCGCTCTCTTTTTTGCTTTGTTATACAACTCTCTGATGAGCATGTCTGAAGTAACCGACTCTTTCTCCGGGCGCCCGGTCATGGCCAAGCACAAGTCCTTCGCCTTGCATCAGCCGGCAGCTTTTTGTGTCGCTCAAATAACGGCAGATATCGTGCCTTTGCTGGTACAGGTCACAACTTTTTCAGTCATTCTCTACTGGATGGTTGGTCTAGGGGCGAGTGCGGGCCAATTCTTCACCTTTTGGGTGGTTGTCTTCGCTGCTACAATGGTAAGCATTCTTGTGTTACTGCGTCTAGTCTTATCCTAAACAGAAACTGACTGCGCTCGCTCTTCAGTGCATGACTGCTTGTTTCCGTGCAGTTGGTGCAGCTTTTCCCACTTTCGATGCGGCCTCCAAGGTGTCTGGTTTCTTGATTGCTGCCCTGATCATGTATGTCGGCTATATGATCGCCAAACCCGACATGCACCCCTGGTTCGTCTGGATATTCTGGATTGATCCTTTGGCCTATGGATTTGATTCACTTATGTCCAGCGAGTTCCATAATCAGATCATTCCCTGCGTTGGAACCAATATCGTACCAAGTGGGGAAGGATATACAGACTCCCAGTATCAGTCCTGCGCAGGCATTGCCGGCGCAGTCCAAGGAGAGACCTTCGTCGCCGGAGAAGCCTATCTGAAGTCACTTTCGTACGGTCATTCGCACGTCTGGCGCAACTTTGGTATCATATGGGCCTGGTGGGCCCTTTTTGTCGCGATTACGATCTTCTTCACCTCAAGATGGAAATCTGATTCCGAGAGCGGCAGCAAAATTCTGATTCCTCGGGAGAATGTCCACCTGGCTCGTCATATCCTCCAAGATGAGGAATCGCAAACGCCAGAAAAGCAAGTCATCAGCTCAGATTCCTCTCTTCAAGAGCGTGGCACCGACTCGAAGAACACCGAGGAGGATCTGATACAAAACAGCTCGGTCTTTACGTGGAAGAATCTATCCTATACAGTCAAGACGCCTCACGGTGATCTCAAGCTCCTTGACAATGTACAAGGATGGGTGAAACCGGGGATGCTGGGTGCTTTGATGGGAGCTTCTGGGGCCGGAAAGACCACGTTACTTGACGTCTTGGCCCAGCGGAAAACCGAAGGAACTATTCATGGCTCGATCCTAGTCGATGGCCGACCTCTTCCTGTTTCGTTCCAGCGTTGTGCTGGGTATTGCGAACAGCTTGACGTCCACGAGCCTTACGCCACAGTTCGTGAAGCACTGGAATTTTCGGCTTTACTCCGACAATCACGGCACGTCTCACGGGAGGAGAAGCTTAGGTACGTCGACACTATTATCGGTCTTTTAGAACTTCAGGACATTGAGAATACCTTGATTGGATTTCCTGGAGCCGGATTATCCGTCGAACAGCGGAAAAGAGTCACAATCGGTGTCGAGCTCGTCGCCAAGCCTAGCATTCTTATCTTTCTCGACGAGCCAACCTCAGGACTTGATGGACAGTCTGCGTACAATACTGTACGATTTCTTCGCAAATTGGCGGACGTCGGTCAAGCGGTCCTGGTGACCATTCACCAACCATCCGCTCAACTCTTTGCCCAATTTGACACACTGCTCTTACTCGCCAAGGGCGGGAAAACCGTGTATTTTGGAGATATTGGTGACAATGGGGCTACTGTTAAGGAGTATTTCGGACGATATGGAGCTTCTTGCCCACCCAATGCCAATCCGGCCGAATTTATGATCGATGTCGTCTCCGGCCACTTGTCTCAGGGTCGCGATTGGGCCCAAGTGTGGCTGGATTCGGCCGAACATGAGAAAGTGGCCCAGGAACTTGACGACACGATCAACAAGGCCGCATCCAAACCTCCCGGGACACACGACGATGGCTTTGAATTTGCCATGCCTTTGTGGTCGCAGATCCAGATTGTAACTCGACGGATGAATCTGGCTTTGTTCCGCAATACGGACTATACCAACAACAAGTTTGCTCTCCACGTCGGCTCCGCCCTTTTCAACGGCTTCTCATTCTGGAGGGTGGGCGAAGGCGTCGGCGACCTCCAGCTGAAACTATTCACCATTTTCAATTTCATTTTTGTCGCTCCCGGTGTCATCAACCAACTTCAACCCCTGTTCATCGAACGCCGGGACATTTTCGAAGCCCGAGAGAAGAAAGCCAAAATGTACAGCTGGAAAGCCTTCGTCACGGCTTTGATCGTCTCCGAGATCCCATATCTCTGCATCTGTGCCGTCCTCTACTTTGTCTGCTGGTACTACACAGTCGGTTTCCCCAACAACAGCAACAGTGCCGGGGGCACCTTTTTCGTCATGCTCTTCTACGAATTTGTGTACACAGGCATCGGGCAGTTCGTTGCGGCGTATGCCCCAAACGCAGTCTTCGCCTCTTTGGTCAACCCTCTTCTGATTGGAATCCTCGTGTCGTTCTGCGGCGTCCTCGTGCCCTACGACCAAATCCAGGCATTCTGGCGTTATTGGTGTTACTATATCAACCCATTTAAATATATTATGTCCTCTATCCTTGTTTTTACTCTCTGGGATACGGATGTCGCCTGTAAGGAGAATGAATTATCAACATTCGACACCCCCGGCAATGTCACGTGCCAGGAATATCTTTCCGACTACCTCCACAGCAACCAAGGCAAACTCGCCCACTTACTTAATCCAAATGATCGGGCCAACTGTCAAGTCTGCCAATACAAAACCGGAGCAGATTATCTGTACACGATTAATCTCAAGAACGAATCCGACGGATGGCGAGACGCTGGGATTGTGGTCGTTTTCGCCATCAGCTCATACGTTCTGGTGTATTTATTGGATGAAGCTAAGGACCAAACATAGCAAGAAAGCACAGGAATGAGAACAGAAGGACTCGTGGTAGACTTGGAAGAGGCGAGCAAATCGGCACGAATAGACAGAGATTCAGTCTCAGTTCTGGAGATATGATAAAGTTAGAGGGACTAGAAGGTTTCAGAGCCACTATAGACGTCAATAGATCTTACAACTGCGATCATCCTTTTGTATCCAAAACGGAATACATGTAGCAAGCAAGTCGAAATTCGAAATCACGCTTCGGTTGGGTGCACTCCCTTGGACAAAGAAACCGCTCACATGATTAAAGCGTAGCGTGGAGCGGAGCTTTTTCTAGACTCCGACCCCCCCGGGGCGCGAGACCTAGGGATCAATTGTGTTCACGTGACTCGAGTCGTCGCTGATTGGTCGACGAAATCGCTTGCTGATTGGTCAAAAAAAAAACACCAATCACATGATCTCGCGATGCGTGCGCGCCTTCGTGTTTCCTCGACACGTTGCCACCCTTCTTTCCTCCTCCTGTCATGTCCGACGAAGATGCCAAATACTGCTCCTCCTGTCTCCAAAAGCGTCTTCTCTCCTTTTTTCTCAAAGATGCCTCCGCCCCCTCCGGGAGCAAGGTCTTTTCGACCTGTATCGCCTGTCGAGACAAGCGCAGAAAGAGGATGGCTCGACAGCCGTCACGGTCGACGATCCCGTCCAAGAGGCCTGCGACATCGCCCACAGAAGCTCCGACGCGTCCAGGACGGCCTCCTCCCCTCGCCCCGCGCGCTCTCTCTCCTCTCCTCCATCCTTATCCATCGACGATTCCGCCTAGAAGGCCTGCGACGCCGCCCACAGAAGCTCCGACACGTCCAGGGCGGCCTCCTCTCCTCCAATCTCATCCATCGACGATTCCGTTCAAGAGGCGTGCCACACCGCCCACAGAAGCCCCGACACGTCCAGGGCGGCCTCCTCCCCCTTCCATCCTCCCTCCTCTCGCTCAACGCGCTCTCTCTCCCCCTCCTCCACCATCGACGCCCGTCCGACGTCGACCCGAACCGCCAGCCTCGTGCTTTCTCCTCGCCGAACAATGGGCGTCCATCCAAAGTTTTCATGCCGCCATGGATCACGTCAAGATGGAGACCTGCAGCCGCTGTCACGCACGGTGGTTCTCCATGGATGTGAAGAATGACATCTGCCATGCCTGTTTCTTGCGGGATCAGGGCGGCAAGACTCCCTTTCTCATGTCCGCCGAGAACGCCATGGACCCGGGAGAGCGGCCGGCCCATCTGCCCGCCCTGACCCAAATCGAGGAGATGATTGTCGCCCGGTCGCATGTGCAAATGATGGTCTATCGCTACCGGGGCCACCAGTACCACTACTCGGGACACTGTCAGTTTCATGCAAAACACGATGAAGACCGTCGATATCCTGCCTAATCTGCCCGCGGAACTTGACGTGGTGGTGTTACGGCCCTCCGATCGCGTCGTCGAGCATGACCTCCGCTATCGACGCCAGTTCCGGTCGGATTTTCGGGTTCGAAAGGGACATGCCATGACCTGGCTGCGGTTTCTCCAGGCCCACCACCCGGATTACCGGTATGTCACCATTCCCCGGATCGGATCGACGCTCTCCCGATCGATGACGACATATCCTCATCGTTTCTCGCTCTGATCGACGATACGGGTATGGAGGAGGAACCCCCCGCGCCCGAACAACCGGTGTCCGCCGAGCTGCTCCCGCCGGATTCTCAATCGATGGTCCCCAATCTCAATATCACCACGACTGAGGTGGACCTGATCGTGAGAGAGATCGCCAGCCGGAATTCCCCCCCTGCCGGCCTTCCCGCCCCCTCGATTCGACAGACCCCCATCGACGAAGCGTCGGGCAAAGATCGGATCTTTGCCATGGCCTTCCCGACATTGTATCCGACGGGCCAGGCCGATTTCAACACTCCCCGGATACGAAAGGTGAGTTTGACCGATTACGCGCGACATCCGACGTGCTTTCACGACGGCAGGTTCGGCCGGCACCCGCGCTGGCGGTTTTTCGTCTTCAACCTCCTCATGCGTCGAAAGGCCAACGGGGCGGCCCGCTTCTACGTGTCGGAGGCGTCCGGTCCCAAGGATCTCAGCCGGGAAGAGCTGACGGAAGCCCTACTGGTCCGCGATGCCCTCCTCCCTCAGATTGTGCCCAAGGGTTCCGATCTGACGGGGACGCGCCCGTTTTGGAGGAATAAGAGCAACCACATACAGGCCCGGGCCCGCTTTCTCTCGCCCGGCACGTCGCCTATTTTCGTGACTTTAAGCGCAGTTGACATGCAGTGACAGGACCCAGTTTCCTCTCCATAAGAGTCAGGGATTAACACTGTCCAAAGCGGTGATAAACCTGAATCGGAGAGAGCATTGCCTAGGCCTTTCGTATGTAGCCGTGTCACGCGTGAAGACACTAGATGGCCTGTTATTTGAAGCGCCGTTTGATTTTGAGCGCTTTGCGAGTGTACATACAGTGGGATCCCAAGAACGGGACTTGGACTATACTTTTAGAACAACACAGTTATTATGACTAGGGGTCGAAATCGCGAGCCATATAGACCGGCTCTATTCTCATCGCCGATATCTGAGCACAATGTATCGGTATTTGCTAGATACATCGCCAATATATCGTTGTCTGCTTTCCTAATTGGGTACACCGTCGTCTACTTCATGAGCCATGGACTGGATCCGACGGGTCGATATCGTACGGCACAGGACACCCTGATCAACATCGTCCACAGGTGATCCATAGACTGGATCCGATCAGGGGGGTTCTGGCAGACAAAGGCGGCATTCTACCCATTCCTGGGTGGGCCGTAGATTGGATCCGACGAGGTCAGCCAATTAGAGCACGTGATTAGGTGTCGGATTATAGATTTTCCGGGATACGGCGGCACTCTAACCACTCCTGGAAGGGCGCCTTCCTACGGAGGTACTCGGCATCAACATGATCAATAAGCCACGCCTACGGATCAAATATTTTCCGAACCACTAACTTACCGTCGGATTAACAATTTTCCGGGATCACCACCCATCGGACCCAATCCGTGGACCATGTCCCCCGGGGGTGTCCGCCCTTCCACTCGACGTGGTTCATGGATTGATGAAATTCTGCGAGGGTTCGGGGTCAAGGATACAATCAATGTATTCTAGCTAGCATCGAGTTCTAGGTACAAGACGTAGCACGAAGAGAGTCAAGATGGGATGCTACGCAGGAAGTGCCGAAGAACCCTTGATTATGTAATCCTTGGCATGTGGTCCCGTGACAAATCCTCCGTCGCCCATCGGATCTAGTCTATGGACCGCCCAACCCTCAACGGATCAATCATTTTCTTGGACTATGTGCTCCCCTCCCCCGGGCCGGGAGAGGAGGGGCGCGGCCTTCCATTCGATATCGACGTGGTCCATGGATTGGATCCGATGAAATCCCAGTCTGTGGACCATTCTGACAAGCTCGATTGATCATACTTGACATAATCCACGCATTGGATCCGATGAAATTCCCCGTCGCCCATCGGATCCAGTCTATGGACCACCCTGACAAGCTCGCTCGTCTTAGTCTCGTCTTGACTAAGACGAGACGAGACGAGCGCCACCAAAACCAAGCGAGCGCTTAGTCTTGCCAAAATCGTCTTGGCTTGTTGAGGACCCTGTTCCTGGACATTGTCAAACTGGGGAACAACTTGAGATATATTGAATGCTCTGTCTACCACACAACCGGTCCTACTAGGTTACTGGTATATATACACGTTGGGTTGACCCCTTTTCTTCTCCTATTTCCACCCCCAAAACCTGCATAGGGGTATAACCCCCTTTTCAACAAAAGGGGCACTTGCTACTATTCGGCCGTTCAATGAGACCTTGTTCGACAGATATCGTAGCGGAAGCTATGCGACGGTGCTTCGAAATCGACCCGGCCCGCTATGATGCTACGACGCCGCCGACAAAAAGGCCTGCCATATAGAGGCAGTTTGAACTTACGGATTCAAACATTCCACTGCTAATAACCGCCGGAGCAGGTGCGTTGTTTAATCTTCTAGCCTCCGACCAATGTGCCGGAGTGGCTAATATCTCCAGGTTCCGTGGGACTCAACTTAACATGCGCCTTAATCTGCATCCTTCTGGAACCATGGTGGAATATCAATAACGAGAAGCAGGCAGATGCTCGTGTGTACAGACAAGGCCAAACAAAGGTTGTTAAGTATTTCGATTGGAGGCGTTTAACAGTGAGATCGACCGAGAAATTATTGACGTCCAGTTGCGGAAAGCTTATGTGAACGAACGCTTGACCGGTCCCTTGATGCGTCGGCATGACGAGGGTCCACAGATTTTGGACATTCCATTGTGACACGACCTGGTGTGATTTCGGTGGAGAACCAACAGCAAGACTGGGCTGGACCTCCATCACTGGGGCCTCGAAAGAGGAACGACAGGGTCGATTTCGACTCATTTGCCTGTCTCAATATGCTTATATTTCTTTCGCGATGGTATAGGTTCGCGACCAAATCAAGCAAAGAGTTCTACTTTGCCCAATCATAGTGAGAGGATAACTAGAATGGAATTGAAATGCAGACAGATTTCTATTTCAGTATCTAAGATATTACCCCGGAAGGTCTTATTGTGAGACGGAGGAGGATAAACCTCTGGGCCATAAGGTACGTACAATATGTCAGCATATCCGTGTGAGACTACCCTTCGTATTAAAAATTTTTCCTTCAGCAAACCTCATACATCAATAATACCACCTAATAATTACGTCCTGATGTAGTACAAAGCATGACGTGCGCTCGTTTAGTGGGTGAATCAATAGTAGTGCAAAGAACGGGAGAAATTCATTCTTAGTTTTTTTGCATCACATCAGCTTCCGAATAATTCTTCGACCTGACGACGTGCGTCATCCTCCGGCATGCTATGCACTGACGTGAGGTGCCTGCGCATCGCGGACGGGACCGCAAATAAGGTCTTGCAGTCAGGGACCGAACACTTGTGGGCCTCCTTTCTTCTTCCTCCTTTTCCCTTGATTTTGACCCCAAGTGTTTGCTCGGCCAGGCTGACTGCGGCATCATAGCCCATAGCATGAACTGTAGTGAAGTGGTCGCGCAGCCTAGCGCCTTGAGAAAACGACGCGTTGGCCTTGCACCTAGATATCGGGCACTTTTTCGCTTCTGTCGTCTTGTAGTTTTTTATCGCTCGGTGGAGTATATCTTCGGCCAGCCGAGTTGCATCAAGTGCAGACATCTGGTGCGCTTTCTGGAGATGGTCGCGTAATCTCGATGGCTTGTCGAACGTCTTCTCGCTTTCACAATCATCTATCGGGCATTGAGTAGTCTCGCGAGGAGCTGTGTTCCTAGTTTTCTTGTGATGGATACCCCTCTGTCTCGGAGTAACGTATGTCGCTACCTCATCATTCTTCAGCCTGTGATGATACTGCAGGTGGAATTTCAACTGATTTCTTCGGGTGAATGTCATTTCTACCTGGCATTCTTCCACCAGTGGACATCGCTGCGATTCGGGTAAGTCATCATGAACTTCGAGCAGATGTTTTTTGTACTCGTTGAAGGTTTGATATATCGGTGATATATCAGGGTCGCATCCAGCCTGGCACTTGGAAGGCTCCCAGCGATGTTTTTGCCATCGGTGAGCTCTCAGAGAGCCTGGAGTTTTGAAAACTTTACCGCAATCTGGTTCCAGGCAACGATGTTCTCCTTCACCCGAGTCGGACTCACTCTGCGGTCCCTCGCATCTCACTTCATGTAGTCGGATATTTTCCGGTCGAAAGGTGGAATACCCGCAACTTTTGTTGCAGTGAAATAGAAATGCAACGGGCTTATTTCGACTATTACCTGTTGGGACGTGTTGAGCAACTTCCTCGGGGTTTGAGTGATCGAATTTGCCGGTGTTCCGGTAGATATTGATGGTAGCAAAGTAATGAACGAAATCATCGCCAGACAACGTCCATGGCTGAGATGTGTCTTCAAATGCAAGATATCCCAATGCGTCCATGCTCATGGCATCGATGATCTCCGATTGCTGGTTGCGATTGACACGGTCGATTTCATTGCTCGGCGCAGCATTGGCATTCTGAGAAAAGATAGTATGCTGCAGGACTTCTAGCGAACGCTCATCTACACTGAACCCCACCCGATCATCCACAGGCTCGTCTGGGGTATTGTTGACACGATCAGTGTCTTCACTAAATGCAGGCATATTGGACACATCAGCTGGTGCGTCGATAAACAGAGCTAATGAACTAGAAATTAGTGTTGATCCACGAATTAGTCTTCTGGTCGACTGACCTGGGTCGAGAATAAGCTCCTCCTTCTGCACAGGTTTCAAGGCTGGTCGAGCATTTATTTCCGATGCCGTCTGTTCCGCCAGCGGCGTGCGGACAAGAAACTGCTCCACGAAGGAGTTGGGACGTGCTCTCGATGCCCCGGAAACCAGGTCAGTGTTGTCCAATGTGGTGCCGTCGAGCCCGTTGTCCGGCTTCTGTTTCTTACTCCGAGGCCTGATTGGAGTCGGCGTCATTGTCGATAGCGGACGTTTGGTTCTCTCACGATCGCGAATTTCCTGAGTGACTTGTTCACGCACTCTCTTATCGACCGAGTCGGTTATTCCCTTCTGCTGGAGTAAGGCATCCACCTTACGCTTGGGAATGTGTTCCTTTCTGATCGGGCGTAGCTGCTCATCTGGATCTCTCTCGTCGGCGGAGGGAGCGAGACGATCTTTGAAAGGGTTCTCTGCTCTCAAATTGAAGACCTTTTCCTGGAGTGGGCCGGCATACCTGTCAGTTATGCCATGAGCAGCACTCTTTCGTGAATGGCCGAGGGAACGACTGGTCGACTGTTTCGCTGCGCCTCTCAGAGGTTTCTCCAGGTGTGCGGTGTCTCTAGCTGAGCCGCGTCGTAAATCAGTCGGAATCATGGGTTTGAGGAATCCCGAAATAAGAGACATATATTTGAGTGAATGCTGTATCTGAGCAACGCCTGCCGGCTTGTCGAGCTCAAGAAACTTGTTGTGCCCAATTCGACAAAGTATCGGTCTCTTGGGATGCTTCCACCGAACTCGGCGGTCCTTGGTACGCAGTGTATGGTCTAACACCTCTTGGACGGTCCTGCCATGACAGATTCCTTGACGTAGGCCGTGTACCAACAGTAATTTGATGGTACAGGCTGCACTTTGGGCTGGATTTTCCAAGGCGTCGAAGAACCGAATTTCATCGTCGTTCAGAGCATCTCTGCGAGTATCAATGGTCAGCTTCCTTCCATCAAACATCGACACAGTCGATTATGAACGACGGGACGACTACTTACTTCTGCCCTTTCGCAAATCTCAGGGTTAACTTGGCTCGTAGTTGTTGGACGCTAGTTGCGTTCTCGTCCGCCGTCAACTCCACATTTTCCCAGGTGAGACACTCTAGACCGTCATAACCATGAGTTCTTGCGACATCTCCCGGCCTGGAGCTGCAGGCCACTTGCAGGGCCACACCCAGAAGTCTTAGGATGACGATGTCCCATGTATTGCAGCCATTCAGCAACGCCGATCTCATGTAGTCACTCACGAGCTTTTGGAAGATCATGAAGCCTGCCCACTGTTTCTCTCTCCAGTATCCTTTGGACAGCTTTCCCGCCTTGACTTGCTGCTCTAAATATGTTTTGATTCGTTCGAATTCACGCGGGCCATAGTTGTCTTTCACATTGGGATATTCGAAGTTGAGCCAACGTACAGCTTCGTACCAAAACTTCTGGATCGTTCTGAGGCCAGGAGCTTGCCTGTCAGGGTAACGGCTCCGAGTTCTCGCAGCAATCGTGGCGATAAAACGGAAGATATTCTCACCGGATGGACACTGGGCTGGACTGAAGAGAAAGTCAGTTACTTTCTTCCTCTGAGGGAATGGATAGCATGAACGTACTCATGTTTGATGGTCTTGAAAAAGGCGAGGAAAGCATTCTTCACAGACATCCTGTGTGATGCTGTACCTGGGGCTCCTCGGGCAAATGATAAAGTCTTCGCAGCTTTCTTGGAAGCGACACGGTCGGCTGCTTGGTACTCCAAGATCTCTTCCACCGTCCTCCTTCCAGCATTTTCATATCTCTGGTATGGATCATCGTCAATGTCAGACTCGAATTCCAAGTCGGAAGAGTTGAAATCAGCATCGTCCGCCATAGTGGTGGTGGTGCCAATTGGATAAGAGAAGACACAATCAGAACGCCGCCGAAAGACAAAGCATGCTAGAAACAAGCATGTAGACAACGAGGTCACAAAAAGTCGATTGGAATGACCAATCCGTCGTAGACAAAGAAGAGCAAATGTGGGTTGGGAGGTGAAATGAGAGTGAAAGATTGGAGAGGGTAGGCAGGTCACTACTAAGAAATATATCCCCCCCACCCTCTTTCCTCCTCTCTACCTGCCTGACTGCGCATTTTCCTTCATCCGGTAGAATTGTTCTCTTGGTAGCTCTCTGAGATCGATCTTGCCATAGAATTTCGTCAATTGACCGCGTCGATTCCCTTGCCCGCGGCCATCATGTCGGCCGTCACGCGAGCCTCAATGAGGGCAGGAGTCCAGGGATCCCCCAAACAAATCGAAGACCTGGCCTTCAACATGGCCGGGTTCGCCGTGGAAGATGAGAGTGGAAATCGAGAAAAATATCAGGTCATTGTTGCTCGATGGAAGAACTCCAAAAATTGGAGTACTATCATCAACAAAGTTCAACAAGGAGGTGTCAAACTTCGTGGATTGAAAGAGTGCTCTGGCTCTCCTCATGAGTGTAGGATAGAGCCCATCTATATATCTATCTAACGAGTGTATGTCACCATTGCTGCCTGTTAATGGTGATACAGCCTATTGAGCGCGTGTTGCAAAATATCCTAGTCCGTCATAAATGATTGGCTAGCATTTGTTCAATGCTATTGCCCAACAGGAGGCTGTGACCATCTGGGATACCCGGTCTTCCGTCCATCGATGGAGCTAACCGCACGCGAACTCGGGACCCATGATGCTCCACCAGACGGCACCACGCATTATCTAATCGTCGGGTACGCTAAAGCGTATCTGGACAAGAGCTAAGGTGGAGCATTAGGACCACCCGGCAACATCAATCTCCAACTTCCAAAATCGACCTCGTAATAGTATTATACTCGACAATTCACCTAGAGGTTGTCATTTAGGAATTTTTCTACATTCTTGGTACGTTGCGTAAATTTGCGGGCTGAAATAAGACGAATTTATCAAGGAGATTGACTTCTGTCGAGTAGAATGCTCCCCGTCGCCACATGGTTCATGGATTGAATCCGATGGCAGTAGGATATCATGGGATCCGATCCATAGATCATGTCGATATCGAGGCTTGTCCGTTAACGTTCCATACGAGTTATCTCAAATGTGATCAGTAGAGCTTCTCTGGGTGGTCCACAGACTGGATCCGATGGCGGTGGTCTTTCATCGGATCCAATCCATGGATCATCTCAATATCGAGGCCCGTCCGTTAATGCCCCGTTACGAGCCATTTCGAGTGTGATCAGTAAGAGCTCGTCTTAGGGTGGTCCACAGACTGGATCCGATGCGTAGATCATCTCGATATCGAGGATATCTATCGAGTAGAGTGCCCCCCAGCCACATGGTCCACGGATTGGATCCGATGACGGTGCGGCAAGCCCACGTGACACCTCCAAGCCATAGGCTTACGTGATTGGCCAGCACGTCGCTCTTGGCGTCGCCACACAACGCCAAGCCCTACCCAAGCGATTCAAAAATTAAAAAAAAATAAAAAAATCAAGTTTATATTTTATACTGCCAAAAACTGCTTCAAAATTGACACCAAATCGTGGTTGACCTATCAAGGACGTAACCGAGTGGTAAAACACTCGGCTTGCTGTCGAACCGATAGAATTGAGGGGCCTTACTAGTGTTCGATCATAGGTAAGGTAAGAGGGTTGTCCGGCCTAGCTCTATTGAGTTTCTAGGTGCCCTTCATGGGTAACGTAATGCTCCAGCCAGTGATTGTTGATGATGTCGTCTTGTTCATACCGTTGGGTGGTCACTGATTCAAACTCCTCTTTATTTGAACTTGTCCGGCTGAAGCTTTCACTGGCTGCGGCGCCCATCTATAAGTTCGTTAGAGATGGACTATAGGAGGGGGCCCTTTTATTTTCTTCTTATTATTTTTGTTTGCGTATATATAAACCACCTATCATATAGAAGACTTAGAGAAGACTTGCTCAATCTCAATGCGATAGCGTTTAGCTATGGTGAGAGTGGTGGCAAGAGTATTTTTGAATTTTAGATTAATGTTGCCGGGTAGTCATAATGCTCCGCGTTATTATAGTATCACAGTCCAGGCAAAGGCCTTTAACCTGACTGTTTGACTGTCGACGGCTTGTTTGTCTGCCTGACTGAGAAGTTCGTTGGCCTAACTGAAACTGTTAGTTAGGCTGCCTGACTGTTGGCCACGCAGAGTGGAACAGTTCAAAGAAGACATCCAAGATTGGCTGAGAAGACCGCGCCCGACGGTGATAGTTCCCGAACATTCGACGCTCCCACGAGCTGCGAAAGACGCTGGAAAAGAGTTAATGACAATCTCGAACTAAGGGATTACCCCCACCAGCTCCGAGCGACCGTTACTATCTTTCGAGTAGGCCTGGGCCTCGACGAAGTAGTGCTTAACAATGTCATATAGCGACCCAGGAAGAAGAAAGTCCCGCATGGGGGAGAGGAGGACAAGAAGGCGAGCCAAGAAGGTATATGCTTTCTTGAATATCGACGCGGTCGATTGATTATAATCGACTGTACTCACGAATAATGATACTCGGTCAGACCGAAGAGCATTCCTGTATCATGTCTATTCCAATATCCCTAGCCCGGAAGAAGTGGCCACTGCCGAAGCAGAATTGGTGGCACAACGGGAGTAGCGGGGTATATCTACCGGACAAACCCTCGGACAACATCGTGAAACCAGCACCATGGAAGGCCTGGACTTAAATTTGAATTCGCTCCACTTGAATGAGGAAGAAGTTGCCGCTAAACAGTCGACCCCAGATAAGTTTGCACACTACCGAGCGACTTACGGATGGGACTGGAATATAGATACGATCCAGAAAGGTGAGGACGAAGACGGGGACGACGCAGACGACGTGGTGCAGGATGAGGAGCAGCGCGGTGATGATGTGAACTAGCACGTAAACCAAGACGACGAATTGCTCGCCCACCCGACGAGGATTATGTTCCTATTGAACTGTGAGACAATATATGGCAACATTTTCAGCGTGGCAATAAGTATTCGGCTAGACAAGAATTTCATCTGTGAGCTGAGCACGGAGACATCGTGTCAAACTGGGGAACAACTTGAGATGTATTGAATGCTCTGTCCACCTCACAACCGGTCCTACCAGGTTGCTGGTATATTTACACGTTGAGTTGACCCCTTTTCTTCTCCTATTCCTACCCCTAAATCCTGCATAGGGGTGATAACCCCCTTTTCCAACAAAGGGGCACTTGCTACTATTCGGCCGTTCAATGAGACCTTGTTCGACACATCGAAAGATGGGGGACAATCTTTATCTGTAAAAACATGCGAGGCAGGACCTCAATTTGATAGAAAACAGAGCATTCCTTCAATTTAAGTTGTAAAAGAAGTTAACAGGTCCCCCTTTCTAAAAAGGCGAAAAGTAAACAGAGATCCTACTGAGTTGTGATCCTACTTCTACGTATCGATGATAATGGTATTCTACTGTCAAACTTGTGGTACAACTTGAGTTGAAGGAGTGCTCTGTTCTCTATCAAGTTGAGGTCCTGCCTCGCATGTTTATATAGACAAAGATTGTCGCCATCTTTCGGTGTCTCCGTGTTCAGCTCGTAGACGAAACCCTTATCTAGCTGAACAGAACATTCATTGCCACGCTGAAAACGTTGCCACATATTGTCTCACAGTTCAACATCTACAAACATTGGACCCTGCTGATTATTGGCGGACAGTTTGAGGGAAACCTTGCCTTGCATCTTACATATATCTATGCTAGCATACTCCTTGATTGTAGTGAATCATAATCCACTCGTTCCATTGCCGCATTACAAATGTAATCTCATACATCCCACATTCTTTTCCAGTCCATCCCGTCTGCCCGCTCCCCTTCTTACTCAACTGATACCTGTATGGATTCTCCTCGCATGTAAGTGGTGTTACTATCTCAATCCTTTTAATTATCTTATGGGTTCTATGCTTGTTTTTACTATCTGGGATACAGATGTCACCTGTAAGGAGAATGAATTATCAACATTCGACACCCCCGGCAATGTCACGTGCCAGGAATATCTTTCCGACTACCTCCACAGCAACCAAGGCAGACTCGCCCACTTACTTAATCCAAATGATCGGGCCAACTGTCAAGTCTGCCAATACAAAACCGGAGCAGATTATTTATACACGATTAATCTCAAGAACGAATCCGACGGATGGCGAGACGCTGGGATTGTGGTCGTTTTCGCCATCAGCTCATACGTTCTGGTGTATTTATTGATGAAGCTAAGGACCAAACATAGCAAGAAAGCAGAGGAATGAGAACAGAAGGACTCCGTGGTAGACTTGGAAGAGGCGAGCAAATCGGCACGAATAGACAGAGATTCAGTCTCAGTTCTGGAGATATGATAAAGTTAGAGGGACTAGAAGGTTTCAGAGCCACTATAGACGTCAATAGATCTTACAACTGCGATCATCCTTTTGTATCCAAAACGGAATACATGTAGCAAGCAAGTCGAAATTCGAAATCACGCTCCGGTCGGCTCTCCTCTTGGAACGAGAATAAACTCATATGATTTCAGTCATGTGACAAGGCTGCCGGATGAATCTCGGTTAAAGCTCGCCCAAACCTCGAGCTCGCAAGTTCTTCTCATTCAATTGTCGGAGGACATCTCTTGTACAATGGCAGAATTCACAAAGCGCTCCCTACACAGGTCGAGAATCCCGCATCTCGCTCTTTCTCTCCTTGTGAAACGCGCAACTCCACCTTTGAGACCGCGCCTTGAACAGGAGGACGCTCCTCGCCATATATCAAGTTCGGCCCAAAGATGGGCCTCTCCAAGACAAGGTCTACCACGACAACGCAAATTTCCCCCTGTGCGCCAGCAGCAACCATTATCAGCTATCTTGGAAGAACTGAAAGAAGCACCCGACGATGACTCGTCTTCTCCACCAGACCGACGACGCTCCCTCGTACCTCGCCTGTCCTTTCAAGCCTACTTCAGAGTGGTCATGATAACCGGCTTCGTCTCAGCCCTGTATTTTTCCTACCTCTACATGTCCTACACCCGGGCCGTTAAAGAGTCGGCCATGCTTGACTTGCCACAGAACGCCGATGTGTCGAGCCGATGGATGGATATGTCACGGAATTTCGACGACGAAGTCGACCTATCCGAAAAATTAGGGCGAATAAGATCGAAACGTCGGAGGCTTTGTCAAGAGGCGAACGGGAACGTCTTGGAGGTCAGTGTTGGCACTGGAAGGAACATGGATCTTTATAATTGGGATCCGATCAGAACACCCAGGGACAAGAGGATCAAGAGCATTGTATTCAATGATCAAAGCGAGATCATGGTATATCAGGCGCAGAAGAAGTTTGACCAATTGCAGGAAAATTCCGCGCCCGATGAGAAGTTTCGTGGGCCCGTCAAGTTCATCGTCGGAGATGCCGGGGATAGGCGCGTCATCAGCCGGCCGGAGGGTGGGTTTGACACCATCATCCAAACAATGGGGGTGTGCAGTATGGCGAACCCCGTGGGATTTTTAAGGAGGCTAGGTGACCTTTGCAGACAGCCGGGAGAGAAGAGCACCGGAGTCAATCTCCGGCCGGCTGTAACGGAAGATTCAAAGACACGCCACACAGATGTCGGCGCATCCGAAGACGAAGGCCAAGAGGACCAAGGTGGCAAGATCCTTCTGCTCGAACACGGCAGGTCGTACCATGACTTCATCAACCAATATTTGGACAATGGCGCCAAAATGCACGCTCACCGTTATGGATGTTGGTGGAACAAGGATATTGAGCAGGTGGTACGTGATAGTGGTCTCATCATCGAATCAAAAAGACGGTATCATTTTGGGACGACGTATGAATATATTTTGAGGCCGAGGAGGAAAGAGGTCAAATAAATCCGACTACTCTGTCACATCAGAAAAGAGTATATTTGAGAAACGCGAAGCCCTGGTCTAAAAGACAACGCTGGGAGCGAAAGGGGGCCCACAAGGCCGAGTGAAAAGGGGCAGGGGTTCGCCGTTCCCATTGCGACGCTTTGAAATACAGCGATGGCACTGAAGGGATGACAGCACAACACTATACAAAGCTTCTATTCCAACCTAGCATACGCAAGGGGCGACCCGGCCGGTCTTCTCAAGGTCCATTGTCGAGTTCATCGAAACTGACCCCAGCTACAGAACTTGCCCATCAAAGTGCCAAGGTCGTGGCACGGCACTGGACTTCTGATTAGAGAGCATACAGAGCACGACGATGTCGGAGAATTGTGGACTACCGAGAGCTCCATATCTAGAACCACTAATGGTGGATGCAATCTCCATGAGAAGATTATATCACAGAGAATTCTCATGGGAATTTCTCCGTCTGCCTCATTATCTTTTAGGGCACTACCAGCGTTTTATACGAAACCTATGTTCTACGTGGAATTTGAGGAATGCTGGCGATGGCTTGGGCCATAGCAAGAAACCTGTAGACTGAAAGACAGCATCGCGTGAGACATTGGCGGCATTCGCGAACCGTGTACAAGAATTCACTATTCTGACAATGTTTTCAAGACTGATCTCCAATGCTTTGGCATCGCGAAGTCGCATCTAGGCCCTGCTCTGGCCGCTTGACTTCTCAATGATATTTCGATCTGACATGCGAGAACTGACAGGGGACAGGAGCGCTGTCTATGTGCATCCGGGAAGTATAGCCTGCATCGGGAGATCATCACTCAAGCTTCTGGTATGGCGGTGCGAATGCAGCAGTGGAAGATCTACAATAACACGAATGTGCAGCAGCTCTTAGGCCTTCCATCTGAAATCTGGATGTTTCCAATCGAGGTCGTGGATGTGCTTCTCACTGGCTTCTCTGAGAGCCTCGTGAGCCGCCACGCTCCTTTGCTCACGTTTCTTGTTATCGGTTCTCATCCACCAGCCGAGCACTAGTGTTCCAATCAAGATGGTTGAGTTCGCCGCCAAATTGAGGCCGTTGCCAATTGGGTAGTTGGGTCCATCGGACGGCAAGAATGACCAGGTCGAAATGAGCCCGCCCACGTTTCCAAACATGACCGTCGTCCCGATGGCGGCGGACCTGGCAGTGTCGGAAACGACATTCGCCGAACTCTGCGCTTGAGTAAGTGCTCCGAATGAAAAGGAGCCGGCAGCGACGAAGAACGTGGCGATGTATCGAGCCGTGCTATTGGTGGAGGCTAAGAAAATGATATACCCCGGCACCACAATGACCGAGCCGAGGGTCATGAAGCAGTTTCGTCGGTCATACTTCCAACTGAGACGACAAATCATGAGGATAGTCACCGCGCCGAATGTGTAAGGAGGGACTGTGAGCAGTTGTTGGGCCACCACCGTTCTGCTGGGGTAGATGGTGCGAACGATAGTGGGGAGAAAAAATGCGAGACCTTGGACAGTGATGTTGATCAGGAGGAGAATCATGGACGTCGCGAGTGTGACGGGGTTGAAGATTCCACGAAGAGTCTTGGGGAGGTCGAGCTGGTCAAGAAGTTCCGTTGTCGCAACACGCTCGGACATCACCCGCTGAATGGCCAGCTCCTTCTCATGCGCACGAAGCCATCTCGCAGTTTCAGGGCGATCGGTCAAGGTCACGAAAGCAATGAGAGCCAGGCCGATAGTAATGATTCCTAGAAGAATATGATACATTTGCATGTCAATTTTCATGTACCCCAGTTCGGAATGATCGCGTGATCGTAGAATTGGACGTACCTTCAATCGCAAAGATCATCTGCCAGCTCTTGACACTGCCAAAATGATCGAGGCTGAGAATTGCTGAAGCTAAGAGACCACCAAAAGCGCCAGCCACTGGGCCCATGACAATGTAGAGAGACAGTCGAAAGACGAGTTCACTTCTTCGACTTTAAGATAAAGTAAGGTTGGCAAAGAGGTATCATACGAAAAGAGAAAAAAAAAAAAAGATTTTGGGTTTTGGGGGGGGGCCTGTTCTCCAGGAAAATCTACTTACTACCATCGTGACATATAGTAAGCCACGCCAGGAAGCACTCCAGCCTCGAGTGCGCCGAGAAGAAAGCGCACCCCACATGCGGCGCGAATGTTCCGAACGAATGCGAAGCCCACCGTGGTGATACCAAATCCAAGCGAGATCGCCGGAAGATACCAGCCGGGGCCAATCCACTTGCAAGCCATGTTGGATGGGATTTCAAAGATGATGTAGGAGACATAGAAAATTGATAGGACGGTGTTGTAGTCATAACCTGTGAGACCAAGGTCCGACTCCAATCCCGCCAGACGAGCATTTCCTGGGAGAGAGAGGAAGTTATAGGGCGTTTGGATGACTTGGATGACTTTGGGGACATTCTACGGTATCTCACCTATATTGGTTCGATCAATGAAGCCTTTTCCCCATGTTAGCTTTCTGGTCCCAATGCCGCCCAATGCATGGGTTGAGAGAGGCCACCACTCACAGAAGAGATAGAGAATAGAGACAGTCGGAACAATGTGCCAGTCAATCTTTCGACGCAGCCGAGATTCTGCTGCCTTGTCGAATTGTGGGGTGGGCCGGTCATTCCTAAGAAGGCTCACCGCTTCAGGATGTGAGATCTCTTTGGAGATGGGAAAGGGTTCGACACGTACCGGTTAGTTGGACCTTCTAGACTGTTTCCTTTCTCAATGTTTTCCATGTAGGTAGCCGTGCTACCATTGGACTTCGTCAGCGGCGCATCGGATTGGCCGTTTATGAGCGACATGTCTTCAAATTTCTTAGACAAATTTGCACAGATCTTTGATTTGGCGGCGTCTTAAGGTACTAGGGAAAGATCGCAAAGAGCTCTTCGACCAATTTGAATAAATCTGCAGGAAAGGGGCCGGGGCAAAAGAGCATGCCTGTATACAGACACCAACAATTTAATATGGGGTGATATCCTGGGGTACCCCGTCTGGAGACCTGGACCATTCAGATTGGTCGGGTAGCAGTTAGTCTGTCTTTCCGACGGATAAAGGACTTCCCGCGACATGATCACAGCAAACCGGTCGAGATCATATTGACCGGCAATTAATCAATGACCGGTTATTCATGACCCTGGAGAGAGTATCTGATGTAAGATTGTCATACAAGCATTGTGCCAATGCATGAGTTATGTCAGTGAGGCAGCGAAATAGAAAGGGGGAGGCGGCAAAGGTGCCAAGTTCTTCCCAACGACAGGTTTTCTGAAAACTTGGTCAAGGCTGATACTGAGAAATTCATGATTCGCTATGCAGTGTCCAAAGGTCAGGGTGGCATGAACGAAATGAAACAGGTTCGATCAAGTAATGTAAAGCTGTATGTGGTGTGGTAGACGTGAAAAAAGGCCGGTTCTGGACATAGCCAACAATCCCAATAGCCCTGCAGAATTGCCCAAATTTTGATCGGCCAGGAGTTCTACAGTTTTAGGGTTCTAACAGATCGGGTTTGGTTGCTCTATTAACGTCCTCTCTGCCACCGTCATACAATCAAATCCATATATCAGCCTCTGCACATCTTGATCCGCCCACTTGTCGGGCACGGTGCCGATGCCACCGGCAGCTTTGAGTTTTGCAAACTGACGGTCTCGTTCCTCTTTGGCTGCTCCTTCTCCCAAGTGTAGCTCCCGTCCAGATGCCGCTGCCATTTCGACCAATGTTTCCGCCCTCTGCTTTCTGACTCCCTCGTAGCATTTCAATGCCGCATTGACGGTTTCTGATTGTGTGTTCTTCAACGCGGAGAGACAAACACCCAGCACGGCGCCGTCCTCGATTGCTTGAGCCGCCCCCTGAGCGAGATGAGGCAATGTGGGATGGCAGGCATCTCCCAATAATGCTACACTCCCCTTGACCCATGTGGGTAATGGCGCGTGGACCCGCAATTTCCACTCACAAACCTCTCCCTCGGGGACGAGGTCAAGCATGCGGCGAATCATGGGGCAGAAGTCGCCGAAGACTTGTAGCATCGACTTCTTGGAACCCTTGGTAGTATACGTAGCGGACGTCGCATCAGCAAAGTTCACGTCCGGTTGCGTCGTCGACAAATTGTAGATGGACTTGTTGGCAATCGGGTACGCGATGATATGGCGCTGAGCGCCAATCCAGCGGGTGACCCGATCCGTGTTGATCAAGGACAGCAATTCGGGATCGTGCTGCATTTGCTCCCGTGTCAACATGATCCGGTACGCGGCCTGTCCGGTGTCTTGAACGTTGTCTTCCACGCCCAGCGTAGAGAGGAGGATTTCGCGGGTCGGGGATTTGACGCCGTCTGCGGCGAGGAGAATATCTGCCGAGACACGATAGGGAGAGCCCGAGCGTGGTGTGGCGGTAAAGCTCGGCTTCGGCGAGAACGAGGTCAATTCCTGCACGCGAGTGGAGAAGTGGAATCGGATGGCAGATTCACGTTGGCAGCCCTTGAAGAGAGCGCCAACGAGGGAGGCCCGGTGGCCGACCATATGTTCGTAGCCATAGGTCTTCTGGATATATTCGAGTGGCACATGGGCTAGTTCTTGATCGGTTGCGCCATCTAAATCGATGTCAGTGGTCGGGAATTGCCGAGTCGTCGACTCTCCTGGTCAGGTCTTGACCCGTGCCGTAGGGGCAAATTCTCAGGTTACCTCGTATGGACGTGTCGCGGCAGGCAACCGCTTCCTCTGCGATGTCTTTCCACACACCGAGTCGGTCAAGGACACGGGCCATGTTGGGAGCGAGTTGAATGCCTGCTCCCACAAAACCGAGATCAGATGCCATCTCGAAGATGTGGATGTCTTGAAAACCAGACTGTGCGAGAGCCAAGGCAGTTGTGAGGCCTCCAATTCCTGCAGGAGGATGGTTCAAAATGTTAGATGGACATTCATGGCTTTACGACGCCCCGTGCAATATGCTCACGGACGAGAATGCGACAGCCATCGCTTACCTGCTCCAATGATGCATATTTTCAGCTTCTTCACTCCTTCATTCCCCATGGTGTCTGAAATATGGAGCCCCATCGATGCTGATAACGGGGGAAGGAGCTCCTCGATGATCAGCTGGAGTTTTTATTTCCGGAGGAAGGGAAGAAATCACAACAACCATTTCATAAAATATCTCCTGTATATCCTAGACCTCGAAAGGGGGCCATTGCGGGAAGCATGCATCCTATTGGATGAAGCAACGCCGCATGCCCCACGAGGGGCAGGAGGAATTTTTGTTTGAAAATTCCTCAACATCACGGCATCTTTCTAGCTAGTCGTATAGGTAGAAAAACTCGGCAATACTGCGCGAAAAGAAGCTTACAAGAAAAGACATCACGCGACATTCAATCATTATCAGTCACCATGAAGGTCGCATGGACTCGCGTCATCCGCTTCATCGCCCCCGACGGTCGCGTCCTACGCGGGGAGCCCATTCTTCCCAGCCCGGACTTCGATCTCGGCAAAACGACCGAACGGGATGCCCTCAAAGCAAAGGTGATCGAGGGAGATGATCTCTACGATGAGTCTGGGTCCACTTACGTGAGCGACCAAGTGGTGACGGTTAAGAAGTTGCTGGGGCCGCTTACTCCCGGCGACGTACCTATCCTGAGATGTATCGGATTGAACTACCTCAAGCACAGTATGTTATTAACACTCTTGGATGAGTTCTCCGTCTTTCAATCATGACTTAACGCGAGAACGAATATAGTCCGGGAGGTCCCTGGACGTGAGCCGCCACCTTTCCCATCGATCTTCTTCAAGCCTAATACGACGGTGAATGACCACGATGCGGCGGTCATTGTTCCCCCCATCTGTCAAGATGATCAAGCCGACTATGAGGGAGAATTGGTAGGCCCACCTCATCCGCACCCCTCGTGGCCGCCCCCCGGGTCAATCTATTAACATGGTGTGCGCGATCTAGTGTGTGGTCATGGGAAAAGATGCCAAGGACGTCCCCGTCGAGTCCGCACTCGAATACGTCGCCGCCTTCACCTGTGGCAATGACATTTCCTCCAGAAAGCATCAACGGGATCCCCAGTTCGCCGGCAAGATCCCCCAGTGGGGTTTTTCCAAGGGTTTCGATGGTTACGCCCCCCTTGGTCCCTGCCTGGTATCCACGCCTTTGATCGGGGACCCAAAGGATCTGCACTTGAGAACCATCGTCGATGGAGAACTGAGGCAAGATACACTGGTCGACGACATGTTGTTCAACTGCGCGTATTTGATCTCGTATTTGAGCTCCGGCACGACTCTACAGAAGGGAAGCGTGATCATGACCGGTACCCCAGGAGGTGAGTGAGAACCCCAGAATCCTTAATTTGTATGGGTGACATGGGCTGACCATCTGGAACACGGGAATAGGAGTCGGAGCCAGCTTCAACCCACCAAAGTACCTCGTGCCTGGCACGGTGATGGAAGTGGAAATTTCCAAGATTGGCACGCTGAGAAACCATGTCGAGTTTGCATGATACGGTGGACCGAGGCAGGGTATTATCGGTGACATAGAACTTTAGACGTGGCCGCGCCGGTGATGGTTTCCCACACGCCCGTCCTTCGTAGACCTAAAAAAGCTCAGGTTTGGTGCTTGTGAACTGTCCCGTGATGCATTCCCCCAAACTAACGTTCTCACCATGATTATGTTATATCCTCGCCAAACAAAGCGAGATGGTCGCCGAGAAAGTTGCTTTGACTGTATTGCCAAAGGAAGTTGTTGGCCGCTTGAGTGACGCACTGAGAGAAATTGTTGGTCTCAAGCCCCACTGTCGGCCCTGCCGAGGATAATATGTCCTCAGTGGCGGATTGATTGGCGAGGCTGGCCGGAGTAGTTTCCTGTTCCGGGACTAGATCGAGGGGGTTCACTTGTCAGTCCTTCCGTGGTCCATCAGTCATGGTCTCCACTTACCGAGAGAATCGAATACCTCCAGAAATCCCACAAGACAATGTCGGGCTTTGCGAGCCATCAAGCTGGTCCGTTGGATCGACTTCATGGTGGTGATTCCTTGGTTGAGACACTGGCGGACCTCGGCCCTGGAGATCCCGGCCGACGACCAGAGGGTGTTGTCGAGGTGACAGAGGAGGAGGATACCAAAGAAATGCATGTTGACGGTCAGTACTACGAGATACATATACATATCAGCACTCAAAAAAGCTAGAGTTTGAGTCTCGAGGTCCTTGGGATACTGACTGGTGTAGTTGCACAACCACCAAGCATTACTCTGGTCGAGAAACCTTTCATCATACGTGCTCATGGTTTGGATGATCTGATGAAGCTCTCGAACCACCTTGAAGTCATGTCTGACGATGACCACAACATGCTCTGAGACGAGATCAGAGTCCTGCTTCGGTCTTTGAGTGTGGACCGTCTCGCTCAGGACGTGAATGATGACTGGAGCGTTGATGAGCATCACAGCACGATAGTAATGAGCAGAAAGAACGAGCCGAAATCGAAAATTATCGCTGGGAAATGAAGGCGACCCCCAGTCCAACTCGGAGCCGGAGATGACTTGACACGAGGGATCGGCATGTTGGCGCCATCCATCCAACTCCCATTGGAGTGAAAGTCTTTGGGCGATGATATCTTGGATTCGTGTGGGCTCGTCGGACTCAACGTTGTCATTGTACAGGTGATGGAGGATGGAGCCCACGATCTCATATAATGAACTGCCGACGCCATCAGCACAACATCGTTCTTCTTGATGGGTGTTGTCGCATTCCGTACGTTTGGCGGTTATGATAGATGATACTATCGACATAGTTTGGGGCCACCACCGGCATGCTTCGGTAGACGGATTGGGGATCCAGAGGCTTCTGGGTGCGAATATATTGCGGGGAGATCAGACAAGGGCGCCCCAAACACATCCCAAGCACCCTGCTCGGTCAGTAGAAATCTGGGCTTCAGCTGGAGCTCAGCGGCGTACCGGTCCTGATGGATCAAACTGTACCACAACCTCTTTCTCATCTCGCTTTCCTGCAGCCCGTACTCTTTGTATCCCAGTGGGGAATGCAATCCCAGTTGAAAGGCCGCCTTCACCGCGAGGGCGTGATATGTCCAACTGGTGATCGATAACTGATGATTCTGCTGATACGTGGCGATCAACAGCAAGGCCTGGACTAAAATCTCATATTAAACCCGGTCCAATGCACCGGCAATGGGGGAGGTGGCGCTGGACGAACCTAATTCGACACTGGTCCCTCGAAGTTGTCGCTCATTCAAGGAAGCAAGAGCACGACCATTGAAGACACTGGAATCTTCTTCACCCAGTGATGCTGATGCCAGGGCAAAGACACTATTCAACAGAGCGCGTCGGGCCCCCAACCGTGGCGGGGCCTTTTCATCTCGCAAGCGATGGTAGTCGGCGACCAGGGCCGATTTGCTGACAAAGGGTAAAAATGCTCCGACTGAGGCGAAGAAGTGGTCGATGAAGGCCGATGCTTCGGGGTCGCGTGGCAAGGCTGTGACATCGATATCCCTCGGATGGGTTTGCCGTCCAGACTGTTGCGACGACCCCTCCTGTCGCTGCCTCTCGGAAGATCTGGTGGCCTTCAAGGTTGGTCGATTGGACGAAGCAAGGCTGACGATGCGAGCAAAAGCATCAGATGTCGAACGGAAGAGCACGTGGTTGGAGGAAGGGCCTGATCATGGGGGGCATCTCGTCAGTGACGGATGATTGGAGAATACCGGTGCACGCCTCACCAAAGTGTCCAATATTGGATTCTGATTCCTGATTGAATGCCACTGTGGCAAGGACATCAACCGTGGTTTCTTCATGGAGGTCGATCGTCGCAGATGTCCTCGGCCGCGTGGAATCCGGGGCGGGAAGATCTGAAATTAGCGGTGATGTGGTGGGATGGTCATCACCATCCGGCGCCGAAGCCGACACATTCCCAGGAGAGGATCTCGAAGGTGAGTCTGCCGGCGTCGAGTTCAATCTGGACTCGAGTTCCTTGACCTTTGCAAGCAGCTGAACCTTGCTGTACAGAAAGTAAGTCGAGTCACTTCGTCGGGCGGCGGGCCATTGTGGGCTTACCTCTGACAGCGTGGGTTTCTGTTACTTGGCTGAGGCGGTTGCTGGTATTCACAGGGCAGGTGAAGTTGGATACAGGAGAGACATCTCGGCCGCTGGCCGTCACACTGAATTCACACGATCACCCTATTTAGATTCCCTTGATTGTTGCACCGGACGAACCAGGAAGGCTACTGGTGAAGCGTACCTTTGACTTCCGATTTCTGCAGGACGTGCAGGCAAGTGAAATTCGGCTGCGCTTGACCACTTTGGACCGCGCAGCCGTGGAAGGAACAGGGACCGGGTAGGACGGGACCGGAACATTTGAGTAACTTAATGCCGGGTCCACTGTATCCAATGCGTTCAATGTTTCGATGGTATTGGCCATATGGTGGACTGACCGGATAGAGTGTCGATACAACGCACGTTGAGACGTTCAGACTGAAGGACGGCCCTCGGCGGCAGGAATGGCGGATAAGAGGGTTTATAAGGTCCCGGAGAGAAATGCTCCAAGCCTGTTAGCTGCCCAACAACCCTCCCGAGGAAGGTCCGGAGTCGCTAGTGAGGCACTCGACATGGACTGCCCAGCCCTCCATACCGTAGAGACGGGGATGCTGTGGAGAGATTCTGGGGGTGGATCTTTCTCCTGCCGAACACATTGATTCAAGATCGGCCACAGATCTGGATGCCACCGCTACCAGTGCAATCGAAAATATCACCGAGAGGCCGAATGACCGAGATCATGGATGTTCGTGGGCAGCTCTTTTCATTTTCTATCCGAAATATTACCCGGCGGAATGGCCGGGTACGTACCATCCGATTCGCTGGAATACGACCTCGTCCAGTCCCTGACAATCCTCTTTTGACGAAATGCTCAACTCGTTAATTGGAGAAGGGCCCTTCAAATGGGGAATATCTACCATTCTCAAATGCGCATTTATATGAGTGTCGAGGGGGCACCTCCATTCCTGGTGCGCTGAGTTGCTCAGGAGACGATACACGACGAAACGATGGTGGTAGTTACTATTCTTCTGGATCACCCTATATTGGTATCATTTTCCACATCTCTCATACTCTTCCTATTCTATGTGATCTATCAACGATATTTCCATCCCCTGGCCAAGTACCCTGGACCTTTCCTGGCATCCGTGACCGATTTATGGCAGGCATATCAATTCATCACCTTGAAGCAGCCATACCACCTGACAGTCCTCCATGAAAAATATGGGCCATTTGTTCGATACGGACCCGACAAACTGAGCACGACATGCGAAAGCGCCGTGCCGCTGATCTATCAGAAGGGTGGGAGGCATATGCCCAAAACGGAGTTCTACGACGCCTATGGGGCCACGCATCCAAACGTCTTTGGCATGCGAGATGAAGCCGTCAGTGTCCTTCCTTCCGCGGTCGTTGATTTCCTGTTTTATTTCGGCAGACGAGCACGGCGTATGCTGACAGATATGGGCCTCTCAAGGAACACTCATTACGACGTCGACACATGTCTCACTCTTTCTCGATTACCTACGTAAAAGAGATGGAAGAGTATTTGAACATCAACATTGGCATTCTGAAACAAAAGCTGGACCACTACGCCTCTACCGGTCAAGCGTTCGACTTGAAGAAGGCATTTCATTACTATGTCATCGACACTCTGGGAGAGCTCGCCTTCAGCCAGAGTTTCGGCATCCAGGTCACCGATGACGAGTCGCTTGTTCCTCCGGTGAAGGAGCATAGTCTGCTGGCGGCAGTGACTGGAGCGTGGCCGGCGATGCTTCCAAGGTTGAAGAAATGGCTGCCCCTTGTTCCATACAAGCCTCTGAAGGATCTATTCAGGGGTCGAAAGGCCTGTGCGGATCTAGCGTCACAATGTGTCAGGAGAAGACTGGATGACCTCGCCGACCTCAAGGACGACGAATCGAGCGTCCGAGTCCAAAGAAAAGACATTCTCACAAGCCTGATCCTAGCCAAACATCCAGAAACAGGTGAACGGCTGACCAAGACGGATCTCGAAACTGAGGCCTTTGGCTTCATGTAAGTACTCAAGTCTCAACCGGGCTTTCTCACTATATGGCATTCACCTCAACCGTATATTCCTGGTTTCTTTCTTTTCTTCTTTTCTTCTTCTTTGGAGCTTTTTTTTTTTTAATTTTTATTCTTTGTCCTCTCCACTGACACGAATCTGTGGTGCAGAATCGCAGGTACACACACCACCTCGGCGACTACAACCCTGCTTTTCTACCACCTCCTTCATAACCCCGAGGTGCTCGCGAAACTCGTCTCGGAACTAGATCACAACCTTCCTCCCTTAGCTCCCGATCAGACGTCACATTCGATTTCACTTCTCGAAGCTTCTCTTCCATATCTCCGCAATTGCATCAAGGAGAACTTTCGCATCAACCCGGTTTTCACCATGCCTCTTGCTCGTCGTGTTACAGCAGATGAAGGCGTCGTCATCGACGGCGAACACATAACGCCAGGGGTATGTCCCTCAATGTCCCTCCCTCTTTCTCTCTCTAACTCTGGAATCCCCTCACAGACCTCAATCGCCATCTGCAACCACGCCTTTCACCACAACCCGGCAGTCTGGGGTCCAGACCACAACATCTTCCGCCCTGCACGTTGGGACGAACCGGCCACTAATGCTCGCTCCCGACTCCTGATGCACTTTGGCCTCGGCGGTCGCCAGTGCCTCGGCAAGACCATCGCCACGACCAATATTTACAAGCTGACGAGTTCGTTGCTGAGTGATTTTGAGTTTGAGCTTGTCCACGATGACGATGAGGGAGGCGATGCCGGTCGTCTACCTGAAGACGTGGAGAAGGCGGCCAAAACCAACGCCATTCAACGACAATGTCCACAACGAGGAGCTCTGCCAAGTCAGAGGAACGATGTGCCGTCTCTTGTGAGTGTGGGGATCAGTGATCTAGAGAGCTCGTTGATTGTCAGATGCAGAAGACGGATGAGGGCACTAGAGAAGACGGACATGATGCCAGGGTCAACAGATATGACTGAATAAAGTAGGTATTCGGTCCATTTGAGACCTTGGTTCCTTTGACGAATGAGGATATCCACTTATCAGTGCCGTGCAATATCTTTATTCGTATATCCTATGTGAATTTCCATACGTTCTACTGAACGCCGATGATGATAATGGCCGATGATAAAGGTGGCCGTTCTATCCTAGCTACAATACATACCGTTCGTGTATAATCCAAGTAGAGGGATAGGTTCCAGCAGACCCTTGTGGTATCTCTCTCAAATTAGAATCTGGAATGACTTACCTTCCCTTGCCGGAGAACGTTCACTCCTGGCGTACTTCATGAGTTGAATTCCCATATTTTGAGAACGCTTAATGCTGTTTGGGCTACCGTCGTCACTCCCGTACGGGTATCGCGGGCGGGATGTTGCGAAGAACAACACGGCACTGAGCAACTCTTGAGTTTGACCACATGCATTGTAAATACACACATATATAGATTCGATATGGTCACCGTGCTCTTCTGGCTCCATTATCATGAAGAGGTCGTCAAATCATCTGACCAGACCCACTCCTGCCGCATGCCTGGGATTAGTTTTCGAAGAGCGTGTCCATAGTCCCCTGCATTCGGCATTCGAAGCAACGTATGAATGTGGAACTTGGCGGGTTCCCTGTTGTCCAGGAACACGCCTGAATGGTGATCAAACTCGACGAGGATGACGGGACTTTGGATGCGATAATAAAAGGGATCCGTGTCAGTAAAGCCGCCTATCCACGAAAAGTACGTCTCAGAGAGGAAATTCTTGACATCATTGAGCCGTATTTGCCGTGACTTCTCGGGCAAGTACAAGAGATATTGTTCCAAGATGGCGAGCACGAGAGAGACTTGACCAGGGTCCATCTCGGAGACGAGGATACCCTCGTAGGGCACCACGCGATTGTCACGATAGGCTCCACAGAGGTGGCGTTGATCATCATGATTCCACCGGCCATGTGGCATCCGGGGGTCCCTCAATTGTTTATATGTCTGGGCTTTTGCTTGTAAGGGCTTCGGCAGACTTTGCATAAGTTGCAAACCCAGACGCTCCTCATCCTGCAGGATTCGCGTGCCCTGATACGGACCTTGGTCGATATAATTGGGTTCGGCTCCGGTAAACCACGGGGCGATAACGATTTGACTCCGATACAAGAAAATGTTGAGGCAAAGGTGGTGACCGTAGAAGGTATACCCCCAAGGCAACACGGAGGAGGGAGTGCCGAAGAAGGCAAAGTTGTATGAATATTCGTTCATCACTCCTGGTGCACCGACAAGTTCACCCAGAAAGTGATTGATCCTCATCGCACCCAGTGCTTTGGCATATCCTATCACCGGGCCTTTTGTCAGTCTATGAAAGCTGTGGTAGGGCGGCAGGTTGCAGGGGATTGACCTTCAGGCGACAAAGTTTGCCGTAAGATGAGCAGGATGTCATCCCTGATTTGTGGAGTGACCTCATCCAGCCGTAGGCCCTTGTGGCTCAGCAAAAATTCCGGGTTTGACCACGTGCGCCATTCTGGCGCATCAATGTGATAGGAGACTACCCTTCGATTTTGGTCCGAGAGATGATCGAGTAAGGTTGTAGCAGCCCCTACGATATCATCGATGGGTACCCCTTCCTCCTCTAACCGATAGAGATCAGGTCGAATGGATCCTGAGGGTCAAATTAATGTCACAAAGCATTCCATCATGGGTTCGGACGAACCGTTTTCTGTGACTCCTTTCAACGGCTCTTTGGCAAGCTCGAGCCAGAATTGGTAAAGTGCAAATAACCATGGCGGTTGACCGGATTCTTTGAAATTTTGGGCATACTCATGAGCATTCTGCTTCGCCATGGTGGTGAACCTTGGGAGGCTCAAGTCGGGTAGGTGGTCTCGGAAGTGACCTTTGGTCATGATTGTAGCAAAAAAGGGGTGTTGACTTTGGTCTAGTCTTGCTCGGCTTGAGAATGACAGAAAGGCAATATCATTTTGTTTTCCGCTGTGATCGAATTTATATTCTCGTTCGAGAAGGCGTTTGCTCAGACCACGAATCCGTCACGGATTCGATGGCCCGGCAAGAGTGTTCGGGGTGGGGCCGAAAAATGAATCATGCATCATTTGTCAAGCAGTGGTAGACCTCTCCTAGCCGTAACTGCTGCAAAGGCCAATATCCTATCGACTGTACGAGTTAATACATTAGTCCTGGCTTCTCCAGAGCGAGGTAAGATTGTCCGCCAGCCAATCGGGAACGACTTTTCGGAGGATCGGAAAGGGAGGATGTATGACGGCTGCAGCGGGGGTGGTCTGAGTAAACTCAGTGGGTGTGACCGATTTGACCACTCAAGGCATCGGAATTCGCACACAATCCGGATTTGTTTACCTCCGTTTGACTAATCTCTATTAAAGAGATGATGAAACTGCCAATCTTCATCTCGGCCTTTCCAGTCTTCGTGTTCACAATAGTGCGCCCACTTGTCGGAAGGCTCCTCCTTCAGATGGCATGAGTTCGGCAGTATTTGTCGCCATCTCATTGTGAAGCCTCTGCCCTTGGCTTTCGTCCGCTCAAACATGTATCTCCTCTCCACGTCGCTGCTTTCCTGCCATTTTCTTTCTCGTATCCAATAATCCCAATTTCATCTCTTCCATAGAGTGGTTAGGTTGAAACAATGTCGCACAATAGGCCGATGTGAGAACCTAGACGCTTGAGAGCTTCATACACTTTGGACGGCTTGGGATAGGATCCTAGGGTGAGCCAGTCGCCGATACTCGGTAAACTCGAGAGCATCCCTCAACGTCCTGATCTCCATGGATCGTGACGATTCGAGGGAAGCACCGTGTCAAGATTCTCTTGTTGGACGGTCAACCAAATCCCGGCCCGACCGCTTCGACGAGCAGGGGTTGGTAAACAAATCAGTTGGGGAAGGGATGTCGGTGCCTGTCTGAAGTTAGTCATCTTTGTTCAAAATACGCAGGTCGCAGGCAGACAAGCACGGTCATGTGACGCTGTCCACAACCCGAAAGACCGGTTGTGACCTCAGAACACCATACGGCGTCTTTGTTGGCCAGGTAGAAAGTCATCCACAAAATGGTCTCGTCTCCCTGCATTCATACTCCTTTCGCGTCGTAACGGCCACCTGCCACCATTAAATCCGCCGAGTCGCCTAGGCCGGGAATACGGTCCTTCTTCAGCTTTGACGTGATAGGTATGGCTCGCCGCATTCTTTCACCACCAACCCTTCCCGCCTCGTACTTTCGTTCGACACGGACCTCTTTGATGCCCACCGGATGACAGCAGTGCTGGAGGCTGCGAACTTTTTGGAAAAGGCTAGAGACCGATCATCGTGCCTCCTCGAGGCAGGATCAAGGTCGTGATCGCCCCTTTGACCTGTGTCCCCGCATCTGGCACAGGAGAATGAGGTATCTCACGAATTGTATCGCAGTTGAGGAGCTCGATGGCATCTGTGTGTGACATACGAACTTTGAGGAGATGGAGCATCAAGACATGAAATTGTCGAAGAATGAACGCGGTCGATAACCTCTGCTGATGGAAATCCTTGAAGGGAAGACGGATTACCACGCTTTGTAGTCGTCGAAAAGGCCCCATAAGCCTGTCGATGGCGTCTCCATGGACAAGTCCCATAGATGTTCTAAATGTGGAAGAAGAGAATGAGCACGTCACCGTCACGCGGTCTAGGATGTTGTCCACGTCAGTGATAGTGAGCGAATAAAAGGGTTGTGGGTCCTCGTCTGTCATCATCAGGACCTGTGAAGCAAGAGCCCTGTTTCTGATTTTCTTGTAGGCGCCGCAGCTCGGAGGCGTGTGGTACGACCCAACCCGGCCGCCTCCGTGGCAATGCTGTATCTGATCCTCGACGAGGAATTGACTTTGAGTTTCCGCATTCGGGGACGAGGTTCTTGGAGCGCAACCCGAAATCATTCGAACATACCATCAGGGTATCCTCCTGCCGCTGCTACTGCTTCTCCTCCCCAATTCTCCCTCCTCTTCCACTAGATGCAATTCATCGGTCCACGAGGCAGACACCACCACCGAAGTGCCTATGCTGCACTGCCTCCACGCAAAGCGGCCGGCTTCGACGAGGGAAATTAGTCACATCGTCCACTCATCAGATTCCTGCTCTCTTCACCACACTCCTAGGCTTTCTCGATAGGCTCTGCTCTTCGCTTGACCTTGTCGAGTCAGGCCAATCCCAACACAGGAGGCAACCAAGTCCTCGGAGCAGCTAGAGGGTGTCTTCTCAACTTTCCCAGATTCGAGATCCACGAAATGGCAACGGAGATGGTATTGACTTGCGCGTGAGTGACCATTGTAGCCGTCAGAAGCAACGCGAGCTCACCACCAACCATCACGACTTCGATTGTCGGAGCGAGGCAGGCCTCTTTGGCCGTTTTCGATGAGATATCTGCTCGCCAGCGGTGGTATAAATGATCCTCTCTTCAGCATCCGACTGACCGTTACCCCTTGTCCACACTCAACCTGTTCTACGGAACTTAAGCTATTTTGAAATGTGTAAAACCGTATTATGGGATGGTAGGATGGTATTATGCGTATGACCACGGGATGAGGGAAGGTTCCTTGAGAGAAGTGTATGTCAAGAAGAGAATTCGTGGTGCTGTACGCACGTCGCACATCCCAGTCACGAGGATCCCGAAAGTCATAACAGGAAGGGCGAGGAATCTCAATAATGATGATCCTTTCAAAGGGGGGTTCTCGATTCTCGATGTGCATGTGATGCAAACCGCAGTTGGGCAAAAGTTGATCCCCCATTACATAGGCCAATCAGGTCCAGCCGCTGGCTCACCTCTGGCCACCTCTGACGCGGCGACGCTCACCCGCTAGAACGGGACGAGGAAACGCGGTTCCAACCAGATCTGGGACGTAGCTATGAAAAAACTTTTTGGGTTCCTTTGGTGGTGGGGAAGAAAGACAAGGGTCGTGATTGGGATAAAGGTGCCGCTGGCGGCAGTTTTGGCTGGAAGCGGTGGTACAGCTACGAGCCACCCCCTGGAGTCTGCATCCACATTGATCCACTCTAAAATTCTCTCGCACTGCGGCCATTGTTGTTCCAGATGGTCCTTCCAACTCTGGTGGCCAGTGTGTCGACAGGAACTTTCTCCAACAAGCGCTTACTCGGCGGGATTAATGATACTTGGCTCTTTTTCCACTGGTGGATGGTCGCCGTCGATTACGTATGATAGACTGACTCGATCAGCTCCCAGCCAATCATGATCCCAGGGTTACGAAACTTCCTAGGCATCATTTATCTCCAAGAACAGCAATGGTTGAGAAAGGAAACCTTGTGCACATTTCCGATCCCGATATCTCGCCTTGTGAAGACTGGACATCGACTGGCTTTTATAACAGGAGTTCCTGGCCCCGTTCGGTTGGACAGCATGGATCCCAGGGATTGTGTCACATCCTCTTGCGCAAATAGATACTACCCGTCACACCACGCATGGCGGCACGCTGCTGTGACTTGTAATTATTCCTTCTCCTTCTGTTTCGCCGTCGGAGGAACTGTTCAGGGAGGGAAAATGAGATCGAAGGCACTGTTGTTGTTGGGCCGGTGATCCCTGACCTAATGAATCTCCCAAGCTAAATCGGATATAACGAGCAGATGTTTGATAGAGACGAACTGAGACTGGACAAAGAATGGAGCCGGGTTGGTGTTACCGGGAAAAAAAAAAAAAAAAAAAAAAAAAAAATGTTGGCGAGGGTCTCCGTGCGCACGTTAGGCTCAATCAAGAGGGTTTAGGCGTTGAGCCTTTCCAACAGTGGCCTAGCAAGAGATGCCCAAACGTAAGACCTTACCGCTGAAGCTGCTAACTGGCTCCCTAGTGCGTGGCTTTGCGACTGATTCTCCGGATCTCTTCCTAAGAGTCTCTTAACGCCATCCGCCACAACAGCTCGATGCGCTAGCCTTCCAGCAACAGGGAACCTTCTCCCTTCTCCCTCCATCATTCCCAACTGCAACCCGCTAGGATTCATTTTTCCTTTTCACTCGTCGGATACTTGTGCCTCCTCGATAAGTTTGTATCTTTCATCAACTCAGAAAGAATACCTGTCCCAGACCCCCCCTTTGGCCGCTTCCTGAGTCTCCAAAAATACCTCACACGACCAGTGAGGAAATAATTCGACCCTGAACTTGGTTCCCCTTAAGCTCTCATCGCTGCGCATTTGCTCTCTCTCAATCTTTTTCTGCCTGCGCCTGCGCCTGCGTCGTCAAACAGCAACCGTCAACCTCTCCATTCCCTGCTGGTGAGCAGTCTGCTTACCGCCGTTTGATCAAGCTCGCCAGTCAAGTGGTAGGCCCGAGATCTTGGACGCAAGGAGGCGAAAGCTCAACCAGTCAAGTTGATCCCCCTGCACCCTGGCTGCAGAAATTTGATGCATAGTGATTGCTCCACGCTGCGGCACTGGCACCTTGCATTACAGCCCACGCATTCCCGGCTACTGTCGCCTATCCAATCACGCCCTCACCGATCATTTGCCCATCAGTCACACTTTGCCCTCCCTGGCAGCAGCCTGAATCATCATTCATCCATCCAACACACACACCACAATACTTCCAACTCCGGCGCCTGTGGAACACGACATTTTCCTCTCTCCCCTTGGCGATTTGCGACTCTTCTCCTTCCCCTTCATTATACGACCATTCGACGAGAACCTCCTTTCTCCCGCCCGCGACACATGACACTTCTTCACCATGCCTTACAATACTCGTCGGAAATCCCTCTCCTTGCCCTCGCTCGGCATTCATCTGCCTAACGCCTCTCGCGCTCACCGCCCAGGTCCCAAGGCTACACCAACCCCAGATGCTGCTCAATCTCCTCCCGCGAAGAAGTTGAAACGTTCTCACGAGGCCGACGAACCTCTCTCACCCGTTTCCTCGCCACGTTCCAAGACTGGATCGCCAGCAATTGACCTCCCTACATCCACGCACCCGGTGCGACGAGATGCAGCCGAACAGACTCCTCCCCCTTCTCCCAAATTTGCTCCGCCGATCCGAAAAGTCGACACAGATGGTATCCACGACGATATTGTGATTGCGGTGATTGAGCAATTGGAAAAGACGGGCAATCGACCACACCTCATCAAGGACCTCGCCACCATACTGGCCTCGACGAATGTCAGTATCGCGCAGTATGTTCCCAAGCATCAGTTATGGCCCCCTTGTTGCTAACATTCTCAACAGTTCTGCCAATCCCGCGGCCTTGCTTTCCTCCCGTCTCAGTCTCTACCTGAAGCGACCGTGGACGGCCTTGTCACCTTGCCCGCTAGCCAAGGAACTCATACCGATTCATCCGAGGAAGGTCTTCTTTTTCCTGACTACTCAACCGCGGATGCCTTTGCCTGAATCCTCGGATGACATCCTCCCACCTCCTTTGATCTCAATCAAGAACCTCACCCCTAGTGTGTCCGATCACAGCCAGGTTGACGATGAGTTGGAGTTGGATCACAGAGAGCGGGTGCGTTTGTCTCCAAGCCCCGAAGTGGAACTGTATTCCCCGGAGCTAGATCATGATGATCCGATGGAGCCCCCAACGCCCGGTGAGTATTTCAGTGCTAGAAGCAGCTTGAATCCAGACGGTACATCCGATGTTCGCCGAAGATCCAATCGTGCACCAAGTCCACCATTGGAGGCGGACGAGCGAGGCTTTACCGAGACCGCCACGGCTGTACGGGCGCGTGGCATGAGTCTACACAATCATATTGTTCAACCGTCTGTTGAAGTGGACGAAAGGGTCCAACCCGTCGAAGTGTCAGAAGAAACTCCCGAGCAACGTCAGAAACGCGATCGAGAACTCGGACTAGCTCTCTTTGGTCAATCTCATCCCGGTCTGCACGCACCCGGAGAGAAACACGTTTCCGGCAGTCCGATGATTCCAGCAAGACAAGATCATCAGAATGCCATGATTAAGATGAACGTGACCCTTCAGCTGGATGATGTCGAGATGGGAGATGCGTCATGGACTCTGATGAGTCCAGAACAAATCGACGTGGATGAACTTGATACGTTGTTTACGGGATTTTAAACCCAAGTCTCTGGCCGTGGAAGTTGGGCTGGAAGTTTCCCTCATCTCACCTCACACACTCCACTTTCAAATTTTTGCTGGACTTTCTCGGGGCGCAATTGATCTTGAAGATCTACCCACGGCATCCAAGCATGCGAGGTGGCAGTTCTTCCCCATTCGAAGTTTGTACCATGGCGAGGGTGGTGGAGCTTTGGCCATGGTGTCTTTTCAAGCGAAGGGAAAAGATTGTTTTGATGATAGAAGCAAAGTTGTTCTTGTCATGACACACTGATGTGGAGATGAGAAATACGTGTAGTATTAGATTAGCGAGTGCGTGTCGGCCGTTTGAGAAAATCCACACTCACCACTCGATGGTTGTGATGGCAATGTACTATGGAAATATCGAAAGACGGATTCTTCATCATTGCCTCCCAGAACATCATTGTAGACTCTTCGATCCGTGACTCCCTTCCGCGGCGTTGGGGCACGGATTCAACCTATAGACGAAAGAAGCTTTGAATGATTACAGCCGTATTCAATTGATCCAACAGTTATGTGTATACATGCTATCTCCCTCTACCCCCTTACCTTCTATATATATATGTTTATAAGTCGAACCGGATCAGATCAACTGAACACCTCTGAGCTCCAAGGAAAACACCAAGAAACTTTTTATCTTCCCGTCTATTCTTCTTTCTGTCCCCTTCGGGACTTTCCACCCACCCTATTCTGTTTGATGGTGACATAGACCAAAAAATATAGCCGATAAGTATGCGCGCAGTGTATTATGTAAATCGATCGAGAAATTAGTCTCGAAATATCATAGACAATGTCCAAGACGATGCCAAGGACATAAGAAAATGAGTCCCCAAATCGAATGCAGTGCCTGTGGATGCTGATGCAATGATCCTGGAGGAGAGGAACGAGAACAGGGAAAAGGGAAAAATGGAAATCAGCGAATAACGCCGTCATCCTTCTCCTTCTCTGCTTTTTTCTCAAGGTTGATGGACTCTGGCGCCAGCCCCGTCACTTCTGGTTCTGGGCCAGGGCCATGGGCAGTTTCCAAATCACCCCCCGTTGCTCTCTCCATGTCTTTCTCCGTGGCGTCGACGGGAGGCTCGAGGACACTTCCCTCTTTGCTGCCCTCGGGGCTGGCGATTTCTTTCTTGCCCTTGCCATTTTTCTTCGGGACACGGACGAGCCAGTACAACGCAACAGCGCCCGCGATGTTGAAAACAATGTACGCCCACATGATGCCGAAGTTGCGCCACATGTACTGTGGGTGTGCGGAGACGCTCGACAAAAACGTGTCGGTGCTGGAAATCCGGCAGAAGCTGCAGTTGCTAGTCGCAGCGGTGTCTTGGAGGTAGCCACCGAACGCATCGATATAATCACGCATGTAGGATCCACAGGTCTCGCCGGCAGGAGGCGAGAAGTGCAGATACTCGTTCGAAGCGCAAGTGACGTCCGTATGTGCTACAGCCGTGGAAAGCATCCCATCGATGAGATAGGTAAATGGTGAGACGCGATACATAAAAATCCAGAAGCCGGGGAGAGCTGTAGGGCCGACGAGGACACCGCAAAACACAAGGGTGAGTGAGAAGGCCAAATTGGCCATGTTGCCTCCTGTCTCAGCATCTTCAATTCCTGCAATGACCATGTGCGCGAAAGTGGAAGTGAACAGTAAGAAGGAGAGGATGAGGAGGAACATCAAGGCACCGCGTTCGTGGACCGAGTCTGTTGGTTCCGCGTTCTCATACAGCCCGATCGGATAGTACCAGGTGACGAAGATGAGGATAGCGCAGAGCATGGACCAAGGTAGTTCGACAATGATGTTGCTCATCATGAATGCTTTCCACGAGTAAGCCTTGGAGGGGCGTTCACGCACTTCGTACAAGGATCGCTGCGTTACGAACAGAGGCATGATTTGTTGCACCAGTTGGCCGAAGATGGTCATCAGCATGAAGATGCCGAACATTTGGTTCTGGAGACCTTGCTGGGTATTGCGAGCCTTGAAGAAGGAGAAACCAATAAAAAGACCCTGGAGAGGCGAGAGAGATTAGCAGATCTGGTTCGTGAAGAGAAGGTGTATCCTGGTTGTCAAGGGAAAAATATGCCGTTTATCAACGAGAAAAAGGAGTAACTTACAGATGCAACGCAGAGAGACAGTTTGCTGTAGATATAAGAAGGTGTACGCCAGTATTGTTCAAAGACACGTTTCTGCACTTCGAACAGCTGCTCCCAAAACGGTGCGGCGAACTCGCGATAACTAGACTTGTCCGCGGCATTAGAGGTGGCGGGAGCAAGTTTGCATCGGTCTCGCTTCATTTGTTCCAGCTCGGCATGTACTTCTCTGATTTCCGGCGAATTTCGCCAGGTATCGACCCAGTCGATATCGGTGTGCGAACCCGGGGCAGCGCCAATGACTTCTAACATCCACTCGGCCGGATTGGCGTCTGGAGGACAGTGATGAGCGCCGTTTCGTTCGAAGTAACTGGTGAGGATCTTGGAGGATTCACCGACCGGGCCGAAGTACACGGTACGTCCACCCGTGGCGAGGAACAAAAGACGGTCGAAGCGTTGGAAAAGCATGGCCGAGGGCTGGTGGATGGTGCAGAGAATGGCTTGTCCATTATTTTTCAATTTCTCGAGGAGATCAAGGATCGACCATGAGGTTTGCGAGTCGAGACCGGAAGTCGGTTCGTCCAAGAAGAGTAAGAGTTGGGGTTTCGCCGCCAATTCCACACCAATGGTCAGACGTTTACGTTGTTCGACGTTGAGACCTTCGCCGGGTACACCAACAACGGCGTCGGCGAAGTCGGACATTTCCAGGAGCTTGATGATTTCGTCGACGTAGGCCAATTTCTCTTTGCGGGGGATGTGAGCTGGTTGACGAAGGAGGGCACTGAAGTTCAGGGCTTCTCGAACCGTCGAGGTTTCCAAATGAAGGTCCTGTTGTTGAACGTAGCCCGTCTTTCTTTGGAAGGATTCGTCTCGCTGTCGGCCATCGACCAACATTTCGCCCGTAATGACGCCCATGGTCACGCGAGTCGCGAGGACATCGAGCAGTGTGGTCTTTCCGGCACCAGATACCCCCATGAGAGCGGTCAAAGTACCGGGCTTGACCCAGCCGTCAACATGATCCAGGAGTCGTCGTTCTCCTCCTTTCACCTTGATGTCGTAACAGACGTCCCGCCATTGGAAGATCGCGGTTTGCTTCTGGATGATGCTGGACACATGTTCGAGCCGATGATCGTTCTGTGCCGTGACCGTCGCGTTACCCGCCTCTGCATCGGGCGGAGGATTGGATTTGAAAGCGGCGGGCTTGTGGCCGCGTCGGAAAACCAGAACTTCGCCCTTCGATTTCTTGGCCGCCACAAATTCCGCCGACACCAAGTAGGTGCCCATGAGACCGATCATGAATGCGATGAGAATCCCAAAGTTCCTCCATCGGTGCGAGGCGTAGTACTCGAAACTGCTATTGATATAGTCGTCTCCGGCAACATATGTTTGACCAGGTCGAGAGCCCACCGCGGCGCACACTCGGTTGGAACTGCCGTAGCCCGGTCCGGATGGAACGTAATCGGCACAATCATAGTTTTGACCGGAGAACTCGTTCACCATCAGGGCTTCAAATCCGTAGGCGACGGGATCAAGATAGTTGATCCAACGTGCCCACCCCAGCATGTAATTGACTGGAATAGCAAATCCCGTATAGATCACAATGGCCAGAATCAGAATGGCGGCCGGGGCCAACGCCTGACTGAGGGTTCGCGAGACGGAAGCGATGGTCCGGAAAAGCATGCTCATGACCAAGGTTAAGAAGAACGAGATCAAGAGGAAAAAGAAGAACGCGCCGGGCTCTCTTCTCAAATTGGTCATAAAGTACAGTGTAATGTTAAAGACGATCGTGTTGAGAATCTTATAAGGCATATCCGTCAACATCGATGCAAATGCCTCGGCGGACGGATGGTACAGAGCGTATCGAGCGTGCTTCTCGACAATCGGACGTTGTGCATACAGCGTCAGGATTTCCAAGGCCGAGCCGAAAGCGTTCATCAGAATGGCGAAGAAAAGCAAGGCGCCGCGGGAGTAGAAAGAATTGGTGGTGGTGTCGAGATTGTAAAAGATGGAACCGATGATCAAAGCCATGATGCTGTTGCCAAAGAGCTGAGTAAACGTCAAGCTCGGGTCGGCCATGAGTCGTCGGAAACCACGCCAGAGACAGAGGCCCACCTGTTGCCCGTAAGAGAGGGTATAGGGGGACGACACCCGTTGTCGTTTGGCTTGTTGCAGTCTCCTCGATTCCTTGAATCTCTCCAAATCCGGTCCGCCGAGGGGATGATTCTGGTCGAACGCTTCGATGTCCTGGAGAAGCTGAGCCCGCTCGGGGCTGTCCTTCCAAGCCTGAGCAAACTCGTCCGGAGTGCGGGGCACTTTGTTCTCGAAACCTTCCCGAACGATTCGTTCATCCGGACTGGTCATGGAGGTCAAGAAATCCGCGGTGGTCTGACGATCGGGACAATGGAAGCCCATGCGAATGAAGTAATCTTTGGCATCGCCCTTCTTTCCAAAATAAATCTGACGTCCTTCGTACAGCACGATGGCCTTGTCGAAGATGTCATACGCACTCTGAGGAGCCTGGTAGATGGCCACGGCGGCCGTCGCGCTGAGAATGTCGGTGGATGCCCGCAGAGTCTTGCAAAACTCGATGGCGTTGGCACTGTCCAAACCACGCGTGCTGTTATCCCAGCATTGGAGAGGAGACATATTCAAGGCCGCCTCCGCGATACTGACTCGTTTTCGTTCGCCACCACTGACGCCGCGGACGAAGTCGTTGCCCACGCGCGTATCAAAGGTGTGGCGAATGCCAAAGGTCGCCATGATGACGTCCCTCATGTGAGCAGCGTACGCGTCTCTCGAGACATTCCCAGGACGATGTCGGGGAGCTCGGGCGCGAGCGGCAAAGTAGAGCGTTTCACCCACCGTCAACTGAGGGAAATGGACATCCTGTTCCGCAGTGTAGATGGCCTCGCCGCGGAAATGTTGGTGCATCTGCTCAAAGCTGATACCTTGGTAGTTGATGTACGAGTCCTTGTCCACGTTGAATCCGTGAGTCTCGCCCGCGAGGGTCTTGAGAAACGTGGAACAGCCAGAACCCGGGGGGCCGAGAACGACCAACATCTCTCCAGGGTAGAGGACACCATCGAAGCCACGGAGAATGTCGATCCGGCGTTGGCCCACCCCCATAAGTTTGCGGGCAATCCCCAGGACTTCAAAAATGACATTGCCGACCGATTTTTGGTAGTCGGTGGCGGCACCGAAGCCGTGGGCACTCAGATTGCGGAACGCGACCCCGGCCGTCCGGGCGAGGAATCGGTCGTCAGCTTGCTGGAGTTTGAACATGGCCTTGACCCACGCTCGCGCGCGGAAGTTGTCTGAACTGGGGTCGAGGATCGAGTCAGGCTCCGCGTCGAAAGGGTTGACATTGAGGGAGAAGTTGGAGGAGCGAGAGAATTGACGAGCCAGGTGCTTGACGCGTTCGTCCTCGCCTTCATTGTCGGAGCTGCTGGAAGATTGGGGCTTCCCCGTCGGTTCCGTCGCGGCATGGGAGGCAGGAGGGGATTGATGGGGTCGGTCGGTGGATGGACGGGTTTCCCGTGATGTTGTGCGAAATGGGAGGTGAAGGGGTTCCCCCTGGCTTGCCCTCCGATGGTGACCTGGAGCCCCAGGACCCTGAGTTTCGACGCTGTGGTCGTAGTTGGACGTGAAATTCCCCACCAGGGACATATTGGAATGGTCCTCGGCCGTGGGAGGATGTCGAAGAGGTACCAGATTAGACGCTAGATTATAGTTGTGACCAAGTGGACAGGCAGGAGACAGTCATGAATGAAGCGGTGCAGCGTCGATCAGATTCGTGGGATGGTCGAGCTGGCCGGAGTCTTAATTACAGGTTTCTCAAGGCGAATGCAGATAGAAAAAGGTTACGAATGCTAAGGAGAGCAGAAGGAAAGGACTGGAAGAGACAGAAGCTTCGACGCCAGAAAACGATACGAATATGGATGTCGACAGCAGCAAAGTAGAGTACAAGCACGCGAGTAGATCAGTGCATCGAATTGCCTCCGGGAATCCTTCCGAGATGTGCACGGGATCGGATGCTTGGCGGGCTTGCACAATTCCATGCAAACCGACCTGTATTCGGAAAATGGGAAATCCGTCACCGCCAACCGGGAGCCAAAGCGCTGTGCTAGTTCCGTAAATTCCTTCCAATTCCATTGGTCCACAAGCGGGTTCCACCAAGGATTGCGTTCTCGTATTCTTGGTAATCAGCTCTGTCTTCCGCGCCACCTCGCGTGGTTGTAAGGCGAAGGGACAACATTGATATTTCACTCGAGACAGTCGTGGAGTAGGTGTTACCGTCATTGCCAACTTCATACTCTTCCCCCTGCGAAATACCTGTATGAATGCCGAGTTATTCCCAATTTGGCAGTGTTTTTTATGTTGTTTATTTCCCCTTTTGTCCCACCAATTTCACGTGCTTGTGCATAAAAAACCCACTTGTTTCATCAACTTCACTCGCCACATCAAATACGGCGTCTCCGGTCCAACCGTAATCTATTCCATTTGTGGTCAATTCGTCATATTTCTCCTCGTCGATGACATAACGCTTTTCTCTCCTCCTTTCTGTCCTGCGCGAGAAAAATTATTGACCCTTTTCCTCCCATCTTGAAGCGCCGGGTCGATCATTACATCTCCCTCAGGACGACTGTACCCCGGTTCCTTTCTCCGCAAAAAGGATTCTGTCGGCTGACAACGAGGTAATCATCCCGGCTCTCGTTCGCTTACGGGCACACCTCACCAGTTCTATTGTTGGGATCCCTTTGCAGACTGGGGTCTTGGCTTCCCACAACCAACGGGAATTTTCATGTCGCGCGATAAACACCGACAAGTTAGGTCTCGGGCGTGGTTGCTTCGGGGTGTCCGTCTACGTGTGCCTGCTTGTCGTCGTCCCAATGATCCGGCCCGGCGCGATGCATTGGCAGCGCGAATCCAAGGGTCCAGTTCAACGACTTGCCATCCCATTAAATTCCACCTCATTCCTATGTGGTGTTGGGTGTGAATGATTGCTCTTCTTGCTCTATCTGGCTCCCCCCTCAGCTCTTTCCTATCCCCAGAAGCCTCGCAAGGAAATCCACCACGGTGCCCAGGCCACCAAAGAAATATCCCATCCCAAACGACCATTTTCTGACCCTCACGGTGTAGATGAAGAAATACGCCAGCAGCCAATTAGTGAACACATACACCCAGAAAACGCCACAGTCCCCCCATTTCTCATCCGGCTCGATATTCAAGGTCGACAGATATTCCGCCCCCGTGGCATACGGGCAGTGTGCACAGGTTCCGTTCGACGTGGTTGAGACATATCCCATGCCCGTTGCCTGAACAAAGTCTCTGGCGTATGACTGGCAGGTCTCACCGGGTGGAGCATTGAAGAGCGTGCTCTCCCCGGGAGCGCATTGCACGGTCAGGTCGCGCAAAGTGGCCGCAAGCGTGCCACCGAACCAGTATGTACTAGGGATCGTGTAGTATATCCAGCATCACCAAATGGCGGGCATTTGCTCCTATGGTCTGATAATGCCGTTGAAGTTGAAAACCAGGACAAAGAGGAAGGGCAGCATATTGCTGATGACGGTGAAACTCGGGGCAAACGCGCAGATCCATTGACCCCAGCCCGATATGAACAGATAGAACAGCATGGTCATCAGGAACATGTCCCCTGCGTTACTGCTGTCGCGAGGAAGGTTGGTCGGGTAATACCAGAACAACCAATACACCGTCGAAGCCACGATGGCCATGGGGATCTCGGCGACCACCTGCGCCGTGCAGAAGGCGATCCAGCCGTAAATTCGGGACGGATATTCACGCGCTTCCCAGAGTGCTCGATCCATGTAGAATTTCGGCACCACCCCATTGACAATGGTTGGTGGGTGGGGCTGACTTTGGGGATCGTTCTTTCTTGTGACGCTCGATTTCCTGGAGCATTTGAGCGTTTTCCGTCGACTCATGCCATTCTTTGCTCCAATCGACTCGTCTGCCGTCCGCTCCTCTGTCCCACCTTTCGCCGCGGTTTCGAGGGTGAACTCGGCCACGTTCTTGTTTGGTGGACAGTGTGTTCCTCGCTCGGCGAAATATTCAGTCACGGCCGATCCATTCTCTCCAACGGGACCGAAATAGAACGGGTTTCCGCCCGGGTTCAGCGCCAGGATCATATCGAACTGCTGGATCAACATCGACGAAGGTCGGTGGATAGTACAGATGATGGCCGGGCCGGGCCGTGACAGTTTCTTCAAGAAGCGCACAATTGAAAACGCCGATTGTAAATCCAGCCCACTGGTAGGCTTATCCAGGAAGAGGAGTAGTTCCGGTTTGACGGCCAATTCGACTTTGTTCGACACCGAGCGAACTAATAACAGCATCTTGGATGTCGTAGAGTTCCAGCAAATCGATGATCCGGTCAACACAATCCAGTTTTTCTCGTTTGCTGATATGGCGACCCTGTCTCAACACAGCCGAGAATTCGAGAGCCTCACGGATGGTGGCTGTCTTGTCATGTAGATTCATCTGTTTGCAAAAGCCCGTGCCTCTCTGAAATTCAACTCCCGGAGGCTGGCCGTCCACGAGCATACTGCCAGACAGCTTCCCCACCGTTTGTGGTTGGACATACCCGTTGATGCCGTTGAGCAACTTCTTGGTTCCGCTCTGACATGGGACCTCGTATTGGACATCCTCCCAGGTGAAGACGCTCGGGCTCCTCGTAATGGTGTCCGCGGTTTCGCTTGTCTCATTCAGGAGTGTCTCGGTCGATCCGCTCCAGGTAGGCCCCGCGAGTTTGGCTGCCTTCTCTTCATCTGCGGGCTGGGTTTCTTCCTCGACCATCTTCCTGGCCTTCCGAGTCTTCTTGAACACCAGTGCTCCCCCCACCACCTCCGGCAAAGGAGAAGAGTTCGGAGGCCAACGCCGTGATAAGAATGAACAAGACGGTAAAAGCGGTGACCACCCCGAAATTTCGCCAGAGATGGGATCTCGAGCAGCCGAATGAGGTTTCGTAGTACGCACGGCCGCTGACGGTGTTGCTGCCCAGCGTGGAACCATCGAGGTCCGGATTGGCCATAAAGTAGACGATGATCGTGAACACCGCGGTCTGAACTGCAAGGACGGAGCGATCCAGGAGCACTCTGGCCATGATGAAGACCTTGGTGTACAGTGTGGTTTTGTCACCCCGGACAGCCAAAATTCGCGGAGAGTGCAAGCCAGGACCTGACGCCAGAAAGACACTGTATAGCTGGATCGAGATGAGATGAGTCTACTATTGCTCTTCTGTCCCGCAACAGCCTCTTGGAATTGTCAGGTATGTGGACATTCTGAATGTCGAATTTCGTTTTCGTACTGTTCGGCCTCCGCAAGCACTGGCTTGTAAAGGTCAGACTGGCGGAATGCGGCCTCAAGTTCTTCGGCTGTCTTGAGGGTCGATGCGTCTTTGCCCGGCTGGAACTGGCACTCATTGGGATCTCCCACCGATGTCAAAAAGTCGGCTGTGGTTTGACGGTCCGGGCCATGAAACCCGAGGTCAATGAAATATTGGCGCGCAAGCTTCGCGGGACCTTGATTGATCATCCGGCCCTCCTCGATCACCAAGACCTTGTCCATGAGTTCATAAATACCCTCCCCGGCATAATCCAGAGCCGTCGAGGCATCGAGTCCACGAGTCGCATTGTCCCAACACACCACTGACGACTTGATGGCCGAGGCCTCAGCAATACCGACTCGTTTTCGTTCGCCTCCGGAGACCCCTCGGACATACTCGTTTCCTCCCAAGGTGCCCTTCGTATGAGAGATTCCAAACATCTTCAACAGAGTGTCGATGATGATAGGGATGGATTCTGCTTTATGCTTCCGTGTCTTGTTCATCAATGCAAAGCGCAAGGTCTGCCACACGGTCAACGTGGGTAAATGCTGATCATTTTCAGGATTGTAGATGACTTCATCTCTGTAGCACTTTCTTTGTTCATCGGCCGAGATACCTCCATAGCTGACTTGGCCTTCTACCCTAGCAAAACTCTCCCGTTGATTCGCGATTACTTTGAGGAATGTGGAACATCCGGATCCGGGTCGACCCAAGACGAGCATCATTTCGCCGTCCCGCACAGCACCCGAGAAATCGGAAAGGAGATCGCGTGTTGGGGGTTGCTTTCCAAATCTCCAAGCCGATACCAATCTGGAGACGGAACGATAAAGATCGGGGCCAAACGGGCCGATAATGGCCTCTGGCAAGGTTTTGAGAAATGTCGCTTGAGCCCCCACTCCCTTGACGGCTAGATTCTTGTACAGAACGCCGACCTCTTTGGCCGATTCTCTCACTTCCGTCTGCGTTTCGAAAGGACCGTCCTTCAAGAAAGCACCGAGATCCCATTGGTCCTCACCAGTGGGCTCCGGGCCAGACTCCAGATTATCAGAGGACGTGTCGCAAGTGAGGACGTTCCCGGGCTTCTTGAGGTTTGAATCTCCTGTAGCAGGGCGCTGTAAACTACGCCTGGTGAGGTCTCCCCTCATCTTCTGGTAGTCAGCATGGCCTCGTTGCGACTGGCGTGTCCGTCGACATCGCCTTCACCCCAGGTTCCTTCCCGCTCCCAGATCTCGCTTCTTGATAACCGAAAGGAGTCAGTGGGTAATTGAGCTACGCTTGTTGCTTGGGATTGTTGCTGAGGGGAGCAACGTGGTGAAGATCAGAGAGCGGTGCTTCGCGGGGTCAGTGACCATGTGAAATGGAATCATCTTGGGTCTCAAACTCACCCTCCTGGCAATAAAGGCACCGATACATCCCCCGGCCGCGTTGGCTGAGCTCTTGACAGCTTTCCTCTCGCGGTCTGAGTTGCCGGAGTGATTGCGATGGGGAAGGAATCGACTATTTAAACCCCAAGCTTTGAGAGCTTCCCAAAAAAAAGAAAAAAATAGAAAAGGGAAAGGGGGGAGATTGTCAGGATTTGGAGTTTTGTCGCTGGAGGACAAGATAGGGCAACGAAGGAAAAGTTCAGATCGATAAGGACCTATAGAGGAAGAATATGCGAGGAAGACGACGAAGCGAGCAAAAGCAAAGATTGAGGAAATCCGGTGAGGTGGAACGGTACTAATGGATGACTTGACATGATATATTGGGATATTGAACATAGCGGAGTTCTTCGACACTGACCGGAACGCCTATCGAGACTCAATAGAACTGTGGGAGAGGTATGTTTTGGTCTGTTTGGATTTCCAAGCCAAAAGGGGCGTGCATGCCAATGCCGCGCCTCGACAGGTGGAAAAAGGCACCGAGATGCGTGCGCACCGAGCCCTGGGTTCAGGCAGGAAAGCGCAAGCATTGCTTTGAGATAGGTTGTGTCCAAGTGTCAAGACGTCCAGGAGCCAATGGTGGCGACAGAGTATGACACGCTGGGAATGGGGTTAAAACAGGCGACGTGACATGAAGATGATGTGAATCAAGCTCAACAAACTGCAGTACTGGATGTAACGACGGAAGTCATTAAGCTTGGGAGAAGAGGGGACGGGAGGAAAGAATGACGGAGGGGAAAAAATAAAATATAATAATATACCAAGCCATGGAAGCGATGGAATAGAGGGCTCGAGTTATGCAGTGGCCGCATGGACTCGCCCTGAAAGCCCGACTTGGGGAATCTGGAAGATTCCCGTCTTCGGCCCGTTTGAAGTAAATTGCGCCATGTTTCGACAACATGGGCGGTTTTGACCATCCGACCGGCCAGCCGAGATTAATCCGAGACCATGATGATCACGTGACTTGGAGGTAAGCACCGGCGATATTAGGATCGATATTCATATCTTCAGGGAAGCCCTTTATTGTCCCCGAAGAGCACAAGAAGGCGAGTGACCCTTTTTGTTATCTCGTTTCCCCATCAAGCATCCCGTTGTTGTTGCTGCTCTACTACTAGCGTCGTTTCAAATTTGCTTTGGGCGATCCAGTTTGTCCCATATGTACCGTCTAACAGACCATCTTTGTGGATCCAATGTCGGGTCACATCTTTGAACACAGCAACAGAACCTGCAATCCACTTTCGTTACTCGTGAAGAAAAACTCATCCATTATATCCCCCTCACAACCAAAAAGTCACTCCGGCGCCAACGGAGATCAATGCAACCACCGTGGCCACGATTCCAGCGTCATCCAACAAGGGAGATCCGGAAGCAATTCTGCCTGCTGCACCTTGGGCAGTGGAAGAACTGGCGGCGCCTGAGGTAGTACTTTCACTACCCGAGGATGGGGTGACTGTTGAGCTGTAAGTACTACTGTTCGGCGATGCGGAGCTGAATAATCGTGATGCTGTCTTTCGAAACACCACTGGGCATACCTGCTGAGACGTCCCCTGTTCCCATCGTGGGCAGAGGGGCGCCGGGATTCACCGTCCATCCTCCCGGGGTGGAAGTCGGGCAAGCCGGCGGAGAAGTCGTATATGTCGCCGCGTATTCGGCCGACTGGACTCCGGTGGGATTCAGGGTCTTCCACTGCTCTGAAAGGTTGCTAAAATCTGGTTGCACAGGTGTCGGAGTCCCTTGACGGGTGAACCTACGTTGGTCAGCTCGAGCGTACACACCAATCACGTTGGTCAGCCATCGTTACCCCTGAATGATACTTGATCCTTGGTTCACATCACTCCCCAGCGGCGGCCCATAAGAGACGAGTCCATATTGGTTCATTTCCTGGATCCATTCATAAATCATTGCCCCCGACCACGTGTCGACCATGTCAGGACCAAAGATCGCCGCTTGGTCATTGAATGTTCGTGGCGGAACTGTATTGCAGCCATCTTCCGAGAAGAAAATCGGCACCGGGTAATTTTCCGCATCTGCTTGAAGACCGACATATCCTGAGGACCGGTAAGTGGGGGTGGACCCGCACCACTCGTAGCTGTTCAAGGCGTAGAAATCGAGGCGCTCAGTCACGTTAGGACGGCACACCAGGTAATTCTGCAGCATCGGTCGCAGGACAGCCGTGTCCGTCGCCGAATAGCCAACGGGAATCTTGCGGTATCCTTTGGTATCTCGATATGTCTTCAGATCGACCGCAGCGGAGAGAAGGAAAGGGGCAGCTTGGGCATCGGCCACTGGGACAAGAATTGTCAGTGTTATTCCCCGTCAATTTCCAAAGCCCCTTGAACGTACAAACATTGAGAACCTCGTTGCCCACAAACAACCCAGCGGTGTTGTCGTACTGTTGGAAATTGTCCATGACGGCGCGATACGACGCAGATTTGTGGGCGGTCCACGAGGATTCGGTTCCCTGTGCCATGTCAGCTAACCCCGTCTCTTATCACTATGGCCGTTCATCTATACGTATCGAATGTATGTCTTGAAACTGTCCATGTCCACGAAGACATAGATCCCGGCAGCAGCGAATGCATTCATGCAGCCCCGATGATCCGCCGAGGCATCCACATGATAGACTCGGATTGCATTGGCACCCAACTGCTGCATGAGAGCAGCATCCAGTTGACATTGTGTGGTATTCACAAGAGGGTCGTCTTCAGTCAATTGGTAGGCAATACCTGCAGAGGGGAATGGGTTAGCGATCAGACAAAGGCCTCCATGGTGACATGAGACTTGCCTTTAATAAAGAATTGATTGCCATCGCTAGTGAAGAACTTGGAACCGACTGCAGAAATGGTAGGAATGGCGTCGACCGTGGCGCAGAGGGCAGCGAAAGCTACCAGTACAACTGCAGGCAGAAGACCCATGGTTCTCAAGCTTCAAGGTCTGCAGTTGGGTGGTTTTTTTTGGTTTTTGCACCCTCTCAAAGAAGTGCTAAGCAATATCAATGTGAAAGCAAGAATGGCTAATACTTTTTTTTCTTTCCCCCTTCTCAACACGAAAGTATTTTTGGTGAGATCGGAATCAACGAAGAGATCTAGCAAAATATCACCAGTGAAGAAAGGATATGTACTAGAGGCTGAGAAAATCTCGTCCGAGGCAATTATTTGGCTGGGGTGAGGTATTATCGAGTGAAGCGGATCAAGGACAATCAGCGAAGTGCAGTTTCAAACGATGGGTAGTCGGGACCTTTCCTCCCGGAAGAAAGGCGCGACAACAGCAAAAGAAAGAAGAAAGGAACGATATAAGTCTAACAACAGCGAAAGACGGTATTGACAGAAGGGAGGAAACGAAGAGGGAGGTCTCAACTCAACTCTTGAGAAGAGAAGCGCAGTCTCAAAGGTCTCTAGCAAAGTCCATTCAAGGTTCATGGCGGACAACCAACAGCACCCTGAAGTGCGCTCCGAGTAATCAATCGTAATCAAGTATGAGACGGACGCTTGGGTGATGGCGGGAGATAGCATGAGAACAGGATTTCTCCCCATGAGGGCAGGAAAACCCAGGCCAACGAGATAGGGAAGTTTATCGAGAGCGGTGGTCCGTTATGAAGATGTACCTGATTGGCAGAAAAGCCCCGAGCGCTAGCAGATTGTCTAATTAGAGAAGCCTAAGAGAAGCCTAAGAGAAGCCCGACCAGCCTCCCCCAACGGTGAGCTTGATAGGGAAGCAGCCAGTCACAATGAGGTTTCTATCGCGCCCCACAATGAAGCCTCGGTCCTTTATCGTCAATCTCCGTTCTTCAGCCCGAAGCTCACACCTTCCCTGTTTTGGAAATCGCTAAACACCCTGGATACCACGTACCACGGTCGGCATTTCATTCCTCAGGCTTCATCACACAACAACCACCTTGAAACACATACCATTTCCCTTTTGGCACGGACACTTGGCCTTGTGATGATGACCAACGACATCCTGTAGAGAGAAACTGGAAGGGTTTGGTGATGAGTCACTCTTATTCTACTTTGCTCGACAGCTTTCCAGTCGTGAAACGTGAACCACCTCATGCAGTCGCAAAGCCCCGTCCATCACGAGCGTTATGAATATAGCACAATCCAAAAAGCAATTGCTCAGCCCACTGGGTATCTCATTTCTCGTCAACAGTCCTGTAGCTCCAGCGAAATTCATTCCAGTGCATTTCCTGTCTCATACCCAAACGCCTTGCTGACTGACTTGACCTGACATGACATGCATAGCATTGCTCTCTTTTTTGATACTCCCAGCTCCATGCAAAAATGCCTTTCCAGATTACACAATGGTGCGTCGAATGACAAACACTCCCACTTCTATGCCCACATTCCCTGCGCTTTCTCGACTTTGTCGAATTCCTTCCACCACTTCGCGTGCCAACATGCCTGGAGTGACCTCGACATGGCCAGTTCTCGATGGCATACGGCCACCAGCCTTGTGATAGTCCACTAAATGTTGTCGTAGTCGGGGTTGTTCCTGTTCGATATACCAATCTCTCCACAGAGCACGGTCAAGGCTGACTTCTGCCGTTTCGGCATGAACAATCTCATATCGATTGGGAATGCCGCGTGACGGCGCTCTTTGAGCCAGGGCCTCGCACATGGCTGCGATCAGTTCCCGCGTTTCCTCAAAAGTCTTCATATTCGCCACCGCGGCCATCCGACCGAGTTGCATGGCCACGTCGGTGTAGAGCCCGTTCAAAAGGATGAATTGGCGCAGAAACGGCTCGATGACAGGGCCAATGTATTTGTTCGCAAAAGCCACGCCTCCCACTTTGGTGGGATAGATAAGTAATAAGGACCCGTTGTTGGAGGACAGTTCGAGCAGTCGGTCGGCGAGATACGATCGCCTGCTCAGTGTGAAAAAGTCGGTCACTTCCTGACCCGTCGTCGGTGGAATGTACCGCTCAAGGATAGAGATTTGGATGCTGCTGGGTGCCGCGATGATGTTGGTGGGTCTCGGGCCAATGTTGGCGGATGATGGTGATTGGGAGTGATATGCCGGCACGACCGCCGCATGAGTGAAGATGGTTTGATCCTGAAAATAGTCATCGCTCGAGTAGCTTGCATTAGGAGTCGCCGGAGGAGAAGCCGGAACTTCGTCCATGCTGATTACTTGAGAGACAGCGTGTGTGATGGTGATGTATGGGGGAAATGTGAAACGCCCTTGGACTGCTTCGACCACAATCTCGAAAACAGGCTGGAATTCTGACGATTTGGCCTGGGAAGGCAAGGTTTGGACCACCATCTGAAGCTGTTGCTGGCTCCCTCCATCCTGAACGACCGAACCTACTTGATCATGTCAGTGTGCTCCTTAATTAGGACGGGCCGACTCTTACATAGGTGCAGGCAGGCCCGTCCCAGCCAATTCGAGTGGCTGGGCTCGTCTTGCCCAATGTCGGATCGTTCCGGCATTCGAATCTCTGATGGACGCGAGGTCGAACTCGGGCGAGGCTGGCTATGCGGAGGACTTTGTGCGCGGTCTCGTTCGACGTCGGATTCGGTGTGCACACCTTGATCTGGCTCGGTCTGCAACGGAAGATCCCACTTGAATGGATCCAGATCTTCCGGCGGTGTGAGCGGAGGGACAATTCCACAAGGCCCGTTTAGAGACTGTGCAATCAACCGAGACGGACACGGCCAGGAATGTGATGCCCACGGTCCGAGAGAGTATAATCGAGAGGCAGGAGGAATCGGGATCGGTGGGAGGTTTCCAGAGGGCGATCGATTTGAGGCTTCGAGGCGTCGAATCCGTTGCTCTCGCACAAACCAAGCGGGGACGTTGAAACTTCTAAAGTGAGGAAGTTTCAGGGGCGGCCGTCGCTGGACCAGACAATCTTCACGCTTCATGGTTTTCCCTTCAACGGATCCCAACGATGAAGACCTTCTCCGGATGATGGGTCGGGCAAGTCTTTGCGCGCCCGCGCCCTGCCCGTCACCACTTCGTGATCTTTTCAAGCCCAATCCTGCAAACACAGATCTTGAACTATCCATCAAACCATGTTCGATCTTTTCCACCACTTCAATGACTCCGCGCGTATCTTCACGAGACCGTCCCTCTGTGGGGGAGGTCAAAGAGGCCTCCTGGACGTGGAGAGCAACCGGAAGATTTTGGGGAACTGCGAGCACTTCGTCGTCCTGCGACAGAGGCTGAGAGGTCATTGGCAAAGACCGAAACGGTATGCTGCCGCTGAAGATGCGCTTCAAAAGATACGAGGTCTCTGAACCCACTGGCAATCAACAACCTTGTTTCCGTTTTGGCGAGGCTGCTCGCAAAAGAAAAATGAACCGAGCCGATTAAATGGATAGCGAAAGACAACGACGGTTTGAAGTGGTCACAGAGATCAAGGGCCAACTGTCAAGCAGCTTTTAGGCAAACGAAAAGCTGTGGAGGACCAAAAACAAAGCACGGACAGGGCAAAAAGGTGATCCGACGGGGTTTGTCAGGCAGAAAGACCACCCGGGACGATGTCTGACAGGATCTGAGTGAGGGACACTGGTTGGAGCGTTTGTAAGTGAGTAGTATCCACGCATTTGAGCTCCGGTTACGTGGACAGCTCGATGGACAGAGGACAGTTGGTCTGTGAACTGTGGACAGAAGCCAGCAGAAAGTTCAGGTCGGAGTGGGAGAGGGACGAGGATAGGATTTAGGCACAGACACAGACGTTCGACATGCAGAACATTTTGTGGTGGAGCGACAATCCCTCACCGTGGACAGGTTGGCGTTGAGGAATTGCTAGGAATTGCTGAGCATGGTAGCGACACAGGGCAGCAAATTGGGCGAATGGAGGGCCGCGGGTGGAGGCCGCCCCGTTCTAGACTCCCATGGATCGAAAGACTCACCAGGGGGATGTGGCATTAATTCGCATTGCCGTATCGGCCGTCGGGAATCCCTCTGTTAGTCCTATCTTGTCTAGCAATGGACCAGGGGACCAGGGACTAGGAACATTCGAAAGACCGTGACTATATTTCTACAACAAGCCGCAGACAAGGAGTTGAACTGCGATGAGGATCCTTACCGGTTCGAATGCTGGGAGCACACAAGCTGCGTGTGCGAGAGCTTCGAAGCCCATTCCAGGCTCGCCTGCAGAAAGCAACAATTCACGCATCGGCCATCCATGCACCCAGCCATGGAGCCACTCCTCCCTCGAGCACGGGCTTTCTCAGGTCGGCACCGGACACCCTGTGGCTCAGTCCTGCTGTTAGACTTTGTATGTCTCTAGGCTGAGGCCGGGCGCCACCCTTCTCACATCAGCGCGTCGCTTCGATACGAAACGGTTAGTAGATCCCAAGGTCATGCTCCCAAAAAAGACTGTTGCCTGTTAAATAATATGGGATCGATCGCACCTGATTGATGATAACTGACGCCACTGTGTTCTCAGAGTCGGCATAGCGTCGAGGATACTGGTCATCCTCGTACTGCACGTTAACCATCCCCGTGCAGACTTGATGAGTTTTTCTGAAGGGGAAAGAAAAAAAGAAAAAGGTCGCGTTCGCAAGCCCGGCTGTTCGCCATCCGTCCCCATAAAATCCCCCCACTATGTCAGCTAGTGTGTCTGATATTGAGTTGGGACGAGCCTGGGCACCCGAAAATGGACAGTTGCGTTGCCCCTCGTTTTGGGTTCATTGGAGATCCAGACGCAGCGGCGGCTCAGATTGGCCTGCTTATTGGTGGTTTCGCTGGCGAGGGCTTCGTCAAAGAAGGTCCGAGCGACGCCCAGATTGCTTCATTGCTTTGGGCGCACCGGGCTTACCAGACCAAAGTTGGGGGCTAGTTAAAACTCCGCATCAGAAAAGGTTTTCCCATCAAATATTCTTCTCACCCTGTCGATCACTTTATCCATTCCCCAGTCTTGGTCTTGCCAACCCTCCCACGTTTGTCGTTGTGCAGGACTTTTTTGCGCCTCTACATCTTCCAATGTTGCCGCATCTCGACACATCAATTGTTGAAAACGGGAGAATCGTAGACTGCGATCACTGGCAGCTGAGCATTAGCCCATAGGCCTGGATGCCAACAATCATGGCGGGCCATACACCATTCAATGCGGAACATATCGCCATGGCAACAGCACTGATCTTCGGAACCTATCGCCCAAGTTGGAGAGTTACATAAGGAGGAGGATCCCTGAAAGATATCAGGGCAGTGCTAACTTCATCGTCTGAATCGTTGATTTCGTCAGCCTCTCAAACATACCCCGGCTGCTCAAAAAAGGAAGCTATCTGCACAAAGTTGGCAATGGCACGTGTGGCGAGGCATCGTGCCGATTGCTGTACACAAGCAGCATGGCCTTTGTAACAGGCCTGTATTCCAGCTCAATGGGCCATTGCTCACCAGTCGTTCATTCTGTCGCACGGGCCCCTACACTGGTTTGACCTTTTGACGCGCTCGATCCTGTCATGGCGGTGTAAATTTGGAGAAAGGGTCAATGTTTGCTTATATCATGCGACGACAATTCTTTGGAGCACCTCGGCTCTTACGCAAATACCGTTCTGCCGCCGCCTATCCTCAGCCAAGCACACCTCGAGGGTGCATTTGTTCCAGAACAGGTGGTCGCATCGGCGGACTTGGTTTATTACTGCTAGGTCTCTACCGAGAACACTATGTTCAGTTGAGCTCTGAGGCTGCAGAGCGAAGGGGCTCGATCTCTGTCGAAGTTCAAACAGAACAATACTGCACCTTTGTGTGCTTCCACGTAACGATTCTGGTTGATTATTGCTCTCAGCAACAGTAGAGACTACCGCTAATTTGCAAAGACCTAGTGACAATCTCATCCACCATTGAATGTGATGCGACCGCCTTTCCACCCCGTACTCGGTATGTGGCCGTCGCGGACGCGAAGAGCTTCAATCACTCGTTTGCTTCGTCGGGGACCATGGCCGTCCACGTCCATATGTTCGAAGCCCAAGACGAATCGACATGCCCGGTGCCAGGAAAAAGCAGAATATCCGATTGACTTCCCTTATTGTCCTCCCAGAAAGTCCATACTCCGCGACCTGGGGCCCAACTGCCGATGGTGTAATTAAAAGTCCTGAAAGGCCCTGGGCCGAGGGGTGCGGGTGCCATCCAGAAGATCTTGGAGTTCATATTATCCATTTGTATAGGGTACAGTACGCATGGTTCGTGCCAGTCACTTTCAATCCGTCAGTCTTGTCAAGATGCGCAAATGGGGTGGAAGGGAACTTTGTACAAATTCTGGCAGATATACACAGAGCGATCCGCCACTGACTCGGTGGATGGTGAAAGGCCCTCGGCTTGATCGGGAACAGGATGGGGCTGGGGTAATGCATTGATATTATGCGGAGCGATGTATAAGAAAAGATTGACCAGGAGCTGAAGTGTCTCCATCTTGAGAGTCGCAGTCAGTGTCATTATGGGCAAAGATCAGGATTTGCACCGAGCGAGAGACCATCTCCAGAGCACAACCGGACATTTGCTCTTAATGGGGAGGAATGCAAGAGAGACTAGGATCGTGATTGTGACACAGACCAAGAAGACCTCGTGCCACCAAAGTTCAACAAGAGTCAATATCGCCATCTCGCTGCCTCTGGGCTACGTCGGGCGGGAGGCTGGCAGGACCATACTCCGGTTCAAAGAATATCAGTGCATTCTCCTCGACTCTGTAAGTCTCAGACCATCATATCAAGAATAATTTCGATGGCCGTGCTGGAGCACAAGACCTGTGGATATCACGTGACCACACCGGTCCTCAGGTAGAACTCCCGATGAGAATGTCGAGGGAGAACGAGCAAAAAGGATCGGATCCATCCGATGGATGCCCCCAGATGCACGGAGGAAGTTTCTGTTTCATGTCCTGCAGCCATGATCCCTACATTTGGCGGCTTACGCTCATCAGGTACGAGTACGGTTCAGTCGAGACGTCCGGGCAGGTTCGGTCTACTGTGTTCGGTTGGGAGGTGAATTCTTCTCAGTTATCATGGATCGACTAATTGTAGGCCCGTATAGTGTAGAAAGTATTGCACGCGTGAGAGCAATTTCTAGTATCTACCCATCAGTTTGTACGGTTCCCACTGCCACCACCCGCTTGTTGGCAGTTTTCTCCATGCTTAGCTCTGACTGGGTGTTTAACCGAATCCATCGGACTCCTGAGACTTTATCCCCCAAGCAAACCGTGACAGGCGCCGCAAGGCAAGCTTCCGAGATACGGGATGAACATTGGCCTCGCTCCCTCGCGGAAGTACGCCTTTAACTTATCCTTTATGCCTCATACAACTCACTCAGTCCGTTGAAGCATGCACGAGGCGTTAGGCGGTACGCCCCACCATCAGCCCACAAGAATTAGTGAATGTTCATTTCTTCTTTCGTCTTAGGTCCTGTTCTCCTGCGACTAGCACACCTACACCCAATAACAAATTGAAGTTACACCGCAGGTTTTTGAGTCGCAGCGGAGTGGATTCCTCGGGGGGCTTTTGACAGGCGTAAAGTGGCGACTTTTTAGAAATTTAGGACAACATTTTCTTTGCTCCACCTTTGCAATCATGTCGACCTTTTGCAGTTCAAAACCTCGCGATCACGTGATACAAAAGCCCCTGTCTGATCTCGGAGGCTAGCAACAAGAACTCCCGCCACAGACCTGTGAGTACTTTCAAGTCGACAGGAGAAACAGGGCCTTATTTCCTTCTGAGAGTCTGCACGGTTCGATATGTTCGCTTGCTCTGATAAGGCTGTCCACTAGCCAGTCAGAGAAAAAGCACCAAAAGGAAGGATAAGGGCACGTGGTGTGGCCTCTGCCCGTCATTAAATTCTGTACATTGTCTTCTTTTCTTTTTCTCTTCCCCTCCCGTTCGATGATTGGCGACCTCGACAGGAGGCACTGTCCCTGACCTTTGAAGCAAACAACATCAGACTGGAGTACTCCGTAAGACACATCTTTCACTGCCTCACTAGCCCCCCCTGTCGCCGCCGCCACCACTATTCGTCACCATCATCCCGCCAAGGTCGCCAACCCGACTTGAGGTCTTGCAGCATGACCCTCATTCACCATCCAGACGACTCCGTACCCCAACCCACCATCCACCACCGTCATCATCAACGTTGTTATCAGGAACTAAAGTATCATCCGTCTAACGGTGCTCACTCCACATCTGAGATCACCCCGAGAGCTCAGGGGCCCTTCTTTTTTTTTTTTTTTTTTTTGGATGGCCGTGTCGCTGATCTGGGGGGAGGGGATTCTGTGTATCGAGAAAAACTTTCGTGTTCATATGCTTCCGATCCGCCTCCCATCTTTGCCATCCCCCCCGGTCTTCCGATATTATCAACACCGATCAAGGACCTTGGCTTGGCCACAGATGCCAGACTTGACAGCAGAGGTCAAATTTACGATGCCTGCCGCTCTCTCAGAGCACGCGAATCCCAGTGCTGTGAAGACCGACTACGAGTAGCCTAGAGCCCCTCCCCAGTTCTAAGGGTAATGCGATTTACAAGCTCAGTCTTGACGTTGCTTGCCCCTGTTTGGTCGAGATAAGAGGTCTGTCCGTCTTACTGTTTTTTTTCCCCCATTATCTCGCCTCTGCCCGGTGACCCGCCTCGCACCCCCACTCCGAGTCTACCACTATCACACGCACAATGCACACTCTCGCCTCGTTCTTGGTCGATCTCTGTTTCTCCTTGGTCTGTACCGACTCTTCGCCTTGCGCTTCTTAATCAGGCGGCCTGCCGGTTAGGATTGAGCGAAATAAGAAGACACAGGGGGGAGGGCTTTCCTCCATCCTTCGTTTCGGTCCCGAAAGTATCACTAGGCTCTGTTCTATGTTCCCAGACGCGAAGCAGTTCACCACTAAAATTGATCTGGAGCAGTCATGCTTTCCCCGAGTTCCTGCTAAATATGACTTCCTGCCCACTTTCCACGTGTTTGTTTTGTAGCCTTCCTTCCTCCACCGGCTGCTCTTCGATGATCCGGCAGCCATGGGCAATATCTCAGTGACTCCTCCCAACCAAAATCCAATAACATCTGCTCTGCTCTTCAGGATCCCACTGGGCGACATCTGAGCGGTTGATCGACCGGTCAGTCATGTCGCCGACCTCTCCTCCCTGGTGGACGGATGAGCGCGTTGATGAGACCGTCACCTCCGCCTATGTGCATTCCCATCTCCGGCCCAATGAACAAGAACTACTGCAGCGCCCTTTATATTTCGGTGGCGACCTGACCGATGACACCTATCTGGACTGGATATTGACCCGAGCCAAACGATTCTTCCTCATCCTTGTTGCGACGGGAGTCCCCGACCAGATATTCGGCATTGTCGATGACTCTTATGACGACGAAGACTTGCCCATCGTCGAGCATGCCGTCCCCGATCTTCGTCTGTCCTATGAACCCGACCGCGCTCTCGACAAACGGTTCTATAAGAACCAGTTCCGGTTCCTCACTCGTGTTGTTGGCGAAGGCGAGCACATCCGCTATGCGGATGAAGAAACAATCCCCATCACTCCTCTCAGTCTGAAATCGGTGGTCCTATCTCTGGGTCAGGAAGGGACCGATAGAGTCCGCCTTCCGGTGGACCCTCTCAAGGTGTTTCTTCGCCGCCGCATTGTCATTGCCCCGCCCTTGACTGAAGAAGAGATCCTGTCCGAAATCGCGGCCAGCAGAAGACTATGTCATCAGCACGTGGCGTCTGTCTTCGGGTCTTATCTACATCAAGGCACGTTCCACGTGCTCTCTCTACCCGCCGCCGAATGGAGTCTCAAGACGTTCCTCACTGACACGCCCAAATCTTTTAACAATCTACCCAAGACCGAACGTCGTCAAATTCTTATCAATTGGCCTCATTGCTTGGCCAATGCCCTCTCATGGCTTCACTCCAATGGCGAGTTCCACGGAGCCATTCGACCATCCAATATTCATGTCGATGATTGTTTTCACATTTCCCTAGGATTGTTGGATGGAGATGGTCTGTTTCATGATACCGCTAAGCCGGATGATATCGAGGCCTATCAGTACGGTCCTCCCGAGAGATGGAAGAGGGCCGTTACAGTCCAAAGTACGGGATCCGCTACTGTGGCCCTTCCGTCTGGCGGCCGGTCTACGCGGAGACTCGCCGGATCCGAAAGATGGAATGCTTCAGACGGCCAAAACAGCGTGCGGAGCCGATCAGATTCACCGGCGACCACTTACACATTCCAACCAACATCTAGAGGTAATTACGCCAGATTGCGATTAAGTGCCGCGATGGGCCCGGATGCTCCCTCTACGCCTACTGTCCCAGGACACAATATGTGGACACCGCCGGCAGACAATAAGTCGATTGCGACTCAGGATACTGCCCGGAATATCTATGAACCCATGGTGCCTGGAAGAGCTCCTTCGATCATGTCTTTCAACGGCAAGAAGAGTGGTTCAACATTCGGCAGTCAAATCTTTGTCTCGTCGCCAGAAGGACGAAGTGCGGTGGTTCAAACCTGGCAATCGGTTGAACAGGATATGTTTGCGTCCGACATGTTCTCCCTTGGCGCCGTGATCTTGGACATTCTGAATATCCTCTGTAAACGCAGCTACGGCTCATTTTCGCGGCACCGAGCCGCCAAAAATCGAATGGCCGGTCGAGGAGGTGGTCTAGCAGATGCGAGTTTTCATGCCAATCTGGGCCAGGTGTTTGCCTGGGCTCATTCTCTACACCAAGAGGCCGAAAAGAAGATGAAGAAGGACGAGAGTCAGGTCTATCATGCTGTTGGCCCGGTGGTTCAGCTGGCATTACAGTGTCTCTCGAGAGACCCTGCAGCTCGTTTGACCAGTGAGCAACTGGAAAAGAGACTGGGCGGGTACATTTGCCGCTTCGCCAACATCCCCCATCTGCATTGTGCACCAGAAAAAAGCACCGGAAACAAGGAGGGGAGTGCCAGTATTCCCGTTCGCCCCAATAATTCCTCCGCGCGCGTGATGAGAGACAACAAATTTTCAGATCGACTACGTCAACCTTCTCCGAATCCACATACCTTAGCGACGGAGCGGCGACAACGGCAGGAACATCCCATTCTTCCGGAAGCTCAAATATTCCAGTCACCCCTCAGCCACACCCCTCCCAGCATCAACACGACCCCCGGCACCACCTCTGCCAGTTCTCTCACGTCCTTCAACTTCGATGGGCTCTCCGATACCGTGGTTGCGGAAAGTCCACGATCTCGTGAACCGTCTCGTCGTCGGCCCAGTCGCCGAAAGGAACCTCAAATTCCCCACCACGAGGTGCCTTGGTCAGATGAGGAAGACATTCCGAAGAAAGCAGCTTGGAATCTGCGGCATAACAATGACAGTCAGGTGGACCCCCGACTGTCCTTCGGGGAGTCGGTCGATACGGGAGCCTTTACCTATCTAAATTACAGCACCAGCGCATCCTCCGAAGAGGGAGTCAAGTATTTCCCTCGGCCCCCTTCTGACCCTCCGTCCCAGGCGCCGACACGAGAATTGCCTCCGATACCACCCATCCCAGCCAACACCCGATCGGTAAAACCCAAACATCAGGTCCCGCCGGTCAAGACACAGCGCAATGACCTTGCCATGCTCAGTCAATTGTCCAGCGCTGCCACAGGAGGACATCCCATTCGAGTGGACAGTCTTCCCAAGACATTGGACCATGACCGTGACGATTATCACGATATCATCCGACACACGAGGCGTCCACATACAGCCAAAGCTGCTTCTCGAAGTCGATCAAGGCAAGGTCATGACCGTCCGTTTGTGCTTCGGCCAGCGGCATAAGCCATGGCTTTGAGGAATAGCCCACAAGAAGCAAAATCAGTCCAACCAAGGGCCAGGCCTTCTAATTACGGTGACAGACATATAGTTAAGATAAGCCCCCGCGGTTAGCGAAGGGCGCTATGTGTGCCCTTTTCTTTATGTTTCTGATTTTACGAGAGGATGAACAACCGGCACATTTCTTTTGGAGGGAATCACTTCAAAACGTTACGATCAAGGGAATATGAATTTCAGGACGACACAAGTCAGCTACCCAATCATACCTCATAACTTGTATTATATCTTGCTTACCATCCTACTATCAATTGATAGTAGAATCTCATACTTGACCATGGAGCAAGCCATCAAATCACAATTTCCTTGCACCCTAGAAACTACCTCAACCAAAAAGCCGGTCGTCTGGCAGATCGCACACAGTGGGAGATGGCGGCATTTCGAATTGAATGTCCACTTTGAGAAGGTCATTTGCCCCCTGAATGACGATAACATGGTGGCGGGGCCCCCTCGGCAAGGCTTAATGCAACGAAAAGCATAGGGTATTGCAGACACGAAAGGGGTTACTAACAGGAACTAGTTTAGTGGGGTGTGCGACCGTCCGGAAAGGATCGTCCACTCATGATTGGAGTAAATGGTAACTAGACGGGGTTTGTTTCGCTTAATTGATAAGAGAAAAAAAAAAAACAACCCAGCGAAAGCCGGGGATGGAACTAATTGCGTAGCCACGTGGAAACCCTGGAGTTGCTTTTTCTTGATGGATGAGCCAGGATGCCCCCGTTGCTCGCTTCTCGTGTTCAAATTAGAGGTGGCCAAAAGCGAGAGATCTATCGAACTTTGTGGACCCGCCATGATGATGACCTAAGCTGCATTCTACGGTGGAGAAATCGCAGCTTGACGCAGGTTCAGCTCGACGTTGAATACTTCGCCGTAATTCGCAAACCTCTATCATCGAGATTTGTTCGGTAGATAACAAACTTCAGCGCCGCCGCCCTTCATCTGGTCTTGACCTTTATCAGCCTGCCTAGATCGGCCTAGATGCTCATGCCCCTCCAAACTCCGTGTCGCGTGCCCGGAGGAAGTATGAAGGCGGGCTTTGGCCCGAGGTCCTGACCACCATTACGATACATCCTGAGTGAACCATGCCAGTGGGGAAAAAGAGGACTCGCGAGCAAAAACCTAAGACCAAAACTTTTACAGGGTGGGAACGTCGATTTCCTCCGGATAAACGATCTGAAGCTGACCCCTTGGGTATTGCTTCGCAGATGTTGGACTTGCCGAGCGCGAAAGGTCAAATGCGACACCACTCGACCAGGGTGCAGTCGCTGCCAAAAGGCCGGTTTGCCATGCGAAGGCTACGATGTGAAATTGTACTGGATCACCGATGAAGATACCGTAGCACCCTCGGCCATCAAACGGCACGCAGTATCTTTGGAAGGTAGGCGGACTCCAAGGACCAACATCCACTCCTAGACCTTCTTTCCCTGCTCTCATCGAGACTTGTACTAATTACTCATCCTTAGGATCCAGGGCATGGTCCTTCCCACTCGGCGACATTGATCAACAACTTGCAGATATCGATGCTTGCGGCGAAGGTCGTTCGGGAGAATTACCCATCTCAACCGGGCCGTTTGGTGTGTTCTATGCTCGAGAGCCAGTCTTGAGAGCCCATGACGCTGCAACACTGGACAATGACGAGTCGACTCCTTCCACAGAGACAATCGTCCAAGAATACCACCCTTCGGAGAGTGACAACTATTCTAAGGACGATGTATTAGATCCAGATACGCCGACAACAATCAGTTCTCCAGCCAAATCAAATTGGCTGCTCCAACAGATTTCGTCAACAAGGGAAGCTTCTCCATGCGTGTATGAGCTTCACTCGGGTATATTCCATGATCCCATCATCGATCAACTTATGGAGAACTACGTCCGCAACGTCGCCAATGTCCTTCCACCACTCCCACACCCGGAGAATCCGTATTCGTCGATATATGTTCCGAGAGCCATGGCAGGCGCTTCCAATCTCATATTGGGCCTCAACTGCGCCGCCTCTGAAATGCCGTCGAGCAATGTGGCCATTTTTTATGCTCTTCTGGCCACCTCCGCATTCCATTTGCGCGGGTCCGGTATGAAGAGGGTTTCCGGCTTTGACGTCGTTGCCCGACGGTTTCGAGCAAAAGCATTCGCCTCTTTACAAAAAGCATTACAAGAACCGTACGAGATGGATGAGCGTCAAGCCTTGTACAGTCCATCGACGCCGTCCACCTCGCATTGTGAAGCCGTTATCTCTGCGATGCTCACGTTGATCACCATGGATGTAAGTGGGATGAGCTCCAAATGGATCGTGATGGTCCCCGCTAACACAACTTAACAAGGTCATGGAAGGGTCGATGAGTGAGTATTGGATTCATCTTGACGGGGTCGATCGGGTCGCAAGACAATTACGAACTGAAGCACAGGAATCACCCATCATAGAGCGCCTGATCACAATCTCGTCCTTTCTCTCGACAGTGGCGAATACGACCTCGATGGATCTGCCTTCAATACCATGGCCGGACAACAATGTCGCTACTCCGGGCCTGCGTTATCCAAAATCCGGCGTCGGACATGGCCTGGAATTTACTTATGGCATCACTCCGACTCTCGCAAATCTCATGCAACGGATCGTGGCTCTTTCCCAACACATCTCTTACTATGTTTCCAACTCCACGGCGTTTCCTCCGTCGTTGGTCTCAGCTTGTCTCCATCTTTCAGACAACCTTTCACGCTGGTCGATCGATGCCGAACCACTCTCACACCTCTTTTCCGATACCGACACCGATGTCACCGCTTTATTGGCCAAAAACCACATTTTGGCTTTCGCTCACGGTCTGAGAGTGTACTATCACACACGCATTCTGTCGTGCACGCCCTCCGACATGGCACTTTACCTCGATCGTGTCGCCAATTATCTCATCGACATTGAAGAAATCAAAACGAGGGCGGGTTATGATTCTAACATTGCCGCGACCATCACATGGCCTGGTTTCATTGCTTCCTGTGAAGCGAAACGCGGTCCTCAACGAGATGTGTGGTATCGGTGGTGGAACGGAATGTTGAAATATCGCATTGGCAATATTGCCCAGCTGTGGAATGTTGTCCAGGAGGCTTGGGCCTTGAGAGATGAGGAGGGTGTGACTGAAGTCCCTGCTTGGATGCCTGTGCTCCGACGCAGTGGCAAGCGAATTCTTGCTGTTTGAGACAGGACACACCGCAGGTTGAGAATCCCGAAAGTTGAATTTTTGTTCCTTCAGTCAACCAGCCACGACACCCGTCCTGAATTCAGGCCCTGGCATTAACCATCTCAGAAGGCCCCTCGGGCTGCATGCCCAACACCGCGACTTGTCGATCTGGGGCGTGGATTCGGCAGATGGGCCGATGGACTCACCAAGAGAAATTCAACGGGTATCGAGAGTCTCTCCAGGGGTCACTTTTGCTGATAGTCGTTTGAGGACCTTGCCTAACCTCCGAATTCCTTCCACGAGCAAATCCTCGTCCTCATAGGCAAAGCAAATGCGCAAAGCATGCTTGATGGGCACACTCTCTGCATCTCCCCAGACCTCAAAGTTTTCGCCGCTGCCAACGACAATATTTTCTTCTTGTTCTGCTTGCTGGGCGAAGGATGTGGCATTGATGTCATCGGGAAGATGGACATAAATGTAATACCCTCCCTGAACGGCCGATAGAATCATTTCCCCGCTCTGATTTTTACCGGAAAGATGTTTCATTGCGTCCAGGACACCTCCATGCGGGAGAAGATATTCTTTGACCGCCTCAAGAGCGATCTCGGATCGACGGCGATAGGTCGGAATGAGACGGTCGTTGAGATACATCACTAGTGCACCAGTTCGGAGTGTCTCAGCAATCACAGATGCGGTGAACTGGCTCGGAGATCCACCACTTCGTGTGGAGCCGCATTGGGATAATCCCTCGGCGAACCAAGCGGTTGATTCGGTCCAGCCGGTGCGCAAACCAGGACCCAAGATCTTGGAAAATGAACCGTTGCTCACAACATTGCCAAATGGCGACGACACGCCGCCGTCGAGAGTGTGGTCAACATCCACGAGGCGTGGTAAAACGGCCTTTCCAAGTTTTTTGGGATCCCAATGTAACAGGTCATAGACGTCGTCGGTGATGATCAGACAATGGTATCGTCGAGCCAGACGGACGAGTTGTTCTCGGCGGCGAAGCGTCATGGTTTTTCCCGACGGGTTCGAAAAGGTGGGCACACAGTACAGAATATTTTGGTAGAGCTTTTGGTTGGGGAAGGGTCGTTTTATTGGCTGGGAGTCCCGGTATCAGCGATCATTGTCCGATACGGCTAGAGGACTCCAGGTCAGTACTTACGCAGCGATCCAGCCATCCATTCTCCAGCTCGTCACACGAAAGCATGTGTTCGAGCCGTTCAAGATTAATGCCCTCCTCATCCTCAGGGACGGCCCTCAACCGACCAGCAAAGCCATTATCCTCGAATATGCGACAGGCCAGAAAATATGTGGGCGCGACCATGTATACGTTCTTTGTGTATGAGGGGTCGGAGAAGACTTGAAGGATACATGCGAGGCTCTGACTGGCACCACCGGTAATGGTCAGGCGAGAAGGATTGGTCCACGATGACGAGTAGAAATCGGACAGAAATTCGGAGAGAGTTTCAAGAAGGGACGAAGGGCCTGGGTCCGCACCGTAAATAAGGGCCGGGATGGAAAGGCTGGACTCGGAGAGGAGTGTGTGAGATGCAGTCTGTAGGAGGGAAGTGGGATAGAGGCGGTCAGATGGCCATCCTTTGAAGAGGTCGATTTGTGCCGAGGAGGATGCCGCCATATTTGATGGGCATAGGACAGAAGAGACAATGTTGAATCAGATAGTCAAAGGAAGAGGAAGGAAAGGTGTCAGATAATGAATGATATACTCCCTAGATGGCGAGGTCAGTGTAAGGCTGGCTGTTTTGAAAAAGTAAGTGCCTTAAAGCAAACATTCTCCTGCAACTCCTACAAAGGTTTCATCGAACCTGTCCTAGCCACTTGACCATGCGTGAAATCTCAGGCAAAATGAAATGAAAATTGCGTGGTTAAAATCATGGCCAGTTAACGTCAACGTGCGCGGAGCGAAGAACCTGAGCAGCAGTCAGCGAGACACCGGAGCTCGCTGACAACTTCTGCGCCACGATGCGGCAAATGGGGGGTTCGAGATAAGAGCCGTTAAAATTTTCCACTCCGCCCGATGAATTAGTGGTTTGCCAAGCCCTTAGCGTTCCCCGGAGGCAACCTCGAGCTGCAACGACAACTCAAAATGAGGGAAAACCTGTATTCATCTTTCTCCCAAAGCGTCTTACCTTCTTTTTGCTAAGAATGATCGCTGTCACTCTGCCCTCGTCCCTTGTCGGCAATGGCTGGTTATTGATCGAAGACTTTTCCCGGGGCACGACCAAGCGCAGACTTTGTTCCTGGGTTATCTACTGGGTACAGGCGTGAGAATAGGTAACAGCGATCCCCCTCCCTGGTTTGGTTATGGAGATGTCCGAGGTAGGCGTGCTTGACTTGGTGTTCATTCTATCGTTGATATGGATGACTTCCATTTCTTCTCTTGTCCCGACCGGCGTCGTGGTTGTATATATATATTCTCTTTGACTTCCTCTCCTCGTTTATCCAAGCAGACTCCCCAACTCCCTTCCTCTCACCCATAAATACAGACTTTTTATTTCCAAACCCCGTGTCATCATGGGCAACGACCTTGAGATCAAACAGGCTCAAGACGGAGAACCCATCTCCGAAACACCATCGCACAACGGTGATCTCTACGAACGGCGTCTCTCCCAAGCCGAATGGGCTCAATATGGCCAAACCAAACGAGGTCTCACGCCCCGCCACGTACAATTGATGGCCATCGGAGGATCCATCGGGACGGGCCTCTTCGTTGGAATCGGCGGCAGTCTTTCCCGCGCTGGTCCCCTGTCACTTCTCCTGGGTTACCTGTTCTGGGGCATCTTGTTTGTTTGGCCATGTAACTTGTGCGTCGCCGAAATGTGCGCCTGGTTGCCCGTGCGCGGGACCATTTTCGAACTCGCCGGTCGTTATATCGATCCTGCGTTGGGCTTTGCCATGGGTTGGACTTATTTCTTCGCCGGCGCCATGTTGGTCTGCACCGAATATTCTGCCGTGGCCACCGTCATGCAATACTGGACGACCGATGTGAATCCCGCCGTCTGGATCACGATGTGCCTCGTGGTTTGTTTGGTCTTGAACCTCGTTGCTGTTAGGTGAGTTTTCTCTCTCCAATGCGGCCTCCTTCCCGACAATACTAATGGAGTACATAACAGATGGTACGGTGAATCGGAATTCCTCATGGCCTCGACCAAAATCTTGCTTCTGATCGGCTTGATCCTGCTCACGTTCATCACCATGGTCGGAGGCAATCCCCAACATGACGCCTATGGTTTCCGCTACTGGAAGAATGGTCTTGCCATGCATCCCTACTACAGTGACGGCGCCACTGGTCGATTTCTCGGTTGGTGGAGCGTCGTCCGGTACGCGGCCTTCACCGTTGCCGGACCCGATCTCATCTCTCTGGCCGCTGGAGAGATCCAAAACCCTCGCCGAACCATTCCTCGGGTGGCCAAGCTGGTTTTCTACCGCCTGGTGGGCTTTAATGTGGTCGGCGTTCTTTGTGTCGGAATCATCTGCTCTTCACGCGACGCTCGACTGCTCGGCGCAATCGAGAATGGCGACGCAGGTGCCGCAGCTTCTCCCTGGGTCATTGGAATTGAAAATCTCGGCATCACCGGTCTTCCTGGATTCATCAATTTTTTGATTCTCCTCTCTGGTTGGTCGTGTGGAAACGCCTATCTCTACTCTTCCAGCCGAACATTGTACTCCCTCGCCCGTGATGGCCAGGCACCCAAGATCTTCATGAAATGCACCAAATCCGGTATTCCGATCTACTCAGTCATTGCCGTCAGTTTGATCTCTTGCATCACCTACCTAGTCGCCTCCGACTCAGCTGTCACGGTGTTCTTCTGGTTCGTCTCCCTGACGACCATTGCCCTCATCCTCACATATACGGGCATGTTGTGGACGTTCATTGGCTGGTACCGCGCCGTGAGGGCTCAGGGACTCGATCGCAATACTCTACCCTATCAAGCCCCTTTTGCGCCGTACAGCGCCTGGTTCGCCATTGGAGTTGGGTGTTTGGTCATGCTTTTTATTGGTTTCGACGTCTTTGTGCCGTGGAGCACCGAGGGTTTCGTGACCTCGTACTTTGGTCTAGCCTTTGGCGTCGTCATGTTTGTGTTCTGGAAAGTCGTCAAGAAAACGCGCTGGACTGACCCAAAGACCTGCGATATTTACAGTGGCAAGGCCGAGATCGATCAGGAGTGCAAGCACTGGGAGGAAGGCGGGTTGGAGGAGAATGAGAGACGACGACTGGCACAGATGAATTTCATCCGGAGGACTTGGGAGAGGATGTGGTAGGGCTACTGTTAGAGCTGGCACCCATCTGGCGAGAGTAAAAGATTGGGTCACCTAGGATTTAGATGACGAATTGAACAATCTATCAATCCTTTCTCGTATGATCCTCAGGTAAGCCTACCACTTCATTCCAGCATCGTTGGTAGTTTGATATCTAAATCCCTTTCCGTTTCTCAAGTGGAGAAAATGGGCGGGTTACATAATCTCACCTCACTTTGTCTCTCTGCCTTGTCTCTCTTTCACAGCAGGCTATCGTCACTCCTTATTGCTGGATTGATCCCGTATCGACCAAACTCGGGCGAATTGATGTTTTGCTTCCGACGCAAGACACTCCCAACGCACCGGTATTGACTATCATTGGGCCAGCAAGGTAATAACTCTCGAGTGCCATTGGATTTACGATCAACGTCCATCCACGATCATAACATCATCTTTGAACGGTCATGTGCTTTGATGGATCTTCATGTGCAGGATATTATGCAACGAAATTCAAGGCTCACTACCAGATATTACAGTGTCATCTGCGTCCTGGACTCTACCGTAAACGCAACGCAGCCCTGAATATTTCTCGAGACTTATATCATCTCAAACGAACACCGCTACAATTACGAATTCGAGATTGCAAGACTATTCCATCTTCAGGCGGAGCAACCCTTAAAGTGACACCAACGGAGTCGCATCTCAAAGGTTAGGTTACTCGCAAATAAGCACAAACGAACCGAACAAGCCTAAGCCCATCCTCCCATAACCTCATCCACTGACACCAGCAGAACCAAAACCAAAAAGGCTTTCCCTCCCCATCTCTCCCTATCAACCCAGATTTCCAAAATGGTGTCCTTCGAAGACATAATACTCAACAACGAGTCTCTCTCCAGCGCTGGCTCTGGCCCAATTGCAGCTTTAGCAGGCTGTACCAACGGCATCGGACTCGCCACGCTGCACGCCCTACTCAAACACACGACTAAACCGGTCCTCTACCTTATAGGCCGAGACTCGTCGCGCTTGTCGTCCATAGTCTCCGAAGCGTCCAAACTCAACGCCTCTGCTGCTCTCATACCCATTGTCGCCGACGACTTGACGTTGGTTTCCTCCGCACAGCGCGCTGCAGAAGAAATCCTCTCCCACAAACCGCCGCGTCTCGACCTCCTGATCGTCTCGCAAGGCTATCTCTCCCTGTCCTCCCAGCCAGATTTCTCCCCCGAAGGGCTCGATCGCATCACTTCGATCCGCTACCACGCACGCATGCGCATGGTCGTAACCCTCTTGCCATTATTACGCAAATCCCCTTCTCCGCGTGTAATCTCCGTGTTAGCGTCGGGGAGAGAAGGCAATCTGGATCTCGACGATTTGTCTATGACGAAGACAACTCCAGGGAAACCGTACAGCGTATTCTACGCCGTCGGTGCAGCGAGTGCGATGACGACGCTATTTCTCGAGCATCTGGCAACACTCCCGGGAAATGACCGGATGGTCTTTATACACATTTTCCCTGGTCCTGTGGCTGATACGGGTCTGCATATCCGCGATGGAAGCTTTATTATCCGCTTGCTGTACGACTGGGTGTTAAAGCCTGTGATGAGAGTAATTGGCTCTTCAGCATCGGAGGCCGGGGAGAGGGTCCTTTTTGCTGCAACAAATGGACGGTTCCGACGCGTCGAACCAGCGCAAAGGGAGAGAATGAAGGGGACTTTGATCCAGGAAGGCACGGATGGAGTGCAGGGCAGTGGTGTGTATGCGGTTCAAGCGGATTCGAGTGTGGTGACGGGCGGAGGGAATAAGGAGCTGAAGAGGCTTAGGGAGATGGGCGCCGCGAGGAAGGTGTGGGAATATACGATGGGGGAGTTTGAGAGGATTGAGACCATGAATACTCAATGAATGAAGAGAGAGGCGCCAAAGAGTGATGGAAAAAGAGAAATCGGTTCGTTTTGGCTAGCATGTCTTCGTACTATAATACAAACCACGTGACTCCGAAATGGCTTGCTCTGATTGGCTGGAAATTTTATGTAGTTCTAGATGCGTTGTGTCTACGATGACAACACCGTATTTCGGAACCTCTAGCATCGGCAATGGTCTCTATAGATTGGTCCAGACTAGGATTCAACGTGCTCGGGGTGAGACAATGTCTCGGCCCCTGAAAGCCTAGAAAGTGGGCGGCAAAGCAAGGGGGTGTCGTAAATATTCTATATAAAAATACACCATGAGATGCTGGTCACAGCGACTCTCAGAGCACTCACAATTTGATCCATTTGACGACGCCAGCAGATCTTCGAAATTCTGCTCAAGCCCCGCCCAGCAAGGAAAATCGGCCCAGCAACACTTGTAGCGTCGCCTAAGACAAGCACGTCGTCGATAGAATGAAGAACAGGTTGGGGAATAATGGTAAAGCTGCGCGTTGTATCTCGTATTCTGGTGTTTGTTCCGTCTCCTGCGCATGAATTGCGCTGACTTTAGTGGTCGAGGAAGAGCCCAAGACCTTATTGGTAGGACATAGAAGGTCAACATGGAGCCTTTCTATTCCTCAAATTCAACCTGAGCAGGTTTCGTCCACAGACGGCATCCGAGGAAACTGTAAAGCCCGACATTCTCCAGGAGTGGAGTGGAGGTGGACTGGAAACTGGATAAATTTCAGGAGTGAAAGATACAAAAGAATACCCGGTTCGGATCAGGGGAAACCTTCAACTTCAACACAGCGGCCCCTATCTCCTCTCGACCTCGCGAGGCGCCTCCAGTTGTCGCCATTGTCCTTCTCAGATGATTTTTGAACGAAGAGATGCAAAGGTTCTTGAGCCAGGGTAAGGAATGAGGAACTTGGACGAATAGTTCGTGCTCGATCACGCCGCGGCGGCCGGGTGAGCAAAGTATGAGTGTTTCAAGAAGTTGCCAGCGCTCATGGTAGAGCTTGAACGGAAAGGCCCGATGCTCATCCAAAGACCTGGAGGAAGTTGTCTCTGACTTCTTCCTTTCGCGTCGTCATTTTCTGCCGCAATCCAAACCTGTTTAGTCCTTGGTGATATGGCATACATCAAACGATTAAATGCATGGTTGTAAAATAGGATGAAACCCATCAAACCCTCAAGATTGGACGTGCTGTGACTGGGGAGGCCAACGTGCCGGAGATAGGCGTCGTATTCGGAGCTTGGGTCGTCATCAGGAAGGTATAAGGAGGTATTAAGATCGGTAATATGTATTGTCTTGACTAGAGCTGCGAGGAGAGATTTTGAACAACGTGTTGATCGAAGTCGGTTGAGACGTGTTGTACGAGACAGTTTCAATTTCTGAAGCTTGATAGGATCATCGTAGCCGACGATCTGTATGTGAGAGTTTTTGGATGCGCTAGTAGAAAGTTTCATATACCAGGTTGTACCAGCGGAGGACATTGGGTTGAAATGAAGATTCCTGAGTGGTTCCAGAACGAGTTCTAGGATTGGGGCTGGCGATTTCTTCCAGTTAATTCTGGTCTTGGGTGTCGACCTCGAAGGCCCCGTGGTACGTCTGGTCGTCCTGGAAGGCATCGAAGAAGGGAGTGATTTCATTCCCGTGGTTGGTGTATCGGTCTCAATATTTATCAGGACATGCGATTGACGGTAAATCAGGTTGCGACATGGTTGTTGGCGAGAATGACTGGTAATGCTGAGGCTGGAAATACATTGAGTAAACTTCCACTGCTCTCGTGAATAGCATATTGCTTGGTTTGGTGGCCCCCACGGGAGGGAGCTTTGAGGCTTTGAAGTCCAATGCAAGTATTCAGATTGTCTCAGACGAGGTATAGAAAGAAAAGTACAGTGGGATGCGCTGAGTGATGAGAATTATTTTAGAGGGCACCATATGTCGACATAGTGGACAATTCTGGTACCACATCACAAGAAAACCAGGCCGCTGAGAGGAAAAGAATTTTTGGATTGACACGAGAGGTCAGCAGTCGTTCTAGACATGTCCAGACGCGCAGAGGCAACGATTCAATGGGCAAGAAAGAAATGTGGAGAGACAAGAAAGTTGGAACTGGTATGGCGTCAATTCCCCACAAGTCAGGCTCGAGATGTTCTCAACCAACCCTCCCGTCCAGCTTGCTATTTTGTACTGCTAGAGCGTGCCTTGTTGTAGTCGGATTTTAGTATTAACAGGTGTCTTTGGGAACAGGTTGTGCCTTAGAGTCGGTACTGGGACGACCAAGGGTCTCTGTAGTGCACTGAATGAACAACCTGGGAAGGAACGAGGGACAAGACTGTGTGAAAATCACAAAAGCCTCATGGCCAATGCAATATATGATTAGCTGTCGATGTGCCGATGATCTATCTTAGAGTACTTGCTCGATTTGCGATTTTGTACATGGCGCTGAGTTTTTGACCCTTTTTCCGAGGAACAATTTGTTGGTATCATGCGTAGAAATTGGCCCTGAAACACGTCAGTTTCTTGGGTGAGTTAAAAAAGAGAGGAAATCATGCTCACGTTTCCTTTTTCTTAGCCGAAACTTCCACCAGAGCAGAAACATAGTCCTCATGTGTGACCTTGTTCTGTCCTTTACGAAGGGCGATCATGCCTAAGAAGGATTGTTAGCAAACTTCAGTGTCATTATGAGATATGGCTGTTGTTCCTACCAGCTTCGACGCACACGGCCTTGAGCATTGCACCTCCAAAATCTTCACTCGATCTGGCCAGTTCACTCCAATTGATGTTGCCCTCATCAATTGTCATCTTTCGTGAATGGATGCGGAGGATCTGGGCGCGAGCCTCTTCATTGGGCAACGGGAATTCAATCTTTCGATCCAGTCGACCTGACCGAAGCAGGGCAGGGTCCAAGACGTCGATTCGGTTCGTAGCGGCTAGAACCTTGATTCTTTCGTCCGAGGCGAATCCGTCCAGCTGATTGAGAAGCTCCAACATGGTTCGTTGAACTTCTCGGTCACCGCTTTTCTCGGAATCGAAACGCTTGGTGCCGACAGCGTCCAGTTCATCAATGAAGATGATTGAAGGAGCCTTCTCCTTGGCCAACGCGAAGCAATCTCGGACCAGTTTGGCACCGTCACCGATGAACATCTGGACAAGCTGGGGACCAGCGAGTTTGAGGAAAGTGGCATTCGTTTGGGCGGCACATGCACGGGCGAGGAGAGTTTTGCCCGTGCCTGGAGGACCATACATCAAAGCGCCTACCAAGCAAGTCAGCAGAATGAACCGGTTGATGAGGGATATCTGGCGCACCCTTGGGAGCCTTGATGCCAATCTTCTTGAATCTCTCAGCCTCCATCATGGGCCAAACGACAGCCTCGACAAGTTCTCCGATCTGCTTGTCGAGACCACCAACATCTGAGTATTTCTCCGTTGGTTTTTCGTCAACCTCCATAGCCTTGACTCTTGAATCATACTCGGCCGGTAACGTATCCAGCACGAGATAGGAATCTTTATTTACACCGATCAGATCACTAGGCTTCAGTTTGTTGTGGTCCACAAGGCCGATGAGCGGTAGGAAAATGGTCTGTCGAGTGCTAGTCTTGATGACGGCTGACTTGCCCACTCTCGTGGCGTCAAGATCGATATTTGCACCCTCCTCTGCCGCCTCCGCTTCGACATCGAGGTCGAGGAGTTCGACGACATTGCCAACGAGGTAAGGCAATTGTCTACCACCATCCACGTTAGCCACAAAGAGTCGGCGCCGATCACAGCCCGACGTACCGGTTGTTCTCAATCTTGTCCAAATTGTCCTTGATTTTATCCTTCATCGTAGTCTCTTCATGCGTCAACCGTTGGTATTCGCTCTTAAGAATCTTCATTTCGTTCTCGAGCAACCGCCGCCGATTGATGATATCTCTGGTACTGGAGTGGAGGATTTCCTCATCGATGTATTCTTCTTCCTCATCCTTCTTCTCGGCCCCAGCATCTTTCATCTCGGTGTCTTTTGATTCGCCATTTGACGGAGGCTTCTTGTCCTTGTCGTCATTGTCCTTCTTTTGCTCCTTCTCATCGCGCTCCATATCATCGAGATCTTCTAAGGTCGACATCTTCGCTAGGGGTTATTGAATGGCGAAGGGGATGGGTGGGAAATTTTTGTGGGTTGAACGATCGAAAGAGTGAGCAATGCAGTTCCCGAGAAAAGAATGGACAAGGCCAATCTGAATAGAATTAGATGGTACGATGTTGGAAAGTGATTACAAAGAAGCAGCTGGGCCCGAAGTTCGATGCGGCGAAACCACGTCCAGGCTTGGCATCGCCTCACCGCGTCACTTATCGCAGCCTGTCTTTGCATACTAACAGCGCTGATTACTTTCAACTTGTTCACCCTTTTTCATTATTTGCGTTTTCAGCCTATCATTTTACACCCTGTCCAGGAATCTTAAATGCAGTCAAATCCGCTGTAATAGTCTATCAGGGTATATCCCATCCGAGAACAAAACTCGGCCGTGAAAAAAAAAAAAAAAAACAGACAGCAGGTCCATAGAGGTGACCGGTAATTGTCCTGTTACTCCTTTGCCAACACCGCCGTTCTAGGTGTTTTGTGTTTCTTGTTTTTTTTGTGGTGCAGTTTTCAACATCCAAAGGGCCTTCTCGGGCCATTTGGATTTCTTGAGCACAACTCAACCTCGTTCACTGGACCGACCGTCTCATTTCACATTGCTAATTACAAGGAGGAAGCACCAAGCTCATCAGCAGTCAAACATCCTCACGCTGCCTCGCCATGCATGCGCTCATGCAAGTTATGCCTTCCGATATGGTGTTGCAACCGAATGAAAGCTCGATAGGCAAGCAGCGAAAATGTGTGTAGCAGAAGAAAATGTTGATAAGAAAACCAATGAAACAAAAAGAAACCCATGCATAACTATCCGGTAACCATCAATCCTGACGCCAATCAATAATAAACTTTCCTTGGGAGCCGGAACTTTTGGGGTGACTTTTCCCTTGGTAGAAAGCTCCTGACACCGCCCTCCCCATCGTGAATGTATGTTGAAAGAAAACTGGTTCTATCATTTAAAAAGTTGCTCGCTGTTTAAATGCCGAAGAACGAAAGACGGGAAAGTTCAATTCGTAAAAAGTCGTTAGATGTGAGCTCAATTATCGAAATTTCAACTCGTCAAGAAACATCCGGAATCGGGTATCGACCTTGATGGGGGTCTGGACCCCTAAATTCGTTATTGACCCGGGGCCTGAAAGACGAAGATCGACATGGTAAAATAGTATCGAAAGAACGGTGCGATACAATAACTTTTGGGGTGGCCGGACGCCCGAAATCGCGGAAAGCTGGAAGGTTGCAGAAACAACTCAACCTACCACGGTTTGCAAAGGATAGCCAGCATGACTGAAGTAATAGTCCGGATGCTTCGCATGAAGAGGGCAATTGCAGTTGGGCCCATGTGTAATCCAGTTGGTCGGTGCAAGACACGGAGGATAGGTATATGTGTGACCGTATGCCGGAAGCTGGTTGCGTTGCGCTGCATACGCCGAGGCGTTACCAGAATGATATGGCTGGCGACCATATGCTGGTCCCGTTGCTGTGTAAAGCCAAGTAGGAGTATAGTAGTCAGGTGTTGAAGGGTCACTGTGCGGCGCAGACGGCGGCGAGTATTCCGAAATATAGGGTCGTACCCAACGAGTATCGTACTGTGAACCTTGTTGATACTGAGGCGGAATAGGCCCCTCTGGAGACATGAGAGGCTGATGCTGAACGTTGTGAGTGCGGTGAACGTTGGTCTCGATAGGAGTTAGCTTGTGCATCTCCTTGACCTTGGCCAGCTGAGCTTTTTCTTCGTAGGCATGCCAATGCTCCACCCACATAAAGAAGCCTTCGTCTTCCTGGTACATCATTCCGTGAATTTCCCAGTTGAAGTCTGTGAGCCACTGAAGTTCCATCATGTTCAACTCATGCACAGGAATGCTGCTGACTTCTGCCCACGATCGATTTTGGAAAGTGTTGTCGTCCAGGAATTTGCTCCCAAGTAGTAGACAGGTGGTGAGCATACGGTAGACGGTGCCGGAGGACGAAGTCGACTGGCCGCGCTCAATGATTTGCTTCATCCGCGATGCCAAATAGAATAGTCCCAACATGATGGTGGAGCTGGGCAGACGAGTGGACGAGAGGATTTGAGAGACATATTTGCGAAACTGAGATGTTGGGGCTGATTCTGGAGTTACACTGTCACCCAGTTTAGGGTCATCCCACATCAATCTGCGGGAGGAAATCACTTACAGTTTTTGGGACATCTCAGCAACAAAGCTGGACATCAGATCCATGTCATAGTCCAAATGTTGCGCCACGCCTCCTGTGGGCTTGTCTTCCTTGGGTTTGGGTTCGGGATGTTGCTGAGCGTAGTGTGCCGGGAAATCGATCGCTTCACTGACGCGAATGGGAGGCAGAAGCGGTGCACCGACGGTCGGATATCCATATTGGGGACCTGCTTGAGCATATGGTGGAGGATACGGATATTCTTGAGAGGGTTGAGCATGTCCGAGCCGCGCTACTTGTCCTGACAGAGACTGTTGAGCAGTGTAGGCGGGTGGAGGTTGGTATCGGTCGTTATAGTCTCGTGACGAATGGGACCGACGGGAGTGAACGCCTTGCGAAGGATAAAACCCTTGCTCGGAAACCGCACTCATGGGTGTGAGATAGGCGGTCTGGTACTCTGGAGGAGTAGGTGGAAGTCGGGAATGTTGGCCATTTGGCCCCCAACCGTGATACGAAGGCATGCTCGACGGAAAGAATTTGGGAGCGGAGCAGAGCAGACTGCCGAAGCCTTAAGGATTTGTTAGATGTCAAGTAATCGTGTGATTTGGAACGAATGCTCTCACCGTCTGCTTTTCCCGCTCACTGCGGCAACGCCGGAGGCGTTGAAGCCGAAGCTTTAGGGCGTTTGCGAACTCCTTACTCACAAGTAGAGCATGGATGACAGTGAGGTCAGTGGAGTCAAACGTGAAAGATCGAACACACTGGCGGGGAGAGGAAGAGAGGATTCAGTTATCGATGTAAACAGAATCTTTGTCCCAGAATGAGGAGCCGACAAATGACAGGCTGTAAAATATGCGTCGCGGGTAATCGAAAGGTTGAGAGGACTGATGAGAGTATAATGGACAAGACTTAGTGAAAAGCTCGTCGAAATAGGAAGATGAGGTCGTGGTTGAGGTAAGAGTGCGGCGGTGTAAAGCAGAATCTTGGTCCGATGGCAGCCTGCATACGCGACAGAGTTAGGATGATGTGCTCCAAATCGAGATACCAGGAATGCTCGGGAGAGGTGGGAGATGCAGAAATCGAGCGGACCATGACATACCAGGTGGTATCACCCCAACGCGCACTGGGCTCTCAAAAGCAATCAACGTGCGCAGCACTTGTTAAAAAGGGACGGTTGCGCGTTTGTTGTTTTGGATGTGAGCAGGCGAAGGGTGTTGTGATGGAAGATTTGGAGGCCAAAAAGGCTGGCAACGCGCAAGAAAGAGGCAGGGTTCGGCGCAACTGAAGAACACAGCCGCTAGCCGGTAGCGAGAAGGCTCTGACCGGACTCGTGACGAGCAGGCGCAGGGCGTTTCGTCCGTTGGTCAGAAGAGGGAACCTCAAATTTGGCCACGGAGGGTGCCTGGTCGACGAAGAGATCGGTGGTTATGGCACTGTGGGCGAAGCAGGGCCAAAATCGGTAGCCTGGCGACAATGGTGCGGTGGGAAATTGTGGCAATCAAGCTGGCCGTAAGGAGTCGTCACCCCAAGAGGCAGACGTGGGCCCGGATCCGAAATTACCACCTGAGAGATCCTTCGGTTTGTGGCCGAGAATAGCAACGGTGGCCGGACCAACGGACAACAACGCTCGACGGCGAGGAGAGGAGGATGAATTGTGTATATCGTTGAGGTTGGAGGGAGAGGGAGGTTGGGAGGGGGAGGGATAAAGGATAGGAGGAGGGAGGAAAGGATGTGAGGGAAAAAAAAGATGAGGGAAAGATGATAGAAGTTGAAAAACCGGGAAAGGGAGGAGACGAGGAGACGGGGCAAGGATGAAAAACTCAGGCAGTGGCCAGGCGATGCAGAGGCAGAGCAGTCAGCGCAGCCCGTCAGTTCAGTCAAAGTCCATTTGAGACGCGAAAGGCGAAGGACGAGGGTGACAACGGGGACCGGGGAACAGGGAGAACAGGGAGCAGAACAAGCCAAAGAGGCCAAAAGGAAAAGCTCCTCACCGGCTCAACGGCTAATTGGCCTAAATCACCGTGGTGAGCGAATGGCAACTGGCGAACGAGTGGGTGCCGCCAACAGGCTGAATTGGGGAGGGCAGGACAATTGGTAGGATTTTTTGCTGGCACACTTGCAGAAAATTGAATGAGAACACCAACAATGTGTTATTTTACTCTAATCATCAGTCCGTCATTCATCAGTCTTTCTCATTTCATTATTCACTCACTCGTTGGCTTGTTCGCTTGATCTCCCTCGGCCCTCTGCAGATAATGCCCTACATTTCAGGCCTCGATCCAGCGGTGCAATATCCAACCAATCTGTGCGTATTGATTCCCTCCGGTCCGTCCGAATACCGCCTTGGCCACACCAGACTCTTTTTGCATGTTTTCAGTTGTGTTTCTGCGCCACTGTCTCGCCCCCTAAAACAGGCCAAACCTACTGGAACGCACGCAGGTCTCAATTTCCCCCATCTCGAACTTTGTTTCTGTCTCCATCGACTACTTGGGAGGGAGTACTTGATCAGGCTCAACAAACCTTGGTGCCCAATAGTCCTCTCTGAGACCTGCGTCTCGTGTCTTGACTCTTTTGAGTCGTTTTCTGTCGCTTTGCCACCCCTCCCTGATTCGACTCACCCTGACAGGTTCCCCCCTTTCTCTCATAGGGTTGCTTCCGTGGTGTGCGCCTTTTGCCAACGTGACTCCCCCGACGGCCGCTTTCATCACGGTGGCTAAAGTGCCAAAATTCAAAACCTGCAGCCTGTCTCCAGTCGATCTTTGCCGCCTGGGAATCGCTTTCTAGTTGATACTCGTATTGCTAATTCTCTCCCGTCTCACCACCCACCATCTCCCTAGTGTGCATACCAGGTTTGCGGCCCGGTTGCCAAGAGATCCTACAGTATCTTATATTGGAATACTTACTGTCCCTTGCTTCGAAGCGATGTCACTGAACCCATTCCCTTTGCCCATACCTGTATCACCTTCTCGTTACGGGAGTGACCTCTGCAGCCCCTCCTACATGAGACTGTCTAACAGCCTTTGTTGGATATTAAAGCTGGACATTTTTCTAGTCTAGGTGATCAATTGCTCGACCTCAACCAACATACGCTTACCAGCACCTCTATCTCGTCCAATCCCACCACTAGAAAAGGATCTGCGCACAGGATTCGCTAGTCTTCCGCTTACCGCAACCATCGTCTTCCATGTTTTTTGATATAATGACCGATATCCCGCCCGAGAAAGCCCCAAAATCGGGTTTCAATATTTACGGCTGTGCATCCGTGAGTCCGGTTAAGCTGACCATCGCGGCCGAGGAGCTGAGGTAGTTTTCTCCCTTCTCGGGCCTCAGAAACCGGTTGAACGCCTAGTACTCCATCAGCATTCCGTACAACTATATCAACTTGGATATGGGCGCCGGCGAGCCCAAAGCCGAGTGGTACGCGTCCATCAACCCGAACGGCCGTATGCCCGCCATCGTCCATGTCAAAGAGGACGGGACGTCCATGACCGTCTTCGACAGCGCCGCCTGTCTGCTCTATATTGCCAGCGAATTTGATAAGGAGCACAAGCTCTCGTACCCAGTCGGGACGCCCGAGTATTGGAAGCAGTTATCCTGGGTGGGTAATGGCTTGAACTCGCCTCCTTATCAATACTTGACATCTTCTCGCACAGCTCTCGTGGCAAGTCGCAGGCTACGGCCCCATGATGGGTCAAGCATGCTATTTCAATCGGTATGCAACCGAATCGGTGCCGTACGGAGCCTGGCGCTATACGTCTGAGTGTCGACGGCTCAACCACGTGTTGGACAAGCAGCTGCTAGGTCTTACCTCCGGCGCCCTGGTTTCAACGATTAAGCATACGGCCTAACTTTCGAACTTTTACAGTCCACCTCCCCTTTCATCGCGGGGGACCGATTGACGGTTGCCGACCTCGCAATCTTCATCTTCGCGCACTCTGCCAAGTGGTGCGGCATGGACATCAATGAGTATCCCCACGTCAAGGCGTGGCACGACCAGCCTTTCAAAAGGGATTGCAAGTTCCTGTACCCTACCAATTTTGCGACGAGGCCGTAACGAATGCCGATGCACAGGACCTTAACAAGATGATCCGAAAGTATGGGGGCCAGATGATGAAGGGGGCGACGGAGCGGTGGCAGGGTAAGGTTGTACCTATGCCATCCGACCACGCCAACTACTAAGTCGCCCCATGCTTTCTTCGTCTTTTTGGGGGGGAATGCTCTACCTATGATTTAGTGGACAACAGCAAATCTAAAGATCACTAGTTAGCGTATGCTAGTTGTTTAAGATAGCGTCCTTGTTTCCCCTTTTTGAACTTCGCTTTTAGAATTATTAGTAGCCTACCCTGAGATCTCTTGTTTTATGCTGCTCAACTTATCCTAGAGGTAAACTACCTGCGTCATCGACAGACAAGTGCTGACACACATACAGCCTTCTATCAAGGATAATGACCCAACCCTCGGACGTAGGGTCACAAGCGTTTCTGCAAATATGACGACATTATACAGTAGCACCGCTCACGTGCAAAGAATGGGAGATCCAGCTGAGTAATGGCCATGCCCTTCGGTCTTCGCGTAGGACGCGGATCACCTACCGCCGTTTTTATCCCACATGGCTTCGTCTCCTGGACTTGCTTGCTTCTCCGGAGCTCAGATCGTGCTGCCCAAAGAGAAACCCGATGTACCCCCTCACGCCTTCATTCAACCGCGGCACTGAAAACTATGCAAGACCCCCCCCACCCCCGGGGCGCACGAAAATTTCTACCTGGTCACAAAGCCCACGGGGACTTGGGGAAAGGAATGTGGGAGACTGCTTTATCCTGACCACTGGTATCGAAACATTGCCTCAGCCGACCCAATCACGGTCGCCATGGATTTCTCTCTCCACAACGCCGCCGAGGATCGGTTTATACTCATCCCAACCATCCAATGACAATCTAGACTTCTTCGTGTTGCATCGACTTCTCGGGTTCCACCGGCTCGAATCCGTTGATAATTTCTCAACGTCAAACCCTCCTTCATGCAGCCTGTCCGGAAACCGTACACCTTTTCGGAGCATAATGCCCTTCAGTTTCGTGGCGATTTTAATGTCTCCGTCCAGCAACCACCAGTGGAACCTGCTAATGGGGCATTTGCTCGCGTCACCGGTGCCGACAACGAGACAAATCTATCCCGCATCTCTGTGCTCCGCACTCACGCAATGCCGAATTATTCCTCCATCCGTAACCTGGTTGAGGTCTTAGCCATTGAAAAGGAATTCAAACCTCGACATGGATCATCGTCTGGTCTTCTCCACCGTCAGTTGTCATGAATGTAGGATGATATCTCGTGTGAAGAACATCGGGAACCCCCCACCAAGGATCACAGCCATCTAGTCAACAATCAACCTGTATCCAACGAGAGCATGACTCTGTTCTCGCAAGCCAGATGCCTCATTTCGGATACCATTCAACTGATGGCAGAAACTGCGCTCGAAGCCCATCCACCTGCTCGGTATGCCATTTTCCACGCCATAGGGCTTCTCGTGCTTTGGCTTCTTCAAATGATCGAAGACACTCCACGGGAAGTTCTTCCAGAATCGTCGACGGAATGGATGAGAGTCCAGTGTCTTCTTCATTGGGCCCCGTCTTGCCTAGCCATGACTCAGGGGCCGATTCGAGGCAAAGGTCGTGAATTCGGAAATTTCTGCCATAAACTGGATCCAGGTGAGGAAGTCTGGTCTTCTGTTCTAGCCCGTCGGCGTCGTCTTCATCGTCGACAACTTCCCACCGGGCATGCGTCGGCTGCATGTGGGCCGGCCAGTGCATGACATTTGTATGAATATCGTAGACGCCGTGGAGATTCTCCAGGCGGGCAGCTGTCAACATGGAGTTAAACCGACTGTGAAAACATGTTAGTCCATCCACCGTGCCTCATAAAGAACATTCATACCTGGCTTCTCTTGCATGCTCCAACATCCAATTGTCACTCGTCACGACAATCTTCCGTCTCTTCGCTTCTTGTGCTTTGGCATTGGGAAGGGGTATACTGGGTGCATTGGTGTGGTAGACTGCACTGGCGCCGTGCCACGCGACGTACTGGTTGCGATTGTAAGGCTCTCCAGGAGGAGGGAGACGATCCTCCGGAACAGCCAGCTCGCCCTCAACGTCTCCCCGCTCTCGTACCTTTCGTGTTTCGTAGTCGTCGACAACCTTTTTCCCACCGATGACAATTCTCGCCCCGAATTCTCGAAAGACGGACCGTGCAGTCACCACGCCGATCGCCCGACCTTTGTAGGAATGAGGGATCAAATCTCGCTCAATGAGATCCCGCTTTTCGTCATCATCAATGATGATCTTGTAGAGATTTCGGTGCTTCTGAAAGAAGAGGTACGAATCGCGGAAACCAATGCAACGGGCTGGTTCGGTCGAGAGCATGTAGAGTCGCTCACCTCGCCCAAGGATAGTGAACGTTCGTACTCGATACTCGCGTCCACCCAAAAGGTGGCCGTTTTTGTCGACTTTCTTTTCTCCTTCGGGATCCTCGGGTAGTTCGACTTCATCATTGACAATCTCCAATGGATTTCCGTCAACGTCGACAGGAGCATGCGCAGCCCTTGAAGCCCCTCCTCTATATTTCGCCCATCTTCCCCCTCGGTGACCACGGAATCCGCCCCGTCGCTTTGGAGTGGTAACCTCAGAAACCGCATCGTTGTTTTCGTCTTCCGAGGCTATAGCTATGCTGCGTTTCGGAGGTCGCCCCAGTCTTCGCCGCCGTGGAAGGAGGGATGTCTGTCGCCCGGGGCGTCGGGGAGTGGCAGAACGAGATGGTGGCTCGGAACCTCTCGAAGGAGTGGGGGGCTCATCTGCATCGTTGATATCTTCTTCTTCTTCTTCCTCATTTGTTCCGTCCTCCTCGTCTTCCTGCGGAGTAGCTTCTTCTGCGGGAGTGGCATCGGGCATTTCATCGTCTTCATTATCGGAGATGTTTGGAATTGGGGTCCCTGTTTGGGTCAGTAGTGGTGAAAGATGAAAAGTTGACGTGGGGGAGCTTACGCATGGAAGCAGTAGCAGCTTGTGCCGCCAGTCGTGGACGCCGGGCCATGTTCGTGGACTTATAAGAGAAAAACCACTGTCACTTCTGCACAACGAACTCCGAGTCTGAGGTTTTGCACCAAGGCTGGCAAAACACGCGCGGCTTGCGCGCAAAAAGGTTGTATCCCTGCAGGAGGTGCAGGCTTGGCGGTGGTCTGCTACGGAGAAGTTTTAAACATCTAAGGGTACTACGGCGAACCATTTAGCGACCTCTATTCCTCTTCTTGGATCCGTCAATTTTTTGACAGCCACAGCTCTTGTGGGATTGTTAGCAAAGAGGGGACCTCTCAGCGCGGACATGCAGTGTTATTCTATCGGTACACCATAACTTAACCACCCCATGTGGATTATATAAGATCACGAATTGGATAGACCGTGCCAATTGTTCAGCCTTACCATCGAGCCTGCTGTCGATCACTCTCGAGTGATACAACATGCACCGTCTTTCTATTCACGACTGTTCCACGATAGGTGGTCATCTGAACCTCAGCCATGGTCTAAATAGAAAGAGAAGTTATTGCCAGAAGACGGATTGGAGCGTTGCTCCCGACTATCCCGTCTTTACAACAGTGTCTCTAAGAAGAAAGTTTGGGCTTGAGGTTATCCATGGAATCAAGATGAGATAAAATGCCTCGTCAAAACAGCCAGAAAAACTTATCCTATGAAAGGGGGAATTTTCTAATGGGAACTTCTGGAGAGATGCGATAGGCTAACAGATAGCCGACACAAGCCCACGCTGTACCCAGCTGATCTGTTCTGGCCAGTCAAAGGTGGTACAAGTTACAGGGCATGGGTAGGCCTAAGCTGGATGGCGGGACTTCCGAGATGTTGCATGTGCTGGGAATTTTGGGCCCCTGTGCCCTGCCGGAAGTTCTACGCTGACCGAATCAGAAGCTGACTCCCGTCGAATGCCACATGCGATCTCACGGCTATTGCCTACAAGTACATGTAGTTGGCCGCGACTCGCGCATGATCCATGAGCCTTGCCTGACTCTGAGCCAGAGCCACCGCTGGTACTCAATAGTCCGCACAGGGCTCAACAAGTCTGTATACGGATATTCAGGTGACCCGGCGGGGTTTTCCTTCTTTTTTTCTAATCGTCTAGCCATTCAGAGCCCGGGATTGCAGGGGTGTTATTGGAAATGCAGCGCACCCGCGAAAAATTTCAAGCAGTGGGGGGAGAGGATGACGTTTGTCTGCTCGGCTTGTTTGGTGTTTGATACTCTTTTTCCTGACCGGGGGTGCAGGCGCTCCTTTTGGCACACGGGGAGTTGCGACTTCGCCGTAAGCCTGGTCCTTCGTCCCGGCTGAGCACGGTTGAGAGGTTCCCCTGCTGGCTTGAGATTTGTCGAGGGTTCTCTTGTTGTGCCCAGCATGGAGGAAAATCTGGCTCGTAACTGTAAGACTCGGAACTTGGGGTCGTTGAGTGGAGGGAGGGGTTCACGGAGGCTTTTTGGCGACGGGCTGCCGAGCTGTTAAAAGCTGTTGAAACCTGAAGGCCTACCGAAGGCCTACCGAAGGGCCTCTTCCAGTTGTCCACCACTGGCAGACTGTTCACGCCTATCTAAACTATCTGCTTTTTTTTTTTTTTAAAACATTTTTCCCTCTGATGAGTCTTTCTGCCTCGCCTTTCCCCCCCATCCTTCCCCCGTGAGTACCCAGGCAACCTTAGCCCGGCCGCCCAATTTCCCCAAGCCTTTCCTCGTTCTGCTACTCGATTATATCACTATCGCCTTCTTGCCCCATCGAGCTCGCTGTCGTTACCGATCACTTTGGAGCAGGTTGCCACTCTCCTTTCATCGGGATCCCTGCCCTCCATTAAAAACTCGAAACGACCCAACTCGTGCAATCCTTGCCGACCGACTCCCGAAAATCTCCAAATTCTGCACCACTTCCGCCAACCCCTCGAGCCCGCGCCCGGAAATCTCAGGGAGCCCTTCCCCTCCGCAGACGGGTGGATGCGGCGATATTAGGCCGGATTCGCGAAAAAGAAAGAGTTTTTTGGATTTTGAAGAGGAGGAACTTGCAGAGTGAACCGCCAACATGGCGCAGACTGGAGTCAACCCGCATGCAGCTGCAGACCTGTTAAGACAGGCCATGGCACAGAAGTACGTCCGATATTTTCCTTTTAGCAGAAGAAAAAGAATTTCGTGTTGAAAAGAGCTTCGAATGTTTTAGTCATGGATGGCGGGGCTTTACGTCTTGTGCAGCCTGGGTTCTAGGACTCATCATGGTGACTTTCATCTCGAGCAGTACAAGCTCAAGTCCCGTCCAATATCATGAGGCCTCTGGATAGAAGTCTTTCCATCTTGGTGCGAGAAGAAGCTGAAAGGGCATTGTGATGTATCGGCCGCTTGGGTTGGGCTTGGGCTTGGGCTTGGGCGTGGGCTGGGGAATACCTCTGTTTGCTTGTCGCGGACATTATTCCATGACCCTCACTGACCCACTGAATAGCAGTGCGAAACATGAAAACCGAGATGACCTCCATGATCAAATCGGATCAAATTCGCCGACGCCGTCGGGGGTCGAGACCCCTCGACCAGACCTCCACGACAAACGTTTGCCAGGTATAATGCACAGCTATTTTGGCCAGGTGGGTAGAGATCCTTCTCAAAGTACACCGTCACGGTCATCTCAAGCTGCCACGAGCGCTGAAGCAAATGAACAATCTGCACCTTTTTCTCTCCAACATGGAAAAGAAACGGAGAACCGCCGGGTGTCTTCTGCCTCGTTGGGGTCGATGGTGATGGTGGAACGGGAACAAGACTCCGTTTCTACACCACCGCCAGAAGGGCCTCATCCAGAGTCTTCGCAGTCGGCCACAGAGACTGACACCTCTCGATTGCCACCCACACCAATCTCGTCCGCCGCATCAGTGGTGCATCGGGATGGCGAGGTCGCCGAGAATGGCGGTTCCGTGATAGACGGTGGCATAGCCTCCATCACGCAGGCTTTGAGAAATTTTGTCCTTCCCAAGACTGCCTTCGGGATGAAAGAGCGCCGTCACCAGTCCCTACCTGTTTCTAGTGTTACCAAAAGCACCGTCTCTGCGGCGCACATTTCCAACCCCGCATCATCCACACACTCTTCGCGACCACAGAGCCCTCAATCTCCATCTCCAAGTTCTGCTAAGCCACCGTCGTCTCAAAATTTACAGGAAACAAATGAGCTAACTTCAGACGTGGCCGCTGGGCCGCGTGACAAGAGCACCCCGCCTCACACCCCTCGAGCCCTATCCCAAGAAGACCGACGGAACGATGCTCGGTCACCCCTGTCCAGCACCAGCACCACGGTCGGCGACGTGAGCGCCGAAACTGAAAAACAACAGTTATCCAAGGATCAAATACCCACGAATACACCTCGAGGCAAGCTTTCCATCAAGATTGCCGAAGGACGCAACCTGAAGCCTTCATATGATCCTTATGTTGTCTGTCAGTTCGAATGGAACGAGTATGTTTCCAAGGGACCGAGACAGGACAAAATGGACGTGGATGAGGATGACCGGAAAGGACCAGTGGCGGCATTACAATCCATCCCCATTCGGAGAACTGACAGTGACATGGGCAAGCCGATGGCTATTCCCATGCGGAGTCGCCAAAGCAGTACGAATGGCGCCAGTGAGGATCGGGGACTCACGAAAGTGACCGATCCTCAATGGAATCACGAAGCCATGTTGTGAGTCGACCTTTGTGTCCCCGCTCGGTGGTCGTCTTTGCTGACCCTATCGAAGTGATGTCATCAGCCAACAGTCCGAACTCGACGTCACCGTCTATGATCGTCATTCTGAATCATTCCTGGGCCATGTCCGGCTGTGCTTGAATCTCACAGAACAGCATCCGACCTTGGAGGGCTTCTTCAAACTCGAGCCGCGGAGCGTGGAGGACCATGACATTTCCGGCGAAATTCATATCCGGTTGCATTTCTCCAAAGTAGACAAGAAGCACTTTGGGCCCAATGATTTCCAGATCCTCAAATTGATCGGCAAGGGAACCTTCGGTCAAGTTTATCAAGTCCGGAAGAAAGACACTCAGCGGATCTACGCCATGAAAGTTCTATCAAAGAAGGTGATTATTCAGAAAAAGGAGATTCAGCACACCATTGGAGAGCGAAATATTCTGGTCCGGACGGCGACGACGGAGTCGCCCTTTATAGTGGGACTCAAGTTCTCATTCCAGACCCCGACGGATCTTTACTTGGTAACAGATTTCATGTCCGGAGGCGAACTGTTCTGGCATCTTCAAAAAGAAGGCAGATTTAAGGAAGACCGGGCCAAATTCTACATTGCCGAACTCATCCTGGCACTGAAACACCTTCATGACCACAACATCGTCTACCGAGATCTCAAGCCCGAGAATATCCTGCTGGATGCCAATGGCCATATTGCGTTGTGTGATTTTGGTTTGTCGAAAGCCAATTTGACTCAAGATGACACAACCAACACCTTCTGTGGCACCACGGAATATCTAGCTCCTGAGGTCCTCCTCGATGAGCAAGGTTACACCAAGATGGTCGACTTCTGGTCACTGGGTGTCTTGGTGTTTGAGATGTGCTGTGGCTGGAGTCCATTCTATGCGGAAGACACCCAACAAATGTACAAAAATATTGCATTCGGCAAGGTGCGCTTCCCGAGAGATGCGCTGAGCACCGAGGGTCGGAATTTTGTCAAAGGACTACTGAACCGCAACCCCAAGCATCGACTAGGTGCCAACGGTGATGCGGACGAGTTGATTCATCACCCCTTCTTCGCCGATATCGACTGGGATGCTCTCGGCAAGAAAAACCTCGTTCCTCCATTCAAACCCAAGCTGTCCTCCGTGGCCGACACGTCTAATTTTGATCCGGAATTTACCAATGCTCTCAACACCTCATCTTCCTTAAACGCTCGAGCGGCCGCATTGGCTGCTGGTGCGGCTCCCGCCTCAACCCCCCTATCACCTACCATGCAGAACGCCTTCCAAGGCTTCACCTTCGTCGACGAAAGCACAATGGAAGAACGTTTCGGCGGGTCCCGAGACGCCGAGGACGATCGAGCCGACGAAAGCCATCTCTCTCGATCACGAACCCAAGAACACCGGATGAGTGGTGTACAACGCACGGGTGACGATGGATTCTTCTTTGAGGAGTGAGCCCAGAAAAAGAAGGTCAGAAACAAAAATGCAAATAAATCCGAATGACTGAAACGAAACGAGACGAATTTGTTTTTGTTCTTTTGTTCTGGGATTCGAACAGAGAACTTTATCGTATCCCAACCCCGCCAAAAAAAAAATCTCACGCACAGCTGCGTGTTGGATCTGTTGATAATACCTTATTATACTTTGTCATACCCATACCCATATTCATACCATATCATATCACATCTCCTTCTCCGCCTCACCTACAAATGGAGAAGAGCCTCAATACGTTATTATTATTTTTCCTAATCATGCCCAATGTCCATATGAGAAGGGGGATGCGTTGTGGCGGGGCGATCACGACCATTGAAATCAACTGACGAGAGGACAGGGTAAGAACAGGACAGGACAGGACAGGACATGGCGGGAAGGCTAGCTGACAGTTAGTTTTTGACCTTTTCAAATATCCACAAAAGCAAAGTTTTCAATTTTCAATGGAAGGTTTTCACCACACAGATATCGTTCCTGCGTTTTGCCTCCTTTTTCAATTCGATAAGGCAATGGTTGGATGCCAGTGACGCTTCTCTTTTTCTTTTCTTTTTTTGTGTTGGACATTTCGTTATAGCAAAGATGGGAGGATGGCTATTCACCATATCAGTCATGTCGGAACCACAGTTACGCTACTTGTATGGGTGACTGATATCAATGTGAGCAGGCGGGCAGAAGGCAAGATAGTTGTCTCGAATTACGTACCTAAGTAGGTTGAGCTTACTGCAGGTTATTGATAGTCAAAGTCGGAATCATGATCAATGGATAAAGTTAGATAAGGTGCTATCTCTACTGATGTCCATGTATCATTCAGTTCTCTGTCTCTATCCCCACTTATTCTCTGCCCGAGCACGTTGTGATCTCTGCATCCACCCAAAACAATGGTAGGCTTACTCCACTCCCGTGCAGCCTTGTGTCGCCCATCTTGCTCGGCAACAACTCAGCTAAGCTCAGCTCTGGCATACCAGTGACATGCTTCCTTACTGCCTAGTTCAGTTCACTCTGCTCTTATCCTTACTGGGATGAAGGCTCAGTAATGACCCGATCCCTCGTCTTCGTGCCAACTGGTGGCTTCCCACCTTTCGCGGCAAGCTGTTGATCTTCCTGGCTCATCTTCTCATACCACTTTTCCTGCATGTCCTTATTTCTTAGCACGGTGCCCGTGGCCGCTGGCAAACTTCCTGCCACGCCGTGCATGGCGCCCTTGGGGTCGCCCATGAGTTTAGTGCAGGATGTCGCGTGTAGGTTAGTCGTGGGATTGGTCGAGATGAAGGCTGCAGTGTTAGTTTCATCGTTGGACGGGTGGACAGGATGGTTGTGGTGGTAAGAGCGGAGGTTTGAGTCGTGGTTTTGGTGTCGAGGGTTGTGTGAATGGCCGTGGTGATGTTTTTGCGGAGACATGCTGAGCAGCTGTGTGAGGATTGGCGACGGTGCTAACGAATTTGGATTGATGTTCCCGTTTGGTTCAGATTCGAGATTGGAAATGAGGATGTCTGAGGAAAGTCTCTTGTCGTGCCCCATGCTGCAACGCCTAGGTCCTTTTTTTGTAGGATGAATACTCCAGGATTATGTCACTTTTCACTTTCTCCTAGCCACATTGCACAGCTGAAGCTTCGGTCGATCCCGTACTCGGTCAACTCCTCCCCTCCATTCACAGCGAGGATATAATGCATCTGGTGTAGTCAGCCTGACACTCAAAGCGTATTCATCCTGCATGACGTCACAGTGTGAACTCCACATTTTGCAACTCCACTCCGCAGTAATATGGGCCCTTTCCTGACCAATTACAGCACGTAAAGTTTAGATGACTCAGCATCACTTGTGTGATATAATACTCCTCCGTAACGCTGATATCGTCGAACAGCTTCATTTCCTCCGCAAGTCCAAAAACTTGTCTCAGCCTAATCTACGCTATCCATTCATCTCTTGCTATCTGTGAGGCAATATTCTTTCTCGCTTCAGCCATGTGAACGAAGCTCCGAAGGCCATTTCCTCTCGTCAATTCCAGCCACAACGATAGCACCCACACATTTTTTCGTTGCTGTTTCTCAACCACGTCGAGCAAAATCGTAGAGAAATAAATGCGAGGCAAGGCGTCGAGGATGCCGACAATGTCAGGCCGCGCCAGACCAATTGAGAAATTCGCAGAAGCGGCAGCCAAATGTTCCGTCGAAGTACGTTTTCACCGTCTCGAATGTCTGCGGAATAAGAGAGCAAACATGAAGGCTAATCCCACAAAACAGGCCACAGCATACGGCAAATGTATATTAGCAGACTACCAATCGACATACCGAGATATGTGTGCGAAGGAGTTTATGCGGCTGAAGGATTGTTACCTGGCAAGTCACGTTACGCCCAATGTCATTTTATCTCCTTCCCTCCCTTACGAGCGACGCGGGAGATTTATCGCTCTTCGAGAGTTTCTATCTGCAAAGAGGTTGCCCATCCTTGATGACAGAGCCCTCGGTCATTGTGTGATCTTATTAAGATTCATTTCTTTATCACTCAGACATCTAGCTAATTGTTTTCCCCTTCATCTCCTACAGAAGCACGCGAAGAAGTCTTGACACGCCTCCTCCATCCTATCATTTCTTTTTCTTCGTTAGACGTCCTTGTCTGCCTGTTGGATCTCCTTCATACTTCATCCAGCGTGTATCTCTAATTTCATCATCATCAGATAGAAGCAGATTCTTCCCGCCTCGTCCTCATTTTCTTTCCTTCAAAGCTTGAGCAACCTCAACAAGAACGTCGCCTTCTGCACCTCCTGGACCTCTTCCACGATGATATCTTCTTCTTTGACCCCATTCACCACGGGTCCCTCGATCTCTGTTACCACATGTTTATCCACGGGTCGTCTGAGTGCCTTCTCGATGAACCCGCTCTGCTCCTCGAAGACTTTGGCCAAACCGATAGCATCTGGATCTTCCTGTATCTTGTACTCCATCTTGACGTCGTCCGTGGGCTTGAGATTCGCTTTCTTGCGCAATTGTTGCACACGGTTGATGATTTCGCGTGCCAGTCCTTCCTGCGCGAGTTCGGGATATAGCGCCACGTCGAGAATGGTCAGCACATCGTTGTCGCTGTTCGTTTCTTGGTCTCTGGAATCGTCGGATTCCTTGAGTGCCCGTCTGACTACGAGATCACCCTCGACCAACTCGATTCCAGCAACGGTGATCTTCTTGGCCGAAAGATACGTCTTACAGTCGTTGCTGGTGACATCAGGGAGTGCTTTCTTGACTTTCTGCATGTCTTTCTTCAACTTCTTCCCGAGAACGGGCCAGTCAGCCGTCACACTGTACTGGACATTGTACTTCTCTTCATCCGATGATAGAACCAAATCTCGAACGTTTAATTCTTCGGTGATGTATCCTTGTAGTGACTTGACATCGTCAAGGTATTGTCGATCTTTGTGGATGACCACGAGGGTCTTGAGCGGTGTCTTCAAGCCCATGGTTCTCCGCTCTCTCGACTGTCTGGCCAATTCGATGACTTTCTGCATGCGTCCTACCCGTCGTTCGACCACCGGGTCAAATAACTCTTGTCGGACTTCGGGGAACGAGAGGAAATGTACGCTTCGCATATCTTCGCCGTACAGAGATTCAGGAATGTATGGGAGCAGTCGAGTGTAGATGAGGTCGGCAATGAACGGGGTGAAGGGTGCCAGTCCGCGGACCAGAGTAAACAGGACGTCGAATAGCGTATTCAGGGCGTGCCGAGTATCATCGAGCCCTAATTCGCCCTTTAGTCGTTTTCGATTAAATCGAATGTACCAATTGGTGGTTTCGTCAATCAGGTTGAGCAAACCCGGGACGACGGTGTAGAGGCGATATGCCGCCATCTCTTCGTTGATGTATTTGAGAAGGCTCTGGCAGCTGGCCAAGATCCATTTATCCATGACATTGGTGTTGGTGGTTTCGGCCTTGGGCTCAAAGATGTAGTCGACACCCTCGATCTTCTTCAACAGCTCGACTTGGCCTTCGAAGAATTTGTAACTGTTCCACAGAGGCAGAAGGACTTTGGCCACAATCTCTTTGACTCCGGACTCTTTGAATCTTAACGGCTCGGCTCGGACAACCGGAGAATTGATCAGGTAGAGACGAAGTGCATCCGCACCGTATTTGTCAATCATCATGGTGGGATCTGGATAGTTCTTGAGACGTTTGGACATCTTCTTGCCATCCTCGGCGAGCACGATCCCGTTGACGACGCAATTTTTGAAAGGAAGGACCTTCTTCAAGTGAATACCTAGAATGACCAGAGTATAGAACCAACCTCGAGTCTGATCGAGGCCTTCGGCGATAAAGTCGCCGGGGAAAGTTTGGTCGAAGAAATCCGAGTTTTCGAATGGATAGTGCGATTGGGCATAGGGCATACTTCCCGACTCGAACCAGCAATCGAACACCTCCTCCACACGACGCAGTACTCCATGGCCTTTCTGGCTGGGAATGGTAATGTCGTCGATGCTATCACGATGGAGATCCGTGATCTCCCCTTCGTAGCCACTCAGCTTCTTCAACTCTTCGATGCTCCCAACGACCATGACTTCGGAGTAGTCCTCGCTTGCCCAGAGTGGGATCGGCGTGCCCCAATATCGATTCCTAGAGATATTCCAGTCGCGAGCATTTTTGATCCATTCGGCAAAGCGCTTTTCTTTTACAAAGTTTGGAACCCAATGTGATTTCATGATCCCATCAAGCATCTCAGGAATGATGCTGGGTACTTTATCACTGCCGGCAATGTTGACGAACCAACCAGACACGGCCCGGTAAATCAAGGGTGTGTCTGATCGCCAACAAAATGGGTATGGATGGGTCAGTTGGCCATCCCGGATGAGTCTTCCGGTCCCTTTCAAGTACTTGATGATGTGTTTGTCCGCTTCTTTGACATGCTGTCCCGCAAAGTCCGGCACTTCTTTGGTAAAGCGACCCGTATCATCCACCGGATTAGGAGGAAGACGGCTGTGACTGATGATGCCATTCTCCATGCCCACTCGAAAATCATCTTCACCGAAAGCAGGGGCTTGATGAACCACGCCAGTGCCGTCATCACTGGTGACGTATGTGGCATTCAGGACTTGGAAGGCGCGATCTTGGAAATCGTCGACAAAATAGTTAAAGAGAGGAACATATTGCTTCCCTTTGAGATCGGAGCCTTTCATTCGCTCGAGGATGGTGAATTGGGCCTTCTTTGGGTCTTTGTACAGGGTCCGTAGCAACGACTCGAGCATGATGAATTGGTGGCCAGATTCTTGGTCCACGAACCGGATGTACTCGAAGTCAGGATGGACCGCGAGGGCCAGATTGGATGGCAGGGTCCATGGTGTGGTTGTCCATGCCAATAAGCTGGTTTGGGGATCTTCGACGAGAGGAAATGAAACCACCACGGCGGGATCTTGAGTATCTTTGTAGTTGGATTGAGCTTCATGCTGGCTCAAGGGGGTACTCAACGCAGTCGAGAAGGGCATCACTCTGTAACTGCGGTAGACCATTCCCTTGTCGAACAATTGCTTGAACACCCACCACACAGACTCCATGAAGGTGGGGTTCATGGTCTTGTAGTCGTTGTCAAAGTCAATCCACCGCCCTAACCGGTCAATGGTCTCCCTCCACTCTGTCGCATATCTCATGACAATAGCTTTGCACTCGGCATTGTATTTGCCAATTCCCATCTCTTTCACCGCCGCAGGCCCCGAGATATTGAACTTCTTGTCAATTTCATACTCAATTGGCAAGCCATGAGTGTCCCAACCGAATCTCCGATCGACATAGTAGCCTTTCATGGACCAGTACCTCGGAATGATGTCTTTTATGGTCGAAGCCAGCAAGTGGCCGTAGTGAGGGAGGCCGGTCGCAAAAGGCGGGCCGTCGTAGAAGGTGTAGGGCTGGTTACCTTTCGACAGCCGCAATTGGGTTTGGAAAGCGTCGATTTCTCGCCAGCGCTGGAGAGTGGCGGCCTCTTCTGCAGAAAAGTCGACCGCCATGATTTGATGGTATGATCTTGGTCACCAGTTGTGAGAGTGGAATTTGTAAAGGAAGCATGAGTCAAACCGTAGAACATCTGGAAATCTTGGCAGGTGCCGCTTACCAAAAGCGAAATCCAGTGAGAGTGGGTCATTGAATCGACGGTTTTTGCCCGGTTCATTGATGACATGAAAGTCTACTTAGTATACAGGCTTTACCGTTCTATAGATACGCTTTTCCGGACCGCCTTCCATGCCGCGCTCAAATGCCCGATTTTGAAGTCGCCAAAGTGCCATCACCGATCTTTAGTCGACATCGTCTGCTTCGTCACCTTCTTCGCCTTCATCGGCTTCATCTTCATCTTCGGAGATTTCTTGTCCCAATTCCTTAAGCTTCTTCTTGTCCGCGGACCTCTTCGCCTCCAGGTCGCCAAACACAACCAAGAGGTCGTCGAGTTCGGTTTGAACGTCTTTCCGTCCAGCTTTCTCCTTTTCGAGTTCTTGACTCAAATGTTTTGCGTGGGTTTCAGCATCTTGTACACGACTCTCTGCCCGCTTGAGCCGTGCTTCTAAGCTCTCGGTCTTCATATTGTATTCTTCGTGTGCCGTCTCCAGATCCTGGACATGGTTATCTTCCGACTTCTTCAACCGGTTTTGTAGATCTGCAATGCTGTTCTGCAGATCAGCAATTTCCGCAGCCTCTCTCTCACGGGCCTGATGTGCCTTTGATTCTGCCTCATTCATTTCTCGCCGATATTGTTCTTCCAGAGAGGCTTTCTCTCGCGATGCCTCTTGCTCCATTAACTTCAAGCGTTGCGCAAATCGTTGCGATTCCACTTCATGCTGCTTCCGGAGATTTTCCAGAGTTGTAACATGTTCATTGCGTCGGCGATTGAGCTCGTCTTCGTGGTTCTTCAGGAGGGAATTCCTGTCTCGAGCAAAACTTTGTTGCAGCTTGACCACGTCTTCTTCGTGATTATTCTGCAGACTCTGGTTTATTTGCTTGATCCGAGACAGCTCCACAGCGGTCGATTCGCGTGTCCGACGATGATCAAGCTCTTCTTGCTCGAGCCTCCTCTTGAGCTGCAGTAGCTCGGCGTTGGCCGCTTCCAAGGCTTGTTTTTGTTCCTCAACTTGGGCTCTAAGACCGTCCACGAGGTCTCGCGAAATTCCCTTTTGAACGCCGTTACTCACAATCGAAACTTCAAACTTGGGATCTCGATCCACGGCTCGCAAGAATCTGCTATAGTTGTCCTTGAGGAAGTTGATAAAAGTCTTGTCGAAGAACACGTCGGGTAGACCGCCGTTGCCAGTCTGCGGCAGAACCTCAAAATCCCGCACGAAAACGTTTTCCCGAAGCTTTCTCAATCGGTCCACATACGTTTCCCTGCCAAGGTTGCCGGTCAAGAGCCCATGGAGTGTGGTCCGAGGAATAGGAGAATCCTTGGTCGAAAACTCGTAGATGATTCCCAATACAAATGCACACAACCCCGCGACAAGCGGCATCGAGCTTTTGGCGATCTTGACGGCGGCCATCAGGCCCTGAACGTTGCTGCCCTCTCCAAGCAAGTCGTTCACGGCGTCAGGGTCTTCAAACAGCCACACAGAGAGCAGCATGAGGTAACCCAACAAAGCCCGTTCGTCCTCGACATGCTGTACTCCTGCAACGACATTGCTCGTGATGCTTTGTATGAAGGTGACGACCTCTTCACCACTCTCTGCATCACCCTCTGTGACGTTCAAGGCCATCTCTTTGGTTTCAGAATTGTCATAAAGGAGATGCAGCAAGAGCACGGCGGCCATCCATTGTTGGTAGGGATCGGAGTTGTTCCGAGACGCAGGTGGTGCCAGCAACACCGTCAGAATGTTTGGAATGGTATCATCACCAGCTTGGTGTCCTTCGACGGCCCGACGAAGAACGTGGGCGCGGATACCGGGATGGCCCTCGAGAAACGCCTGAACGCAAGAACTTGCCGCCAGTCGGAGATCGAAGAGCGAGAGGGGAGCAGGCTCCAGAGCCAGTTCCAGCAGAGACTCAATCACGTTGTGATCTTGATATGTCATTTTCTCCGCCTTGGTCTGTTTCTCGGTGGACGACGGTGAAGGATGTCCGTTGGTGTTGGGGGCGTCTGCAGCTTGGACTTGAACGGAAAGATCTCCAAATCGCTCTTGAAGGCCATGATTTCCCCGGATGATATCTCCACAAGTTTGTAGAGATTTAGTTCGGACACCTGTGCTGAAGGCAGGATGAAATGCAACTCGCAAAACCACTTGCAGCACTCCAGCCTGCCAGAAAGTCTGCTGATTGACGGCGGTTCCTTGCGCCCCTGGAGTGAGAAACAACTGGATGACGCCTAATAAGCCCCACACATTCATATCTCGCTGAGGTTTCATCCATTCAGAAACACCATCTCCGGAATCTTCCTGTTCCACTACGGACGACAGAAGTTTCCTGATCTTCATGATGCCCCCGATTTCTCTGAAATAAGACTGATTGGAGGTGTTGAGGTTCAAGAGGTTTGCCAGAAGCGATAGGCAATCTTGGACGGTGGTGGATCCGTGCGTAAGACCACCGTCACCCTCCACCAACGCAAACACCCGGTCAAATGCATTTTCAAACGCCACCACCTTCTGAAGCTCAGCAGAAGTGGGGGTCAAGGCGATCAACAGGACTAGGGCCTCGTTTCGAACAGCTTCCCGTCTATCATCCAATACATTGGTGATTCGGGACACGCCCAAAGGCGCCGAGAATATGGCTTCTTGAGTTCGCTGTGGCCGTGCCGTCGATGCGTGCGAGAGAATCTGGAGGGCATAGAGTCGTAAATAAAATTCGCCGGACTCAAGCAAGTCCAAAAGGGCCGTGATATTGTCTTGTCGCTGAGTGAACTCATCCGCAAGCCAGAGACTTATTTCTTCCGAGGCTTCAGGGGATTTCTCGTCAGGTTCAAATAGCATCAACAGTGTCTCCAAGACCACCTTGATGGTGTCTGAGTCATCTCCATCTCTTCGGAGTCCGGCAATAAGATCTCTGAGAGCTCCCGACGCGACCGAAGCAGGGTATAGTTTGGCGAAGCTGCGCAAGCCCAGGATGGCAGCACGTCGATCTTCTAGCAATGTTGCGCTCGACAGGCGGCTGCTTAGAGTCTGAATGGTATCGGTCGCCGTCTGTCGGGCGGGAGCCTGTGCTTCGAGTATTCGCATCATCTCGACAGCCAGTTCATGGTCGCGCGGTCAGAGCCAGAGGCTGAACACCGCGCTTCGCACAGTCATTAATTGCTGGAGACGTGCATGGTCATTGGTTGGCAAGGGCAATGGCACAGAATCGGAACAAAATTCACAATGGTTGTTGATTTCTTGAGCAGATATCGAGATCGGGACTACATAATACTTCGCAGGGACGTGGCCGAAGCGAATGCCGCGGCGAATTGCCAAGAATCTCCTTATTTGGGGATCGGGTGACGCCGCTTTGTGCTCATCTCAGCCTCGCGTCGCATATCCGTGGAGGCTTTCAAAGAACAATGGAAGAGATTTATGGAGGGAGCCTAGCCGCTGACGGGAATATGGCTTGCATCGTAAGTGGATTGTACTGGGATCGCATTATGAAGCTTCTATAGACCACGAAAGGGAAGATCAGCTACGGTGGCGATAACACAGTTGACAAGGCGGGCATTTTTCTTCCCCCATGTCATCGTCACCAACATAGCTCTTGACGATTCGCTCCTTTCAGAGGAGATATTCAGCCTTGTCCTTCCTGTCGCCAAGTATCAAACTCCGGAAGTGGCGTGCCAGATGGTATCGCGCATCTCTGGGGCCCGACTGGGCCCTTTTATGTGATGAATGAAGACAAGGCTGGTCTCGACCATGTCTTGCAGAAACGCTCTATCGGGAGGCGTGAGCTTAAATGATGTGATGATGCAGATAGCGGTTCCAAAGTTGCCCTTCGGCGGAGTAGGTCAAAGCAGTATTAGTGCATTTCATGGCAAGATGAGCATCAATACCCCCAGTCACGGACGGATCGTTGTTCATATTCCGAGGGAGACTGAGGCATTATCCGGGTCCAGATCGGCACCAGATTTTCACGGCTAAGCTCTGGAGAACATCGAACGTAAGCTGCGAGTCTTGAGAGGCCAAATACTTGCAGCCTTTAGACGAGAACAGGTCCTTGATTTGTACTGAAGTCAAGAGGAGGTTGACCCGTTTGGAACAAGCTCTATGCCGCCCTGATATCTGTTCACGTGACCCTTCCGATGTGTCCCCGCCTGCGTCCCTGCTTGCTGCCCACGCTTTCCCACTCATTTCTCCGGCCCACGTTTCCCCCGCCTCTCAAGGAATTTTGCGGGTATGTATACTGTAACGCTGCGGCACCATCATGCCTCTGTTCCAAAATTGGCGTGGATGAGGGAATCTCATTCAACATTTTCTATCGGCGCTGCTGGACGGGAGTATCTTAGATGAGGTCCTCTATTGTTGCTTTCGCTCTTTTACGTTCTAATCGACGGCATGCTGATTGCGAGTGATCAACGATATTCACATTGACGTTCGTGATCACGATGGACGCAATCAAGCCTCCGAGACCGATCGGAAGAGTTCGAGGTCGAGCGCGCATCGTTTGTGTGCCCTGCCATGACCGCAAAGTAAGTAGCACGGTCTCGATAATTCCTGAGGGATGATATGCGGGCAAGCACTTAAGGAACGATAATTGATTCCCGCGCAGGTCAAATGTGACCTTCAAGATCAGCCCAGGAGCGTCTGCACAAACTGCCAGCGGCTGAATCAGATATGCCGGTAAGGATCGCCTTGACACGCCGACGCTGGATCTCTCTAAGTACTTATCCTTGGTGAAGGCGCCGTGCGACGCGCGATAGGAGGCCTCGACCCAGAGAGTCGCCGAAAGCAACACACGCTCATGACCAGATCCCCACCCCAGCAACCCAACCATGGGGTTCAACGAGCTCACCGTCCGCGGCGGAGGTACAGGCTGCGACCACGACGCCCAAACTAGACCATCCAGCTTACCTGGGGGAGCAAGTTTTGATGCCCCGCCCGTCGCCACCGCTCTCCATTGTCATTGAGAAGGAAGCCAGCGTTTCTGACCAATTACACCAAGAATTTCTCAAAGTGAGCGGCGCCCTAGTGTTACCGCCAAAGCCCATGCTGGATGCTCTTACCGACAATTTCTTCACATATCTCTATCATCTGTGCGCCGTGATAGATCCCCAAGAGCTCTTGGTGCGGAATCCCTCACTATTATTGTCCCAGGCTATCTGCCTGGCAGGATCTCTCGTTCGTCAAAACAGAGGCCATTCCTTCCTGTCGAGTAGCGAGCAAATGTATATGAAGGTGAAGACATTGATTATGACAAACCACGAAAAGGACAGCCATGTGGTTCTGAAATCCATCTGTCTTCTGGCATGTTGGAATGTGACACCAGCAATGATGGTCGATCTTGACTGTTCCTACCATTGGATTGGTGTCGCAGTACGCCAAATGCTACAGATGGGCCTCCACCAGGATTCAACCTATGTGTCGATGACCAATCCGGGAGTAATTCGTCGATTGGCGTGGCATATCTATGTAGGTGTCCCCAGTTATTATTTCAGCCATTGCTAACGACTTCGCCAGGCTCGAGACAAGTTACAATCTGCTTGCTTTGGCCGCCCAGCCTTGATCAAGTCCCACGAGTTCAAAGTCCGACCGCTCGAATATTGCGACTTTAAAGTGATCAATGATCAAGCGGAATTATTTATCCAATACGTAAACCTGAACGCCATTTTAGGAAAAATGCTCGAGCTTCACAGCCGAAAGCCATACGGCGATCCTGCCGAGGTATGCGACTGACCTTATGACCTTTTTGTCTCCTTTCCAACCCTTTTTTTTTTTTGTGCTTTTCCCTTTTGGCCAGTTCCGGTAATTTTGCCATCAGTATCGGAATCACGCTAATACAGCTTTGTTTGTTTTCATAGGCGGTGCATATCTTGGATTCATTGAAATCATGGATCAACCAACTCCCCAGCAATCTGCGCCTGTATACCTACTCAACTGATCAACGAACGTACCGTCGAGATGTTTACGAAGTCCATATCAACTACTTTGTGCTGGTCGTCATGTTCTTCCACCTCTGTGGCCATGCTATCACCATCCGAACCAGTACAGCCAACTTGACTTCCCTGATTGCTTCATCGTGTATTGCACGACTCTATGAAGAAATGGAGTATCGAGACGATATTGCCTATCTCCTTCCCATCAACACCTGGTACATAATGGTGGGCTGCATCCCACAGGTCCACCAGTCAACTGGACGGCCCAACGGAGACACGATATGCGAAGATGAATTGAATATCCTCCGTCACGCGCTCCGGACCATGGCCAACAAGTATCCTCCATCCAGAAACGTTCTCTACGGTATTGACAGGTTTGCCCGAAAGAGGACGACTACGGGTAAAAACGAGGTGCGAAGGCCTCTGGGGATTTCAGATCTTACAGGTGGTCGTAGCAACGAAAATGACCCTGGAGCATTTCCAGACGAGTTGGTAAGGGAACTCTTTCCTCTCCCGAAAACGATGTGTCCTCGGATGGATCTACTGGAGCCAGTCGGCGAAAGACGGGAGCCTTCGACCATGTCAGGTGAGATTTTTCCATGGGACGAACAAAATCCGATGGATTGGTTATTCGATGAGTTCTGTCAGGATAGCATTGATTCCTACGATAGTCTGCTGGCGCCCACGGATGTTGGTTCGGAACAGTTACTCTGAAGTTTTCGTTGGGGGCAGGGCCATGGTCATCATGACGACGAATCGTGAGGATGAAAACTAGTAAGAGGAGATCAAGATGGTGCCAATGTATACACGCGCTGGCATCTTTTCCTGTGCAGCTAAACAGCAAGACTTCCATCGAAAATTAAATATGTTCATCCGTGCCCTGTAATTTTTGACTCGATGATTTTTTTTTTTTTTTTTTTTTAAAAAAAAAAAAGACAAGATAAAATGTACTTATCAGGGCTTTTCCCTGTATCAAAATTTCACAAAGTCTGAGCATTAGACCCTAGCCTCCCCACCCGAAAAGAAGCAAAGCTCCTGCTAGAGAGACAGTAATAGTGACGGCGTACGTCGCTGTCTTCCCAATGTTGACTGAAGGAGATCCGTTCCCCGCAGCCGCGCTGGTTGCTGGAGTGGTCTCGGATGATGTGGGCGAAGCCGTGCCTGATGACTGGGGCGGGGTTTGACTTTCCGCGATGGCAGCTTGTTTGGTGATGACGGGATATTGATAGACGCCATTCATGAGATCTTCGCCTGCTCCATAGAACCGTAGGAGAGCCGTCAGCTGACCACCGCCCGCCGGGCCAGGAATCCAATTGCTCGTCCAGTTCGCAGGCGGAGGGACGTCCGCTGGCTGGACAAGGATTTGGAACGATCCTTCACCCGTGTTGTCGATGGCATTGTCTCCTCCATAGACTAACTTCCCGTCGGAATACGTTATATTGTTTCGATCGCCTATGGCGTAAACATTCCTTGAGTTCGGGACCAAGAACCCTTCTGCATCGTAGACGGTCATGCTCCAGAATCCCGGCTTTATGATAGGAGGTTGGCCTCCGACAAAAGTGTACATATAAGCCTCGTTGGAGCCGAGAGTCTGTTGCTGACTTAAACCGCCTTCTGGATCTGAGGTATTGTCCCAAATGGGATACAGCGCGTTGGGCGCTTTCAGCATTAAATATCCGTAGTCCGCGATAGCAGCCCGAATAGAATAGTTGGTGCCGTAGTCACCCGAGTATCTACTTGCCGTTCTCGACCAGCCGTTGTTCAAAGGCTCGGCCACCCCTGGCATTGTATAGTCGGTGTACATGGTGAGGGTAGCAGCCTGGAATGCTAGGGTAAGGTTGACGTTGGATTGTGTGGTGTAGGAGCTGTTCGAGACTCCAGCGGCGGAGAGCATTGTGTTCACGCGTTCGGTGTCGGAACGGATTTCTGGTGGAGCATAATGGCCCAAAGTGGCAAGTAATTGTAGAATTCTCTGGGGAGAGCCCGCTGGGGCGCTCACGTTGGCAAGGATCTGGTGAAGAGTGGGGATGCTGTCGGAATCAGAGGCGGTTCGAGTCACATTCTCAGCTTTCGTCATGGCCTGATATCCGTACACCGCCTCGAAATCAGAAGCCGTGGCAATCCCCCAGCGGATGAGAAGGGTACCGAAAGTGGAAGGAAGGTTGATGTAGCCTGCGTATGGCTCCGAATTGCTCGTTTCTAGACCATATTGTGCCGTAGTGTTGGGGAGCATTCGCACACGATATTGGCCAGATTTGTGGAAGTTCGAGGAGCCCAGGTTGGCGACGTTATTTCCATAAGGATCGTAGAAGGAGAACAAATAGAAGTGACTGGGGTCCACCGCCGGCATTGTTACCACAACATCGCTTTGACTTAGGTCCAAGATCAGGGTCGAGAACAAAGTATCCACATTCGGCTTTACTACCGTCCTGTTGGCGGCTGTTTGGAAGACTCTGTTGTGGTTGAATTGGTTGGCGCCGCGTGTGTGAACGAGAGTTGACGCAAATCTCTCATATGCCAAAAGGGGAATTCCATAGATCAACGCGAACGTTGTGGCATTCTGTGCGGAAGTCTCTTGTCCAATAACGCAAGTCGCGAAGATGACCAGCAACCAAAGAGATAGGCTCGCCATTGCTCGAAGCGAGGCACCGGTAAGTCTACTGGGGATGTGATTTAAATCCTGCCTTGTTGTATAGGACAGTTCGAATCCAACGGCAGCACAAGGCGCGAGGACGGCTCCCTTACCGTTTATATTCGCAATAGGCCCGCCATTGTAACCGAGGCTGGTCCTCTATAAGTGTGTCCTGATGGTCAATCTGGTCTTTCAATATGCGGGGTTCCATGACAATCGCATGAGGATGTCTCTTCGTTATATGATTCGGCGCCCACATGTAAAGCGGTCGGCATCGGCTGTTCTTCGATTGCAAGCTCTGGTCACACGAGAATCGGTCTTCCCATTGCCGTTAGATAGCTGAATTCAGGACGTGGTTCGGAGGCATGGCGGCAGGGACTCGAACTTATGGTATCCAGTTGCCGAAGAATCACTTCCATGTGATGAGAAATGGGGTAGCAGGCGCATAAGCGAATCGCTCATCGACGTGAGAGCCAAAGTCGTGGCCATTCTTCGAATTTCGTCTTCAACTAGGCCGATCATGCGAGAGGGGGACCATCACCCACGAAGCGGGGATCCAGAGGAATTAAAGAACGGTAGTGAAGTGGGCGGGATGCTAAACAGGGTTCGTCGTTAGATCATAGTTGTAGGGAAACAAAACAGGAACGGTCGGTTTGCTTTGACAGCCGTTGAATACTCCAGGAACTAATCGAAATTCCTCGTATTCCGGGGCTTGTCAACCGAAATGCGGGGGGCATCTACGAATCGTTATGGCGGTGATGGATTTTTCGGCGTGCATATCGAGCTCAAAGACTCGGTGTCGGTAACGCTTCGGTAACAGGGTTGAGATGAGTTCTAAGGAATACAAGTCCTGACTGGAGGATGAGAAAGGAGGAGGGAAGAGAGGGGGTTGTATGGCTCGGAGTCCACCACTGTTACAATTGTTAGCTTTTACAATTCGCTGTGCTGCCGCCGCTGGAGAGTCAACTGAACAAGCTATTAGTTCAGGGCATCAAAGAGGAGCAAGAATAGTGACGGGAATGCGAATGTTGTCAGGCGGTGATCGAGTTGTCTCGAGATCCACTTGACTGTTTACGGCCAGGTTGTATTCGATCCGCTGGTGTCCAGGTAGATTTGATACCGAGATCTACGGATGAAAGGTCTCGTTTCCTGATGTATGGAATAATCGAGAAAGAGGACAATGAGACGCGGAGATGAAGCCAACCTTTAAAAGCGGCTGGGTAAGTTGACGTCCACGTGACACACCAAGCCTGCGGTTTGGGGCCTGAGGTTCAAGTTTGAAGCCTGAGTTCGAGACTAGAAGGAGAACATCGCTTTTGAAAGGGCCACTTTCCTTTCTTTCTCCATCTTCTAGCCATATTATTCTCTCGATCGCAACGCGACTTGCCTGAAAGTCGCAATCATTACCTTCCTGTATCTAGGGCAGGGGCCATTCTTTTTCGGTATTCTACTGCCACGTCGCAAATGGGATCGTACCTTGGTCGCCAGTTCTTCCCTTCTTCCTAGGTTTCCAACATTCCCAGTCTATCCTTTTGACTTGTCATCTCTGCGCAGATCAGAGTCGCCATGGGTGTCCCAGCTCTTTTTCGATGGCTCACTAAGAAGTACCCCAAGATTATCACTCCCGTGATTGAGGAGCAACCGTATGAGATCGATGGCGTGAAATACCCCGTCGATACAACCAAGCCGAACCCCAATGGCGAAGAAATGCATAACCTCTATCTTGATTTCAATGGAATTGTTCACCCTTGCTCACATCCCGAGAACAAGCCACCTCCAGCAAACGAAAGCGAAATGATGATTGAGATTTTCAAATACACTGACCGTGTGGTGAACATGGTAAGACCACGAAGACTTCTCATGATCGCAATCGGTACGTCCAATCCCTGGGTTTCTTTCACGAAAAGCGTACTAACGCCCGTCAGATGGTGTCGCTCCTCGCGCTAAAATGAATCAGCAACGCGCTCGTCGGTTCCGGTCGGCGATGGATGCCAAAGAGGCGGATGAGAAGAAGGCAGAATTCCAGACACTTCTGCGACAACAACAGCAAGATAGGAATGAGACCGAGGATGAAGATTCGGCGGTTGAGGACGTAATCAAGAAAACATGGGATAGCAATGTCATCACACCTGGCACGCCTTTCATGTTCATTCTTGCCCAGTCCATCCGATATTGGGTCCAATGGAAACTCAACACTGACCCGGCCTGGGCGGAATTGAAAGTCATCATTTCGGACGCCAGTGTCCCAGGCGAAGGTGAGCATAAGATTATGCAGTTCATTCGTTCTCAACGCTCCGACCCTGAATATGATCCCAATACAAGACACGTCATGTACGGTCTTGACGCAGACTTGATCATGCTCGGTATTGCCACTCATGAACCACATTTCCGTGTCCTTCGAGAAGATGTCAGTATCAGAGATGCCAAAGCCAAAACTTGCAAGCTTTGCGGCCAGCAAGGCCACTACGCGGAGAATTGCAGAGGCAACGCCAAGGCAAAAGCCGGCGAATACGACGAAAAGGGAAGGACAGAAGAGCTGAAGCCGTTTGTCTGGTTGAATGTCCCAATATTGCGTGAGTATCTTGGTGCGGAAATGTTTGTTCCTGGTCAATCATTTCGTTTCGATCTTGAGCGTGCTCTTGACGATTGGGTCTTCATGTGTTTCTTTGTTGGCAACGACTTTTTACCTCATCTTCCCAGCCTCGATATCCACGAAGATGGTATTGACAAACTCATTGCCATTTGGAGGGACAATATCCCCATCATGGGAGGCTACCTGACCTGTGATGGAAACGTCGATCTTGCACGTGCTCAAGTGATTCTGCAAGGGCTTGCCAAACAAGAAGATGCCATATTTAAACGCAGAAAAGAAGTCGAGGACAGAAGGGAACGCAACCAGCGTCGACGAGATCGAGAAAACGAGGCCCGAGAGGCCGAACGCAATCCTAAGCGACGTCGAAGTTCTCCAGACTATACCAGAGGCGGTCGAGTCGACACCCGGGCCCCGACTGGACCAGTTGAGACCTTTGAAGCCGCCAACTTCCCCGTGCTCGACTACAATTCGATCGTGAACCGAGGTGCTGTGGACAGAGCTTTGGCCTCCAACAAGAGCGCAGCCGCTGCATTGAAAGAGCAAATGCTGGCCAAAAAAGCGGCAGAGACTCCCAGTAGGAACGGCATCAATGGCGCCGATGAAAGCTCTAGTGCAGGCGAAGGTACTCCTCTGTCTGCGTTGGGGAAGCGGAAGGCTGCATTGATGGAGGAAGAGTCTGACAGTGGCACACCTGGTCGCAACACTCCGGTGGAAAAGCCCCGGAATAACGCTGATCCCAATGATCCTCCACCAGATACGGTGCGACTGTGGGAAGAAGGTTATGCTGACCGGTACTACGAGCAAAAGTTTCACGTTTCTCCTCAAGATATCGAATTCCGCCATAAGGTTGCTAGATCTTACGTCGAAGGGTTGTGCTGGGTGCTCCTCTACTATTTCCAAGGGTGCCCATCATGGACCTGGTACTATCCGTATCATTATGCTCCATTTGCGGCGGACTTCGTTGACATTGATAAGATGACTGTCAATTTTGAGAAGGGAAAGCCGTTCAAGCCGTATGAACAGCTGATGGGGGTTTTGCCTGCTTCTTCCAACCATGCCATTCCGGAAGTCTTCCACCCCCTTATGACGGACAAAGACTCCGACATTATCGACTTTTATCCGGAAGAGTTTGAGCTCGATCTAAATGGTAAAAAACAGTCTTGGAAAGCCGTTGTCCTGTTGCCCTTCATCGACGAACGGCGCCTTCTCGCAGCCATGGCCACCAAATACCCCTTGTTGACGGATGACGAGCGAGCCAGGAACGAGCCAGGAAAGGACGCCCTGATCGTATCGGACCAAAATCCTCTCTACGACGAATTAGTGATGCATTTTTACTCGAAAAAGTCCAAGGATGGTAAAACCACGGTCCAGCTGCCAATGCGAAAAGGCCGTCTCTCCGGGACCGTGACAAAGAACGAAGACTTTCTGCCTCATATGGACTTGGTTGGGCCCGAAGAAGACATCAGGCTGGAGCCCGTCGTCGATGACGATCGTTCTCTGAGTGTTCACTTCACGGCTCCGCCTCCTACACATGTGCACAAATCCATGTTGTTCCCCGGAGTTGTGCTCCCTCCTCCAGTACTGGACAAAAGTGACCTGGCCATTCTTAGGTCGAAAGCGAGGACGTCGGGTCGGGACTTTGGTGGCGCGCCCCTTTACGACAATACTCGGCGTGATCCTCAAGATACGCACAATCGAGGTGGACGTATCAATTACGCTGCCGATCGGCCACCCTTGGACGCAGGACCTCTAAGCAACTCGAGAGATAATCCGTTTGCCGCTTTTCTCGATCCCAGATTTGCTCCCGGAATGCCAGGGCCAGGTCGTGTGCCTCCACCTCCGCCTCCCCAAAGATATGGAGGCCAAAATGGCTACGATTGGAATCAAGCACCCAGCAATGGATATGGAGGATACGGTGGCGGCCATGCAGGCTACAACAATTATCAAAATCAAAGACGGGGAGGTCAAGATCAAGCTTATCACGGAAATTCCGGTCAGAACCAGTACTACGGTGGTAACGGAGAGTATCGTCAGAATGTTGGTCGAAGTGTGAGCGATAGCTACTATCAAGGCCAAGGTCGGGGTTATGCCGCTAGGGACGATCGTCGCGGAAATTATGGTGACGGATACGACCAGGGGAGATATGGGCGACGATAGCCTTTCCGCAAGATGAGTTCGTTGGGATGAAAAGACTGCATGGTCTGTCTTCGGCTTGCTGATGAGGTTGAGAGAAAGATGATCGGAAACTCGACTCTCTGTCGGCTCTGTGTACCAATCATTGTATTCGAAAAGTATTTTGGCTCTAGTTCCAACTCCTGTCTTCCTTCTCCTAGAATTGACTTTCCTGAGCATGTTATGAGATGTTGCGCCGTCACGTGCCTCGCAAAGCGAACAATCTCCTGGTCAACTCAACTCACATTCTCTGACCCTCCCCCGTCCCCCCCTCCCCCCCCAAAAAAAAAAATTGGGGTCGATGAGGATGGGACTCGAACCCACAGTCTTTGCCAGGCTGTATTCACCGGAAAGCAACGCCTTACCATTAGGCCACCCCACCCACTTCCGTCAGGGTACAGATAGTTTTGTGAGGGTCAGAAGTCGACCTTTTTTCGGGGAATGAAACTATATTGTTAGTTTAGTTGCACGTGACCTAATGACTAAACACCGCAGTGAATGCGAAGGTGAATTTTTGTTCGAGTACCAGTCGCGCAGCTCTCGTATTCTTCCCCATTGAACTCAGAGGTGAACAATTAAGACCAACTTCATCAAGCCGATGTCGAGGAAACCTCTAGAGGCCAGGATATTCTTGCACCAATGTAGAAGAACTTACAGCTCTACGCCCGCACAGTTGTATGGACGACGATTTGCAACAGCTCCGAAACCACAACCCCAACTCTCCCATATCCGCGACAATGTCGAACTCCACGAACACAACGTTCTGGTGCGCAATTATCGCAACCTCAAAGATGTCCCAGGAAAGATCGCGGAGAACGTCCGCGCGGTCAATGACCTAGAAGATCGTATGAATAAACCTCGTCAGACTCTGAGAGAACTGCAAAAACAAATAAATACTACCAAAGGGGATAAATCTGAGTTCGTGACGCAGATGAAAACGATCCGGCCCGTGGTAGACGTCCTGGAGGCTGAAAGCGCGGCACTGGATGTCGAAGCACGCGAGCTGGCTCTGTCATTGCCCAATTTGACATTCTCACAGACACCCACTGACGGTGCACCGAGATTGAAGTCCTATTTCAATTATGATCCGGCAAATCCTCCCCGGCACAGCAACTCAGCAGATCACGCGATCATTGGCGAGAAGCTCAATTTGCTCGATTTTGCCGCGGCCGCAAATTCAACCGGATGGGGCTTCTACTTCTTGCTCAATGAAGCGGCTCTCCTCGAACAAGCTCTAGTTCAATACGCGTTATCAGTGACCATTAAACATGGATGGTCGGTCGTCTCTCCTCCTTCCCTTGTATATTCGTACCTGGCGGATTCGTGTGGGTTTCAGCCTCGGGATCAGAACGACGAACAACAGATCTGGGAGGTCGCTCAGCTCCCGAGAGACCAGGGGAAGCCTATGAGAAGCCTCGCTGCCACGGCAGAGATTCCCCTTGCTGGAATTTACGCTGGAAAGACTGTCCCGGAGGGTAATCTGCCCATCAAGCTCGTGGGCTCTAGTCGATGCTTCCGTGCTGAAGCCGGTGCTCGCGGGGTGGATAGTAAAGGTCTCTATCGAGTGCACGAGTTCACCAAGGTTGAGATGTTTGCGTGGACAGACTGTCCCTCTAGCAGTGCGGGGGTTCCAGATGAGGATAGGTGGCTCGAACACTCGGGCAAGGTGTTTGATGAGATGGTTGGTATACAAACTGAGATTCTGTCATCACTGGGCCTGCCCTGTCGCGTTTTGGAGATGCCGTCCTCAGACCTTGGCGCCAGTGCGTTCCGCAAGATCGACATTGAGGCCATGTTTCCTTCGCGAAGAAAGAGGGATGATGGATGGGGCGAAGTCACCTCCGCTTCGATTTGTACAGACTACCAAAGCCGGAGACTTAATACGAGGATCGCGGAGAAGAACCTGTCGACGAAGAAGTTTCCCCATACAGTGAATGGCACGGCCATAGCGATTCCGAGAGTTCTCGCTGCCATATTGGAGAATGGGTGGCGCGAAGACGAAGGTTGTGTGGTTATACCTGAAAAGCTGAGAGTGTACATGGGTGGAAGGGAAAAGATCGGGCCCCGATAAACGTGTATTATATCAGATTCATGGAATGGGACAAAACTGGAAGACCTATTTTCGTTGGTTCCATTTACCAAAGCTTCGGGGATAAAGCGAAGTCGCTGTTCGCGACTTTGTCGGTCCAATTCTTTAATGCTGGTCTCTACAGAGTAAACCTCAACAGGCAGATGATTATTGATCGGCCTCTGTCCATTGTGTGTGTGAGAGAGTCGTCATCTCTGCATACCCAGCAAATTGTCAAACTTTGGTGTCCGACAAGAGAGGAGCCGGCCCTTGATGAAGATAGCCGGGCCGTTCGGATCAATGAATGGTGTTGGAATCTTTGCCGAGCAGGACATGGGAATTCGATACCGACCCTCTGGTTGATATTCATCAGGTCAATCATCTGCTCTAAATGGTGCACATTCCCAAGTTGAAGAGCAGCCGTCTTCGGAACAATCGCTGGAGGAGGAAGCATGATGGCAAGGAGTGAGTAATGACCTCAAAAGTCATGGCCCTAAATCACTGTTGGGATCTGGACAGGCAGATCTATTCGATTCTCGTCCGTTTCCTTTCTCAAATGAAGATCATCCAATGTTTCATTTCTGTGTATCTTCCTGTCAAACTGGGGTACAACCTGAGATGTATTGAATGCTCTATCTATCTCGCAACCGGTCCTGCCAGGTTACTGGTACAGTATATATACACGTTGAGTTGACCCCTTTTCTTCTCCTATTTCTACCCCTAAATCCTACATAGTGGTGATAACCCCTTTTCCTAATAAAGGGGCTTCAACCAGAGATTAAGAGATTCTCAGCGCGCTATCTCGGAAAGAGACATGCAGGCAGCTATCATTATGTCCACGATTGGGGCGAGAGCACGCTCTCAGTCTCGACGACTTTAAAGCAATGACCAGGTCAACAGGGTCGTACCGGGAACCTGGAAGCGTCCCAAACACATATTCGAGGCGTATGGAAAATGGATGGTTAAACTACGCGGAGGTTTGGACAACACAAAGCCCTTTTTTGCTGCGGCAATTGTGCACGGACATCACTCCCCTTTTCTTCCACGCTTTGAAGACCGCGCAAGGACCACTGACAGAGTGCACGTCCAACGTCGACAGGACCGAAAGTCGCTCGAGTGGCCCAGTAGGAGTTGGCAACATGCCCTGCAGAGACCAGCAGGTTTGGCCCGGATGTTGCTCTCAAACACCCTACCTTCTGCGTCACCGAATTCCTCACGGTCATCGCTCGATTCCGCGACCCGTCCATGGTGCGGAAGGCAATCAACCCGCTGACGCGGTATCTTCTCACCACCGAGACTTGATCCTTCATATCCACAAAATGCCGCTTCGTTGCGAGCGCCTTCCGGCCGCAAGGGCCACTATACACAGTCCTCCAGTTCTCAAGGTCTCTCCTTGAGGCACACACGATCCATCAAAAATCCCACGGCACATTCGATCTACGAACACAATCCGACACGGTGGAGTGTCTATTCTATCTCCATGCGTCGTTATGGATGCAACGGGACCATCTAGGCCGGGCGGATGAGTACATAGCGACTCGGTATGGAAGCTGTGTAGAGTGACCTGCACCTCGCCCGCAGCGTCGACGGCCTCGGGCAGATCCATATTTGGCTGTGTCTCAATGACGGCCACCACGACCGCTCGACGGAGGACTCCATATCTGTTACCAGGCTGGTGCTCCGTCTCTTGCGCGTGGCGAAGAAATTGGTCCCGACTAGCTGGCGAAGGCTGAAGCGTTGTTTGTTGGATGCCCTGGCCAGCCTGCAATTGTACGGCCTCCGGTACGGATACTAGTTTTGGTATTGGTGCAGATGACCAGGCCGATGATAGAAGCAGAGTGATAGGTTGGATCTGTAGGATTTTGACAAATCAGAAATGAAATGAATCGCTCGACTAAGCTAGTAGAGATGCTTCTCACATATGGAATTGTATACTGCATGATAAAACCCTCAAGGTAGACAGACGATGGGTTCAAGTCATATAATCTGAATGCATCCTACTGAAACTGCTCTCTGCAGGTATCCACTGATAGAGATGAGCCTCCGCCAGTAATAATATGCGCGTACGGCGTCCAGAAAATAGGCCTGGTCGTCAACAGTGTTATCTTCGGATGTTCAAAACTATGCAGATTTTGATTTCATCTTCGTATCCCATATCCGAGTGCCCAGGACGCCGACACTCGTTGCACTGCCTATCCCATACTGTAGATGAGAGGATCATCACCAGGAGCTAAAAGGACTAAAACTTGAAACACAGTACAGAAACACAAAGCACGAAGAATGCAGGGAAACGCAAATATTTCACGAGAGGAGAGAACAGACATAATATTTTCTCCCATTTATTGATGTGTGTGGGATTTTTTCTGTGAATCTCATATCTTGGTTTCTCTCTTTCATCCAAAAATCTTCAAAAAAGCCCATAAACCCGTACTACTCAAGACGGGAATCGTCAAATTATCATCCCAACCCCAGAGATCTATAAATTCCGAGACACTGGCGATGAGACCGGTGCAGAAACTCATGACTGCAAGCGCGGTCGTGCCCACGATGACGCCTTCATTGGGTTGCCATCCCAGCAGCTCTTTTGCCCTGGAGGGTAGAGACAGGCGGTTCTGGAACATGAAGCCGTCAATCGGGTCGTCTGGAGACGGACCAGTTCGTGGCACGAGATAACCCCAAAAAAAAGCGGCGACAAAAACCCCCGTGGCGAATGCGGCCAGAGAACCGGCGAGTGATTTTCCACGGCGAAGTCGGATTGTATAGCGTCCATACAGTCTTCCAAACGTGCTTGCAGCGGTGTCACACCAGGATAATAGAAGGATAGACATTACGCCGATGTCCTTGGGGTAGAATCTCAATGCAATGTAAGCTCCCACCAGGTACCAGATCACGCCGTTGTAGCCGTTGACCTCGGTTTCGCGCATCAGGGCGCCCAAGACCTTGATATAGAATCTGTTGAAGCGGTCGGAGTGGTGTCGTAAGACGTCCGTGGGTGCAATGATCGACAGAGCACCGAGCAGCCAAGGTGTAATGGCCCAAGGTTGCATGCCATTTACATAGAAGCGGAGGGTGAAAAAGCCAATTGACACGTGAAGCAGTTTCCGTGGAATTTCATGTTTGTGTATGAGAGTTCGATAGTGCCGATGCAGAGGGATTAGGCCCAATGGTGAGGGGGAACGAGAGAACTCTCGCCAGGATTTTTTCACTCGGTCGTACGGTGACAAGTGCCCGTTCGATTGAGGGAATGGCACAATTCCGTTTGTTAAAGGCTCAGATTTCGAGACGGGCGTTTTGGGAGTGAGGCCACTCAAGCGTCGTCTCTTGCCGGCACTTGCACGTACGGTCCCATTCATCTGAGAGGTCGCAGTCAATATAGGACTTCTTGACCTCGCTCTGGCCCGCTTCTCGACACTAGAATCGGATCCGGAGCCATCTTTTTCTTCATGGATGGGCTCCGGTTGAGGGGATCGTTGTCGTTGGGCTTTTGCAGCAGATCGTGTGACTGGTGCGAAATAGGAGTCTTGAGGTTCGGAGGCTTCGGATGGGGTTGGGGAGGGCGAGATGACTCGCGGAGTCGCTGGAATAGGGTGAGGATAGGACATTGGGAAGCTTTGGAGTCGGCCAGGAGGGAGGATGTGGTGGAAAACGAGTTGATGAGAGTGAGAGGTGAGGAGGATGAAATCCTGTCTCGCACACGCAGCGATTGTTTGATGGACAATCAACGGTCAGTGACGCAACATGATGGACAGGGACAAAGAGGATGGTATGGCATTATCTCTTGAGCCTGCTCAAGAATGTATTTGCAGGATAGAAACACTGCAGAGGACGCGTGATGGTGGACGTAGGTGTGTCCTTGACATGACGGCACTTGACACACTGTAGCGAAGAACCGAGATCCGTGCACACTGGACACAGTGGACAAAATTCGAGCGCAAGCGCATGCGCCAGTCCGTGCCTTGTCCATTTTCCGTGGGTGCCGGGGGCTGTCTGGATGCCTGACGGCCTTCGCTTATCGATGCCAAGATTTCAGATCCCCCTCTGCAGGGGGCCGACCGACTTAATTTTTTGGCCCTGCGAGTCCCGAGTCCTCTCTCCCGTCTTCAGATCACTCCCATTTTTGCAGTCTACGGAGCGCGATTCTGTTCGGTCCATTGCTTGGTCTCAAACATGGCTCCCGATAGAGGAGCACCATCTTCAAAGGGCACCTCGTCCCGTGCTTGGGAAGCCCTCACTCCCGCCCTCTCACAATGGATCCTCGATGCCACGTCCTCCATGAGTTTTTCTCGCATGACCCCTGTTCAGGCCTCGGCCATTCCTCTGTTCATGAGCCATAAAGATGTCGTTGTCGAAGCTGTGACAGGGAGCGGAAAGACACTCGCCTTTCTCATACCCGTGGTGGAACGCCTACTGAGACTGGAAGAACCCATCAAGAAACATCATGTCGGCGCCATCATCATTTCCCCCACGAGGGAATTGGCGTCACAGATATTCAATATCTTGTTGTCCTTGCTCGACTTCCATCCTCCCTCCGCTGCGGCGCGCAAGGCCATGGACGCTTCAGGCGAATCGGAGACAGGCGCGGACGCCGGGACCTTCCCCGCGAATACACCCAAAGTCATTCCACAACTGCTTTTAGGCGGATCTACTACTCCTGCACAGGACTTGAGTACGTTTCTGAAGACTTCACCGAATGTGCTGGTGTCTACTCCCGGACGACTTCTTGAAATCCTCTCCTCGCCCTACGTTCACTGTCCCCAATCCTCGTTCGAAACCCTGGTCCTCGATGAAGCCGACCGTTTGTTGGACCTCGGCTTCAAGGATGACCTCAGCAAGATCCTCAATCTACTACCCAAACAGCGGCGGACCGGCCTTTTCAGTGCCAGCGTCAGTGAGGCGGTTGATCAAGTCATACGTGTCGGACTGCGGAATCCGGTCAGGATCACGGTCAAAGTGAAGGGCGCAAACGGAGTGGAGGACAAAAGAACCCCGGCAAGTCTCCAAATGACATATGCAGTGACTCCGGCTTCCCACAAATTTCCCACCCTCGCGGCCTTGCTGCATCGCTTAGATTCGTTACCTCTGCGGACGATTGTATACCTGTCGACTTGCGCCGCCGTCGACTATTTCCAAGCCTTGTTACCCGCCATACTGCCGTCTGAGGCTGCTCTGGTACCTCTCCATGGTAAACATCCACCGACTGTCCGACAGAAAAACTTTGTCCGGTTCACCAATTCCGCCTCTCCAGCCATTCTCCTGACCACTGACGTTGCGGCTCGCGGTTTAGATATTCCGTCCGTCGATTTGGTCGTGCAGGTTGATCCTCCTTCCGATCCCAAAGTCTTCCTCCATCGATGTGGTCGGGCCGGACGCGCTGGCCGACGAGGTCTCAGTGTTGTCTTCTTGCTTCCTGGCCGCGAGGAAGATTACGTGTCCTTTCTGAATGTCCGGAAGACGCCCATTGAACCGTTGTCGGAGCCTGACCTTTCTGTTTCCACGGAGGGCTGTCTTGCGGTCGCAGAACAATTCCGAAAGGCCGTCCTCACAGATCGAGCACTCCATGAAAAAGCCCAAAAAGCATTCGTGAGTTGGGTCAGAAGTTATTCCAAACATCAAGCATCTTCAATTTTCCGTCTGTCGGATATTGACTGGAATGATCACGCTGCTGCATGGGCTCTGTTAAAAATGCCCAAGATGCCGGAGCTTAAGAATTGGGATAGGACAACGTACGGTCCCCCCCTGATAGACTGGGCCCACTATGGTTACAAGGACAAACAGAGAGAGAAACGGCGAAAGCAGGCTCTCAAAGCGGGACCAATAACGGCCCAACCGGATGAAAAGAATGCCATTCGGAAGAAACGCGGGAGCACGGTGGCTTGGTCCGAGAAGATCGAGCGGAGAGCAAGTAAAGAAGTCAAGCGCTCCAAGAAAGAGGCAAGAAGAGAGTATGAACGAGTCGCTAAGATGACCGAATCTGAAAAGGAGCATGAAGCAGAAACTGCAAGAATGGTTCAACAGATTCGCCAACAACAGTTGAAGTCGAGTAACGACGACGTCTTCGAAGGCTTTGAGTGAGAGTCGATTGCATCCGGCTACATGCCTCCACACTCGCTTAATATCCATGACGGACTTGTTGTCAGCAAGGCCGCACTGCTTCAGACCGCCAATATCTCGGTGGCGAAGATCAGCCTCAGTTACGGAGTAGTGGACGACAAAGCGCCCCCCGATGCAAAATTACTGACATTTATTTCCGGCGGCTTGAAATTGTACCGCTTTTGGTGCAGATGAACATGATCCAAAGTCGTGGGGACCAATCATCTCCTCGGGGATTATGTCTGAGGCTGACATTAAGACCTACATCCGCTCGTGGCACGTGACTATGGAATAAGTATATCAAAGTTCATGACGACCCGACGAAATCTTTTCATTCATCGTTTCCATCATCCAGCCAAGGGAGCATCACTATTACTGGTTCAAGATGGACGACCCTGAAAATCCCTACGCGGCCGCCGCTCGCCACCCCAAAGGCCCACACGACGCCAGACCTACTGCCCTCCAAATTATAAGAGATGAGAACCTCACCGGCGCCCTTTCAGACCTCGTGATCCTCATCACGGGCTGCTCGAGCGGCATCGGAGTTGAGACCGCCCGAGCCCTGGCATCGACTGGGGCGACACTGTATCTCACTGCCCGCAACCTAACCAAGGCCCGCGAAGCACTCGGCCCAGAGCTCGTCTGCAACCCCAAAGTGCACCTCCTCGTCCTCGATCTTGACTCTCTTGACTCCGTTAGGTCCTGCGCGTCAACGTTTCTCAGCAAATCCGACAAACTTAACATCCTCATAACCAACGCCGGAATCCGTCATGTGGTGTGGTCCAAAACACCAGACGGCTTTGAGCGACACTTCGGCGTCAACCACCTTTCGCACTTCCTTCTCACACAACTTCTATTGCCCACACTGCAGGAATCTTCCACGATGGCTTTCCAATCCCGTGTGGTCGCACTCAGCAGCACGGCACACCGTAATGCGCCTGTAAACTTCGACGATCTGAACCTCGAGAAACCGGGCGCGTACACCAAGCCAACAGGTTACGCACAGAGCAAGTTGGCCAATGTATACATGGCAAGCGAAATCACACGGCGCTACGGCCAGCCCAAGGCCGTCGCCCACAAACCTGGTGTCTGGGGCCTTGCGGTGCACCCCGGCGGCATCCGCACAGGACTACAGCAAGGTGACAACGGCGGCGGGCTTCGCGATCCCATGACCTGGTACTACCTCCGGCATCTCTGGCGGATATTAAACATGTTCAAGACCCCCGAGCAAGGTGCCGCCACGACTGTGGTCGCCGCTGTCGCAAAACGCTTCGAAGGTCGTGGTGCATTGTACCTCGAAGACTGTGGGCTTGCCGTACCGGTCCGCAAAGGCTGGGGCATCATTGATCCCGGCTACCTGCCTGGACGCACAGACAATGAGGCCGACGCAAAGAAGTGTTGGGAAGTTAGTTGTCGATTAGTCGGGGTGAAGGACGACGAGGTGTGAGTCGGAATCATTGATGGATAGGCAGGTAGAGTTGTGCCGATCAAGGCGAATTTAACACATTCATGTAATAACTGAGTGGCACTCGGGCGGTGTGGAAAATGAAAATGAAATAGAGGTTTGAATGCGGTTTTGTACTCGTGTTATGTTCACTGTCAGACTCCTGTGGTTATTTGTGCCGAAAGATCTCAAATCTGACCAAGATGATATTGCAAAAGGGGGTGTGCAGCGAGGGTATATGTCTCTGTCTGTTGTCAGTATCTTTCATCATTGCCTCATTCAATCGGATCTGCTCTCTATGAGACTCCTCCGCGGAGCCATTTCGTATCCCACTGGCCTCGACGTGTGATTCCACTCTTGAACGTCACTAACATGGCAGATTTTCTCAATTATGAACTTCCACCACTACCGCCACCACCGTTCCCGTTGACGCCCATCCCATTGCCGAAGAAAAACCCATCGAACAAATCATACTGTTGACCGTCACTCCAGTCGTGTTGGAAGTCGAGACCCATTCCGAACCCGAGATCCAGACCACCCGCGTCAAAGTTAAAATCATCGCCGCTAGAGGCCACGTTGTTGAGGAAGTCCATGCCCGGCAGCGACGACATAAAGTCCGGGTTGTAGGTGTTTTGCATGTAGAATGGCTGCTGGCTTTGAGGCTGGCCTTGATTGAAGAGGAGGGGATTGTTTGGTGTTCCCATGCCGAGACCGCTGTTGATTTGCGAGTTGATACTCGATGCTGGAGACATTTGTTGCGGACGTGGCGACTGCTGTAGCGTTTGTGGGTAGGTTGACTGTGGTTGCGCGGTTCGTTGGAGGCCCTGAAGTGGTTGAGGAAACGATTGAGACGGGCGGGTGCTCGGTTCCAAGTCATCGGGGAAAAGATCTCGGAGGTCCATGTCGAATTTGGGGGGTGGGCGCTTCGTGATCGGCTTGGGTACGGTGCGGGAAGACGGAGCGTAGGAATCGATTTGCATCGGGACGGTGGTACTTGGTTGACTCGGCTGCCGGGTGAGCCGTTGTCGGGGCTCATCACGTTCCATCGAGAAGCCAAATCCCGGTGTGGACATGCACATCTGTACCGTGGCTTTGCTCATTCGTTCAAAAGCATCCCGACATGCTTCGGCAGGAGGGCATTTTTCCATGAGGTCTCCGAGAACAGACGTTGCGGCAAGCACAGTAAAGTCGAAGTCGTCGAGACTCTAACGTCAGTTAGATGAAGCTGTCCGATTAGAAGGGGGGGGGGGAAGATGTGATCCTACCAGACGAGCTCTGACGGCGGGTGAATGCCATACAGCGTACAAGAAAGAGATGCCTGCCATGAACAAATGATGAGTCGCGAGGTATGTGTAGTTGACCAGTCGCAATCGGTGAAGTTGTCTGTACAGTTTCAAGGTCTTCTGGCCTGCTTCAGCGCATTTCAGAAAGACCAGATCTTCGTCTTCCTTCTCCTCCATCCTCACGCTTGAAGGGCTGGAGACATCTTCGGTTGGACTAAGCTCGTTCGCAAGTGGTGCTGGAACGCTGAGGCTTTGTCGGTAGAGCATGATGACCGCCTGCCAGTAATTCAGCTCCAGAAAGTGGACCGAGAAACCCACCCCTGTCTCGGAGGGATCTGGGGCCGATATTTTCCATTCGTAGAGACGCTGATCAATGTCTCGTCGCCAGGACCGAAATGATTCAAACTTGCTCATGAAAGGTGAAGGCAACTTCGTATGCATAAACTGGTTGCTTCGATTAGTGCCATTGAGACGCGCTTGCTGTGCTTGCTGATGCTGCAGAACTTGGAGGATTTCGGATTGTAACAGTCGTAGCCGGAAATAATGGTGAGAAACACGCTTGTATGAAGGTTCGTCGGCAGACTGCTGTGGGAGAAATCCCCCTCGGGTGATGTATTGGTCGTCGAGTAAAGACGGAAATTCGGTCGTGACGACTTGGTCCGTGATACCGAAGGGTCTTCCGACACAGGTGCTGACCAAACGGTCGAACGTGTAGGTACACCACCAAAGTCGTCTTCGCAGATCCCGGATCCATTCTCGACGACCTTTCTCCTTCGCATCCACCGGTCGGGTGGCTCTTGGGTCGACTGCACTCATGGCGTTACCGAGACCGTCTTGGCCTTCGGCGGCATCGTCAATGTCGGAACCGTCCTCGTAATGGAGACCAAGGTCGACAGCCAATCTCATGGCTACCCCGACGATGTACCACAGTCCGGGAGCTACAGGTCTGAGCAGGGCGAAGCTAGAGAGCAACAACACCGCCTGAAGCTCCTCGAGGTCGCCGTTAGGGCGTTCGGCTGCTTCCAGCGATGAATTGGAGCCCAGATAAGAGCCCAGATTGACGATGGCGGACGCGTGATACTCCTCAGGCTGAGCCTGTTGGCTCGAGAGTCTCGGTTTCTTGGACACATAGTCCCCTGGTTGGGAATTTGGTGGAGGATCTGAAGAACCCCAAATGATGCCGGCGCCGATGGCAAAGACAATATTGAGCAAGTATAACTCGCGACTTGTTCGTCTTGAAGGCTCGGTGGAATACGTCCGTTCAAACAGGTCCATGAACTCGCCTCGATGCAGAATAGGAATTTGGGGGTTGGCATGCTCGAAATACAGGTTCACGAGCTTCCCGCCCAAGTCACGGTCCGGAAACGGTGCCTCTTTGATGGTGGGTTTGGTCTGCAAGCCAAAGTACGAGTCTCTCATGGAACTGCCCCCCGAACTGGCAATGTTGGACATGGGACGGCTTGGTCGGGTCCCCGCCCGCTCCGAGTTGTTGGACGACACTGAACTCTTCACAGCCGCCAACACCACCCGTGCAAACGATATGCCAGATGTTGACCCGAGGTATCGTGCGTCGGACGCTCCTTGTACAGACACCATGCCAATGTTGGACACCAGTTTGTTCAGCTTATCGGCATCCTCCTGCTTCTTCTCCCAGTCTTCATTCTTGAGAGTCGTCGTGGGGGAGCCATTGCTGGCAGGCTGTACCCAGGAACCCTTGGCGCTACTCGGTGATTGTCCGCTATCGGCAATCTCCTTGGATTCAGCATTGTAGACGTCGGCCGGGTTGAAGGGGATGCCGTTGGTCTTGAGCAGCTGCTCGAAATAGGCCAGCCTGGTCTCGAGATAGTAGACATAACTTCGCGGTATCTCTCTCTTGGTGATAGGGTCATAGCCGACGCAGCGCACATTAGCTTTCTCGCAGGTGCTGCATGCGGGCAGACGTTGATCACAACGGTTCTTCCTGATGCGACAGCGATTGCAGGCGGAAACGTTTCTGAAGGCGGAGGTCGCCGAAGCGGAACTGTGAGGAGGGGAGCTGGTTGACACCGGAACGTCTGGATGGGGTTGGTGAGAGAGTTCGTCCGCTTGATACGCTCGCTTGAGGCCGGCGCTTCGAGGAGAGGAAGCGCTTGAGGTCATGGATCAGATGGTTCAGGACACTGACATCTTCTGCCAGTGCCAATGGGGAAATGGTAGAGCGCGTGTTGTCGTGGGGACTACTCGTGCATCCAGAGGACATGCCGATGGCACAAGGCAGCCTCGTTGAGCGGATCAGTGGTCGCCATCATGCAGTGCTGGAGCGTTCTTGCGCGGGCGTGTGATCGAGTCTATCGCGGGCAGGCTGCGAGAGCGGGTGAAGCCCTTGCATCTAGTGAGATCTCAGTGGCTGGCGTTTGGCTGGGCGGGTCGACTTCGAGCTTATCGCGCAAGCCTGGGGAGCCAATCAGGGAGGGAAATTCCACGAGGCTTGGCGTTGATAAGGCGCACAGTTACATTTCGCATTTTGCTGATCAGAGTTCTGGCATCGACGTATAGAGTGCGGAGTAATTTTCACGGATGAGCAAAATGACTGAATCAGTCAACAGGGAGTGCTCGCTCAGGATGCCTGTCGAACAGACCACAATCATGCCATAGCTCGCCCTTGACCCGTCATGCATCCCGCCACGCATCCATAGTAGAACCCGACCAGCAGAGCGCTCCGGATGGGCTGTCTGAAGCCCCCCGGCAACGGCGAAAGCCAGAGTCTTCGCTGAAAAGCGTGTCTATCAATGGGAGGCGCCGAGCGGCAGTCCCCCTCGACCCATCCTCAAATTTCCGGGTATGTTCCCCGAAAGCCCATGCATTGGCTTCCATCCATCCGACGAATCTCCGTCAGCTTTCTCTATAGTCCACGCTGGTTGGCTGCAGAACTAGACATATAAAAGGGATCTCGGTAATTGAGCAGGCAAATGCTGAATTGTCAAAGTGTGCGTTCCAGCACTTGCGAAGTGAACGCTTCCGTGCTTCGCGAAGTGGGACTCCCACGCCCGCAAGTCACCCCCTGCGGTCTATCGTTTAGCCGTGGTACCGGCTCGCATATCGTCCACGCGAAATGCATGTCGGCTGTCGCTCTGAAGGCAGCGAGATCACGCCACCGATATTATCACCGGAGAAACCGGGTTTATAGCCGCTCCCAAAACCGTCCTCCCCTTTGCAAGCCAAGACAGAAGTGTGGGTCGTACTTTGCCAATATGAGTATAGTCACATACCGTTCAATAGGCGACAACAGGTGCACTTCTCAATGAGGCGCCTTGGAGCCTTGCCCTTTGGCTTACCCTCCGTCTACGTCACGGTCTGGCGCGCGCGGGGTGAATGCTAACGCTTCTTTCTCCAGATCAGTTGAATGCCGTAACTCGCCTCACCCTAGCTGTGCACCAGTTCCAGTCCGAAGCATGAACGATCGGCAGCATAGTGCCTCTCGCCATAGCCTCACCAGACTTGCCCTCCACCTCTCCAAAACCACCAGTAAAACCACCGCCACAGCTAAAACTCTCTCCCCAGAAGATTTCACCGCCTACATCAAGGACCCTCGCTTCAACCGGACCTTCAAGCTGCCGGCCGATCCGTCGCGCGGCCGCCACAAACCCTTCCAGGTCTCCTACGCCGACTTTGGCTTTCATCGCGAAGATGCCAGCGATGATGATGGTGAGGAGCAGGTGCTCCTGTTCTTCGGGCCGCTCATGTCTTCACGGCTGTTCCATGCGGCCAAGGATGGGCTGGCGAAGAGGTACAAGGTCCGCATCGTGAATGCAGAACGCCCGGGCATTGGCAAGACGGACAGCGTACCGGCTGAGAGGCTGCTCGAGGTGTGGCGGGGTGAGTCGTCTAACTCAGATATATTCCTCGGAACGATACTAAACCAAGGAATACACATTGCTGATTCGCATCCACAGAAGCCATTCCCGCCCTACTCAACCACCTTGGCATCAAGCACGTCTCTATAGGCTGCCACAGCGGCGGCACCGTCTTCGGACTCGACTTCGCTGTTCACTACCCGCAATTCCTACACCCGTCGCGGCCGTACATCGCCATCGCTGGCCCCTGGGTCCACCCGTCGCAATCGGGCATGCTCATCTGGTCGCTGGCCTCGTCACTGCCGCGCTCGCTGATCGCTCAGACTGACAAGATGGCCACCTTTGTCAACTCGACCCTGGGCCCCGCGCTGGGCGTCATCGCCGCCGTCTCAGGCAGCGTGATGCAGCTCTGGGCCCAGGCGAAGCCCACCGGTCGCGAGGGCCCGGACGTCGACCTCGAGGAGGGCATGCGCGACCGTGTGGCGGAGTCCGTCTTCACGGGTAACGTGCGCGGGCTGGGCCAGGAGACGCAGGTGCTGCTGCGCAACGGGGTCGAGAAGGACGGCTGGTCCGACTGGGGCGACTTTGACGTGCTGGCGCCGCGCCTGGCCGAGGCGGTGCGGGGTGTTGGAGAAGCCAGGCTGAAGGTGGACGTGTTCTTTGCGGAGAAGGACAACATGATTGGCGATGCGGGCACCAAAGGAAACAGGTGGTTCGAGGCGTGCTGGAGGGACGTGGACGGCGTGGAGTTTGCGAGCGAGACGGTCAAGGGGTCGGACCACGATCGCGTGTGGGATCTGCGGTGGGACGTGATGGAAAGGGTGTTCAAGACGATGGCGCGGGAGGCGCGAGATGGTGGTGAGCGTGGGATGTGTTTATAATGGGTCTTGCACGCGTTGTATTTGATGATGCACCTGGGATTGGTAATGCATAGGTTTGTAACCACGGCTATATACAGAACATACAGCAGCTTTCGACGTAACCTAGTGGACGCCCGCGATATAATATAACCAGGTCTGGTCACTTCACATCATAAGCTACGCACTTTGCGAAGCAGGAAATGTCAGGGATTGCAGCTCCTCTCCTATTTGTCTATAATGTACGACCAACGACCCCTACCGAAGCATCTGGCAGATATACGTAGTACTTGTCCGCGTTACAGTACCAGCGATACATTGAGACAATAGCTCTACGAGTTCGGCATGGTTGGCCTTGTCGATACACTTCTGCCGTGGCAGTCGATAACGAAGTTGCAATGTGTCTGCAAAGGGGAGGGCGGTTCCGGGAACGGCTATACCTCAAGAGCAAAATACGCCACTTACTTGTCCTCGACAAGTCGCCTAGCTCCACTCCAATGTTTGTCTCAGCCTTAGAAAGTGTGGCATGCCAGGAGCGTCTTGCGACTTGTGACATTGCACCTCCCGAAATCCATCAGAGTGGCACAAGCACGGTATATATATATGTGGATTCGATCGAGGTTAGATAGCAGACTCTGTAAGCATAATGAGGGGCCCCGGTCTTTTCGGTGACAAACCTAAGCACGCTTTTTTTTCTCATCCCGCTATCATAGTGCTTTTCATTCCAGATTAAGCTGCCAACTGACTCCCCACCGATCCTGAACCCATGCAAACTTCCGACTGAACCAATAGCCGTCCAGCGGCATCATCACTTTTCCTTTTCCTCCATCCCCTTGGCCCTCCAGAAGACTATTGTAGACCTTTTCGACCTCCTCTTCGTCCTTGAAATCCACAAAAAAGGACATTGAAGGGGTGAAGTCAAAGTCATGCTTGACGGCGCTGTCAATGATCATAACTTCCAGGCCAGCGATGGAGACCTTGGCCATCTTCACTGTTCCTTCCGCACCAGCTTCACCCGAAACGTAGTGGTCCAGGGATATAATGTGCGAGTGGGGGATGGTGGAGATGTAGAAGCTGATGGCAGAGGATGCTTGGCCATTCTGGAACATGAGGAAGGGTTTTGCTGTAGATCTCGCCGTTGAAGATGCCATGGTGGGCCGTCCGGTTGAGCTTGGATTTGAATGTCTGCCAATGGACTATAGGGTTCGTCTATGTCGTCTGAGGTGACGGAGGCGTGTACTGACCTCGAGTCTGCTGATGGTATTGAGGGAAGGGCCTCCCACAAGTGAGCATTAATTGGAATTTGATTGCTTCTCCGACGAGTACGGGTCTTCCTGATAAGGGATCAAATACTAATGGCTTAGAACAGGCCCACCAGGCACCCGTAGGCAGCAAGCAGCTGCCTACATCTACGCTGAGATTTTCTTTCTTGGCTTTGCTATGCGCCAGCTTGAGGTCTTCCGTATGCTATCCTAGGCAATGGTGTTGCCGCTCTTGGCTCCACTTCAGAATCGGGCTAGAAGAAGCGAATGCTCTGTATAGGAATGGTGAGACTTTCATCAAAGACAACCTCTTCCATGATTGGCGAGCTGAATAAAGAACGCTACACTGAGAATGGCAAAGGCGATATGTCGGCCTTAGCCGAAGTGGGGCAGGGGTGAAGGTCATGTGCAAACGATACAATTCGAACTGTAACCAATTCGACTCGAAGCAGAAACCTCTGGAGTGGGTGCAATTTTATCCAGACAAACCCAGCCCACTGGAGCTTACAATAGTAACACTAACACCCAACTGGTACGAACTCGTCACAACTTGCTCGAGTTCATTCGCATTCGTCCGAATATAGTAGTTGAACAAAGAGCTATTGTGTACAGGCTCCACAGCTGAAACACTGGTGAGAGGTTTCCATAGACGACGACGTTACTGATGGTTGCTCTGAGTAACGACGTAGTATTCGCACGTCTATAAAAGAAGCCTCAATACCTCGACAAGTAGATAGAGAACAGAGCATTCAAGACATCTCGAGTTGCACCCAGTTTGACAATAGTAAATATGGAACCCTGCTATTAAAATAACGCCATGCGATAGAACATAGAGCTCGCTCATACACCATACCGATGAAATGCTTCTCCCGCATTCACGCCATTCCGAGGCAAGGGAAAAACCCTGTTCCGGTAAAAGGGAAAAACCTTGCCTGGAGAAGATCATTGAGGGGGTATTGGTTTCAAATCGACTTGGCAATGCGCCGTGCTTCTTCGAAACGACGAAGTTTCTCCTTCAACTCAGCTCGCACATTTGTGGTACTGTAGTTCTCTGCTGCAATAGACGCCAGCTCTTCGTCGGAGAGACTCCCGACAAATTCGCCGTCGAACATGCCTACAAAACCATTCGGGCCTAGCCACCACCTCTCTACCACCGACACGACAACATTATCCATGAATCTTTTAATGGCCACTTCGTAGTAAGCCTTGAGGATGTCATGAATATCATAGACTGCCTGCTCTTCATTGCTGAGATGTGCAGCTTTGGTCAGGGCCGCGAGATCAGCCGAAATGGGATATCCGTCTCCGATCCCGAGGTTTCGCAATCGCGAGACGACGCGCTCCTCCCGTGCCGCAGCCAGATTGTCGGCAAAATAGTGGTTAACTGTTTGCAAAATTCCTCCCCTCTCGTCATGAAGAACGCTCCCAAGAGTTCGGTAAGCTTGGTCGACCGCCTCGTCTAACATGGGAACCAGTCGAGCCCGGATACGATCTTGAACCGTCGGATCCACTATCAGCTTCTCTATGACCGCGATGAGGAAAGAGTCGATGGCCGACTTCACTTTTTCAAGATGCTTCTCCGCCAGCTCCTGCCACTTGGAGGTTTGTTGGCGAAACAGATTCTCAATCACAGCCGGGTTGACGCAACCCGGGAGTTCAGAGCCCCGGGACTCGAGGTAGGATGCTCGTATCCAGTCATAGATACTGGAAAGCTCCGAGTTTTGGAAATGGTAGGTTGGGTCTTCCTTGTCATCAGTATTCCTGAATGCCCTTGTATGGCCATGTTTCGACATCTTTCGCTCAAAGTCGTCGTTCAAATCCCGCACGCGCATTCTTAGTTTGAGGGGATGATCGCGGGCCAGATCCGCATCATAAATGCCTTTCAGAGAATCCGACACTGTCTTTTGATACCGGCTGGCTACATGGGTTAAATATTGACGTTGTTCCGTTGTCGACTGTCGAGGAGGCCCCAGGTCTTCGATTTCGGCCTGGAGCTGCTTGCAATGTACCTCGATTTCGGCCACCACCGCTGGAAATTCGCGGCGAATGTGTTCATAAAGCAGCTGTGCCAGGAAAGTGCTCAGGGCCGGAATACCCACGCGGTCTTTGCGAAGCTCGCTCCACGGGCTTATCGTGAAGAATTCCTGCTCTTTGGCGTGACGTTCTCTCAAGGACACCCCGGATTTGATCTCCGAAGGAGACCGGTTTCGCACCGCAAACCACCCATGTTGCAATTTCTCGACGGTGTTTTGCGCAATGCGGATGACCTGGCCGAGTCAGTCACGTAACCCCCCTGGACGAAAGGCGATTTACCCCGGCTTCATCGCCGTTTTGCACCACGTCACACTTGGTGATGATGCCAACGGTTCTGTCACCGCGGGGATCAACCCCACGGGCCATTTTAAAAACCTCCTGGTTGGCCAGATTGTTTCTTGCATCCATAACGGCCCTGGATCCGTTAGTGGTTATCCATACTATTCCATGTGAGTCTGTACAATATGATGGTTCGAGGATCCGAGATGTAGTCCATAATGAGCGTCCGAATGATTTCGAGGTCCTCCTTGGTCTGGTAAATAGTGGGATCTGTGTCCAATCAACCTCGCTTTCGCAAACTCTTCGAGATGTTCGCTCACTGTGAAACAGGCCAGGGACGTCCACGACGCTCAGGTGGTGATGTTCGGGTCCCGACAGCTCCACTTTCAAAACGTTGTCGGAGAAACGCCTCTCCAAATTGTCCAGGTTTGTAGCGTCGACCCGTGGAAGACCCATCACTTCCGAGGCCTTTCTCTTTCAGATGATGCATATCTTCCCAGTTTGGCACACAATACTCACCTCATCGAGAATCCCGGCAAACTCATCCGCGCCAAACGCGGTCTCCTTTATGTAACATGTGAACTTGTCCAGGCGTGCTCTCTCCTCGGCATTGTTGATGCTGCTGGGCCCTGGGATTATGGAGACTCGTATGGCAGCCTCATGAGCTGCCGTCCGGCGGAGAACGATCTGGGTCGCATGCCTGGTGCACAAATCACTCGCCACGGGAAAAGACAATCCCGTGAGTCCTTCAAGCAGCGATGACTTTCCGCTGGACTGATCTCCGACGACCACCAGCTGTCATGAATCAGTCTCAACGCCATAGAAGAGTCCAGGAGGGGGCACGTACCTGGGGTAGCGATAAATCCTCTCCGACACCTAACTCTCGAAGCTGATCGACAACTCCAAGATATACCTGGCGTTTGTCTTTGTCAAGACTGCTAAGGGCTTCAAGATTGAGGGATGCTGGTTTCTTGACCATGATGCCGTTGTCAACCTTTCTTGTGGTTGGCCTAGGAGATCTTTACGATGTCCCGCATTTCGATCGGATTTATACATTTTCTCTCACTGCTTTCCTTGAGATCAGAGGACTGCACATGGGCTCCCGTTTCTGACTGTTTTTAGACTTGCATTCGACTAGCGCAACATTGTCAGGGCTGCCCCTGCGAAGACACTAAATACCGGGCGAGACGCAGGCTCATCTCATCGTATCACCGCTTGACTCACATAGGATTCATCAATTCCCTATTGAGTCACGCTTGCCCTTCTGTCCCTTGGCACTCCTTGATGGTGATCGCACAGAGATAGGCAAGACGGGAATCGGTGGTCCTTTGTGACTTTGACAGAAGCCGTGGTCGCCGGTTGCAAGCTCCAACGGGTCTGATTCTGGGTCGCAAGGTTGGTTTTGACAGCAATATATGACGTTGGAAAGATGACACATCAAAGATCATTCAATGAAGCGACTTCGGGCGCTGAAGGTGACTTGTTGTGAAGTCTTGATGAGGTTGGCGCGTTAACAAGGGATGTGGCGTCGGGCGAACACGGTCTTGGCAGGCGCCTTGTCCTGTTGTCTTGTAATAGGTGGGGACACCCGGGCTTGTAAAGAACCCCGAAAGGCGTTGTACGCTTCGGATACGCGCCGAAACTATATTCCCTTGGACCGCCTCGAAATAGGACAAGTCCTCCGCAATATCACAGTCTGTGCCTTGCCGTGGCATGTGAAAATTCCCCGTCGGAGGCTACGATATCCCATCTTCACCGCCCGACTTTGCCGTGGAGGGTGGTAACCTTTTCAATAGTGGTACGGCTTGGGGATGTGAGTGAGTTGTGCCGGTCGTTCAGCCTTAGAACGAGTTTCGCTTTTTATTTCCTGGAAGTACAGGACACTACACAATGCAATCAATGCGACACTTCTCGGCCGCGAAGAGTCAGAACGACGAGAATTGCAAGCCGATCCCTTGACGGGGAATCCCACGACATGTTCGCCCTGTTCGTGTGCTTCTCCTGCTTTCTACCTTCATCATCATCTCCCAATATATTCAGTAGCAGGCTGAGAAGAGTGATGGTCGATGTGGTGGCTAAAGATGCTCGATGAAGACGAAACTTTTTGGAAGGAGTTTAAAGTCAAGAAGCAGGTGGAGAACTTTGAAAAACTCCAGGCGGAAAAACGGCTCTGAATACTATTGATGATGGACTTGCAACGGACTTCTGATTTAGAATTTGCTTGTCACGAACCGGGTTCTGGCAAGTATATAAGCTAAGAGGTCCAAGTTTCTGTCACGGAATGACAGGATTCTTAGTCTTTTTGGGCGATCCCCAAGGGACTGTGGACTTCTTCCTGACATTGCTGAAGTCAAAGACAATGGGGATGTCGAACTAGTGGGCGTCGAAAATCTCTTTGTCAACTAGCACGAGCGGAAAGAAGAGGTGTCAAACTTGGGGGGTGCAAATGAGATGTATTGAATGCTCTGTCTCTTTGGCAACTGGTCCTGCCAGATTACCAGTATAAATACATGCTTGGTTGACCCCTTTTCTACTCTTCTTCCCCTATATCTTGTATAGGGGTGATAACCCTTTTCCCAGTAAAGGAGTACTGCTCATTGTTCGACAGGAGGCTGTTTCTTTGGCGCCCCGCCCTTTGCCGTGTAAAGGCGGAGAATATTGTCCAGATATCAAAAGTCACTGAGGCTGATCCATATGTATATATATATGAACACTTGACTTTTTGAATGACCGTAGAGAAGATTGTACAGTAACGGGTAAACAAATATCAGAGCCTCGTAGACTACGAGACGAAGCGGTGGAAAAAATGGTATGCCTAGATTTCAAGCATACTTTTCCTGTTGAGCGTGACTACGTGATGTGTGCTCATAAGTCCATTCTTATGCTTAGATATTCCTCCATGTAAGACAAGGGCCCTTTCATCCAAAGATCTACATTTCTTTTCTCCTCCAACCTTAGCTAGACTCCTCATCTCTCAATCTCTGGCCCGAAGACTGGAGCTTCACCGCCGCACCCTGACAAACACAACATCATCATGATTCTGCTCTTCTCTCGCTCCAAGAATGCCTCGAAAGTGCATAACTCCATCCCATATGACTTCACCTCATCCCAATCGCAAAGAATGAGATCCTCGTTCTATATAAGCTAGGACTCGATGAAAAGATTCGTACCTTTTTCTGCCTCAGCCTCGTCTGCTGACAAGGACCTGACAGACGCAATTTGTGGTTATCCACGGTACGCGACAGTGCAGCCGCCACGTCAGTCATGGTCACGTCGACGCTGGCGAGGGGGATGATTTTTGTTGGCGAAGCGGGAGGGAAGTAAAGAAGGTCACGGGAAGGAGGATGGTGTATATGTATATCTTCCGCCGTTGGGAAAAGGAGGCTGCTTGACCATGTCCACGATGGCATGATTATCTGCGAAATATCTCACCATAGCCTTGAGATCGAGAATTTTTGGCTTTGTCTGCACCGACAACTGAGGAGAGGATTACTTATTCGGTGCCGGCACACAGAGAGAGGCAGAGAGTACGTTGCAGGCATGTCGCCGTTCGGCCTCTGAGCCAGTGAAAGATGGGATTTAAGTTTCATGAAGATAGAGGTGTATGGTTCAGCGGCGCGAGAGAGATATTCAAGGTCATCGAAGTAGGCCTTGGAAGAGCTTCGACTATGGCTAGGTTAAGGTCGAGGAGGGATTGAGAGGCCTGAGAGTTGATGTTCCGGACAAAGGCGTGAATGGCTCAATGGAAGGGGTGGACTGGCGGACTTTGAGGCAACAGGGAGTTCTTTGATGACACTGGAGCCTTGAGCGCCAGTGGCAGCGGTGGCAAGGACAGTTGTTAGTTTGAGGAGACATACTAATTGAATGAAAATGCCCTTGAGCTTTGGATAGCTGCGGCATTATTATAGACGTTCGTCGTGATCCACTTGCTCAGGGCGCAAAAGCTGACAGGTTCGTGTAAACAAGCGCAAGTGCGGATAGAACTCGTGTGTAGATTGTAGCTTATGGAAGGGTGGAGAGCCTCCATATAGGGGCAACAATAGGGGTCCTTGGCACACTGGGCATCCAGCTGTCTGATAGTTCGCAAGCAGGGGAGAGACTGTCGTCCTCATCCAGCAAATGCGATCAAGGGTATTGATTTGACCTGGGTTGATGCGCCGTGTACAACAGCTATGACTGGACCAAAACTAACCGACCACGACGCCTGCCCATACGATATGGCAGGATTGTATTTATTCCACAAAGAGCGAAGTCTTGCCAGAATCTCGGATATCTCATGCAGACATCGTCCCTTTACTGCATCTATCTCTACAATGAGCGTTCGGAGAAAGCTTCATCGGCAGTCTCGTTTTTGTGATACATGCTTCCAAGTCCTGCTTCAGTCCAAGAATGCCGCAGTTCTATTGCTGATGAGTTGAAAGGATCTTCAAAGCCTCACCAAGTCTTGAGACTGTATCGAATGCAGAGCCTCGTACCAACAGAGTTCGAAGGTCTTCAGCTAACTGAATTGATGGAGGATCGTCATCGCTCGCTTAGCGGAGAAAGTCTCATGAGGTATTTCCTTTTTCGTGAATGGAGTGGTTTCTGGCTGCAATGTCCAATCAGGAGTCCAAGAAGGTAGAGTCCGCTTGGGATCAAAGACGAAGGTAAGAATTTGAAGGACGAACAAGACTGGGGTTTTCGTGTAGCCATCTGGCAGTGTCTTAGTATATTCAAAGTTCGCTCTGGATTGGATTAGGCATACACGAATCTTATGTATGCTTCGTCAACTGATGTAGAGCAGTCCAGGCATCCAGCCTCTCTCTGAACATCGGTCGTCAACCCTGATAATGCAAAGTTCCCTGTCTCTTGGATCTGGTACTTCACATGTTCGCGAGTTATCGAGGAAGGAAAGAAAGTCCAAGCCATGTCCTGAACGCCTCGGGGGGGAACCTGAGCTGATTTAGGGCTATGATTCTAAGGAAATGTGTAGTATCCGGGCTCTAGAAATCTTGTTGGAGGCCTAGTTGTTCGCTGTCGCCACCACTGCCCAGAACCATGTGCGAACTTTGATTAGCGCATGTTGCTCCTTGGATGGTCCACACGCGACACCACCAAAGAAGCTGGTTTATTGCTCGAAGAGCTCTTTCATTGATAGCTGGTGCTGGTATGCCACGCTTATCCGCCGGCTTTGAGGTTCACATTGCCCAAACGACGATCGATGCTATCCATCGCATTCATCGCATAGCTGCTATTGTCGGATTCTTGTCCCCACCAAATGATTACTTTTTTCGGCTTCTCATAAATTTCCTTCATTTGACGCACTGGAACACTTCGCTTAGCATTGTCTTGTCGGTTTATACATACAGCATCGATCGAGATTTTGAGGGGTTTTCCTCTTCACGCAGATGCTGAAGAGCTATTGCAAGATTTCTTGTCACTGTACCAGGGTGATGGCTGAGCTTAATCGAGCAAGTATCAGACAGATCTCTCCAGGTGTGAGAAAGAGCCTCGTCGATGGACACTTTCTCCAAAAAGGCATGATCAAGACTAGACTCAACCTCAATGGACCTAGACCTTGTTACCGACAGTATCGGGATTTTTCGCGAAACCGAGTACAACGGCGCGCATTTGAATCCATTGTCCGCCATCTGTGCAGATTTCCAATCCGCTCACGTGGCGGTGACAAAGGGGTAAGAGGCAGAATTAGGGCAGATGGAGGCTTGTCACATGAAACTGGTTGTTCGGAACTGATCGTTGACGGGCTTGGATGACATATGGCCATTAGCTCTGGTGGTAAATTTCTCGCAGTAAACCTCTTGTTTGTCTGGAGAAATAGTACTCGCGATGGGAACGGTCATGCATGTTAGCTCTGGCTGGGGCTAAACTCCAAGTGGCAGGCTTTGGTCGAAACGTTATGTGACAGAAGCTGTGCACTGTTCGGGACCAGGGCTGGACTCCTGGCAACAATAACCGAGCAAGGGAGCACGGACTCCACGCAGCGCGAAAGCCCAAACCGGGGGTGCACTCGTCTCTGATGAGGGCCAGCTCTGGGCCTGACTCGGTGGGATGAAGGGATGCTGTCTCACGGCTTAGGGTACAACAGTGGGTGTTTAGGTCTGGAAACGGAACTGGCATTTGATGGGATGCCCTTTTGGCGATTGAATATCATATGGCTATTTCTGGCAAGCATATCCCGTAACCTTGATCCAGAACATGAACACAGAAGACCAGGATCCAGGTTGGGCCGGAATAGATGACGCAGTGACCCATGCGAGAAGATGATGAACCGCCCATGCATCTGGCCATTGTCAACATGGCAGAGCGACGCCTGCTCGATGTTGGCATTTTGGCATCGTGATTCATGATTGGCACCAACGCATCCGAAATCCTGGGATGCCGGTGTCGAATGGAGAATGTTTGAGAAGGCATCAACAGGTGACAATCCAGACCATGCAACCCAGTCTGACCGCCTATTCATTCTCTTATTCCCTTGAGTTGCGGGCCATCCAGCGGCATTTTAGTAGGTTCGCGGAGTCAGAAGGGCGAAAGATGTCGGATTGACAGGTGGCGAAGTCCAAGTCGATAGATCACACGAAGCACACGGCCCAATTCAGAGCAAATGCCAGAATACTTCGTCTCGTTCGAATCGAATCGTGAATGACGACCGGAATATCGAGAAGTCAGAACCAAGGAAAATCTGGCCGGTGAAGGGTTGGCAGCTGGCAGCTGCAGACATGAACCGGGGGCATGCACTGGCACCAAAGGACTCGTGAATGTTTGAAGTGGAAGTCGGAGTGGTGGATGATGATATTGTCTTGCGTCGGAGATTGTGTATGTCAGCGGGCGCCTTGCAGGAGGGTCCGTGTGACTTGGGGATGGATCCCATCTACGATGTAATGTTATCAACAAGGCTACAGGTCGCATCGCACTGACTCCATGCAAGGACTAGTTGACCAAGCAAATACGGAGAGCTCCGGACAGGGTGAGAACCCGAGAATTCAGTGAGCTACGACATTTTGCATACCTTAGGGCGAGTGCTAGCTGGACCGACCGCTGCAATGATCACTCTGCAGAAATCTGTCACCGACTCCCCCATATCTCGGATGCAGAAAGTGAGGCTGGACTAGTTTAGCTGGGCCATGCCCGTCTCACGACCAGGATTGACGGGGTTTTAATCAGGCGAGATATATCCCAGAGATCAGCGGGATTTTTTCTCTACCAATCCGATCCAGATCAGAGCAACGGGTGATTCGCGGGAAAGGGGGGAATGAAAAGCATCTTTGATCGTCCATCGACAAGAAGGGAGGGGGAAATACTGATGGCGCTGTCTCGGGTACTAGGTTTCGTCTTGGGCTGTGCGAAGGAGTTCCACTTCGGGCTTCGTACAGGACGAGCGACGGCGACTCTGCGGTTGGGAAAATTGTAACTCGTCGGATTACGATGATGAATTGGGTAATTCGAACACAGCTGAGCGGATTCCAGGCTCTGGTACAACAATCCAACAGGTCAGACTCAGAAGTACTATGCGGAAACCGGTTCGAAGGACTTTGTCCCAAACAAGGGCGTCCCCAAGCGAGGAGCATCCAAGCAAAAATGACATGGGTTATGGACGAGACCAGGCTTTTAACGCGCTTCAGCTTTTGCAGGCGCTTCAACCATTTCCCCGGGAGTGGTGAAGGAATTCCCCATAGAACGACGACGGCGTGGTTCTGGAAATGAGTCAGGGGCAGCATAAAAATACACACGAGAAGTACCAAGTACTTAGAGCTCCGTGCTAAGAAATATAGCGTTGAGGGGTACCGAGTACCCCGAACGAACGTCGCCATCCTTCCAAAACTGCATCCGTCGAATTCAACACAAACTCAAAAGTTTGACGGCCTCAACGTTCAGCCTGCGTGATGCCTCATCCGGCTGCAATGTCCCGATTACCCCAGTCAACTTTCGCATCATAAACTTCCGGAATACGGATCCTGGAATTTAGCTGGGGGATTCCTGTTGATTGCGAGGCCATACCCGTAACAAAAGAGTGCCAATAGAGTTCTGGCTAAGGGAGAGGGTAACGGCCTTCTGCCCTGGTCATTTGTTCCTCGTCTCATCTGCGCTTCCGCCTCGCTTGAGGCCTCCATCACCCCATCACTCCCCTAGATGTTTAATCATCACATCCATGGTCAAACAATTCCGTCTTCCCTCTGACCACTCGCGTTCCTCCCTACCTGAGTCATTTTCTCTTCCCCGCGGCCACACCTCGTCTACCGTTTTGCAGCATCTCGCCCATCCCATCCCGTGTTGTGCCAGCCCGACCGAAGTACCTTTTACGCAGAGCTACCTGACCGGGGCAATTCAAGGCTACAATTTCGACCCAACCGCAAGATCCGACAACTGAGAAAAGTACCGCCCGAGTTAACCGTCTGTAAGGTTTCCGTTCTAGCAATTTCGCTCCACTGTCCAAACCCCGGTCCTCAGCTCTACGCAAATCACCAGGTTTCACGAGGATTGAATTCAACGATGGCGCTTGCCAAACGGTCAACGGGGTTCTCGCACGGGATGGGGGTGGCAATTCAGGCGCTGGTCTTTTTCTCGACCCTTCCTTCAACCTAATTTCGCCAGCTTGCTGCCCAGTCCGGCATGATCGCCATTTCTCACCGCCTCGAAATCTCCCCAATCTAATTTTGCTCCCAATTGGGTAGAAAGAAGAGGAGGATGACGAAAGGTCGATGTGATGTACTATGTACTCCATACAGCCTCCATATCATGACAGGTCACGCGGGAGATCAGAGACATGGATGACACGGTGCAGAGCGGACATTGATGCAAATCCCCAAGCAGGGCAGAGAGCCAATTCCTTACCCACGCATGCAAGCGCTGCGCCCTCACCCACGTCCAGGCCAGCAGCCCAAGTGCTCAGCCGCTGATTCGGAAAACCAGGGCAAACGGCAAAAAGCTTCTGGGGGCGCTCTAGCCTAAAGCCCAACTTGGGAGCCGACTGGCACAAAATCCCACCAGCCATTGGCACTAGTGGCAACATGCTCTTCGGTAAGCAGGATCCCCGTGGCTCGGAAGACCAGGTTGTTCATCCCTAGCCTGACCACCACACCCTCTGGTCAGGGGTAAATCGAGGCTTTGAACGAATCGCAGAAGCTGCCGTTGCCTCTGAATGATCCCTGTCTATCGATACTCCCCACTTTAGAAGCAGACCAACGATAACCCCGAGGTACCGCAGTCGCGGTTCCTTGGGCGAAGATTCCTGGACCGCTCTGGCAGGTTTTCTCTCGCACTCGACAATGCCACCGGCTCAAATGTCCACTCGGATTAATTGGATGCCCACAATTTCAACCAGATCTCACGCATCCTTGTTGGGCGTGCTCTTGGGTTCTTTTTTTTTTTTTTTTTTCCCTCTCCTATTGTATTCCCCCCTTTCCCCCTCCCCCCTAAATAGCTCCTCCAGACCGGTCTTATGTACGTATGCGTTTCAACTTTCCTGGCCCTCTGAGTTTTTTGAACTTTGTCTCCTGGCCATGATGCCAATCCGGGATCCACACCGCTACCGTCGCATGGCAGCCCTGAAACCCACTTGGGAGTTCTGCCTCATCTTCCATCCCTAGCTTTTGTCTGGCTGGTACCATCACTGGTTCCATCACTGACTCCATCAGACTGTTCCCCTCCTGCATGTCGATGTAATTAATATCCCACCTGACCAAAATGTGGCGCCTTTTTTTTCCCCGACTACGAGGCAACCGACCCCCGTACTCCGTATCCTACCCATCTGACTTCACACCAACCTAATTGAACAATACCCTTTCCCTTCCCCCCCCCGGTGGACGCGGACATTTTAATTCGGGTGACTTCCTGCTGGTCTGACGGCAGCTCCGGCTCCTGCGTCTAGCGTTCTAAATGGGGCTGCCCACAGTTCGCTTCTGTGGACAACCGGATGCGGATGTCAGAGACTACCAGCACTTCCGCGCTTCCTCGCCCCGTGTCACCATGGCTTTGTTTGGCCACTGGCTCTCTGAAAGGTCTCCATCTCCGGTGCTGCTTGCTTGCCGTGTCCTGTGATATCCCAACTGCCTAAGCAAGTCCACCGCCCTTCTTCCACGCAGTGGCGGATGCGCCATTCCGCCAGGACAGCAGAAGAGACGCCCCGCTCTCTCGAGTCGTCGTCTATGGTTGCTGAGGCCTTGATTGACTCCTTGGGATTTTGCGCTCCCTTATTACTGTCCTCCCTGCGCCGGTTGTAAGATGATTTCTTTTCTCGCTCACCACCTCCTCCTCGCCCTCGTCCTCCTCCGATCTTCCCGCCCTCGAACGACGACAACACTCTTCCTCCCTCGGTGACGATGCCGATCCTTCTCAAAAGACTCTTGCCCTGGAAGCGCGGATCCCAACACGCTGAGAATTCTTTTCCGAACAAACAGTTATGCGTCTTAGGTACGTCATCTCGCAGACAATCCCAAACCGGCAGCCTGTTGCGAGCTCACTAACGCATCCAACAGCACTATGTCGCATATGCGAACCAATCGCTTTTATGTCCATATTCCCATATGCCTATCGCATGATTGAGTCCTTCAACATCACCCAAGATGAGACACAAATATCTGTGTACGCCGGCATGCTCATCACCGCATTTGCCTTTGCCGAATTCTCGACTGGGATCCTTTGGGGTTGGTTCAGTGACCGTATCGGTCGAAAACCTGTCCTGATCATGGGCCTGTTCGGCACCGCCTTGAGCATGATATCCTTTGGCTTTGCTCGCACTCTCCCCGCAGCCATCCTGGCTCGGGCACTCGGCGGTCTCTTGAACGGCAATGTGGGAGTTCTCCAGACGACTGTCGCCGAGCTGGTGACCAAGAAGGAGGATCAGCCTTCGGCGTATGCGATTATGCCATTTGTGTGGAGCGTGGGCTCCATCATCGGGCCCGCCATGGGAGGAGCCTTGGCCATGCCTTGTGATTCCTATCCGTCTCTGTTTCCTCGGGGTGGATTGTTCGACACCTATCCTTTCTTGTTACCCAATCTTGTCTGCGTCGTCATTCTGTGTCTGGGCATTGCCAATGGCGTCTTGTTCCTGGAGGAGACACATGAGGCTAAAAAGGGCCGTCGAGATCGGGGCGTCGAACTGGGAAGACTCCTGTTGAAGATTTTCAAGACGCCAAAACAGCCGCAGACGGACAAGTTTGGCTGGAGGGAAGGGGACAGCCTGGCTGAAGATGATCCTCCTCCAGGCTATCGGAGCACCGATGGCTCGCCTGTATTGCGCTCTACTTTCGATGTGGACATCCTGCAAGAGAAACAACCATGTGGAAAGGTCAAGGCCTTGAATAAACAGGTCATTCTGGTCATTGTTGCCTATGCCATCCTGGCCTTGTAAGTGCCGAGTGTGGAAAGAGATCTTCGACTCTCGCTGACCTCTGCCGTAGCCACAGTGTTTCGTTCGATTCCTTGATGCCGACGTTCCTCAGTGAGGAACGGATGCAAACCGAATCTGTTCTCCCCTTCAAGTTTTCCGGTGGTTTCGGCATGTCCACCAAGGCCATTGGCTTCATGATGGCGGTGCAGGGCCTCTATGCCACGTTTGCGCAGGTGTGGCTATTCCCTTTCGTCCTTCGACGGGTGGGGACACTCCGGGCCTTTCGACTGGTCATAACGGTCTGGCCCTTCCTCTACTTTGCCGTGCCATACCTGGTGTTCGTCCCCGAGCACTGGCAAAAGGCCGGCATTTATTTTTCGCTCATCACCAAAATCACTTTCCAGGTGATTTCATTTCCCTCGCAAAACATTTTATTGGCCAACGCCGCCCGTTCCCATTCCGTTCTCGGGACGGTCAATGGATTCGCCGCGTCGGCTGCGTGTGGTGCTCGAGCCCTTGGACCGGTCGTGACGGGTTCACTTAATTCAGCCGGACTGAAACTTGGATATAGTGGCCTTGCCTGGTGGACAAGCGGACTGGTTTGCGCCATCGGAGCTCTGGAAAGCTGCTGGATGGAAGAGCCTGAAGGGCGCCTGGATCGCCCTTCGGAAGACGAAGAACACAATATCTGCGAACCTCTGTTACACCCAGCCGCCGTTGAATCGACAGAAAACAGCTCTTTGCGATCTGACAGTTTAACCTTAATGGACCCACTGGACCTGACGACGCCCATTAAGCATGAAATCGATTATGAAGGAAAGCAGTAAGCTTGAATACCGACAAGGAATTATTTCGGAGTCAGTAGGCATCTCTCTCGGGTTATTTTTGTATCAACTTGACGTCACAATCTCGGGAATTCGACAGCCATCAGGAGACCTTGGCCAACCTTGCAGCAAAAACACCGTTTTCACATGAATTGTGTTGCTTTGGGACAACCCCCCCCCCCCCAAAACCGGAAAAGGACTTTTGACAGCAGTGCGAGCTGTGACAGATTATATCATGGATTATCTAGAGTACTAGGCCAATAAAAAAGGAGGAACCCCGTCGTGGAACTGGAGCTGGGAACTACAACTGGAACTGGAACTGGAAGGATTCTCTGGGCAGGCTTGATTGAAAGGATTCTCCGAGTTCATTTTGTGTTCTGAATATTTGCGGATGTATTTCATTTTCTTTTACTCTCTTTTATCGTCTTGTTTCTCAAAACTGGGAGGTCTTTTGTCCAAGATACCTCGCGGGCTTTGTCCCGGCCTGAATTTGTGCGGTACACTGCCAGATTGTCGGTGGCAGAAGAACCAATTGTAACTCTAGCTTGTACGTTAGGAGGAGGGTGGAATAGGTCAGGGATCGTGATTAGAAGAGATGGAGACTACGAGAATCCTCATCCATCCAAAGAATCTGATTGATGGAAGAATAAGATCCATTTCTCGAATGCTCGAAAATTCTCTGCGTAATTGGCTGTGTTGTGCTGCAATTGCTGTTTTTGACGAAGTGAGAACTCTGGAAGCCTCGTCGTCGGCCATGGCGTCCGACGTTCGGAGAATGACGACCGAGGCAAAGCTTCTTATTTGCCTGCCTCCCACAATGTCCGCGTTCACCTGTCAGTCAACATACAATCTTCTCTGTAGCGACAATGGGGCCGAATAGAGCATTCAGACGCGCTTTATTAGGCTACCAAAATTGCGTTCAGGTCTCATATGCGTCATCCTTGGCTTCACGAAGATGTCTGGCCTCAGTCGCGCCCACTGGCTCATCAACCACGAGAGAAGCAGGCAAAATAGCCCCGTTAGAAGGAATCCGTGTATTGGACATGACGAGAGTTTTGGCTGGTGTAAGTATATGTCATTCTGCACCGCGTTGGAGAGGGACTCCTAGGACGGCGGAATTTCACGTGCGAGCTCATTCGGGTCAAAATCCAACTCTCTGACTTTCCGATCAATGCCACAGCCGTACTGCACGCAGATCCTGGGTGATTTGGGGTAGGTATGCCTGTTGTCTCTATCACTCGAATGGTGTCGTTCAGAGGCCCCCTGACTAACAATTGTTGATCCTCTCCAGTGCAGAAGTCATCAAAATCGAGCATCCCACTCGTGGCGATGATACAAGGGCATGGGGACCACCTTTTGCCCATTACCAAGACGGTAGTATGATTCGGCACCTCTATCAGTCGCCTGGTATTGATCGTGCTGATTCGTGACTCTGCAGCCATATCAAAAGGCGGTCCGCCGGGGGAGAGCGCGTACTTTATCGGCGTGAGCCCCGTTTCCTCGGGATTCGCTCCTTCTCAGCTCAACAAGTCCCCAGGTAAACCGTAACAAGAAATCCGTCGGGCTCTCATTCCAACATCCGGATGGTGTCAAGATATTGCATGAATTGGCGAAGACCTCCGATGTCCTCGTGGAGAATTACATCCCCGGTATGTCGCATATTTCAGATTGTGCTTTTATGGATTTCGACCGGGGAAAAGGAAGAGGGAGAGGAAAAGGAAAGGGAAAAGAAAAGAAGGCGACGAGGAAATCTTGATCTGAGCTTTGCTGACGTTTGAGAGGCGCGCTGAAGAAATATCAACTCGATTATGAATCCATGCAAAAGATTAACCCTCGGTGAGTGCCTACAGGTTGATCACGAGTTGAATCCGTGACCCAAACATCCATTCTCCCTCTCTAACTGTCTTCCTCCGTTTCAGCCTCATCTACGCCTCAATCACGGGCTATGGCCAGTACGGCCCCTACAGTCCCCGCGCCGGCTACGACGTCATGGTCGAAGCAGAAATGGGCCTCATGCACATCACAGGCGAACGCCAGGGATCGCCCGTGAAAGTGGGCGTCGCTGTCACCGACCTCACCACAGGCCTCTACACTTGCAACGCGATCATGGCATCACTTCTCGCCCGCCAGAAGACGAATATTGGCCAACACCTCGACGTGGCACTCGCCGACTGCCAGGTCGCAACGCTCGCCAACATCGCGTCCTCGGTCCTGATCAGCGGCGAACGCGACGGCGGGCGCTGGGGCACCGCACACCCCTCGATCGTGCCGTACAAGGGTTTCAAGACGGCCGACGGCGACGTGATGCTCGGCGGCGGCAACGATCGCCTCTTCGGAGTATTGTGCGACAGGATCGGACGGCCCGAGTGGAAAACGGATGCGCGCTTCGTGACGAACGATGCGCGGGTGCGGAATCGAGACATCCTTGAAAGTCTTATTGAGGACATCACCAAGACGAAGAAGACGGGGGAATGGCTGGCGATTCTTGAGGGGAGTGGGATGCCTTATGCCGCGATTAACGATGTCAAGGATACGCTGGACCATGAACATGTGAGGGCTCGGGGCATGGTTACTGAGATTGAGCACGAGAGTTGTGGGATGATCCGGCTCGTGAGTCCGCCGGTCAAATATAGCGGGAGCGTCACGCAAGTGAGGACCGCACCGCCGACCCTGGGGCAGCATACAGATCATGTTTTGGCGGAGATCTTGGGAATGGCAGGAAGTGAGGTCGAGAGGTTGAGGACGCGAGGTGTCGTTGCGTAGGGAAGAGATGGTCCGGACAATTATGTGATGGAGGGAAAACTTCCGCATCATCCGAGTTGGCAGAGGGAGTACATAAAAATCCAAAATGAGGAAGATTCTGTGGTAGACCACATCTCGGTGGACCAAGTTCAAAGTCGTATGCCACGCCCTCACCGTCGTATCGGTTCTTGTCCTTGCTCATTCGAGCAAAATATAGATGCGATACATCTGCTCAATGGTCACCGCATCCTATCCGTGACTTTGAATCTCTCTTTTTCGGGCATGACCTTTCCGCTGCGCGTGTACGTGGATGGGATATCTCTCTCCTCGGCCTCTGTGCGGTACCCTTAATCCGTTTGGCGAAATAAAGGCACCTGAGCCAGCAGTGAGGGAACAGAGGACAATCTAGCGTATTCAAACACTAGATGATCTGAAACATGGGACAGTCTCATGCACAAAACCATGCATCTGCTCTCGCCGAGTCAGGTTGGACGATTTTGCTTCTCTGGCGTTTGCGGGCCTGAGGTCGATCGGTAGAGTGAAAGAGGTTGGTGTGGTGTTGGATGGTCTGAAATGTTGCTTCATTGGGTCATTGAAGGTGTCGTTTCAGTTCCTCCTGGTCGGACCGTAATGTATCCCTCATCTGGACTTGAATAACATCACATTATCAAGAGTGTTGAATGCCTTTATCTTTTGGCGATGACGAGCGTCTGCTTCATGACATGTCGCTCGAAATGTCCGCGGGACCGGAGGTGTAGCCCATGGTCCCAGCTCACTCCATGTTTTACCAAGCATCTGTCTTTTGTCCACTTATTTCGCCTGGCCTTAGACCTGCACTTGCATTGTCTTGATCTTCTCTTCCACCAGCCTGCCCACAATCTTCTCTAACATAGCCGGTGCACCACCTTGCCTGTCCACAACGCTACCCTCAAGATACCCAACAACACTCTTCTCGACCAACTTGCCCACCACGTCAATTTCGACGTTGACTTCGTCCCCGGGCTTTTTTGCTGCCATCACCACCCTCTCCTGTGTGTACGCTATCAACATGATCTCAAACCACCCCTCGGCATCATTGACTTGCGTGACCGTCAAACTCGCACCGTCCAACGTGATATAGCCCTTCTCCACCACATATTTTAGGACTGCTTTATCTCTCGGCTTGAGTTTGAACGTCAGTGCATTGCCGTCGGGCGTGACATTTTCAATGGTCGCGACCGTATCAACGTGACCTTGGACGAAGTGGCCGCCCATGCGTGTGCTGGCGCTGACGGCGCGTTCGAGATTGACGCGGCTCCCCTCGCGCAAGCTGCCTAGGTTCGTTCGTCGAAGCGTCTCGGGTGCGACACCAACTTTGAAGCTCGAGGAAGAAAAGTCGGTCACGGTCAGACAGGTGCCGTTGATGCTGATCGAGTCGCCTAGCTGAACGTCAGAGAGGACGGAGGGGCAATCGGAGATCGTGAGGGAGGTGCCGTTGCCGCCGGAGACGGAAGGGTCGAGGGCAGTCAACGCCGTGACAGTGCCGACGGTTTCGACGAGGCCAGTGAACATTGTTGGGCTTGTAGATGGGTAGGTGAGTAGGCGTTGTGTAGAAGAGAACCAGTTTGGTCGAGAGAGAGATGTGAAGGAAGGAAATAGTTGGATAATGGGTTAGGCGGGAGCTGGAGCTGGAGCTGGGAGCTTCTGTACCGGAGATGTGCAATTGGCACTGCCAATGACAATGGCAGTGGCACCGGGAAAGATTTATAATAAATTACGAGGACGCAATTGAAGTGAGCTCAAAGGCGTTGCGAACAAAATCTGATTTTTCTCTCCCATCCCCGCAGCTCAATAGCCTCGGCCCCACCAGTTTGGTGTTTTCATCAGTCAGCGAATCCTGTTATACCATGAGAGAATTATCTATTCTTCCTTCGCTCGCACTATACAATTGTATCTGTCTTCGAATCAACATTATGAGGCCCTCGAATGAACCAAAAATCTATATTCCCAAGAGGTCATGGTCCTGTATGCCCTGCGAACCTGAATGATATCAAACCGGAATGACTGTCTGCTTCTCTGTCTAATTCTTTTATTTTTTGGCTGCTCCCCTTTTTGGATGACTGTTGATCGGATTCTTCAACCTTGCTTCAATGAACGGAGCGGGTTGTACTCTTGAGTGTCGCCTGTTTGGATCCGGCCGAGAGACTCCCCAGAGTGGGTCGACTCGAGATTCGCGATCATCTCTAGCAAATACTCATTCTTTGTGGGAGCAGTGAGTCTCTCCAAGATGGCGATGGAGGGCTTCTACACCACTTCACAATCGACAATCTTGGGTCGTTTCTTCCTTGGGTGAAGGAGAGTCGTTGCCGCCAGTGAAGAGGGAGGAGCAGCCCAGGTAACACAGAGGGGACCCCTTCATGTGGTCTGAAACTGTTCGTTCCGTGGTGGGTAATGTGTATCGTTGTTCAACGATTCTGATCTTTATCCAATTTTCCTTCTTCCAACCGGTTTTGCAGTTAACGATCTTTGAGTTGATCGACATCTTAAAGCTAGCTCGAGCAAATCGTCGCGGGCTACGTCAAGTATAATCCATCAGCTGAGCCGATCAACAGAAAGAGACACACGTCGAAGGATCAGTGAGGAAGACGTACGCTCTTGCGCCTGAAAGACAACCACAATCTCCTCGACAAGCGGACTCAACTCGAAGGAGAGTCTCCGGGTTATTGATGAAATGGACGAGCCTGTAGTCGACGCAGAAGAAAGAGAGGTCATAGATCCTCTCCTTTCCCAAAAACTCTCTTCGTCAATCCAGACCCCGATGCCGGAAAAGATGAGTTTGGATTCGGACCCTTTGCCTTTGGCCTCGACCTTGATGCCCTCTTGACCCACTGTGGCGGCATGTTAGTGGAGAAAAGACAAGCAAAAGGGAGGACTCAAAGACTAACGGTTAAACTCCAAATATTTCTTCCGCCTCTTCCCGGGCTCGGGAATGAGTTTTACCATGAACCGCGATTCCGAACCTCTTTTCCAGACTCGTATGTTTTGAATATTTGTGATTCGGTCTCCCCCTCGGCCTGTGCGAGGTCGGTAGATTTCCAATACGGGTACCAGCAGAAGGAGTTCATAGCCATAAAGTGCTTCTTGGAAGCGTCGGCAGTCTAAGTCATGTTGTCAGCGGAACGATTCTATCCGAGTGAAGACGGCCAACGCTCGCGCTCTCCGTCGAAGAAAAACTCACCATCAGCATTCCTGAACTTGTACGTCACCCAACTTGTTCGAATCTCCGGGTGTTGATACCGTCTTCCCTCCTCAAACGTAACAAAAGTCAGGCCGGAGCCTTGCTCAACGACGGCGGTCAATTCTTCGCCGTTCGTTGAGTATGGGATAATGTTATCCCATGTCGGCACTGTGTTTGGAAGGATTAGGGGTCCAGAACAGGATGAAGGCGACGAAGATGAGCTCACCTCTTTGGCGGAATCGAATGGTCTTTTCGTCATTCAAGGTCCAGATGTCTTCCACCGCTGATCCTTTCTGGACCAGCATTACCTTGCCAGCATTGCTTGCTCGTATCGTGGCCCTTTCCGAACTCGACGTCTTCTGGAAGACAAATGTGACCGTTTCGATAGGACTATTTTCTTGTCAGCCTGATGTTCGGTGTCGACCTGGGGATGAGAGCACACAATTCGGGGAACGTGGTTTTGGTAGCAAGTTCATCGATCAGCTCTTGTTGTTCGTCGTCAGATGCGAGCCCGACATAGCGGAATTCATCTCCGGGAGTACGAGTAGCCTTGGGAATATCACTCGGTAGCTTAAACTGGGAGTCGTCGTGTCTGAAGACATACCGGGTGATGTCGACATCAGCCGGTGGCGGTAGCATCAATGGAGCCATGGTCGGGCCTGATTGCAAGGTACCAGGAGGATCTCGAGGAGAAGTGCTCAGGCTTCCTGTTGCTTCCCGATTGGCATGTCTGGTGTTTGGGTCCGGCGACCGATCCGATGGGCCGAATTGAGGCGATATAGAATAGGGGCGAATCAGGGGCGAGAGTGTTGGACTCGACGCGGACGACGACATGCCTCGACGTATTTGATCAAACTTCATCTGCAGGGATTCGGACAACTCGGCCATTTGCTCACTATGTAGCAGACTTGTCAGCACCCGAATCCAAGCCCTCCTCGATAAGCGCCTTCAGGTATTACTTACGATAACAATTGCTGACTGAGGAAAGTAAGGAATTGAGTATGCTGTGTGAGCTCCGCCCGAAGTTCATCGACTGTTTCGGCCTTGCTTGTCCATTTAATTGACCGATACATCGTCGAAAGAGCTTTGGTCCACTGCTTCCGGGCTCCATCCTCATTGGTAGCAGGTCCATCCCCCCTCACAATATCTTCGTAGCGGGACACGATATTCTGCAGCTTCTTGGTCGTCTGTTCACAACGTCGAAGAAACCACAGGATATCTCCTTTGACACCATCGAGGGGCTTCAAAACAGCCCCATTTTGTCGAATGCTGTTTCCAGCTCTAGCGATGCACCTGTGATAGCGGTGAACCTCTTCGATCAATCGTTTCACATCGTCGGGTGCATGCCTTGCAGCATCAAGTCTTTGCGCGATGTCAGCGGTCAATTGGGCCAGAGCGACAACATCTCCCAAGCCGTTCATCATCAAAATGTCGACGACGGCTTCAAAGGATCGTCAAGGAGGAAGCGATGACACCCTGAGAGCGGGGCTCGCACGAATTCTAATGGTATTCAAAAAGAAAAACATGGGGGAGCTTTAACGAAGATGAGACTTGGTTTGACAATATCGATCCGGCCCTGATCCATTCATATTAGAGCAAAGGGATCGGGAAGGAATTACCCACTGCCTTACGTGCGGCAGGCTCCGCGCGTGGAGGCTGAGGTCCCGAAATTCGACATAGCCATAGCAGCAAAGAAGTTCCCGGCCAGAACAGGCCAATGATAGAACCAGCAACAGCAACGTGGGATGGTAGTCAGCCTTTTTGATCATAATCCAAGCGAGATCTGGCCCGGTGACTGTGGACTGAAACATTCCAGCTTTGTCGCGTGTCTAGTTTGGGACAGGTGTGGTTCAGCCACTTCTTGGTCGGAGCTGTCATGCACACCTCCCCCGTCCAATAACACCATACCTGACAAGGAAGCCCGGCGATAAAACTTATACTATAAAATATCCCTCATGCAGCCACAGGGTCGAAAAGGGGCCTGCTAACTGCGCCCGGTGGCCCTTATCGATATGCGCTCCTTCAGGAGGTTTGAGGTCGCAATAGGCATCCGTGATGCCTTTTTAAGCTGCTGGTAAGGCTGGCGGCAAGGCGAAATCGAGACATGACGACTCTTTTGCTGCAGGATACCTGAGTCAACCTTTTTTTTGTTCGAAATACCTAATATAATACCCATGGAAAATAATCCTTCAGCCTCGTGCGGCCTTCTTTGAAGGAGTCATTTTCGAGTCATTGGGAAAAGCGTCCGTCATGGTTCGCCGGCACGCTGCATTTCCGGACTTGGAAGCCGAGTATTCTGATATCCAGGTACGACACTCGTCTTCTCTCCCGTGGTTCTATCATGACTCTGTTTTCGGAATTGACTTTGTTGGGCTGTAGGATCCTAACCTCCGACGACGGCTGATTCTGCGCCATATCAATGAACGACCTTTTGGCCAGGCTCATGTGCGAGCGATTCTCGTAGCTGGGACTGGGTTTTTAACTGACTCGTATGATGTGCGTATGCGGCATTGTGTCCCCTTTGGCCGCTGTGCTAAGATTGGAGTAGATTTTCGCCATTAATCTCGTCTCCGACATGATCGGATTTTGCTACTTTCCCAACCATGGAAACAAAATCCCCCAGTCCAATGACACCACCATCAAGGTCGTGACCTCTGTCGGTACACTTGTTGGTCAATTATTCTTTGGTTGGCTGGCCGATGTGGTCGGGCGAAAGCGTATGTATGGGTATGAGTTGCTCATTATCACCCTGGCCACATTAGGTCAGTGTATCACAGGACCTTCCTCGGCGATCAGCATAACTGGCCTCCTGGTATTCTGGAGAATTCTAATGGGCGTGGGCATTGGAGGAGACTATCCTCTTTCCAATATCATCACATCTGAGTTCGCCTCGACAAAATGGAGAGGAACTATGGTGGCGGCAGTTTTCTCAACCCAAGCCCTTGGGCAATTGCTTGCCAGTCTGGTGGCATACATTGTCATCGAAGCGTTCAGATCGCAGACTCACACCGCCCAAAACGTTTGTCAGGGTGACACTTGCAGTCAAGATGATGCCGGAAAACTTGCTGTTGATCGGATGTGGAGAATCATTATCGGATTCGGGGCGGTCCCTGCAGTCTTTGCTCTATATTGCCGATTGACCATTCCCGAGACACCACGTTACACCTTTGATGTGAGTAGGAATGTGGAACAGGGATTCGCGGACTATAAAGGCTGGGTGATGAACACCATTGGTCCCAGGAGTGGACGAGGACAAATGTCTGCTGACCGAGAAAACATTCAAGCCGAATTGAACAATCAGGCGCTCGGCGGGCTTGACGCAAGAGACGTTCCGCAATCATCTTGGAGTGATTTCAAACGATATTTTCGCCAAAGGAGACATGGTCTTATTCTCGCCGGTACGACGGGATCCTGGTTTTTCCTGGATGTTGCCTATTACGCACTTGCTTTGAATAACACAATCTTTCTCCAGAAGATGGGATTTGGTTCACTTCGCGATAGCGACTCACATACCATTTACACCATCCTTCGGAACGGGGCCGTGGGAAATTTGGTCCTCGTTGTTGCGGGCGCCATTCCTGGTTCTCTTTTGGCCATTTATTTTGTCGACAAAATCGGGAGAAAATCCATTCAGATTGGAGGCTTTACCATGATGACGATTCTTCTGTTGATCCTCGGCAGCGCTTTCGGGAGCATGAGTGATGCTTCCAGAGTTGCAGTGTTCGTTTTGTGCCTCTTCTTCATCAATTTTGGCAAGTACACCATGGTTTATACGGAAGGATTCCAGGGCTGACTGAAACGCACTCAAGGTCCGAACTCCACAACTTTCATTGTTCCTGGGGAATGTTTTCCGACGAGGTATCGAAGCACTTGCCACGGTATATCTGCAGCTTCCGGAAAACTTGGCGCAGTACTCGCTCAATCCCTAACGGGTCCGTTGCGGAGAATCGGATTTGTAAAAGGAGAGACCGACGCGTCACCGTGGCTTCCACATGTGATCCAGATGTAAGGATTTTGACAGTGATTCTGTGGATATGGCTGACTGTGTGGAATCATCTAGTCTCGGAGCGTTTGCATTCTTGGGTTTGCTATTCTCTTTTTTCATCCCCGAAACCATGGGAATGTCATTAGAGAAGCTAGCCGGTGAAGAACAGTCAGAGTCAGATGATGAAGAGATCCCAATCAACCCATGGCTTGACAAGCTATGGGCGTGGCTCCGAAAGTCGACTCTGCGAAACCATTCGAACGGTGTAGAGATGAGGGATGACCTCCAGATTCCGCTATCGAGGCCTGAAGAGGTTCGTGATGCAACATCAACCAATCTTCGAAACCATCCAGGGGAACCGAAATTCGATGGCGGCTTGAAGGTGCTCGAAGGCGAGTTTGATAAGGTCTCCGGAGGTAGCTCCGACAGGTCCAGGAGTGCTGATCGGGATGAAATTCAAAGGATCGCTTAATTATTGGAATTGCTATTAGGGCAATCGTTGGCACGGATATTTGGTCTCCCAGTGTGAGAAACAAGCCTTCAACGTCCATGAATTCATTAATTGCCCAGGTCTGGCCTTTGTAATTTCATGGCAATCGACCTGCCGCTTTAATAGCTTATCACATGACCAATAGTTTAACTCTCAAGTCCACTAATCAGATCTACTGAGAACGCCAACTTCGCCCATCCCCCAATATTCAAACTGGGGATTCACGAAGCAGGAGAAGAGAATTAAAGTTGCTCACTTGCCTGTCATCAGAGAGCTGAATTGGGTCTGGGCGAGTGACGAAGCCACGTCGTGGAAACCGGGCGGCTCCAGCATTAAAAGGCGATGGGTGGCTTGATTGAAACCCAATGGCTTCTGATCGATTGACTTTTTCAGCCTGACGAAGCGTAAAAGGGACACGAGAACACGAACGCTCAGCTGATCCTTTCCACAAATCTCCTGACGTCAGGAATTTCCCCCCGTGTATAGGGGGGATTGTGAGAGAAGTTGAGAGCCTCTGGGGGCCTAATCGAGCAGGATGCCGACTTTCTCACAGGCACACTACTCGGGTCTTGCCCAGTGAAAGGATGGATTATGCACGATTTTCAAGCAAGGAGATTGTACAAGCATCCGCAGTCTTGGGATGCCGACATTTTGAGATATTTTGACACTGCTCAAGAGGCACCTGTGATGAGACTAGGTAGCTGAAACTGAAGGCTGCGCTGTGCATAGGGATAATGTATCTTCTGAAGCTGTTCGATGCCACATATCCTCATCAGAACGGACGGCGCTTTTCTGTGGTCTTTGGCAATTCCGAGACTGCTGAAGAGCGATGGAGCCTGGTGGAAGAATCGTGATGCTGAAAAGCTGTGAGAGGACGGTAAAGTGTTAGAAGATGAAGCTCATGCATGAATGGCCTCGATTGGCCACAGGAACAATAGAAGGCTTGATGTCAACACCGCGAGCTGTGTCCCGCTCCCATGCTAGACTCAAATTCACCAGAGCCCCTTACTCCATCATTGGGCATTGATAATCACTTTTCCAACAGCTCCACCGTCTTGAACATACTCGAACGCTTCTGTGGCTTTATGGAACTCGAGCTTCTGGTCAATTATATCGTCAAAACGGAGTTCTTGGTCTTCAACAAAGACACATAGCTACTCTAGCTCTCTCCTTGAGCCAACACTGATGCCTCTTTAGAACCACTAATGACGACGCTCCCACCAAAATCATGGGAACAGGCAGCACTTACCCCAATGTGATGCTGAGGCTTATCAACAAGGACAGAAACTCATTTGGGTTCTCTACCGCAGTGCCTCCGAGGCAGCCAATACAGCCCACAATTCCTCTGCGAGTAGTGGCTTTCAGACTCTGCAGCAGGCTTTGACCGCTCCCCATTTCGGTTGTAATGGCGACATCAATATCGTCCGTCATTTTAAGGATTTCAGCCTCCAATTTCGGCCTTTTCTGATAGTTGATGGTCTAGATGGACTCAAGTCCGCGAAGACGCCGGCGCATATCAAGCTCGCTGTCTGATGATGAAGTGGCGATCAACCCTGCTCCGGTGCTGGCTGCGAACTTCAGGGCCATCACGCTGATCCCGCCAGCTCCTTCACTTTTGAGACCATTTAATCCATTCCATACGGTGAGTCCAGCACATGGTAGGAATGCCGCCTATTATCAGTGCTTAATTTAGTCCGCCTGGTCCTCTTCATCGGGCCTCATAATACAAATTAAATCCACAACACATGACTTACCTCTTCCCGAGTGAGATCTTTGAGAATCTTAACCTTTCCAGTCTCTGGAAAGGCGCAGTGTTTTGTCAGTACGTCGTCAACGTCTCCACTGAGCTCTTTTGCGGTGACATGCTAATCAAATATCAGACTGACCAAGTTAGTGGACAGGCAAGCGTGATAACTGGGCATTGAGGATGGAATTGACTGAATTGACTAGTCTACTGATATCGACTTGATCGCTTGAGAGCGATCAAGGGGTGAGGGTGCGAGTGGCAAGATAACAGCTTACTCTCCTAGTGGCTTGGCAGCCAAGACAGAAGGGGACCGTGGGAGTCAGCCTCGTCCTTTGCTTCCAAAGGGGTGGACCATGCCGTGTTTCAAATCTGAATGGGAATAATTTGCTTCAGTCAATCATATGGGAATTCGGGCAACACTTAGCCTAGGACTCAGATTGCCCATTCACCTTAGACCCCGTAATACGTTCTCAAGACCGAAGGTATTCTGTATCTGGGAGCTTTATGACGACCACCTGTGACAACGCCCAACAAATAGGTAGGTAGTTTGGCACCTTCTAGGTACGTAGATTCGGCCCCGTTGCTCCAAAAGCCACACCGTTACCTAGCACCTACCATAGCACCATTCCATCGCTCAGTCATCGCTGAGACTTTTACTACCCAATCCAAGCGGTGGCGTCGCTGAATCCCTGGGCCAGTCAACAATGCCAAACTGGTTTCGACAGGCATAAGCATTGATATGTTCATGTGTATGAAAATTTTTCACAGACCAACAAGCTATGGATTTGGCCCCTTTCCCCTTCCCCTCCAAACAAGCAGAGGATGAGGCATCGACCAATCCTAGTAATGTATTGCTGTGAGGTTGGCCTTTCTCGGTCGCAAAACGACGTTGTACTTCTTATCGGGTTTAAGAATTGTGAACTCTTTAGTGCCTAATACCAAGTCAGGGTCTTCCAGCCGAATTTCATATCTCAACAACAACACCGCAATCATCTTCATGATGAACTGGTTCGCAACGTTTCTTCCAATACACTGCCTGCTTCCGAAGCCGAAGCCTAGAAAACAGGTTTTCATGGTTGCCAAATCTACTTTCTCGTCCAACCAGCGATCAGGAGTCCAAGTGTCTGGGTCGCGGTATACATCAGGATTGCGCCCAATTATGGCAGCGGGAACCCCGACGTCTACGTTACCAGGAACGTAGACTCCACAGATAACAGCACCACTGGGCGGCGTCATGCGTGGCATCGCGTATCCGATCGGTGGGTGCATTCGAAGACATTCAATCTCGGTTGCCTCAAGGAGATTGAGACCTTGTAACTTGGCGAACGAAAGAGGCACGGAAGCGTCGAGATTGTCAGGGAACATTTCCTCGAGTTGCCGGACGATGCGAGTTTTGACCGACGGGTTCTTGCAGAGATAGTAGGTCATCCAGTTCATCGTCACGCTTCCTGTGCTTGCTCCGGCAACCCTGTGAAAAGATCGGTCATTTCTCAACCCGTCCGGCGGTACAGTATAGCACAGCAACTCACATCAATGATGAGGCTTCGGCTCTCAGCTCGGGAAAGTCCATTCGTGTGCCCGTCTCTGGGTCAACTGCCTCGATGAATCGTTGCATAATATCTTGCCGTGGTTTGCCACTGGGGAGTATCCGCTGGCGGTCGTCCTGAAATCGTTTCTCGAGCGCCATTCTCGCATACTCCAGATATTCAACTCGCGCTTTCCACAACCTCTGGACGTACGGCAATGGTGTCCAGCTGAGGACGTTCACACTATGTTTGCCGAATGGTAGCATACCGCTGAGGTTTGCGAAGCGCTGCGAAAGCTCAACTAGTGTCGAGTATCTCGCCGGCTTTCCATCTTGTAAGGCACCAAAGTTCTGGCCAAAGGCCAGCTCGCCCATCAAATCCATGGTAAAGAGCTCGAACCAGAAATATATGTCGAAGGGCTGCTGTGTACTCGCAAATGCGTCCATCCTCTGGAGAAAGGATTGGATCGTGATGTCTACAAACGGTTCAAAAAGAGACAGAGACTGCATGCTGAAGCCATGGGCTACCATACGCCGCTTCATGGCGTGCCGCTTCTTGGAGCGTGTGGAGAACAAGGATTCACCGGTGGTAGAGAACGAGTCGTACCAGCTCGACTTGCCGAAGCCTTCTGCACCTTTACCATGACCTGATCGTTTCGTCAGGAGCATTGCACCTATGCATCATCACAAGATGTTCGCATACCGTAAATCGCCTTGACCGCATCGGGATGATTGAACGACACGGCATTCGGGCCTGTCCTTATAGCAACGGCATCCGGATACTGGGCGAACAAACAATTCGCCCATTCCGTACGTCTTTTGTCCTTGAGCGCGTTCGCTTCAGGTATACCAGAAATTCTTGTAATCCACGGGCCGGGGATCTTACTGAGGGGGGAAAAGAATAACCGGTAGATGAGGACTGCTGAGTAATATACAACAGGCAAGAGGACCAGGCCCCAACCGGCAGCAGGGCGCAAAAGAAAAGTTGTATCAGTCATGATCACTATGCCACTACTGACCCGACTTTACATCAAGAGCAAAGTGTACTCTAAGGGGTGTGAACTGAAGGGGGCGTTTGTCAACGAGATATAACCCTCCCCAATTCGCTCCGCGGTGGACCGATACTGTCGCAGGGTTGACCCAGTTGGTAGGGCCAAGCTGGAGCTGACCAAAAGTCATGATGGTGATTTTCTTGGGATCCCCCATGTGGCTCAACCCACAAAATGAAGCCCCACAAGCTTACAATACCATTTGCCGAGGCCCGCGTTCCCTTTGAGAGCCTCGCCGACGTGATCTTATCCATGTAACTTTCATTGGAGAATTGACCTCGCTACCACGACACAGGGTCCTCCAGTGGGCCGTTTGGTGCTTAAAAATGACAAGCACGGGGTCAAGCATCTGCCAGGCCGCCTGAAGTCACGGTCGCAACCTGAACATCTTGTTTTCGGCCTTATCCTCTCCCCACGAAGGAAAGGGAAGGTGCCCTCTGCTTCGTCCAGTCCTATCGAGATAGAACCTTCATGGATAGCTCCACTTCCAGAATCATGCATAGAGAAATGCCGTGCGGGGTTGTAGATGGTATAGCGCATCCTCCACAATGGGACATGGATGGGGTCGTCCAGGGGTGAATCCGATTCAATCTGGGGTAAACAGCTCAGCACATACCGATAGCAGATACAAAATCATGGCCTGCCTCCCCCGTCATCCCCAGATCTGTTGTCCGCAGTTCTGTCCGCCACTTACTTCTACCAATCCCCTAGAATCTGTAGCACTCGTGCTCATGCCCACAATGCGTGATACAGTTGAGCACAAGGCTGCCGTAGAGTCTGAGATTGATGTCGCCCACCAAGAGCACCATGATCTTCCGGCAGGATATGAGGATCCACACAAGGCTGCGCTCGAAGACAACCCCGAGCACGTTGAAAAGCTTAGTCTCTCCGTGATCCTCTCTGCTCTTTTCCTTGGAACGTCCTTCACCGGTCCGATCATTTTCGGCTTCATCCTTGCAACACCTATACTCGTTCAACTGAGCCAGAAGCTGGGTGGTGAAAGCATCGACTTTTGGATACCGTCAGGTTGGGGCGCGGCTGCTGCTGTCGGTTTCTCGATTGCAGGAAGACTGTCGGATATCTTCGGTCGTCGATATGTTATTCTTACTGGTCAGCTCCTCACCGTCATTGGCGGCGCTATCGCATGCAGTGCGCAGACTATGAACCAACTCATTGCGGGCGAGGTCATTCTTGGAGGCTCCATCGGGACAGTGTCGGTCGCCTATGCTGGTGAGCATCACCTCGACGGCCTCTGCTCGCGTGTGGCAGTGCTGACTTACATCGTGTAGGCATCTCCGAAATCCTACCAAACAAGTGGCGTGGCGCTGGTCTCGCCTGGACAGAACTCAATCTTGCCAGCTGGGCCGTCGCCGGAACTCTCCTCTCCAATGCACTCCTTTCCCACGCCAGCTGGCGAGTTATGTTTTATATTGCCATGGGATACGGCGGGTTCTCACTCATTGGCACCTTCTTCGTTTATTTTCCGCCCAGCCACCCTCGTCCCGATGGTTTGACCAGATGGCAAGAATTCAAGCAACTGGACTTTATTGGCGCCGCCCTTTTCGTTGTCGGGTTGGCTGTTTTCTTATACGGCCTGAATTCCGGTGGCAACACTTACCCCTGGACAAGCGCGGGTACGCTGGCTCCTCTTATTCTTGGTCTATTCGTCTTCCTGGGAGCTTTCCTGTACGACTTCACGGTTGCCAACGATCCCCTGTTTCCGTGGTACTTGTTCAAGAGTTTCCGCGAGTTTTCTGCACTGCTCATGCTGGTCTTCGTAGCGGGCATGGTGTTCTTTGCGGCCTCGGCACTCAACGCTGAAACCATCCTTTATCTGTACACGGCGGACCCCATCAAGATTGGTGTATATTCCATTCCTTCTGGGTGAGTCTTTCCTAAGCGGAAAGAACCCATGACATTGTAGCTAATAATACAATAGTGCCGGGCAACTTGTCGGTGGTGTAATCATACCCGGACTCGTGCATTACATCAAATTTGTTCACTACCAACTCACCTTTTCCGTCTTCATGCAGACCCTATTCTTCGGTCTCGCCGCACTTATCACTCCGCACAATATCAATTGGGTCATGGCCGTGCAGTTCCTCGCCATGCTTCCGTTTGGTTGGATCACCTTGAACTGTTACACCACAGCCTCCCTCCACGTACCTCAGCGGGATCTCGGAGTCGCCATTGGCTTGATTGGCACGTTCCGTTCTCTTGGGGGAGCAGTGGGATCCGTCATTTTCTCGTCCATTTTTGGGCAGGTCTCGGCTAAGCAGACCGTCGAGCGCATTACTGAGACTGCTCTCAAGGCAAACGTGTCGGCCCCAACCCTTCCGGCACTGATCGAGGCGGTCGATTTGACACTTGTTGGTGTCCCCGGACAGGCTGCGACTGTGCCTGACGTTTCCTCGTCGGTCTTCTCAAAATGTATCGAGGCAGCTCGGCTTGGGTATGCTTACGGCTTCCGTATTACGTGGCTGGCGTCGATCCCCTTCGGTGTCATCGCCATGGTTTGTGCGGTGGCTGTCCGTGACCCGTCCAAGTACTTCACCAACCATGTTGAAATTCATCTTGAGAAGGAGATTGGTGGTACTCGGCATGTAAATGAGACAAAGGGGGAGACGACAGAGGATTCATCTCGATAAGCTATGTAACAGTAGGATTACTAGCAGTGTTGTTGCGCCAGGCAAGGAAGACTTCTGGGTTCGTATCACGGTGCTGGTTCCGCGGCGACATGCTTTCCTCTTCGCCGAACGTGAGCCGAGACGCGATCACAGGGCGAGACTTTCATCGGCTTTGACAGTTTACCTAACACCTTGCCTCTTCTAAATTCAACGGTTCAACCCCTTCCTTACCCTTCCGCTGGCAGATTTCGATCGATCTGCGAGAAAGCGATGTGCCTTTGAGCTGGCCTGACATAACAGGGGAGAGCCGAGTCTAATCTCATTCATCGATATGGGTTTGGGCTTGTTCTTGTATGCCGAAAATGTTCAAGTTCCGAAGACGCTAACTATGCAGCGCGTAGTACGAAACTCTTCTTTCTCGAGTACAGCTGCCCTCAGCCCTGCTGGTGAGGTCTTCAATCTCTCCACAACAACAAATGATTACTATCCTTCTACAAGCTCTGCAATATCATGACCAACGAGTGGGAATGCGAATGAATGGGCCGGGAATCCATGCCCACTCTTCCGAAACCGCAGATAAAAGTTGGAAGCGTCAAAATTCTAAGGCTTCACGGAGTTGGCAGGCCGTTGATTCAAGCGTCTGCGAGATTGGTAACATGGTGCGTTGATCTCAAGATCTACATTACCAGTTCTGATTCAGCCAAACATTCATACATAAAAAAAAAAAAATACACCACCAAAAGGGGTAAGGCCAATCCCAGTCCACCGGCCCAGTGTCCACAACCATTCAATGAGATCGTTTCCGACGGACGGTAGCGTTTCCTCTGGCGACATTACTGTTCCTGATGTCAGCATTGCGACCGGCCGCATTAGCATGAACACAGTCAGTGTCGGCGCCGCTTCAACGGCGACTCCAACGATATCCGCTATTGGCTGGTATCGGAGGTGCATTGGCTTAGTGGACCAGACGTCAGAAGGTCCTGAGGCTGTGGTCATATTCAAAATTGATGCCGTTCATGGGGAAAATAGTCGTGGCTTGACGCTACGGCGTGAGTTTTAAGCATGGCTCGGAATACCTTCTCGATTTAGGCTGAGAGCCTCGTCTTGGTGGTCGCGAGATTTTGTCCGGAAACTTTTCAAACCGCGTTTCATTGTTCATTGGCAAAATCTATCGTTAGTGTTAGAACACTCAAGACTCCTCTGGCAGTTTCAGTGCCTTGAGAGACAAGTCTATCCTTCGGTAAAACTATGCGAAGATGACTCAAATTCCAGGCACTTTGATGCCATTCCTCTATCCATGTCTCATTCAATCCACATCAACCTCTGTTCGATTCCAAGCGCGTCGGCTTCCGACACGCATTCGACGACGATTATTGCATTGCAACCACCCTCGAAACCAATCGTCCCTTGCCGAGATCAATGCTGCTCGACGTGCTGCTGCCAGTGTGCCTCCTGCACCGACGACCACCTCTCGCCTCAACCCTTCCCCGGATGACTACGGGCGGAATGTCTTCGTGGATAAATGCACCCTGACCGTTCACGCAGGATCAGGCGGTAATGGATGTGTGGCTTTTCTTCGAGACGCTCATATATCTGATGGACCCCCCAATGGCGGAGATGGAGGATCGGGAGGTAATGTCTGGATTCAAGCTGTCGCTGGACAGACCAGTTTGCACAAACTTGCCAGGAGAGGAATTGTCAAGGCCGGTCGCGGGGTTGGTGGACAGGGAAAGAACCAAGGAGGTCGAAAAGGCGAAGATGTATGTGTACAAGTCCCGGTAGGCACTGTCGTTCGAGAAATCTGGCGCAGCGACCCCGTTGCAGATGAGGAGGAAAGACTGAAGGAACTTCGTGCCGTGAGCGACCAAGACCCTTATTCGCTTCCTGAGCACGGTCTGCGAAACAAATGGATCCTCTATGCCGGTGTTACAGGGAGCGAAGCAAACGAGGTCGCCGCAAACCTCCCGCCTCCGCAGAAACCAAGGAAAAGTCATCTGACTGCCCTTCAACCTGCCGTACCAATCCATCTTGATCTCGATACGCCGATGGATAAGCCCATTCTTCTCGCCGCAGGTGCTGTAGGAGGGCTGGGTAATCCGCATTTTGCATCCAAAACCAACCCTAAACCAAAGTACGCGACCAAGGGTGAATTGGGAATACGACTGAAGCTCGAGCTCGAGCTCAAACTGCTCGCGGACGTGGGTCTCGTCGGACTGCCAAACGCAGGCAAAAGCACCTTTGTCCGTGCCATCAGCAACTCACGCACTAGAATTGGAGACTGGGCATTCACCACGCTCGCACCAACCATTGGAACCGTGGTGCTGGACAACAACGAAGGGAGACCCTTTGTCCGCTCTGGGGTGGAAGGTGGAGCACCTCGATTGAATTTCACCGTCGCTGACATTCCGGGTCTCGTTGAAGATGCCCATCTCGACAAAGGCCTCGGGCTCAGCTTCCTCCGGCACGTCGAGCGCGCACGAATCCTGGCGTTCGTAATTGATCTCAGTGCTGGCGACTCCGTCCTCGCGCTCAGGAACCTCTGGAAAGAAGTGGGTGAGTACGAGAAGCTTCGAAATCGAGAGATCAACGAGGCAAGCGAGAGTAGACTCATCGAGTGGAAGCCCTTCGAAATACTCTCTCCCTCGACGGCCCATCAAAGTTCACACAAGTTGTATGACGATGCCGGTGACGAGATCTCCATCTTCCCTCCACCGCCGACGACGCCACTGGAGCCGCTCAAGCTTCCGCCCATCAGTGCAAAGCCATGGTTCGTCATTGCCACCAAAGCCGACAAAGACGCCGACGTCACGCAGAAAGAATTCACCAAGCTGGCAGAGTATGTGAGGCAGATCGGGGCGGACGAAGTTGAGCATCCGAGCGGTAGCCAAAATGGGTGGAGGAACAGGGTCGTCGCCATCCCCGTTGCGGCTATTAATGGCGAGGGCATTGATACGGTGGTTAGATTCACGGCGGGTGTCTTGGACAGTTTACACTTTGGCAAGTAGAGAATGTGCCGGGTTCAAGAGATGAGCTGAGACGATGGAATCGAGATATAACGTTTGAGGATATTACGGGCACAGTCGCTCCATGTACAATACCAAAAGTTACCGCCTAATTGTCCCGGTGATCGCCCCCATGCACAACACGTTAGACACCACCCGTTCACCAGGGTAACTTCCCACATCGCATATCGAAAGGTAGACATCTCGATATAGCTTGGTGTCCTCTTACGACGTATCCGCACCAGGCTGTCTATTGATACCGATAAGATTCCGAAGCACAAGAAACGACACGAAGACACGGAAACAGGAACAGAGGAATCAACATTACACTAATTGGACCTTGTTCGGCACTGGTTATCGAATTTCATATTCATACATGGCCGAATATGCGTGACGATGTTTCTTTTTCTCCAATCGCCATAGAAACACCGCGCTATCAAGAATCTCGAGCCATAATCACACATATCATCCCATGCGGTGCCGTGCGATGCCGTTTCATGCATGTGCCAAACCCGTTCAAATCCAACGTATCACCACTGATCATCTTTATCTATCTTCCAGCCTGACCATGATTCGCATCCGCCTTCGCCAGTCGATATCGTACTGCCTCCCTAACCAAGTCCGAGTTCCAGACACTATCGTCTCCTCCTTTGGCCAACTCCATGCCTGCGACATCTCCCTTCTCTGCTTCCCCAAGAATAACACTGAGATCCTTCTTTTGCGACTTCATCCACTTGTCACAAAACCCGATGGGATCCTTGGCAAATCCACTGAAGAAAGCATGTCGAGCCTTGTGCAAATGAATTTTCTGAATGACAATCGCGAGTTCCTCATCCAATTTGGCGATCTGGCGTAACTGAGCCTGGTGTTCGGGGTTTTGGGTCATCTTGAGGATGAGTGCGCGCAATGGATCTTCTACCATGACTTGAATGTCGTAAATGGTTGGTTTTGGCTCCGGGTTTGCTGTGTGGAACGCTTCATCAAGGTGGACAGTGTACGGCAGCCGAACGGGGGGAAGTGGGTGAAGGTGTGAGATGATTCGCTCAGGAACTTGTGGGAAGTAGATGGTATCCGTGCCGAAAATACTCTTGAGTGCATCGTCGCAGCGGATGCTTCGTCGTTCATCATCCTCTTGGAGGCCCATGAACTTCACATATTCCCATATTCCCATGACCACTTCTGCACGGTCGGCTTCTTCCATGTCGAGGGTCGAGGCGAGGGCTTGACTCAAGCGGAATCGCTCTGGTTGCTCGTCACGTGTGAGGCAGATGTTGATGTTGAAGTTTTCGTCAGCTTTGCGGGTGAATGAGAAGATATCGTTATCGTTATCTGCAGTTTGGTTTGGAGGTTTCTTCCAATTGACCGTGCAATTGGGGTCTCCGGGGATCCCGCCGTTCTCGAATTCAACGCTGAGCGCTTTGAAGAAGTGGCTGAATCGATGTGATGGTTGTTCCTTGAGAGTTTTGGGCTTCTTGGGCTTCTCCGCCTCTTCCGTCTCCATGTCGTTGTCTTCTTCGTCTTCATCCTCCGAATCACTGTAGGTGATATCATCTTCCACGTAATCGAGTAGTTTTGCTTTGATGTGGACGGTGTAGGTCGGATCGGCAATTGAGTCAAAGGTGATGTTGTTCTCGTCAACATCCACCTGCCATGACTGATTAGCACAGGTGTTCCAGACCAAGATTCGGAGAGTCTTGAATCTCTTGACGTTTCTGCTGAAGGTATCTTGAAGCTCCAATCGCTTTCGCATCATGATTTGGTCCAATCTCTTCTCCGAGTCGCGCAACTTGTTGTATTGCTTGACGCCATCACCGATTACAATGTCCTCCAAACCGTCGGGTAGGTTTCGTTCGGTCGGTTTCCGGGCGCGTCGTTGGGCCATTTGATGTTCGATGGCGGCATTACGTTGTTGCATCTGCTGGTTCACCATCTGATTTTGCATGTGGTGACGGGGATTTTGGGCAGGCGGCATCTGACCTGAAGTTGGAGTAGTTTGTGAGTGAGCTTGTCCTAATTTCAACATCGTACGAGCAGCATTGTGGGGAGCCATGACACCATGGTCGACTGAGTGACGCAGCCGTGGGTGAAGTTCACGAGGGATGTCCTCAATTCTCAACCACGCTCAGCGTTGGAGCCGGTGATGACAAAGAGCGATGAACGTGGGGGCATGAAGTGAGCCAGGTAGAGGTTTGAGCAACTCACCTGGCCTATGAGCCGTGGGGGTTCTTCCTTGAGCCTGGGCATACTGTCGGTAATTCTGCATTTGGGGATTCATCTTCCCGTCGTTCCTTGTCGTGCGCTCGGAGGCGCCGGCCAATTATCGGGTTTCCTAGAAGGGCCGATCCACAATGATTCCTGTTGTCTTGTCGTCGCGGCGATGTAATACGGGGGTTTATTGACCACGGCGTGTGCAGGTGGAGGCGCGACGCGAAAATGCTCAATCTTTGATACTGCGAACGGCTGAGCTAGTCCTAATCTGGACAATGTCTTGGCGAGAACCCGACGGGACCACAAGGCTGACCGTCAGGTTCTCTTCATATTGTGGACTCCGTCGAACCGGGGATCAAACCACCGAGCTCTGGAAGTCATTCTGACAATTATCTGATGTTGTTCTCGTAAGTATTCACGATTGTCCTTCCATCCGAGCACCTTAGGACCCAACACTCCTAGCTTTTCATCCTGGACCCACAGTCGGTGTGGCGTTGGCTGTTGAGCTCAGAGTTCAGAACAAATGGGTAAACCACGTTTGATCATCATCATCCGTCATGCCCAATCCGAGGGAAATCGAGACAAAACTGTCCATCAGACCGTCCCGGACCATAAAGTTGGCCTGACGGCCGAAGGACACCAACAAGCCCTGGAAGCCGGTGAGAAGCTTCGTGCTCTTCTACGCAACGACGACACATTGCATTTCTTCATATCGCCGTACCGAAGAACTCGAGAAACAACCGAGGGGATATTAAATGGCCTAACTTCCAATGACCCGGTTCCTTCGCCATTCCAAAGATCCCACATCAAAGTGTACGAGGAGCCAAGGCTGAGGGAACAGGACTTTGGGAACTTCCAACCGGGTACCGAAGAAGTCGAGCGGCTCTGGCGAGAACGTGCCGAATATGGCCACTTTTTCTATCGTATCCCCAACGGCGAAAGCGGAGCTGACGTCTATGATCGGGTGTCATCATTCAACGGCTCTCTCTGGCGGCGATTTTCTGAAGACACCATGGCCAGTGTGGCGATTCTGGTAACGCATGGCCTATGCAGCCGCGTGTTTTTGATGGCGTGGTATCACTACAGCGTGGAGTTTTTCGAAGATTTACGAAATATCAACCATTGTGAGTTTCTGGTGATGAAGCTCGGTGCGAATGGGCGATACGTGCTGCAAAATCAATTACGGCGGTGGTCAGATCTGAGAAGGGAAAGAGCTGCGAGAAAGAGCGTCTCGGCCGCGTCGCCCGTGAACATCGAACCAATCCCGGTGAGGCGATGGACATCCCGGGGGACAGCCAACGATCCAACGAGAGGGAGTTACCTGCCTCCACCCAAACGGAAGAATACCGCAGATATGTTTCGAGATGAACCCGAAGTGAAGGAGGAGCGGAAAGAAAAGCCGCGAGCAGTGTCAACATCGGTAGAGCGGCGAAACAGTGCAAGCAGAGAGGCAAGTCGCGGCAGAGTTCGCTCCTCGAGCAATCTTCGCACCTCCATTACCAACTTGAGTCTGGACACGGGAAAGAAAAGCTCGGGCTTGAGCGGCTTGAAGTCATACCTAGGACGAGACGGTGGGGGGACAAGATCTGGTCATGGTTCACCGTTTGGCTCAGACGATGAAGAAAGTGCGGAAGGCACACCACATCCGGATGCCCTGTCAGAGTCTTTCGATTCGAACAAACAGAAGTTCTCATCGTCACTGGCACGAGCCCTGAGGGGAGATTTTGACGTTCCGAACCGAGTTTTAGCTGATGCTCTGGGCGATCAAAGTGACGCTGAAATTGATGAGGCTGATTTGGAGATGGGCATAAAGGAAAGAGAAGAGATGGAGATGGAGCAGATACTGGCCGAGGAGAGGAGAGAACGGACGCATAGAGGGAGCGTCTACTAGCTTGATGCTGAGTTTCATGAAGATGGGACTAGAGGGGAGTGATGAAAAGAATAGGGGATGCGATCGCATAACATTGGCAGAGATGAATTAGGCCGTGTCCGCTTCTGGACTGAGCACCATCTTATTTGTTCGTAGTTTGTGTCGTTGTCCTTGAAGCTGTCTTCCCTTCCTCCTTCCTCAGCCTCAGCCTTGAGTGCCAAGGCTGGCAGGCCAATCAAGGTTCAAGGCCATCTGAAGGACAGAACAAATGATAGATTTCGATGGATATCTTGGTTTTGCAATGTCCCCGCTCCAGAAGCTGAAAAAATAGCCATTGCTGGCGTCCCAATATCACAAGATGGCCGACCCTCTTCTCGACATTCTCCAACGTCATCTTCCTTCCGCATCATCTCCCTCCGCAGAAACTTCAAAGTATCTCTCGCGCCTTGTCTCTCTTCGCCTCGGGGACCTGACCACAACCGAACCGCAATCTCTTGCCCAGTCCAGTCAGTCAAACCTGGTCTCTATCCAAGCATTGAGTTCTCGCTCGCACCGCACAACCACCACTTCATCTGACCACCTCTCCACGCTCCGCTCCTCACTCCCACTTCTATCAACATCCGTCGAGGCGATTAAAGGGGCGATTCCGGACTTAGATGCCAGTGCGGTCAGCTTTGCCTCCTCATATAACAGATCCAAAGACGAAAATACGGGTGGAAATGCCCTTCTCAATGCACGACGGGAGTCAGCTCTCCTCGCTCGCCAAGCAGACAAAGCACAAGATATCCTCGAACTCCCTTCGCTCCTCTCAGCCGCCATCGCCTCCGCGAATCACACCGGCAACTCCTCCACCCCCTCCGTGTCAGGCGTAAACTACACCCAAGCTCTCGATCTCTTCGCCCATATCAAACGCCTCCAAATTCTCTATCCAGACTCTCAACTCGTCCGTTCCATCCTTGCTGACGCTGAAATCGCCATGAGAGACATGACAACGAACCTCATCGCGAGTCTGAGGAGTCCAAATATTCGTCTAGCAGCCGCCATTCGCATGATAGGCTGGTTACGACGAGTGGCGCCCGACCTGGGTCCGCCTACCCCATCAACACTACCATCACCATTTGGGCTCTCAACGACAAAGAACCCTCCCTCTCCAGGGGAAGGTCACTTCGGCGCCCTCTTCCTGTGCGCCAGGCTCTGCACGTTTCTCACCATGACCGAAGCACTGTCCCCTCTCCGCGATCTCGCCGACCAAGAAACTCAAGCCCGACAATCACAGGCACACGAAACCGATTCTAAGCAGTCATCCACTCGCAAACCCTCCAGCAGCGCCACAGGATATAACCCCCTACAAGGGCAACAAACAGAACGGTATCTGAAACGATACATCGAAATCTTCCGCGAACAATCCTTCGCCACCATCAGCATGTACCGGAACATTTTCCCCGATGACGACTCGGACGCTCTTGCTCACTTACCCGGAACCCAGCTCTTAGATCCTCCACCGGCCAAGTCTCCATCTCCACTGTCGCTGAACCTCTCCCTCCCACCAGCTCTACAAACTTTCCCCCTCCATCTAGTTGACCTCTTCATGTCGACGCTGAAAGAATACTTACCCAACGTCACCGACCCGGCCGCGCGCGAGAGTCTACTCATGCAAGTCCTCTACGCGGCCAACAGTCTGGGACGACTTGGCGCGGACTTCAGCCTGATGATTGCACTGTTGGACCAAGATGAATGGGACGCGGAGGGCGACGCCGCCGTAGACGCCAATGTCGACACGGATCGGACGCAAGCAGAAAAGGTAGATGGCGGCGAAACGAATGGAAAGCCAACGGCTGAAGAAGAAGCCGAAGGTGGAGAGCAGAAACAACAAGTACCCGAGCCCGAATGGGTGGCCGTTATCAAGAAACATCGCATTCAGGCCGCGAGGTTAGAGGCGTTGGCTGCAGGTCAGGACCGACTCGTGCAGAGACGCGAGTCAAGTGATATTGCGGTGCGATAATAGATGTTGGTGTATGTGCATGTCTCCTCTGGCGACTAGAGCCCCATGTCATGGTTACACCTGACGTGAAGCGATTGTTTACATTTGACATCGTGGAAAATTGAAAATGACAATAAAATATTGCCTTCATCCAACTGTGTTTTTGGCGGACATTTGACTGCGTTCCACTGATCGTATCAATGATTGTCACAATGATGTACGGGAAGAAATCGAGAGAAAATGTTCGCGCTGAAGACAAGGAGCTGCCACAAGTCGTGGCTGACGTTTTTCGGACTGACCTGGATCGAATACAGGACCTACTTGGGATTCAGGGAACATTTCGGATCCGCCCGAGTCATGAGAATGAGATGGGCGGGGCTGAAGTTCTCTTGTCGGACTTATTCTTCTTGTGGCATTCGCAACAATTGAATAGATGCTATCCAACCCGCTTTATAGCTTGAACTTCTCGTGCTCGAGGTGCTTCATGCAATGTTTTTACCTTATACAAGGGCCCCTCCAGAATTATATGGACACCAACGAAAGCTCGAGGACTTGCTCAATGCAGGGGCTTGGTTGGCTATCCAATCGTATCCTGTGGGCCAGTTGATCTCATTTGACTCAGCCATCTCGACGCTAAAACCCCAGTTTGTGCTTTTTGATCCGTGGAATAACACCAGCGAGCACCAAGACACTGGCTACAATGACAGCCCACAATTTGATATGCAACGCATTCTTGTTGAATGCTGTTGAAGTGGCAGCGGCGATGACAGCCAGCAGATAGACCGTGAGAATATAGCCGGAAATTCTGCCGGAGCACTTCAGTCAGATTGAAGGCCCAGGTGACCGTGGTGGTGGACTCACCGATGATATTTGTACAGGGACTTGGCTCGATCAATCGTACCAAACACAAGCTCTGGAGTATAGAACGTGGCACACCCGATCAACCATTGAATGAATATCAGTACGTAAGCAACCAACGCCATTTTGCCGTGTACGCTCTGAAACCGAGTCTCGGGGTGTGACGCCTTGTTCATTTCGATGATAACCAAGCCAGCAATCAGTGCTGTTTGCCCACGGTCAGCGAGGACCTGGAGTTGCCCCCACCAAACGCCTTACCTGCGACAGCCAGTGAGTTGAACATTGAGTGTACATATGCTCCATTGATTTTGTCTTTTGGAAGTGCCGTTGGTTGCAGGACCAGTGTGCCTTGTACCAGAAGGAGAACGGCCAGGGAATTCAACAAGGGGTGGTAGGAGAAGAAGATGAAGTCGGCTTCGAATACCGCGGCCCACACGAGGGCCGTGAGGATGAATATGCCTGCCTGTGCGAGGATGGCTGGGCGAGATCAGTTTCATTCGACAAAATGCATACTTCCCAAAACAAAAGGGATGGCTACCGGTTCCTATGATGAGATTGAACTGCAACCCTTGTCCTGGCCGTTGTGTGACATCTCCTGGACGACCCAAGAGGGGTTCCTCCTCTTGCAAGGCGGGATTTGCCTGCGGAATACCGGTTGCTGATGCCATGGCGAAAGCTAGGGCCTAGGATAGATGGAGCAGCAAGGTGCGGTTCAGGACGAGTTCAGAAGAGGTGAGAGAAGGAAACGGTTCTGGGAAATCGATGTCAGAGTCATCACGTTCAAGGGCATCCCCCCGATCAATGAGCAGTCTTTGTTTGCATTCTGCGGAGGTGCTGCAGCTAAGACGTGATATGTATCGGTGTTTGGTGGTGTTGCTGACCAATTCGGCCTGCGGATTGGACGTGAAGGCGCGGAATGAACAACGTCAAGCCCCAAACGTATGACGCCATTTATGCTTAGAATTGGTAGAAGTTTCTACGGGGGGGCACGGAAATGTTGTCGTCCGCTTCATCGTTTACCCGTCTCCTAAACTTGCGCAATCCCACGATCTGTCACGGAAGACTGTAAATCGCTACCCACATATACGTCCGAATAATTGCAAATTGCCGCCGAGGGATATCTTTGAATGACACAAGCAAAAATAACGAAATTGGCATGCCTCGGCCGAATCAGGATGCAGCCATCTAAAATCTACTCCATTTGCTCCTCTTTCGAATCTGCTCGCCGTATGTGAAGAAGAAAAATGGCACGGGGATTAACCCCACGGCAAAGAAAGCGAAAATACTGGTACCCCATGGTATGCCGACATTATGGTACAGAGGAGACACCACAAGGGGGAACCTAGGACGCAATCAGCCAAACACCAAGTCAACTAATGATCAGGGATGACTTACGCTCCCGCAAAACATGATCGAAGAAATGCTGCTAGTCATCAGGAACCACTGCACACATCCGCCAGTTGGGGACTTACTGTTGGCGGCCACGGCACTGGCCGCATACCGCTGAAAGGTATCGACCAGGTAATTTAACGCCGCTTGGAAGATCGTGAAAAATCCGAGACCGGCCATGGTTAGGCCGATGATGGGGGCAATCCACGGATATCTGTCGAGGTTGGTGAGCCTTTCTGACCCTACATTCGTCGGGGCCGAAACTTCACAAACTCACCTTGGATGCGCCGTCCATCCGGTTACGAACAAACCTAGTGGAGAATGAGTCGTCGGTTTAATCCACGAAGAGGGCCACATTTACCAGAACTGAACAGAACCGAGCCCAACATCATAGGCGGTAGACGCAATTCCGGGACCACTTTCCCTTCAGATTTGCGGTTGTAGACGGTTTGGTTGTAGATGTTGATGCCGGCACCACACATGGCACCAACCATAAGCGCTAGGAAAGGTAGCTCTGAAGGAACGGGTTTCCAGTGACGGTGCTCAGCAAAGATGATGGGAATAGCACCTGTAAAGATCAGTCATGAGCCAGATCCGGGAAAAAAGAGAGAGAGAGAGTAAATTCACCAAGTTGCATGTAGAGGATGCCATAACAGAAGCTGGCGTACAGTGCCATCAAAAAACAGATCGGCGTCAGCAGCAGCTGGAAAGGTCGAACCAAAAACTAAAAGATGTGAGGATATACGTAGCGCGCCAATGCCTCGACGGTCATCTCACCTTGCTGGCCAATTCCTTGACGGACACATCCCACTCCTCAAATTTGGCATGCAAGGCCCAGTTGCCACTTTGGTGACGCAGACGTCGTGCTTTGTACACCAACAATCTTGGTGGATATGACTCATCCAAGAAAATCAGGTCGAGAACCAGAATAAGCAGCTGAATGATTCCGGTGAGGTATTCGGTCCATCTCCATCGTAAGCCCGGTTGGACAACGAGAGCCGCGCCCACGATGGGCCCAAAAACCGGGCCGATCACCACCGCCATGGCATATGTGGCAATCGCGATACCTCTCTCAGATGAAGAAAACAAATCACTAAGGACGCCGCCGGTGTTTGTCACTGGAGCCGAAGCAAAGAATCTGGTGGCCATAGTCAGCAAAGGCAACTGGGAGACAAAGAGGAAGGCCACGACTCGGGCTTACCCAGCAAAAAATCTCGTGATCATGATGGTCTGAATGTCTTTGGCCGCTCCAGTGCCGAAAGAAAAGCAGGCTGCGACAAACATTGGGGGCAACACGGCATTCTGAGCGAGGGTCAGTCTCGTTCAACGGAGGTCAAATTCTTTGGGCTCGTCTTCACATACTTTCCTGCCATAGACCTCTGATAATGGCGCCCAGAGCAGCGGTCCAACGCCAAAGCCAAACAAGAACAAGGACGTGCCCAAGGTCGATACTTGGGTACCGACATTAAACTCTTCCGCAACTTGGAGGGTACCCGGGCTGTAGGCGCTGCTGGCCCATGTTGCGCTCATGGTAGTGAAGCCATAAAGTGCGGTAGCAATGACCTTCTTCTTCATCTCCCAATTTACCGGTCGGTATGGGTCATCAGGTCCGTCGAAATCGACCAGGTCGTCAACGGTGGTCTTCTGGTGCTCGAGAGGATGGTTAAATTGGCCAATGGGCGGTCGTGACCTGATCCGCGACAATATGGTTTCTCGTCGTGTTACTGTCCGACTCAGATCTGGAGATCGACCGGTTGCGAAGGAGCTCCCTCCATTTCGTGTGGACTTTTCGCCTTCGGACACCTCTGGGAGATCTCCGAGGTCTCCATATTCGGAATTTGTCGTTTCGCGGGAAAGCGTCCTAGAACCCAAGGTCTCTATCGGTGATAAATTCTGACTTCGCGATTGTCCAGACTCCATTTTTGTTTGCACTTGCAGAACACATCGACTCCATCGGAAAGAGACACCTGGGTGTTTTTATTCCATTCGACCTTAGAGCCGATGTCGCCGAGCCAGGGCGAAGCCGGAAGGCGTCGAGATAACGAGCTGGGGACAGGCTCGAATGGGGTTGCCCAATCTGCGCGGTTGTCTGTGCCGTTTCTCCCGGCCAAACATCCGGACACGCAATCCATCATGCTGGCCCCTGAAAGTTTTCGGCCTTGCGGGATTTTCCACGCCCAAGTTTTTCCTCAGCTGTGATCTTTTTAAGACCGAGTACGACAGCATCAGCTCGGACTTTGTCTCTTAGGACCTTGAACCTCCCTGACCTCCCTGACCTCTCTAACCGATATTCGGCGCAACGTATATGAACCTCTACATCGGATGCGAGATTGGCGGTGGATGTTTATGTTTTGCGGAGCCATACGCCTTGCTAATCTGAGTGTGCGCAAGCTTTATCAGTTCTCAGCAACTTCTGCACCTGCGCCTCCTCGTGCACGACTTTTAGCCGAAATGACAATGTCAGCAAGGCAACAAGCGGTAGATTCAGGTTTAACGTCAAAACTGTTGCGGCTTGAGTCAATCACATCGTCATGAAACGGCTGCAAGGGCACCTGGAATTTGAAGGTTTACGAAACTCAAAAATGGACACCCTCTCTCAGGATTTTCGAGCGTCTATCAAGGATGGCGCCCCAAAAGGTAAGTTTGAGAGACGATTCATTCACAAACGGATTTCAAAGCAAGCACATGAGAGACAATGGGCATTATGGCATCGAGTTTTTGTTGACGAGTCAGATCGGCCTGCCTTATGCTCTGTCGTGCCATCCCCGGAATGGGAGTCCTGCGTAGCAACTCTGCTTGCCCGCAGGAAAGGTTGCCCCGAAACAAAGACATACTGACTGAACCGAGGTCCGTAAGGTTGGTTCCGATAAGTAAATCGTTACCTCTCTCCGCCATTTTATGCTCCCAAGCCTCGCTTCCTATTTTGCGGGGTTCTGGATATGTGGGGAGGAGCGATTCTCCTCCAGGTTTGGCCTTTTGGCTCTCTTCAGGTACCGATATTTGTGGGACGAATCATGGCAAAAGCGGGCGTCCGTTCTACAACCGACGCATTTGGAGTAGCTTCATATTGGTCCGGTTTGTTAGCGCCTATACAAACCTCCTCAAGCAGGGCGGCGGTGACATAGCTAAGACCTTTTAGGTACTACGCTTTACGACACTATGTCGTAATTGTCGACTTTGTACTACCGAGCACGGTAGAAGGACCAAGAATGCCGATGTTTGCCCCGCAAACGCCAGCATCGATGCCTGGGGGTATGTATATATACATGCCGACGAAAAAGGCCCAGGTATCGACGAGATTGGATGTTTTCTGTGTCTTCGGCACGAATAGAAGTCATTGTTTAGGGCTGACAAGGGCAAAAAGAGAGTCTTCTGGATACGACACACTCGCTTAACCAACCATGAGAACCTCACACTGGGTCGCTGTTGAAATTGCCAGCCTCGTCGGCTTTGGCACGGCACATCCAGCGAGTTTGGTCACTGGCCTAGCTACGCCCAAGATTGACACGCATGCACACGTCTATCCAGACTTCTACCGAGAGGCCGTGATTGAAGCTGGTTGGGTCCCAGGCCCTGACGGCAATCCTGCTCCGCCCGTAAGTCCTACCATTTCCCTCTCTCCGTCTCTCGGCTGCGACATTTATATTCGGCTGGCATAGGCCTGGAACGTCTCAATGCACCTAGCATTCATGGAAACCAACAACGTAGAAAAAAGCATCGTCAGCTGCTCTAGTCCCGGGACTAATCTCTACCCCAACGATACGACAGCGGGAATTGCCTTGACGAAAAGATTCAACGACTTCACCGCCGGCCTGAAACATCAATATCCAGATAAATACGGCTTTTTCGCCTCCCTGCCACTGCCCGACATTGAAGCCACGCTGGAAGAAATTGATCGAGCCCTCGACGTTCTCAACGCCGATGGTTTCGTATTCCTCTCCAATTTCGCCGGTCTATATCACGGGGACCCCAAGCTCAAGCCCGTCTACGACAAGCTCAATGCTAGAAAAGCTGTCATCTTTATCCACCCGACAATCCCATGTCCGGCAAGTACTCCCAAAGCCGTCGTGGGGACGGAACGTCTCGACTACGTCGCACCGCTGATGGGCGCATATCACGCGCCGACACTGGAATTCATCTTCGACACGACGCGCACTGTTTCCGACATCATCATGACCGGTACAGCCACGACATACACGAATCTGAAATGGATCATTCCCCACTGCGGCTCGGCGATCCCTTCTGTTCTCGACCGCTTTGTGCGCATCGCCTCTTTGCTGGGCGCAAAAGTGGGCTCCGACCGCACATCGGTGCCCTTTAGCGTCGCTAACGCGACGGCGCTGCTGCAGAAGCAGTTCTGGTTTGATCTCGCTGGGTTTGCGATGGGAAATCAGATATACGATATGAAACGATTGTTCGGGCCAGAGAAGTTCCTTTACGGGAGCGACGTGCCGTTTACAGCGCCGGCAGGGGCTGTTGAGCTTACCGACGAGATGAACACGACGTTGCCAGAGTTGTTTAGTGATGGTGAAATTAGTGCTATTTACCGAGGGAATGCGGTTGGATTGTTAGGACTGTGAACAAGGAAAGGTCGTCAGTGTTATTGTCAGGGCGGCAGGCTTATATGCTGCTCGTCTCACCCCATCATCGCTTGACTCCTCAAGCGATCGAGTCGATATCATATAGGACTGTCAATTCCATCAATTCCCTATTGAATCACGCTTGCCCCTTCTGTTTCTTGGCATTCCTGGATAGTTATGATGATTTGATGGGGGAGGGGGAAGGGATACATCAGTTCTTGTAAATAGTCAAGTTTCAGGAAATGATGCGTCTTCCAAGACAGAAATCTCCATTTCAGAGTCGCTGCCTCAGAGACGAAGGAATTTCCAATATCAAAAGATGAAGAAAGTCTACCGAAAAGGAATCACTCTGCCTTTCAAATTGAAAACCCGCAAGGGGCACCTATCCGTTTGATCTGGAGCATGAGGGCTGGCATCAACAATAGTGGTGGCCCTCTTTTTCCCTCACTCTCTGGAGTCCTCCTAAGCAAGTTCATAAGACGATGAACATGCGGTCAATACCAATGATAGTGAGAGCTCAATACCCTTCGGACATGCTCCTTCTGTATGATCCCACAGAGAGATAGGTTGGATTGTTTGTATTGTTGTTATACGATGCCTTTTGCATTGTATTTGTGCGTAGCCTGCTATCATTATTGGCACCAAACCGAAGGCTATTTGTCTGATCTTCAAGAGGTGTGTGTGGAGCCCTTACTCAGAGCTAGCTATTCTCAGAGCCTATAGGGAGGTTGCTTGAAAACGTCCAGGGCTCAGGAAGAGGGCTTCTAAAATGTATGGATGTTGAACAGTAGCTAGCGCCCCGCTATTTGGAAAGGGAGTACCATTCCTATTCAGGATATAGGGGTAGGAGTAGAAAAGGGATCAACCAAACGTGTATATACTGGCAATCTGGCAGGATCAGTTGCCAAACAGACAGAGTACTCAACAACAATCAATGTACACTCACTGACTGTTTGAAAATGAATTTCGGAATCCTAAGTCCATCTTCGGAACGTCTTGCCATAGAAGACCAGAAGCATCATTCCCAATGAGGGTGAATCCAACAATCATGGCCATAATGAGCATGAAAGGCTTGGTGAATCCGGATTTGCCTACCCAGCCATTGGTGAAGTATGTCATTCCGAACCAATACCAAGGTTAGGAGGAAGGGAAGGTAGAGGGACAATTTGGGACTTCTCACACCGAATGTATTTCTTATCAAGGTCGCGGTGACCACCATTTGAGCAGAGATGGACTTGTAGCTGTCGATTGCGTATTGATGAGAGATTACTTATGGGCTTAAGACAAGATGTGGGGGAGTACACGGTTATTGTAATTGTGGAACTGCTCACACTGAGTACACCATCTAATTATCTTCAATTTAGTTGTCAGTTCCATTAGCACCGCCATCCGTGTTGCTGTCACCGTTATCACCAATATCATCTCCACCATCGTTGTCTTATCTGGCTGGTCAAGGAACTGGTAAGATAAGGGGAGGAAAGGGGAATTGTCGAAGAAGTCCGTCAAGGCCAGCAATCCAAGTTCGGGATGCGATGCCCGCATCAATATTTGAATTGATTTTGGGGGTAGCTGGACAACGCTGTATCCATGTCTTGACGCTAGAAGCTTCGTATCCTGGATGACAAGCCGCTGTAGCCTTCATTCTGTTACCAGGCCTCTTGACTGTCTCATACAACTTGCGCGCTGCCTCCTGCTCCGAGTGAGGCCGCTTCTTTGGACAATAAATAAAAGGGTCAACATTCAGCACTCGACTTGTCACTACTGGGGCTGTTGATACAATGAGGCGGTCGATACCTACCTAGGTATTATTCTAGTTGTCACTGCAATACAAGAAGTTCAGGTTTCAATCCGCTTCATTGTGTAACAGAGCTCCAAGAATTGCGGCAAATCTGCGAGCTATCTCCCAATGCCCAATTCGTCTCAAAAGGTCGGTAAGACCGCAAAGGGCGGCATTGATCTCTGTGGTTGTGGGCCGACCATGCTTGTAGCCGTTCGCTTGGAAGAGTAACAAAGCGGCCTTGACACCGAGGAGCTTGAACTCTGGGAAATCCAGACCGTCCGGTGTCAGCGCCCTTTGTCCATCCATCCCAAACCGAGTGTAACAGAACCAGGCAATACCTGCTCTAAACATCGCTCGAGGAACATGGATTGCGGGTTCAAACCCAAGAGGCAAATTCTCCAATTTCTTCTGAACGATCGTCCCATGTATCACACACCGTTTCGCTTGATCCGAATTGGCCCAAGTGGTGACTGCCATCTGGTCTTCTGTTGAAAGATCGGAACCCTCACGACCAATCGCTCTTTCCAACAAATCGAAATCAGCCAGCATGGACATATATGCCAGGTGCCACAGAATGCTCATGTCCATGTGGTCTGGCTCCCAAGGGCCTGCTCCCTGCAAGAAACGCTCATAGAAGGTCATCAAGAGGCTTGATATATTTTCCATCGACGTCGACGCGGATCGAGCGCTGATTCTGTTCTCCACAATATTGACACAAATACCTTCTAAGACTGTGTAGGCCGTAAAATAGCTGGTACTCGGCATGGCAAGAATGTCGAAATCGACATTTGCGTCAATCGACGCAGGAGTTAGGTCGTCGCCTTCGAAATTGCTGGGATCGTTGAGATACGAGACACGCCATTCTTCAGGTCGTGCTGCCATGAATGTCTGACTGGAGGCCGCAACGGGTAGCTGCCTGGAGTTATGACGCAGAAATGGTTCATGATGGAAGATGCTGGCCAGTTCGGCGTCATGGATGTGTACACTTAGCGCTATCCGGATGAGCTCTTCGTTTTTGGCCCAAGCTCTCCATTTTTGGTCCAATTCTTCTGGAGAAACATTGAGGTTGAGTCCTCTCATCTGTTTGGTCTTGAAGGTCGATAAACGGCGCGCCCAGGAAATCAAAGTCCCATTAAATGCGTCGACGATGGCCAGATGTCTCGGCTCTCCGGACAGAAGCCCGAAGGTTTGGCCAATGATTGCTGTTTGAATGAGGGATATTTTTTCGTCGGACCCTCGAGAGATCAGTCGGTCCCAATTTGCCAGCACAGCCTTATGGAGTCGTTCAAAGATTCGGACGCCCTGTCGTATGGCATGAACGGATCCGGTGAACAGGCTGCCCACAGAACAGATAGACAACAGAACCATGGAATTGGCCTTGGAGGGTCGGAATGTGGGTGCATGTACCACTGGAAATACGGGGTGGAAGCGCGCAAAGTATGATCGGACACAGAGATTCAAGAAGTCAGCTGAAGGGAGAGTTTCCTGTGTCGAGCGAATCTGTAGACTTTGATGCAATGTTTGTCGGTACGAGTCGTCCACTTCTACCTGAGACGCTGGTGGCGTTGCTGGTCCAGAGGGTGGAATTTCATCTTTGTCATCATGACCGGGAATAAACCAAAGACGCTTCATGTTGGAGTCTGGTTTGTAGCCAAACGTGGTGCATGGACTTTCTGGCCAGCCCGGTCTTAGTTCGGCCATGGAGGTGACTAGAGGGGTATCCAGAATCCCAGCATGAAGATCTCCGTCGACCAGCCACGAAGGAAATTGTGATTCAAAGTCAAAGTTGAGAGCGTCTATTGAGGTGTCGAAGTGGCTTACTACCTGATTGGAAGCGAATGTGTTCGCATAGACGCCCTTGGGGGCGTTCGAGTCATTCTCAATACCTTGGAATGCCGCCTCCCCTTCGGGGGCGTACCCCAGAGCGGTAACATCCAAGGTTGACCCAATGTTGGGATCCATGGTCAATTCTTGCGCCGGAGGTGAAGGGACGGTCTCACACATGGGGGGGGGAAGAGATTTCTGTGGATTGTCTGATTCTGCTGATACACTCGAACGACTTTTTCTTCGTTCAGTCGCCGTGACCGAAGCGTTCTCTGAATGGTCTTTCTGATGTCGCAATAGAGTGTCGCTGTGACCATCATTAATACGAAGTCGTGGGTGGACAACAAATACTCACTGTCGCCCATATTTTCGTCCACAGATAGAACAATTAAAGGGCTTCTCTTTGGTATGGGACCTGATATGTCTCTCTAGATGGTCTGTTTTGGCGAATGTTCTTCCACAGGTCGGGCATTGGCGGATTTTGCTCGCACGTCGCCCACGAGGACCATCCTTGGAAACTGGTGTTGCTGACAGGTCAGGCATCACCCAACATCAGACTGGCAGATTGGCAGCGACATGAGATAATGTGGCCTGACACTTTGTCTTGCACAAAGTATTATAGTCTGAGGAGGATATCGGCGAGGAGGTAGTGTGGGGAAGGAGAGAAAAGCGGACAGATCATGGATGGAAAAACTGGGGGAGCCGGGGGCTGAGCTTGCTGGGGTTCTCCGGGCGAACTGACTACTTTTGCCCTAGGCGCCACTAAGTTCCTAAGTCATCGAAAAAGCCAGGGGGTGATTCTCAGCCGGTCATCCCGTCTGAGGACTCATCAACGAACCATCGACGCTGGTTTGAAAGTTGGTCAAATGACTGGCTTCATACCCTAAGGCATATCATGGCCCGGCCAAAAGCTGATTTGAAGTTGAAACCATGGACCGTGAGATGCGGGAAGAAGTAGCACACGGTGAGTTGATGGTCAGAACAGAGGCTGTCACTTTCAGAAGGCGTTATTATCTGATACCATGGCCGGAAAGGAACAGCCTGCCACCTATTATACATTGTTTGAACAGCTCAGGGGGACTCTCTCGCAGAAAGACAAATACTGCCCGGTGAGGGTTCTCCCCCCCCCAAAAAAGTTCACGATCCCTTCGCCGGATTTTAGATGACCAAGTCCAAATCTGTGACAGGCGTCACACGCCGCTTCTTGAACGGCTCCCATTGACATCTTCAAACGATTCTCCCGTGTTGAAATTCTCCTTGCGAGGCGAGCCATATGGTGATCGAGGTCTTTCAAATGTGGGACGTCCAATATGTGGGACGTCCCACATCGAGATCCTCAGAAGGAAGACTTCAGTGTTATCCAGTCGAATCCAAAAAATCCCGGGGTTGTCGGCGACAGCACGGCATGCCCTTGAGCCGTGGGCCAAGATTGAATTGTCTAGACCCAGAGGCACGGGAATTATATTGATCTCGCCTCCCGCCATGGACATGGCATAGGGAACATTCAGCTTCGATACACTCGTCGATCTGGATTCTCTATACTCGTCCCCCATGGCCCAAACAAATCCATCCCCGGTTGAAGAAACGGGCGTCATAATATGTGGTGGTGGTCCGACAGGCGTGGTGCTTTCGGCACTATTGGGGGCATTGAAGGTGCCAAACATCGTGCTGGAAAAAGAGAAAGATATTACCACCGACCCGAGAGGGATTGCATTGGACGAAGATGGCATTAGAATACTTCAATCCATTGGAATCTATGATAAGATATACACTCAAATCGGTTCATGTGAGTATGGTCCCCTCTCCATCCACTCCCGATTGCTGATTCAGGACCCAAGGCATGGAGATATTCAATTTTGTCACCGGAACGGGGTCAGATTTGTACAAAAAGCCGATGGTTGCCATGCACTACAAAACCACCGAAGGAGGCACGGGGCACGTTGGTTTCATTTGTCACAAACAGCCAGCGATGGAAAAGGCCATCCGAGATCAAATTGAGAAAACGCCCCTGTCCGAAATTCGCACCGAGTGCACGGTAACAGGAGTGAGTGAGGATTGCGACATGGCCTATGTGGAATACACCAATTCCCGAGGAGAAACCAAGAGACTGAAGGCCCCGTTTCTGGTTGGAGCGGATGGGAAGACGGGTTATGTTCGGAAAAGATATCTTGAACCCAAGGGCATCGTCATGGAACGGTGTAAAGAGTGAGTGTCCCCACCATCATCATTTGGAGATCTCATTGTGCTGAGCAGCCATCAGGTCGACCTACGAGGAAACATGGGTGGCATTGAATTGGCACATTTCATTGCCGACCGAAAAAACCCACCCAAACTTTCCTCTCTGGCGACTCGGGTACACGCCGCAGGATGTATACGATCTATTCTTCCCCAAAGAGTTCCGGTTTCTGTGCAACCCCAAAAGACCCTCAGTGTGTGGGCGCTTTGGTCTTCCTTCCGATCGGTTGTGGAGATTTGAGTTCGTCGTACAAAAGGATGAAGATGGCCATAAAATGGCCACTCCAGAGGAGACGCGCAAAATTATCTATCCGTATCTGACGCATCCGGGAAGCCGGTATGGGGTCGATTATCCCGTGAGATATCCTGAAGATTGCATCAAGACACTCCGGTCCCGTCCTTTCTCATTTGTGGCCCGAAGTTGCAACAAATGGGCGTTGGGAAGAGTCGTTCTGGCCGGTGATGCGGCTCATGTCTTTCCTCCGTTTGGTACGTGCGAACATATTTCATGAGATGCATGAAAGAGTCTAATGTTGCATATAGGCGGCCAAGGAATTGCGTCAGGCTTTCGAGATGCATCCGCACTGGCATGGCGCTTGGCGCTGTTACATCGCAACCCCATTTTGAATCACGAAAACATACTCACAGCTTGGTATATGGAGCGCAAACAACAACTGGAAAGATCCCTGGCTGCCACGATCACAAATGGGGAGTATGTGACGGAATCTGACCCGATCAAAGTCTTTATTCGAGACTGGTACATGTGGGCGATCCAACTCATTCCGAGCTGGAGACGAGAAATTCAAAAAGGAGCTCGCGCCGAAGGTATGACGAGATATCGACACAGCAAAGGGATGCCATTTGTTCCAGAAATGGGAGGTGGCTTGCTTCTACCACAAGTGTATGCGTATACGTTCAAGACGAACCGTGTCTCCTTCACGGACGATCTCATTTTCTCGGTGGACAAGACGGGTCTCTTCCAACTTTTGATTTTGCCGGACAGTTTGGACGACATTGGCGCTTTCACGGACGGTCTGAAAGACATCGATGCGATTTCACACAATCTCCTACGGTCTGACGAAGCCACGGTGTTGGTTCAATCTTCCAAAACCTCCTCTCTGCTGGCTCATCGGAATAAGGCTGCTCGTATAGCGACGGCGGAAGAATTTGCGGCGGACCCGGTTCTGTGCAAGAACCGACCACCACCAATCGGCTATGACGAGCGGCGAATTCGAAAGGAGGTCCAGGGTAAGAAATTTTTGATTTTGAGGCATGATCGCTTTGTTTTTGCGGCCTGCAATACGCTTTCGGAGCTCAAGGACGCTGCGAGACGACTTGTGACAGCTCTCGAGATGTAAGCTTAGACTCAAGCCTACGTATTAATTGAACGCTGTATGTGGTTCTGTGGCAAGGCATAAGGCAGCAATTCTTACCGGACTTGAACCGGGATGTCACCTTTGCGTGCGAATCTCTGTCGAGGGGTCCTGGCCAAAAAATGTCTTGAAAAGGCAAGGACCAGATACCCGAAAGTAAAAATGAGCGGTGTATCCTGTCAGCGCACATGAAACCGCTGCATCCGCCACGATTTGAGCCGAATTCGGCAATCGTGTTCACGCCAGAGTCCAATCAGGGAGGGCTGCTCGGCTCAGCCCGGTATCGCAAGCCAGTGACAATATTATACATATACTAGTCGTTTGGCCAGCCAGCTGCGAGCTTGGAGCCTTGTCCACCCTATCAATCTACTACGACGGTCGTATTCATCCAACGTTGGAAACCGGACTTTCGTGTTGCGGCTCAGCTGGCCTGACCCGCTTAAACCATCTTTTAATCTCCACATCCCATGTACAGCGGCGACTCGCTCCGAGTTCTGATGACCGTAACCCATATATGGTGAACCCCACTCAAATTCAAGATGCCGTTTCTCTCCCTACCTCTCGAAGTCCGCCTTCAGATCTGGGCCTACATAGTCCAACCGACACTGGAATACCCTTGCGACTGTGCCCGGAAGGGCGTCCCGTGTCAGTCCCCCCCTCTGGGAATCTGCTGTCACGACGTCTCGACATACCAGCATTGCGACAATCGAATTCTGCGAGTTAGTCGTCAAATCTTCGATGAAGTCCAGCCGATCGTGCAAAAAGCGGAGATAGACCGAGTCTTTGTGCTGTGCAACAGTTTATGCTTGGATAATTTCTTCAAAACTCTGAATGAACGGGATTGGAAGTGGGTGAAACATCTCCGGATGGATCTGTTCGTGGGTTATGGGGATGACAATCAGGACGATTGGTTTCTGTGCCAGAGTCAAAGATGGGCGAAAAGATATGTTGCTGGCGCTCTCGATCGGTATATCCAGGGAAGGGATACGGTGGTCCAGCCGGCATTGAATGTGAAGGAAGATTCGGATGGAAGGAGGACCTTGACGGTGGACATCTTCCTTGCCTGACCATTCCGGGAGTCCTAAAGTTTCAGGCCACCCCAACAGATTTGTTCTTGACGGACCTGGAGATGCCTGAAAACTATGACTCAGCAGAAAGAAGGAGAAACATGGGAATCAGGCCAGACCACGTGACGAGGATTTATCTTATCGTCCGCAAGTCAGCCCCCTTCATTGCGTGGTTGAACCAAAAGGAACGTTGCCACCTTGTGCTCTCCTGGCTACCATTTGACGATAGTCGAACGAATCCTTCCTCGTCCAAGGTTCAAGTCTGCTACGCCATCTCAGATGTCACATACCGGCGGAACATACCCAATGTGGGCTTGCCTATACTCTACCTCTTCACACAAGGCCAAGATTTAGGCCCATTCTTCAGTCACAAAGATGAGAAGGATTCAGCACCACTTCAAAATGGTAACGCCAAAGTATTACCAGGAATCTCCCGCTATACTCCTCCCACGGTGGATTCTGCGTGGAAATAATACCACATAACTACATATAAAGCTGATCAAGCTATTGTTGGTATCAGCTCTTGCAATCGAGTCTACGCGTAACCTTCAGGCAACATGTCTGCGATAGACAGGCAATTCCCACCCATCCACACCGAAAGACTAACCCTCAGAGCATTTGACCCTTCGCGACCTTCCGACTACGACGCTGTCCTTAAAGTGTACAATTCTCAATACATGCGCAAAGCCGTGGGCGATGTAGGTGTGCATACCCGTGAGGACCTGGACGTGCGATGCCGAAAATTTGGACTTCATTCCAAAAGCTCCGAGAGCGATGCGAAGCCTCTCCCCTCTCATCCGGTCCATCTCATCTACCTCCGTTCTACCAATACCTTCATCGGAGTGACCAGTCTCTTCCATCGTCGGCCCCTGCCGTACCCGGACATCGGCTATGCCATCTTCGAGGAGTACGCAGGACACGGCTTTGCAACCGAAGCAGGCAAAGCCGCTGTCCAATGGTGGAATGAAGAGATGGGCGTGGAGAATATTTGGGTTGGCACCTTCGACACCAACATTCGGAGCCAGAGGGTTGCGAAGAAGATGGGCTTGATCGATGGCGGAACCATCACTGTCATGATGCCGAATAATATAGTGAAAGCCGGCTATGCGTTTGTCCCGCCTAGTATGGGAAGACGTTTGGATGGAGTCATGGTGGATGTTTCCCAGACATCTGAATGAGGTCGCAATCCACTGTGGGTTGATTGGTCAACTCGATTCAGCTTCCTCCGCAGAAAGATATGTAACGACGTATCTGAACTACGATCGCCTGTTGTCGTCCAGGTCGACACATTCAGCATATTGATTTTGTTGAGAGCAGCCTTCGATTTTGATTTCGATTTCGGTCTCGCACGTTGGACGAATATTCACGAGTATGACGGACTTAAAAAAGAGGGGGGAGCACTCAGTCAACCTGGCCATTTGTTACCCGATTCAATAGGCAGTCACTCAGGGTCTGATCCGGCGTCTTTGCTTGAACGGCCTATTCCTGCATCTAGACATAGAATATATCCAGTACTGAATCAATCTGTTATGACAGTATATGTAATTGTATATGTGAAAACTCTATCTAACCATACTCATATCATCCTCACTTTCTTCATCATCTCATATCCATTCCACTTAACACACTCCAGTCTTCTCGCCCTCATCGCAGCCAGGAAATATCTTCCATTCCACTGATACACATTTGCATCGGTCTGTCTGCGATTCTTCTTCTCTCGAGAGATGTGCATCACACGTGGAATTGCGCTTTATACCTCGTCTCAAGCGCGGCCTTTAGTGCATCGCACGTCTGCTTGGCATCACCAAACAACATCTTCGTACCGGGCATGTAGAACATTGGGTTCGGGACGTCGGCTGAACATTTTCCATAAATCAGCAGCCAGACGGAATCGAGCGGGAAGGCATATGACGATACGAGGGGGATACAACGAGATTAAGGTGGTAAGAGGACACAAAAGAGGAGATAGGAAAGCGAGTATTTAACTTACCGTATCCACTACTCATCCCTCTCTTCATGACAATAACGCCCTTACTCTTCCACGCATGCAACACGGGCATTCCGGCAATCGGACTGCCCGGCTCCAACGCAATCGGATTCACCGTATCATTCGCACCGATGACCAGCGTGAGATCCGTCTCGGGGAAGTCGTCGTTGATTTCATCCATCTCGAGCACAATATCGTACGGTACCGACGCCTCGGCCAGTAGCACGTTACACTGGCCCGGCATGCGGCCGGCGACCGGGTGGATGGCGAAACGGACGTTGACGCCTTTGGAGCGCAGCAGGGCCGTCATTTCGGCGATTGCGTATTGTGCTTTGGCGACAGCCATGCCGTAGCCGACCACCTAGAATAAAATTAGCATAGACCAAAAAAGAGGAGAATGGTAGAGGGACGGACAATAATCACACTCTCTGCGCTGGCCAGAGCTTCGACGGTTTCTTCGACAGTGGTCTTCGTTACTTGGCCTTTGATTTCTTGGTTTGTTTGGGCGATGGGGGCGATGCCGCCGAATAGAACGTTAGTTAGGGAGCGGTTCATTGCCACGCACTGGGAAAAGATCGCACATTAGCTTCTCTTCTGCAATTTTCCAAGAAAAGAGACGAGAAAAATTGGTAGCAGAGAGAAATGAGACCCGACGAACCATGATATACGACAAGATCGAACCGCTGACACCGATTAGTGATCCAACGGTTAGTAGTAACGGGTTGTCGAGCATGAATCCCTCTGCGACGAGGGCGAAGCCAGAGTAGGCGTTCAGCACCGTGATAACGACAGCTATATGCGCGTCAGTCGAGTGGATTGATCCTGCATTGGCCACTGAATGGTAACGGGAGCAACATACGCATATCAGCACCCCCAATGGCTGCTGTGGTCGTATAGCCCTTGATGAAACTCAATGCAGTGTTGGCGGAAAGACACGCGGCCGCGATTCCAGGGGCTCCGGGCGCCAGGGTGACAAAGGCACCCATTGTACCGGCATTGGCGGCGAGGAGGGACGAGTTGACCAAATGTCGGCCAGGGAGTATTGTTGGGCGCGAGGACATTCTCCCCGCGAGTTTGAGGAAGGCGACGATTGAACCGGTGAATGTTATACCGCCTGTAATTGTGGTTAGTCCAACAGATGTATATAGAGAGAGAGAGAGAGATGGGGTCTATGGTACCGATGAGTACGCCCAGGTAGGCGGTGACCATGTGCAAAGTGGAAATCTCAGAGACATGAGCTAGGACGCTTCCAATACTGGTGAGGACGGCGGCCAGGCCAACGACCGAGTGTAAGGCTGCGACCGTCTGAGGCAATTCGGTGGGTGTGATTCGTCTTCCAATCAAAGCACCTCAAAAATGGATAGTCAGAGAGATAGACCAGGACCAAGTTAACAGGGACACCGGACGTACCAACAATACCACCAATTGCAGCGATACTTCCGAACTGCGTCAGTACTTCCGGAGAGAAACCAACTGCGGCAAGGGAGGCCAGGATGCCTGACAGAACACCGAGGATGCCCAGAAGATTTCCGGTTCTGGCGGTCGCTTGAGATGCTAGACCTTGAATCGATCCTGGAATACATTTTAGTGCTGGGCGTGGAGTAAAATGAGCAAATCCAACTTACCAATACACAGTATACTACTAACTAGATAGCCTGCCTGAACGAGCCCACCCATACCCGTGCTCGCAGCTGCAACAAAGCCAGCACCGAATAGAACTCCGGGGATGGCATAGAGCCATGGATATTCTGGGGGATCGGTGGGCCGCTTGAACATATCGAGCATTCGTTTTGTAATGACGAATCCTCCTGATACGTTCACAAAGGCCAGGAGAACTGACAATGCGCCCAGAACTTGAGGGAGTGTTTCAGGAAGGTATCCGCCGCCCATGATGAAAAATCCACCCACACCGACAATTCCAGATATGGCATTCGTGACACTCATCAGAGGTGAATGCAGAGCCGGTATCACACCCCAGACAGATCGGTAGCCAATCAAGCCTGCTAAACCTGCCGTGAACGCACTGCTCATAAAGAGAGGACTTGTGAATTTCCCGAGGGCCAGTGCGGCACCCATTCCTCCAGTCACGGCTGCGACGTGTCTGGTTTGTTTTTCCCAGGGTGTCAGCTCAATGGGCTTGGTTTCCTCGTGGTGGTGCTGAGTGGGCGCTGGAGGAGGAAGTGGGCGTGGTGCCGGAGGAATGACCTCGCCGTTGTGAGTGACGACCGCACCGCGGACGACCTCATCTTCCATATCGACGCCGAACGAGTTATCCTTCGGAGCCATCGACAGGAGAAACTTGGTGATGTTGTTGGAGTACAGGCTTGTCGACTGTGTGGGAAGTCGAGATGGAAAATCGGTGTATCCAATGACCGTCACGTGGCGGTGGACGATGACTTTGCCCGGGGCAGTGACTTCGCAATTCCCCCCACCTTCAGCCGCAAGGTCGACAATGACGGAGCCTGGTTTCATGGCGCTGACCATCTTCTCCGTGATCAGTTTGGGAGAAGGCTTGCCCGGAATCTGGGCGGTGGTGATGACAATATCAACCTCTTTGCACTGTTCCATGAACAATTTCATTTCCGCCTCGATGAATTCCGGCGACATTTCTTTGCTGTAGCCGCCTGCTCCGGAACCGTCTTCTTTGACGCTGACTTCGAGGAAATCGGCTCCTAGAGACTGAACTTGTTCTCGCGCCGCTGATCGCGTGTCAAAGCCTCGTACGATAGCGCCCAAGCGGCGTGCCGTGGTAATGGCGCTTAGTCCGGCAACGCCAGCGCCGATGACGAGAACTTTGGCGGGAGGAATCTTTCCAGCAGCGGTCACTTGACCAGTCAAAAATCGACCAAAATGATTGGACGCTTCCAAAACGGCCTTGTATCCGGCAATGTTGGCCATCGAACTCAGGGCATCAAACGCTTGTGCGCGAGAAATTCTCGGAATCATATCCATGGCAAAAGCGGTCACGCGACGCAAAGCGAGAGCTTCTACAAGATTCTTGTTTTGAGCTGGTTGTAAAAAGGAAATCATGGCGGCTCCCTCTCGGATCGAAGGTATTTCGGTCTCCAAGTTAGGTGGGCGGACCTTGAGAAGGATATTACTCTGGGACCAAACCGTTTGCCGATCCACCACGGTGGCGCCCACATGCTCGTAAACCTCATCGGAATATTCGGCTTCGGTGCCAGCACCGCGTTCAACCAGGACGCGAGAGAACCCTTTCTTCAAGAGCAGTGGGATGTTTTGTGGTGCGACGGCGACGCGTCGTTCCCCAGCACGTGTTTCGGCGGGGACACCAATGGTGAGTTCTGAATAAGGAATCGGGCTGGATGTCAAATCAGATTTGAATCGAGACCATATTGTTCCTGCCTTGGGAGGGACTCGTATGAGACCCGTGTGTTTGTTTGTCAGCGGAACACCGCCGCGAGCCAACGAGTGCACACGTCTCCTCGTGTCATGGCTTGGGCGCACACAACAGGAGAGGCGGCTTGGCTTGGGAACTGGTCAAAGGTTAGAACAAGGTAGATCTATGAATATCAGGAGGATATCGGCGTCGACAAGGTACCTAGATCGATGAAGCTGAAGCAGCTCTTGGGAGATAGTTTAACCGATAGGTGCGAAGACCAGGTTGTGAAAGAGGCGTGAGCCATTATGGGCTACGGGCGCTTCTGACCGCCAAACGACACGACAGGAACCTTGTAAATCGTGATTGGGAGCTGCAGATAACCGCAATGACCCGCATGTCAGGATTCACCGCGTGCTGAAATCGGGAACTCTATTGCATGACTCGAGTGGTAAGAAATAAAAAATTCAACGACCGAAGCTGATGAAAGCGACAAAAGCCTGTTTGGAGAGTAGAAGATGGGTCGACAACGTGGACCAACCCTCGATCCGGAGCGGGACTCCATGGCCTGTTTTTGAGGGAATAACCCGATGAGACTGCCGAGGGAGGGCACATGAAACAACAGTGTCATGAATCACCTCTCTGGCTTTGGTGTCCCTGTGCACAGAGGTGGTGTGCACGGTTGCATCGGTTCATCAGCCGTCGACGCCATCTCTCCAACGTGGGGGTGGAGCCGGTGTGGCTTGCGGGGTGGGAAATGTGGGAGAAGGGATGGCACAAAGTGAGCCTGCAATCAGGTATCGATGATCACCCTCAGCGAGGTGGTTTGGTAAAATTGACTATTGAGGGTAACGCACGGAAGCGCTGAAGAAGCACGGTAGAACCAGATCTGTCATGCACACGCATGGTGTATATATAACTCTCTTCTCCATCAGCCAACTGTATTACTGCATCTGACAGGGGGGCAGGATCCAATCCATCATCCTGGTTCTCCCTAATGAAATTGCAAAGCTATTCCGATCCATTATCGTTGAAAACGCGGACCAGGATGAAGATCGATATCAGCCAATAAATTTACTGAGCATCATTGGCCCGATTTCTGCATCCTCCATACTGTAATTCGGATTCTGGTCCCGTCGACAAGTCGACCAAACTACCGCATTATTTGGTCGTTACTCGGTCGGCCGGAATTAGGGGCTCTTGTATTCGTCGGGTGTCTTCATTGCACACATGCTTTATGAGGCCGAATTGGCAGATGTTGAACTCTCGTCTTGAGTGGAAAGTTCGTGATCCATGCCAGCAATCGGTTCCAAAAATCCTCGAAATGTGGTGTGGGCGATCTCCCAATCCTTCTCTAGGTCATCTTTGGCATCCTTGGGCTCGGCCGTCTCTTCGTTTTCGATACTTCCTGGCTTCTCCGTCAGATCGAGGGTCCATCTCATTCCATACCCCCGGCTATTTCTCATCTCATAAACGGCTACCCCATGATGCAGGAGCATGACATTCCTCCATACAGTCTGCGCCAACATATCCTCCAGTATTTGCCTCGCGATCTCTGTCTTATTTTCGTTACTTCCAGTCGGCCGAGTCCAGAACGGGTGTGGTCGGCCATGTTCAGAAGACGCTCCACCACGTTCAAAATGCTTGCAAAGGGCCACCGCACCTGCTGACATACGAGTTTGAGGTCGTGGAGGCGCGTTGAACGTTTCGCGTAGAACGTCGGTCGAAGGAGGTAGGAGAAAGAGCGTGCCTTTGGTTTTCACCAGACCGGCATCACGGTAGGCAGTTTCAGCTTCGGAGGGATGAGAGGACCAGGGAAGCTTCAAAGAAGTATACATCCTACTTTGTGGGAAGTTGCTGTCGATTCAGTTTCGAAATGTGAGGAGAGGGAGAGTGGTAATGGGAAAAAATGGTTGCGGCAAATTGGCCAAACGCCTCGCTTTGCCCATATGGCTGGCATCGTTGCCAGTCAACAGGTACAGAGTCTTTGAGTCACCTCGTGGTCTCTCTGGGCCTGTTGTAAACGAGTCAAAGGGGAGGAAATTGGCACTCTGGCCCTCGGACCCGGATTAATGAATTATCCGACGAGGCTCTCTTGGGGACAAGAGAACAACAGCGAGTGGGTCTGGAGCTGTCTAAGCACCAATGGGGCCTAGTTGGGCGAGCGTTTGTCCGGTGGATGGCTAGGTACCTAGAACCCCCCCAAAACCCTAGTAAAATCGCACAAATCGAGGTACCAAAACATCAAAATTGAGCCACTTACATACCTTTGGCATTTACGAGCTTCGCGATTTGTATAGACTTTCCTGGTGTTGTAGAGCCATTTTGAACCTTTTTGAACCCCACTGTCGCACTCATGTCCACTTCCTTCGTCGGCGACGTCTGGCGAGCCCCCCTTGGGTGCCGCGAACGCAAGAGGCCCTAACAACTAACGAGATTCTAGAGCGTCGAGAGCGTCAGGAAGAGCGACATCGACGTCAAAATGAGCTCTCTGACGAGCGAGGACAACAGGCTCAAAAGATGTCTACCTTCTAGATCGATCTGACCTTAAAACCCTCGACCGCAAGACCAACGACCCCTCCTCGCCTTGAAGCCACCTATGTGCCCGCAACTCCTCCGCCGCCGCCATCTCAAACCACTCCTCTCTCAACGCCTACCGATTCGCACTCCTGAAAGACGCCGTCCGCGTCGATTGCCCTCTCCTGGGCCTCGCCAACCGAGATTCCGGCGTCTACAGCACCTCCAGTACTAGCCGGAGGTCGAAGCAAGAGAGTGCGCACTCACACTGCGAGATACAACCAGGCAAAAGAGCAGGGATTCATTCAGGACTCACAAGAGGTTCACAGAGCGTCAGGAAGGCCCTGAAGGGGTCGGCAGCGAGGTCAAGAGGCGGCAGGAGGGCAACAGAGGCAACAGAGGCGACGGAGGTGACAACGAGGTCAGAAGGCAGGAGGGCGGGCTACACGGGCGGTAGAAAGGCTTCATAGACAACAGAGGGCAAAGGGCTCTGTCAAAAGAGATTTAACGACGTGGGAAAAGAAGCGCCAAAAAGAGCCAACTATGCGAGGGAGGGAAAGGTACCTGAAAACCCCCCATTTTACTAGGGATTTGAGGTACCTCGCCATCCACCGGACAACGCTCGCCCAACTAGGCCCCATTGGTGCTTAGACAGCTCCAGACCCACTCGCTGTTGTTCGAGGCGCCCCCAAGAGACGGGCTCATCGGCCTGGTTGTCTATACCCTCAGAGATCAGTGGTCTCGTCAGTCACATAGGTGTATGCCTGCTATTGATTTATGTTACGACCTTGTTCACAAATCAATCAACTTCCGAGGTCCATGAGGCTAATATGCAGCCAATACCTGCACCCTCCCCTCACCCATCAACTCGCGCAATATATGTTCTATAAATGCTGAAGCAGGGGACAAGATATTCTGCTCCAAGACTTGTCACTTTTATTTTTGATTGTATTGCTTCCTTCAGGAGAGAGCCCATTGCTGTTCAAGATGCTTCCCGATCCAATCAAGGTCAAGATCCCGACGTCCTACGAGACTGTGCCGGTCAAGGATGTCAAAGTATCACATTATCCCGAAGGAGCACCTGAAGCTACTCCTGTGGTAGTGGTGACTTTGAATCGTCCACAACAAGGCAATGCCTTTACTCTCCAGATGATGCATGACTTCGAATTGATCTACCCGATGTTTGACCTGGATGAGAGAGTCAAGTGTGTCGTCATTACTGGTGCCGGAAAGATATTTTGTGCCGGAGCGGATTTGGACATTGGATTCCCTAGCGGTGGAGACAGAGAGAGGATTGTGGATCATCGGGACAGGTCAAGTGTTTTCCTCCTCTGTCCGACTACTCGGTCTCACACTCCCTTGATAGTGGTGGTCGACTCAACCTCTGCATCTATCGATGTCGAAAACCGACCATTGTCGCTCTCAACGGATCAGCCGTCGGTCTTGGAATGACCTTGGGTCTTTCAGCCGCTATCAGAATTGCCCACGCTTCTTCCAAGTATGGCTTCGTCTTTGCCCGCCGTGGAATCACGATGGAATCGAATTCTTCCTTCTTCTTGCCAAGGCTCATTGGCTATTCAAATGCCCTCTACCTCCTCACCACCGGAGACGTATATCGCGGAGATTCGAAACATTTTGGAAGTTTGTTTCAAGAAGTGATCGAAGATCAAGCTGGCGTTCTGAAGAGGGCGTTGGAATTAGCCACAACCATTGTCGAAAAGACAAGTGCGCTCGCCGGATTCATGAATCGAGAGTTGATGTGGAGAGGCAAGCCTTCAGCCGAAGAGACCCATCTTTTAGATAGTGCTGTTCTTTATCACATGTTCGCCAACCGGTATGTTCGCGCATCCCGGATATGTGTGCTGACTATGTCCTAACGGCTGTAGTGATTGCCAGGAAGGTGTACAGAGCTTCCTCGAGAAACGACCGGCGAAATTTTCGGCAACTCTGGAGCAAGATGGGCCACCAATCTATCCGTGGTTCCAAGAGGTGGACACCGGATCAAGACCCCGCGTCGAGCCTTCTAGCAAGGCGAAGCTCTGAAAAGGCACGAGCTCGCTCCGAGGAAAAAGGAGAGCATATTCACTCTCGTTCGTCCGACGTCATAGTTTGGCCTTCGATTGCTGTTCACTCCATTTCTCCAGAGCTTCCTTCTCTCTGTCCATAGCATGTTTCTGCATTCTGTTCATAGCATCATTGACTTCGTGGTCGGCCAGCTTTGTCAATCGGTGCATTGGCACCTCCTTGAATCGTAGTGGTTTGGACAATGCCTCTGCCCAGACCGCCCGGCTGGATGTCGGTCCGGAGCCTTGGACTAGCCCAGAGCAAAATTTCGCCCACCGTACAAAGCAATCCCTACCCGCAGGAGAAGTGGGAAATATCATGGCAAAGCAATGTGGCATTCCTTCGTATCCCACAAAATCTACCACACCACCGCCCTGGTGCATCCTACGAGCGAGGACAGTGATTTCATCTTCCAGTCCTTCATTCCCCAAGCACATGAAAGCAGGTGGCATTCCCTTCCACAGCTCTGGAGGCGCGGCTAGGGGAGAGGCCAGAGGATGCACCATCATCGAGGCATTACAGAATATTTCTGCACGTGGAGGAGACGCTGGCCACGCCGCGTCCGGAATGGGCTCAGCTCTTGAAATACCCGTTGCACTGGGAGGATCCAGATAGTCGAAATGTGCGTTATTATTAATAGAGGGTTGAGAACGCGTGATATCCGTCCAGGGAGAATTCCCGGCAACACCAGCGGGGAGTTGGATGGGAACATCGACGCCATGAAACCTGATCCTGCCCTGGCCCATTCTTTGTAATGTCAAGAGAAGCTGCAACAATGCAATGGCAAGGTTTGCACCCGCAGATTCTCCTGCGAGCACGATATTTTGGGCCGGGACCGGCTCATGGAATGACCCTGGTGGGGGAGAAAGGAGGGACAGATAAGCTATCAGGGCGTCGAGTAGTTGGGCAGGAAAAGGAGCCTGTGGAGCCAGGCGATATCGGACGGCAAAAGCCCTGCCTCCGGTGATCTTTGTCAGTCGCGAAATGGGCTCTCGAACCGTGGCCGGATCCATCAAGAAGTATGCGCCGCCATGGAAATATAGGATTGTGACGGGCGACGATGTATGTTCCATTAGTCTTTGGTAGTGGTCTTGCTCCGATCTATCTGGCCTTGGTTCAGCGGAGGATATCCCACGGCCATAGCTAGTCCATTCGGCCTCGACTGCCGCATAATCAGGGAGAGTGTATGTTTCAGACCCGTCTCCCAGCTCTTTGATAGCACTGCAAACGGCGTCTCGAGGACCACTTTCATCATTGGGAGCGGGAATCGTAACCTTCGAAACCAATATGGGACCTTGAATTCCAGGATCCCGAGTGGAAACTCGTTGTAAGACGAGTACGGGCCTCCGGATACGAAGGATGGATCGGAGGAAAGCAACGGCAACTTCAGTGGTAAGATTTTGCTTGGAAGAATTCGGAGACAGAGATAGAGCATTGAAAAGAGCGGTTTTCAGAATCAGTGGCAGGCGAGGGAGGAGGAGTCTCACGGCAGCTCGAGGGGACAGGTCCATGGCGTAGGACGCGGAGCGATGGGAAATTCTAGATGCACAATTCTATTGGGACGCTGAAAGAGACAGGGGGGACAAAAATGAAAGACGTCAACTTTGGTATCAACACAATGAGTGCATTCTGGAGCTTGGGATCTTTTGGACGTCTGGAGGTGAACCCAAATGACAACGTCATAGACTCTGGCCTCGCGCTGTGTGATACTTTGTCTTGTTAGTGTGGTGGAGGGCAATCTGCCTCGGTAAAAATTCTCGCTCCCCAAAATTCCCTCATCAACTCACCAACTCTGGCCAGTGGTCGATGCGGAGAGAAACGGAGACCTGAGAAGACGAGCAATTAAATGAATCAATCACCGATTGACCGATTTTGATCGTTTCACATCCTCATGACTCCTACTTAGTGCGGTTCGGGACAATAAGACGACCCATCCCAAAACTTCAGCTCTGAACCCCCGGAAATACTCGTCCCAACACGGCTGGACCTTCTGCTTTCTCTCGCTTCTGCCTGGCTCCATGGCCATGGCAGATGGCTTTGTCAAGCGCTTTATACTCAATGAAGCAGGTCGGACGATACGAGCAAATTGCCTTACCAGGTTGGCACCTCTATTTTTGGCAGACACCCCGGCTCTATTTCAAAAAAGGACAACGCTCTGGAGGCTGGAAGAGTTAACCGGGTGCCTTATCCACATCAATACCATTCTGGCCCCCACAGGATAATTGGCTGTCATTCGAGGAAACGGCGTAACCCTGGACAGTTTGAACCACTGTCCAATTTGTCCCTATTGGATTAAAGGGACGCCTCTGCGTCACATTCTCGTGTTCCTTTTCCCTCACTGGCTTGGGACCGACAATGACTCCAGGCTGAAACGTTTGCCAACATGTCGATCCCTTCTCAAGCTCCTCCATCCCAAGTCGAATTTCCTCATGGCAAACCACACCCAAGGACCAAAGGATCTGTGGGACTAAAGTATGCCCCTCGTGTATGCCTCGCGCTTGGCCGAACATATCCGACCCATGTCTCGTGGATCTTTTTTCTCTTCGCTCAAACCGACTCGCTGGGACTCGAATTAGTCAGTTGTTCCTTGTGAGGCATGACCTTTAACCCTACTACCCCAAAATAATTTCAATGCCCAAAAACATGCCTGGGATTCACACAAACCTGATCGTCATCCATTAACCAGATACTTAAAAGATGACTTTAGATAGCCACAGCAGTGTATCTCGCGACAGCTCAACCGACCTCACTTCACTGGCCTCATGGGACTTTTCATCGGAATCCACCACTCCGGCCAGTACCCGACGACAACACAAAACCCGGACGCTGGCACCAAACCTCACGCGTCGCTCACATAAGAAATCTCGAGGCGGTTGCTTTAGCTGTAAGAGTCGCAAGATCAAATGCGGTGAACAGAAGCCAGCATGCGGGAGCTGTCTCATGAAAGGCATCAACTGTGTATATCCCACCGAGCAACCCGTCCGAAAATCCAACCTGCCCTTGATAAGGCGGAATCCACACACTTCGCCATCGTTCCCCGGCGCCACATTCTCCATTCTCGACATGAGATTCTTCCATCACTTCCTAACCATCGCATATCCTCATTTACCCGTCGACAATGACCATGTCTGGGTACACGACATCCCCCAATTCGCCGAACAGCACGAATACCTTATGCACGCGCTCCTCTCACTGGGAGCCTCGCACCTCAGCCGACTCACAGGGGTCGACTACCGAAGAGAATCCCTTGTCCATCGCGGCCACGCGATAGCCGGACTGAACCAAGCGCTCAGTCGAATGGCGCGAGCATATGGAGAATCTGACGCGATGCTTGCATCTTGCTACGCGCTCACCTTCCAAGCATCATACATGGGCGACGGCCTGGCTGATTTCATCACCATGGTGCGCGGCTGCGCCTTGACAACAGACAAAATCCGACAAGAACACTCCCCCACCGCATTCAATCTGCAACCGGACTGGCACTTCAAATTTATGGCGCCGCGTTTGCATCACCTTCCTCCTGTCGACCCGACCCTGTTAGAAGATGCGTACGCGGCACTGGAGAACATCAGGCCATACCTGACCGGGGACACCGAAATCGACTTCCACGCGGCTCTCGTCGATGTGATCGTATCGCTCCAGGCCAGCCCGGCGTCCGGCTATATCCAATTCACCGGCGTTTACGGCGTGTGGTATGAGCTGTGCCACGACGCCTTCAAGACGTTCCTGGACCCAAACAATCTGGTCTCGCAGCTTCTGCTCGCTTACTTCGTTGGCATTCAACTGCTCATGGTTCCCCTCGCGGCGCATGAATGGCCGAATCGCGCCGACGTCTCGCGCGTGCGCGTCTTATACGGCACCATCGAATGGGCCGAGGGAATCTTCGAGCGTCTCGAATCGTCCGAATTCAAAGCCCATCTCGACTGGCCAAAAAGTATCGTGCAGACCGTAGTCGCCGAAATCAACGGCGATGTACTCCAACTACCACCGGTGCTCCAGCTGCATTTGACAGGCAGAGATATACCACCTCAGACGACAATCTTGGCTCCATCATGACGAAACAAGCTGGAAAAGAGGGAGGGAAAAAGACGATATCCAGGTTGGAAAGAAAATGGGACATGACTCACGAAGAAAATGTTTGTTTTGGAGTCCTTTTTGGACTGTTCAAGGAAAGGGAAAGCAGAATGCAATGTGCAACGTAATACAATGGAAACCCGAGAGCGATTCATTTCTCAAACCCAACAGAATGACCCCCAGTTTGAATTTCGTATGCAAGTTCTCAACTCTTCAGTCTGGTGGAATAGTTTCTGCCAAAAAATAAAATAATCAAGAACACCTTACCAAAACGCCCCCCCTGAAAATATTATGAAATCTTCCGGTGAAAAAAGAAATGTGTCACGATTTCCCTCTCTTGAAGAGTCCTCAAGCATGTATTCAAAAAGTTGTTGCCTTGCGTGTTGAATTGCATTTCCGTTCACCATTTTCCAGGCACCCATCTTTGCACTCCCTGTCAACGGATAGATAGTAGATCGCATCAAGACCGCATCAAAATCTCATAAATCTATTTCTCCACCAATTTTCGTTTCCATGGCACAAGATGTGTCGCTGGCCGACTCCTTATTTGCACCCACGATCCAAAACATGCGCGTTATCCCTTTAAACGGCATTATTCACAACTGCAGATTGCGCATTGGCCCTCTTTCCATCTTTCCCGGCATCTTCCATTCCAAACTCGCCTCTCGATTTCTGCTGCATCCATTTGACGGGATGATACCAAGCGAGGACCGCGAGAGCGACGAACATTGGCCCGGCTTCAAGAACATACAGGCACCATTCGTGGTTGAAAGGGTATCCATCAATGCCGAGGGCGAATTCAATTACGCGATAAATGGAGCGGATCTAGAAAAATTTACGGGTGAGTTTCCGTTTCATCATCCACACAAACGACAGATTTTCAAAAGGGAGGAGAAGAAGGGGGAGGAGGAGGAGACAGGGCATGGAGAAAGGGAAAGAGTAACAAGTACAGACCTGGACAAAAAGGCTCGCGATCCAGGCACCAAGAATCACTTTCTTGACACAAGGATTGAATCCGGCGTCCTTGGATGCCCTGATCCGCCCAACAAACCGTGCCATGACGACGAGAAAGACACTAAACGTCGCAAGCTGCAATGCGAGACCGACGAGCAACACATTTGTGCCGACGTCCTTCAAGTCTCCTTCCCAATTGCCCGAGCTGGCGATGCCGGAGCCCGAGCACTGTGTTAAGAAAGAGAAGATGTCGCTGGTAATGAACACCCGACCTAGCCAGCGCGGAGAGATGCGGAAGAAGATCTGCTGTCCGTTCGTTTCGGGAAGGGATGCGCGGATGAGGCGCGTGAGTAACAGATAGAGGGTAGCGCAGACGAAGATGGGCGAGATCACGATATACGAGGCGGAGACGGCATAGAGCGGGATCGAGGAGTCGTTGTTGATCGAGGCAATGCGGACGGACCAGCCTGCCGTTGAGATCAATGCGGCAACGAAGAGAGGGATCGTGTATTTGTGTTTGATGGCTTGGTGGCGCGCGTGGATGAAGTTGATGTAGGCGTGCCAGACGGTGAGGAGGAGGTAGAGGACGGAGAAGACGACGGCGGCTGCGGTCGAGGGCGAGTAGAAATACAGGTGGATGTCGTCGTTGGAGTTGGAATCGGACATTTTGGAGGTGAGAGAAATTCTTGTTGTTGCTTGATGAGTCGAGTCAGATAGGTGATGGGGTTGACTTTGTTCTTCCTTATACAAGCAAGTAGCGACGATGCCTCCGAGAAGGTCCGGGTTCAACAGAAGATTGATAACGATATTGTTATGTTATAAGCAGCCGTCGCAGAAAGTTGTTTGTGGTTGGCCAGTATCAGCTCCGGGTAAACGAGTCGCAGGCTTGCAAATACGACGCTGAAGATACGATGCGTTCTCTCCTTGTGTGTAGGATGATGTACAGCTTTCTGTGGTGTACTGTCTTTGTCTTTGTCACGTCCAAATAGGAAGATGTGAATACAAAAAGGCAAGCAAAGAACTCGAAGGGAGTGGGCGAAAGAGACGGTTCTATATATAAGATTGGACAGAAGAGATAAAACAAAGGAAAGAGATCAAGCTTCACCTTTCGTCCGTACTCCAAGAAAGCTTCACGAGTGGGTAGGCGTACTCCATATGTGTTTCTTGCCCGCATTTTAGATAGACGCCGTGCACGTATCTTATTGAAGCAAGCAAGCAAATGGGGTAATCAACGTATTCGGATTTCCCCCGAATCACAGCGTGTGGATTTTCCACGCGAGGCTGGGGCCCGTTAGTCCCCTTCTGGAAAGATGCCGGAGCTTTTTCTATGTCCCAGTGAGAGGACATTTCTGAAAGGGAGAATCGTGTTTCATTGCGCAATCTGAAACTGGGTCTGTTGATTTTTCGTTTTCCCAAATCGTCGAGTTGGTAGAGAAAGAATATTGAGTTGCGTGTACGCCTTGCGCGCCTTGTTTGACAATCATGGAACCCCAGAGGGCAACACAATGATGGGGGGAAAGGAAAGTAAGGTGTGCGAACATACCAGTTGCAGCAAGGGCAAAACCCATCAAACAAAACCAATGGGCTGGCCCAAACAAACCAGGTATCGTATTGGTAGCCAATCAATGCGGAGGAAATGAGATGAGAGGCAGTGCGAGCTTGGGTGTTTGGTATCCACTTCCTGCGGTGTCGTTGTCTGGCTTTTAGGATATATCGGTGTGCCAGTGTGATGTATCATGGCATGACACACAGCCTGATCGTTTCATCTAACGCACACATCATTTCTCCGTACTCGGGGTCAGTCCAATTAGACTAGACTCGACCCTTGGCTATCGATGGGCTGATACTAGTACTCTCAGCTCGAGCCTTAGCCGTTATCATCATTTCGCGGTTTTTGCTCGATAGGGACATCTCGTACTCGGCTTGGGCTTGGTACCAGTGAAGTTTGCACAGCCACGGTGGTTGACAGTCAAAAAGGAGTCAAAGAGAAATGCTGTGGTCGCTGTTCGGTAGAGAAAATCAAAGCTGGGAATTAGGCACCACTGTTTTTTCATCGAGCATGTGTCGTTGGCAGATTGAAACGGACTAGCTAATAGAAGAAATGTGTGCGACGAGGCTCGTCGTACTCGGATTGGCGAGGCTTGGCTCTGGTATCGATGTCACAAGTTGCAGGAAAATTTCCCGCCGAATTTGTGCGGTTGCCAAGACACCAGCTATGCCAAGAGCCCTCACCAAAGTACATTCCCATTTCCAGGCCTGAGCATGCGCGATTGGACCTGAGTAACGACAAAATAATTTTTGAGCTGTGGCTGTGTAATCCCGAGCGGCGCTTGGTAGGTCCTGAGGTATGGCCTGAGAAGCGAACATGTCCTTGAGTTCTTTGTAGGGACCCATTACTTGGGCCCAGAGACCCAAGAAGCATTGCAGCCGTAGCTTCTCTGATGGGACATCCGACAGTTTCGGCGGCTCTTATGACAATTGATAAGGACGTCGCATCAAATCTTGTAAAAGAGCGATTAACAAGAACAAACTGGAAGATCACCAGTTGGAAAGACTCGGATGGCTTCGGCTTTGTTGTTGACGACAGACCGCGAGGCTCCTCAATGCTTTCGCGAGAGAAGAGTCTCTCTTTTGCAGCCTCATCTGAAGTTGCGTCTGTGGAAGGCCAACAAACAGATGATCCAATTGCAAACCTGTCGGGAAAGCGGTGGATAAACACTCCTTGCGCAAGAAGACTCTGTACCGCAACCTTTTTCATATATCTTGCGGGAATTTTGGTGATAATTACATATTATGCCTGGACGTCTGACATGGACAGCGGGTTTGAGCGATTCATGGACAGCCAAAGCACTGGCTTGCGCTTTCTATGGGCGGTAATTGGTTTACTCGTTTCGCAAGGCTGGAGTGCTATCGAACATGGTAAGGAAGTCATGTCTTTCAAAAATGGGGGGGCCATTTTGTTCTCTAACTAACAATTTTACAGAGGCTCGCTTGGAGGAACCACATCAACGTTTAATGAGAGGACCGACACCCGCCAAAGATTCCATCTTTATCAACACCAGCAGCATCCCTTTGACAGCCCTGGGAGCGAATTTATACCGAAGGCACTACTTCTTAGCCTGCTTGTCACTCAACGCGCTACTAGCAGAGGTTGTAACTGTCACGCTCGCCGCTGTTCCATACAGTAGCGCAACATCATACAGGGGCTTTACGACATCGGTATACCTTAGCCAAGCAATCTTAGGCGTCATGTTGCTCTCTTTATTTTGGGTCTTGTTCAGACCTCATAGGACAATACCTAGGAGTCCGAAGAGTACTGCCGTCGTCATGACGTATCTGCAAGGGTCCTCACTTATCAAGGACTTCCAAGGTCTGGTTCTGACGGAACAGAATGGCCACATTGACTCTGAATGGATGTCTGCCATGTGTTCGATGCAAACCAGGATAGATGCGACTGGAACGTCAAGAATGATTATAGACACTATTCCTGGTAATATTTCTACCATCTAGGGTGTCACGACGCCAATATTTGGATCTGGGGAATTGTGTTTGATCAGATGCTTTCGCCAGTAAAAGTGAGTAAGCTCTACACCCAGCTTTCGGACCTCAGGAATTTGCAAAAGTAAAAGGAGGGGTCCTAAAGGAAGATTTCCCATCTAAATCAAATGGTCCTTACCGGTCCTATCAACGGGAGTGGTCAGCACTTTCTCCAATCCTAATTCGCTCCGCAGAAAGACATCCGTGAGCGACGGAAAGATCGCCGATCTCGCTTTCGCAGTCAATGTCGTCATCTTTGGTCGCATTGCTCATAGGCAGTGCCTGTCGAGGAGATTTTGAACTCCGTCTGCTCGACACACGACCGTACAGGCCAACTATGGAAGATTTGCCGAAGGGGTGACTTTCTGAAGGACAGTTCACTAGCCCGAGGTTGATACGCGATGGAAGTCGCCATGATTAGAGTGCACTGTTCCGGGAGGTGTGAAGTAGAACGATGGGTCGGGCGGTAGAGAATAGCGAGGGAACAGGTGCTATTCAAATAGGTATTCAGCACGGCCCAACGCCCTCCGCCCTTTCCCTCGCCTCACGAGGCGTAGTTCCAAGTCTTTCACAACTACCGAGTTTGAACCCTAGCCTGCTAAAGGTTTTCTCTATTAGTGTTTCCAGGCCCTATGAGGCGGGGAGAGTGAAGACCATAACCGCAAGTAAGGCGGGTTATATCACCGAAATATTATGAGAACAAGGGACTGCTGTTATCCTGAGGGTGGGATTGACCCCGGAGACGGTGGTCTCAAGAATTGAGGGGAGGATATGGGGGCGTTGGCCCGTTCTCCCAGGTTCCGATGATTCAAAGGGTGACGAGAATGTACCCTCTGGACCGAGACAGCCGTCTTCAATTATTCTTCGACCTTGCAGTCTTCTTCGAAATTGGTAGCCAACCTCACAAGCATAAGCCCGCCCGCTATTGAAATCGGCTGTAACGGAGAATCAACATCTGGGTTTTGTCCGAGCGAAATCATGTCTTGCCAAACCCACTTTTTCTCCTTCATAGTTCCGTTCGCAACCACCTCTCCGGGAGCCGCTATACTTCATTCAGCTCAAACAAGGAGACAGGAGTTGAGACTTGCCGATGCCGAAACCCACATCATTAGGATCCTGGTCGAGGCGTGGATGATGCTGAGCCTGCACGATGTGCGGCAAGCGAAGTCAAATGCGCCATGGAGGGATTAGGCGCATGAGGGGGCCGAACCGGTTCCTCCTCGAAAGTGTAGAGGGGACCGCAAAGATCGAGGATTGGGAGGCTGATGGAGGCGCACTCGAGGAGACAAGGCAGATTTCGAAGCAGAGAAATCGACGACGGGGGCTCTGATGCGGCAGCGGGGAGAGAATCCAGGCGTATCGAAGTGAAGTATAGCAGAGTGCGTCAGGGCGAACGGAGGTGAGAGGAAAAACCAGGTTGGAAGAGAGGGAGAGAGGGAGAGAGGGATGGGGGTTCCTGTAGCCGTCAAAAGCAGCGGCACCCAGCCCGCGCCCGAAGCGCGTTAACCGGAGGCGACCGTACAAGAGAATAGGATTCAGATTTCAAGGCAAATGACGCCGGTGCCTTCTTCGAGTGCCACTGCCGTCATGATTTGACCTTCATTTAAGTCTTCGCATGGCTGATTCTTAGTGTACATGTTGATTGAAAAAAGCACCGCCGCCAATGCTCCGTGTCTGCTGATTAAAACATTCCTCGGCGAAATATGGCAACGAGAATGAAGTCTATCCATACACCAACGCACGAACTTCAATACTCTCTCTGCCTTTGGCACCCTCGGGGGTTCTGGTATCAACGAATGCCGTATGCGGTACTCTTTGACCAACGCCCTCCTTGTTGTCATAACACTTCAACAACAGTCTTTCATCATTGTCCATCCCCGACCAGTAATAGAAGGTCTGTCCCTTGTTGTATCTCACCGCCGCTGTCTCGCCCGTACGGACGGGATATCGATGCTCGACAGGAACAAGATCGTTGTCGTCAACGGTGTCCGCAGAGGCAAATCCGAGAGGGTGCGCTTGAACGGTTCCGTTGATGGGTCTCCAGACATTGATGATTCGGTATCGACCTTGGAGAAGCTCTTCGGCCTGGTCGGGATTGTGCAACTTCACTCGCCATTCGGTAGAACGGGCCGTTTGGTCCACGTGAACTCTAGTCACGGGAGCGCGAGGAGCATCCGGGTTGGACCGGCGGATGGTGTGGTCAAAAATGGTGACTGTGTGGGCGCCCGGGACGTGCTCCAGGAGAAGTTTCTCTACTTCTGGATAGTAGACTGTCTTGATGTGTTCATCATCCACAAAGTCCTTCTCTTCTGACGAGACGCCTTTGATGGCTTGGAAGGCATCCTTGTCCAGCCAGAACTCGGCTTCCCTTCCACGAATATCATTCATTTGGACCTCCACCACATTCTCGCCGAAGTTGCGCTGTGGCTGGCCGTCCGGTTGTTTCTCAACATAGTTGTATGGTTTGGCCCCGCCTGCAGGGTCTTGGAAAAAGTTGAGTTTTGTCTTGACTGGTCCTCGAGGAACATATGAGGAGTCTTGCACCCCTGAGAGGGTCGTAGAAGTGGCGGTTTCGACGGCTGTCGCGGACATGGCAGAAGGGTCAAATATCGAATTCGGTGTGGCAGGCTAATGCACGGGCCCGATGCCAATGAGTCGGTAATATTCCTGTCGCAATAGTCAGAAGTAGACCTGGGCAGGAAACAATGTCGCTGACGGGAATATATAGAATGTGAAGTCGAGCACGCAATGCGGCTTATTAGAAATCGAGTGGTTGCACGTCACGCCTCAGCCGAGGGTTTGCCGTCGTTCAACCCCCCCCCATCGTTTGTCTGAGAAATTTCGCAACCATCTCCGACTTTCCATCTCCCCGCATTTGCGCTCACGCCAATCATCGAGCAGGTTTATTCCTGTCGAATACTAATCACATCATCTTCTCCGGCCGGGCCCAGTCCCTCATTCGGAAGATTACTGAATTGCGAGTTCAACTGTCACGCCTTGCGACCAAGACAAAAGGTTCGCAGCTCACAATTCGCCCTCTTCGCTTCCGTAATCAACCTTTTCAGCGTCATCTAGATCATTGATGCCGTTCGGGAACTGCTCCGGTTGGGGTGGAAATGGCCTCTCATTGACCGATGGCGGTGGTATGCGGCTGGCCATTCTTTGAGGGTCATACTGATCATTTTGATGGTAGTGGTCGCTGTCTCGACTCACTGGACGGCTCTGTGGAAGAACCCGATCTTGATGGCCATTGCTGGACGATGACGGAGGGCCATTCCAATTCGATCCCGATGAGGAATGTCTTCTCGACGAGTGGCTTTGGTACGAGGGCTGGTGTGAGGCTCTTCGCGGCAGACCCGGTCGTGGCACTCGACTGGAGGCTGAATTGTTGACAATGTCGTCAATCCGTTTCTGTACATCATCGACATGTTCTCTTGAATCATGGTCAGATGGATCATCCACTCCGCGTGAGGGAATTCGTTGCATCGCCCGCTCCGGCAGGTTAGAGGTGTCATCGCGTGAGTCTCGACGTGCTCTCTTGGGCGAGGGCTGCCATAGATTTTCTCCGGGCGGACGAGCGGTCAAGCTTGACCCCCACTCGCCCGAGTTTGGGTCATCTGCTGTATCTCGATCCCGCTTGGCACCTTGACTTCCGCTTCTCGTACTTAAAGCCGGAGATCGGTCAGGCTGGGGAGAGGTGGCCTGGCGTGTTCGATCGAACATGGAGAAATCATCGTCTCTAGTGTACGCTTCTTTTTGCCCTTGGCGCGGCAATGTAGGATTCTCATAGACTTCTGCCATCAAGTTGCATCCTCTCTGAAGATCGTGAAGACCAAGACCCAATTGTTCCCACCAAGGTCTTCCTCTTTCGTCGTCCGGAAGAGTAATTCCTGCAAACTTGACCCCAATGTACAGTGCGCTGCCGGCTATTGCACTCGGCGTCAATTGAAGGCACATGGTAGTGACGAGCGAGTCGTTGAGAAAAGCCCAGGACGTGTTCCGCAATAACTTGTTCTCCTGGACTCGGTAGAATCGGAGGTAGTCGAGCAGAATTCGGTACGGTTGTTCAAGTTGCAGATCAAAGCAAAGAGCCTCGAGGAGCAAATCTTCGTTGTGCAAGATATTATCTCGCCACTTCCAATACTCTTTGCTTTGTTCGTCGACCACCAGATTCGGTTGTTTCTGGGCCACTCGACAACAGGCCACCACCAATTCTCTCATCTTTCGGTAATTTTCTTCGACTTTCGTCGCCAGGAATATGGCGGTGGCGGCCACAGAGTAGTGATGAAACCCTTGCTGTCCCTTTTGACCAGGCTGAACCATCTCATGTCGCATGAAAAATCGATGTAGATACACGGATGCTGTCGCGAGAGTCAACTGAGGCAGTTTCAACATGATCCCAACCTGTGTTATAAAATTGACTCCTTTCTGTCTGTTGGCCAACTCTTGCGCGACTGGCATTCCGTTGAGGATGCTTGGGGATCGACAGAGTTCCTCGGCCGTGAACAACCATTGCGACTGGGTCCGTTCGAGCACAGGATTTGTCGAAAAGAGGGGCAAGGCACCGGGTTGGGGTGTTTTTCGAAACGCGGGCATGGTGATTCTTTCGGAGGATTTGGGGGTGGGATGCAGGACCTCGCGAGGGCGAGCAACGGAGTTCAGGACGAGAATAAGTCATTCAGAAAAAGATCGTCGAAGCGGGAGGCTTGAGCAGGCATATCGAGAAATTGTCGTATGCCTAAAATGACATGTGAAAATGAAAGGTAACCGGTGATACGGACGTAAATATGGTGGTGGAGGAACCGTATCGAGAGAAGAGACTGAATTTGACGCAGCCTTGTTGAATACTCAGCATTCGACTAGGAGATACCCAGTACCCATTACCTAATGCCGCCGCGGCGCTTGCACGGTCAAGATCCGAAGCCCAAAGAGCCTGATCGCCCTCCAAAGGCAATTGATATCACTCGTTCACTCTTTATCTCTCAGAAACAGGCATGTATTGTAAGTCATATTCAACGAAAGTGTTATTGCACATCTCAATGCCATCGATCATGAAACCAACTTCTTCCGAATTTGACCCGACCTCCATACGACTCGGTGTTGCCGCGTTTCGAGGAACCGGAAACGATATGCAGATATACTGCTCATGGTCTATACTTTACAACAAAACTACGCAACCTCGGTTCTCCCAAAGAACTGGTGACATCCACAATCAGCCTTCGGACGTAGCCTGGTCGTCAACACCCGGGCTACAGCCGAACAAAATCTTTTGCATCCGCAAAATGTTCTCGCCCTCTTAAAATTAATATTCCAAATCCTTAGCTTGGTTTGTTGTCATGCCTGAGTTTATTCAGTGGAAGACATTCGTCGGCGCGATGGTAACCGAACGTGAGCCTCTTCGCGGTAAATTGTGTAACCGATCCCGAAGGTGTCGGACAGTATTATCATTAGAAAATGTAGTATCTCGGTTTTGGGGCATTGGGTTTGTGGCCCAGTCGATCTGAGTCAAATGCGGAGAGAGGAACGTGAGGAAAAGATCGGAATAGCGAGGGAACAGGACGGGTGAGGTAAGTGATGTCGGCCGTTGCAAGTATCTTACAGGAAGAGGTGGAACTTTGATGCAGCTTGGTATGTTGAGACCGAGGGAGGTGCATTGGGCAGTGTTTAGCGAGGGTGCGACATGGACCAGGCAGTTCTGTTCGATTCGACTCGGACATGGCGAGGTCGGCTATTCTGGGTCTAGGAAAAAAAGAGTTGTCCCAGGGGTGGTCCCGACCAATAGCCGTCATATCAGAAGAATCCCGAACAGGAAAGTGTTGCCAAGCAGAAGGAAATAGAAACAGCGCCTGCGTCCTACCTACGTTGCTATCACGCCGAAGTGCTAAGTATTGTCCTACCTACGTACGAGATGGTTCACAAACCAACTCCTGCGATGTCCCTACGTACATCGTGCCCTAATCTATCACTTTTGCTTCCGCTGCGTGGCGGCGTCCCTTGGTCCCTCGTCGTAGTCGTCCATCATCTTATGCATATCCTATGCTCTCTCAGTCTTTCTCCTACCTTTCCTACCCCCGTTTTCGGCTCCTACCATCACCTCTACCTTTGATATTTCTCCCTCGTGCTCTCTAACGCTACCCTCCCTCTTGTGCCAGAGACTAGCCTTTCCCGATTCTTATTCAGCCTCCGCTAGGAGTGCGCCATATTCTGTTCTTCCGCCGACCGATCCTCATGCATCCCTCCCCTCCCACCTTGCGTACGCAGGTGAGTCTACTTCGGATTGGCGGAGCCCGTTCTCGTCAGGCTACTCGAGGCATGCCCGGGACGAGCATGGCCATCTCGGGGAATTTCAAGACGTTTCTAGACACTGGACCCAGAAGCGGGTGTCGGTGGCCATTCCCTCCTAACCGAATGTCAGGTCTAGTCCTAGGCCTTCAGTGTGATGCCACCCCTTCCTCTATGCTCTATTGTGATCGGCTAACATGATATACAACCTTCTGGGCTCCCTGGAGGCCAATCCACCCTTCTCATCTCATTACGCTCTTGCCTGACAGGTTTGAAAGAGGGTTACAATTTTGCGAACAAGCAAATTCTTCTCGGAAACCTCCGCTAGTTTCCATCTTATTTGCACAAGGCCGCGACCTGCAGCCAGCCCTGCAGGCTTAAAAGAGCGCCATCGTCTCGTCCCAGGCGATCAACAGCTGCATGACGGGCCCCAAATACCAATTATGTCGAAGCCAGATGTATCAGCAACCACCTAAGCTCAATCAGGAGAAAGCCACCCAAGTCTTTGAACCAGCTTCTACGATTCCTGACTCTCGAGCCACAGCATCGTTAATTGTGCGCCCCCAAGGTAGTACTGCCCAGGACTCCAACGTTGTTTCCAACCGTTGAGCCTGGTAGGATCTGCTCCGGTTGGGCGTTTTATGGGAGCAGCCTCGCCTTTTACCTAATCCGGGGGCCACTTAGCTACGCCCGTGCGATCGATCATCCAGTTACGAAACTCAGCAATCTAGCCAAGTGTCATGCCCCCCAAATCGAAACGATCCCAATCCCCCGAATCCCGCTTTTTGTTCGTCAATGAGGACGCGTCGACCTTCACCCGAATAACCAAAGATGCCGAGCTTGACAGAACCAAGCAGAGTCATGTTCAACGACAAAATTTTGCCCGAAAACGTCGCCTTCGGGAGCAGTCCATATCAGCTCCGCCAACAAGCAGTCAGAGTTCGGTCTCTCCAGGCCCTACTATCGCTGATCCTCGTACAGAAGTTTCTTCTTCTCAGGGAGGCCCGTCTCATGGTACAGATTATTTCGACATTATCCAAAATATCGACCTCGGTGATCCCCCATTTCAATCAACAAGTCCACTGTCTCCATCACAAGATCCGCTAGATCCGCGATTCTCTGCTTTACTCTCAGATCCCTTCTCCCTCACGGGCCCCTCGCCCATTATTCCGACCCGGCCAAGCGATTTCTTTGAAATCTCACATCCCTACCGACCTGGCCACTCCTTTGATACACCTTCTCTAAGCCACAGTGGTACCTCGCCGCCAAGAGGGTTGACCAGCATCGCGAGTCCTCCCATCCTCCTCAGAAGAGTACCAAGCCTGCTCGAGAACAACACCCGTCTCCTAGAACAATGGGCACCTCCTCTGATTCAACACTACAATACCAAAATTCTACCAGAGACCTTCTGGAAGGACACCCAAAAAGTGCCATTGGGTCAAATTCGGCATGCTCTATCGATCCACGCCGATATGCAAGCCTGTATGGCTGAGCCCGCGCATATGTACGCATTTCTAGCCGCTGCATCCACTCAAATGATCGCCAGGGAAGGCCGGCTTCTACTCCCCGATGCGACGGAGGAAGACTCGCGACGGGCTCCTACCTTCTTCAAGACAAAGGCGATTCGAGCTTTAAGAGCGAAACTCGCCACCGGACAATTGGACCACCACCTGGCCGTGGATGCACACAGGCTTTATTCTACGGGAATAGATACAGATAACTATGAGGTCGCCGAGCCTCATTTTCAAGCCTTGCTGTCTATGGTGGAAGCGCTCGGTGGTCTCGGTACATTTGATGAGTATCATCTTGAAAAAATGATTCTGCTCGATTGCACCGCGGCACTAAAGTGCCTTGGTGTACCACGCCTGCTTGCAATCTGGGATCCGGGGCCTCTCACTGAGGCAATGCTCGTCAACATTGGGTCACAGGGTCAATATCATCTCTCAGCAGGGACAAGATTAAGGGAGATGTTGGAGATGAATCCTTGTCAAGCCTTGGCCGAGAGCTTTTCAGACCTTGTCCAGGTGCTCAAGATGTCCGTTTACCTGACCAATCTCCCTGAATATATCCCCGAGCACTATAAGTGGTTCAACTGGCGTGTCTTGATCATTCTGCACAGGCTCCTTTCGATGCCTTTGCATTGCGAAATGAACGACACGACAGACTGCCTGAGAATTGCTACGGCCTATTGGACCGCTATGACACGAGCACCCGCTATGGCTCGACGTGCCGCCGCGAAATCAAATCATACGCTCAGGAGAAAGCTCGAACGTACAGATTTGCGATATCTCTGGCGGCCCCACACGGACTGCCTCCTTTGGGTTGTTGTTTTTGGCGGAATTTGCAGCGATGACAAAGACGATGTTGAATGGTATGTCGGTGTCGCCAAGGTCACCGCGACGGAAATTGGGGTGAGAAACCTCCAAGCTTTAGAAGACTTGTTTTCGACATTTCTGTACGACCCAAATTCACAGCGGGAAATGCTTATTCAGTTTGCGGCGCGGATGTGGCCGGTGAATGACATGATTAGATGAGTCGGCTGAGATCGGGTCACTAATCGAATGCTGTGGCCAGGGGCTATTTGTTAGCAGATGTCAAATTCCAATGCACGTTGTGTGTTCAGTGAAAGACAATCCATGCAGACACTCTAAGGGGATTAGAGGTGGGACCGATGGAATATTTGCGGTGACCGGACCGCTAATTCGATACCGACTTATGCCATATATCGCCACGGCGTATCGGTTTCTCTACGACCAGTGCCTTTTATCTCCTCGGGCAAGTTGAAATCCACACGGTCAAGAAAGCAATGCACGTTTGGCCCACAGGGTCGAATCCTCATCCCAGGACCGGCGGAAAAGATGGTGCCAGTGTGGGTTGACGAGGCTCCCTATCCTATCCCACATGTTGAGGCCGACTGGGCTTGGTCACGTCATCCGTGCGAACAATATTATAAAGTCTCCTGACATCACCGCACTCGGAGATCTAACATTGTTTTCTTCAAGTGTATATGTGCACGATTGTATAATAGCTCTATAATGGGCCTAAATCTCTCGGTCTTAGCCCTATATGGAGCTTTCAAAGATTTAGTATGTATACTTGGGAGTCATATTTCAACCATCCGCCAACAGCCACTGTTGCCGATGGCCGCGGTCGGAATACCAAGGCGTGGATGATCGAGCATCACAAGTGCGGTACGCCCAAACTCGCCAGGCCGAGATTCAGGATACTCACGACACCCTCGCCGAGGATCAACCCGCTGGCGAGGACGATAACGCGGGTCTCAGACTTCTTCTTCCAGTGGACCCACCAAAAACTAAGGGCGCCACCCACGGTTCGCGCCAACGTGAAACTAGGCGTGTTGTACATGCCGACCGCGACTGCAATGCCGCCTGGGATCCAAGGATTGAGGGCGCGACACCAGGGTTTGTCGTCACGGTGCGCGAGCAGGTAGATGCGCAGTGCGGTGGTGATGGTGAATATTATCCCCGCCACAATAGCGAACTGCCACGCCATCGGCGGAAGGCCTTTGCCTGTCACCAGGCGCGCGGTAAAGATCCAGACATACGCGGTCGGGATATCAAATAGCTCACCGGGGACCTGGTAAACAGATACGTAGAGCTTGTAGATGGCCGCGGAGATGAAGGCCCCGACGACACTGCCGATCATTTGGCCGTAAAACTGGGCTTTGGGGCTCGCTCCGATCAAGTGGCCTGCTTTGAGATCTTGGAGCATGTCGCCGGCTTGGAGGGCGCCAGATTCGCTTACGGCGCCGGCAAGGAGGTTGATGACAATGGCGTGATGTGCGTGTTCGCCGGTAGGTGTGATCAGGGCGAAGACCAACTGGGTGAGTTTGGAGATGCCAGAGACCGGGTTCAGATCGGTTTCACCGAGAGCACGGACGCCCATGATGGACAGAATCAAGGCCAGAATGATCGCGAGGACGTTCAGGCTGATAGGAATATAGGTGCCGAACGTGATGTGAATGCAAACGACACAGAGGACGAGGGTGAGAGGGAGCAAGATGGATATGGTCCGGTTCGAGACCAGGTGCTGAGGTGGTGCATCGTCTGGAGGTTCCTCGGATAGAGGTGTAAGTTTTGGCGGTTTGTTGGTTCGGACGTCTTGAGGCTGTACAGAAGAGCTGTTGAGGGCGAGATACCCAGCAAATTGTCTCCCGAAGAAGAAATCCAACCATGACGAACTGGTTTGGTAGTGTTCTCTACTCGATTGCACCCAACCAGGGCCGTACCTGATGATGGATTGAAGTATCAACCAACCCAGATTAACGATGGCATCGGCAAGCATGATTGCCAGACTGACCCAGACAATCCAACCTTTACTCCCGGTCTCCCAGTCGTCGACCGAACCGGGTGCCCAGCCATTGTGTTTCGCTAGAGGACTTAGGACTGCCCAACCCGTGATGGCGCCGAGAAGCATGTGAAACGTCGTAGCCGGGCCCATGATGACGCCCTGACCAACATATGCCGGTGAAGGGTTGAGTGTCCAGACCCAAGTATTGGCGAGGTATGTGCCGAAGATTGGTAATTTGTGGAGGATAGGAAGAAAGTATTGAATGGAGGTGTATGCCCCGGATCCACCGAAAGCAATGACTAGGAGTCGAATCTGTCTTCTCCAGTCAGCCCGTGAGTTATTTTTGTCTGGCTGACCTGTCTGATCCTCTCTTTCACTTTCTGGCAAGAGTTCCTCGCTTTCCCCAGCCCCTGTTGTTTCAATCTCTCGTTCTTTGGCTTCATCAGTTCTGGCTCCACCGTGCAACACACTGATCATAAGTGCCGTGGCAGTACCGCTGGGAAATTTCAGGCGTTCTCGAATGATAACCTGCTTCCTCAAGGGAACACCGAAGACGACACCAAAGAGGCACAGTCCAACGCCCCAGATGAAGAGCCGCCAGAGACTCAAATCGATAGGCGCGCCTTCACTCTTTCGGAGTAAAAACTCCAGACTCGGTATTACTCCAACGTATCCCAAGCCCAGTGGCATTGTTCCAACCGCGCCGGCGACTGTCTGGACAAGAACATTCTCCACGGGTGTGAATGGGAGCGCCAAATAAGGCGATATTGCCTTGAACACGGCAAATCCAATCAAGGATGCAGGCATCGCCATGCCAGACACCCATCCCGTCTGCAGGCCAAAGTATGTGTTTGAGAAACAGATGATGATTCCTATTGCTGTGCCCACGGCAACTCCTCGAAATGTGAAATTGGTTCCATCGAGAGCGGAATCTCGCACAGCGGGCGGAGCATAACAGGCATGATCGGAGCGAGTACGAGAAAGATCTTGTTGACTGCGTTGGGTAAGCGAATGAGGTGAAGAGGGTTCAGACAGTTCGTGGTCTTCAACATCGGTTGTTGAAGAGGCCCGAGAGTGCGTGCCCCTATCGGGCGCCATGGTGGGGATGTTGTATTATTGTACTTGAATTGCGCCAACGTGGTACATGACAGGCATGGAGGCAAAGCGAAAGGCTGGGTCCGTGCTGGTCGGCTGCTGATGGATATGATGAAAAAAGGAGATCTGGTTCAGGCTGGTCTCGACATCGAGGATTCTGACCTCGACTTTGATTTTTCTCTTGCCTATATCGCTTGAAAAGCCATACTCAAAAGATGACGGAGGTCACCGTCAGTGTCACGTGTAGAGGGTAGCCATTCGAGTCGTGACGACCGAGAAGACGAGTTGAGACAGCACCTACGCATCTCTTTTAAAATGTCCATTCCGCTCGGCGTCAAAGGTCTATTACTCAGACACAATCTGCCGGTCAAATATCACAGGATCCTCGATGCCAACCTTCATCCAGCACCGGTGAAGTCGTACTGAGGTACAATGCACCGGGTAATATTTCCACGTTTCTCTGGTATGGAACCAACCGAACATTAGCTTCGCATCGACATCGCTCATCGAGTTATCTACTTGTGCGCCGCATCTTCTTCCTCGATTCCCTGATACTTGACCTTGTGACCACCTCGGCCCTTTGGGCCTTCCATCGCTCTGGATGCTTCTTTTGCACCCGAAGCATGGCGTCTCGGAAACTCGGTTAGACTACAGGCCAAGTCCTTATTCCTGTCGATGATCAGCATGAATCAAAATAGGCTTACCTTGGTGGGAGAGGCAATAACACAAAAGAGACGGATATCACATAAGGTTTGAGAACCTGAAGGGCAATATGGCTCCTTAAGTTGGCCCTCATGGCTCCCGAAGGTGCTCGGGAGCGTGGTATGCACAGGTATGCCCATTATTGGATTCGTCATCGCGTCCTGATGCTGATATCTAAGGCAGGTATTATCAGCCCTGGCTCGAGACATTCATCTCCACCGATTTTGAACGAGCGGCTCATCTCCCTCCTCGCATCCCAGATAACGGGCACCGACCGAGACAAGGCTTTGACTGCTTTCGCACAATTGGGTTGTCTTCGATTAAATGCTAAAAGAGGGGTCGTCACTCTGCTCGACCGCACCAAACAATACATCATCGCGGAGGCTACCAATCCCTCTCTCTTTTGAATGATTCTCAGCATGCTCCGGGCGACGAATTATGGTTCGGGAATTCATTCATTGAACGTAACAAGGAAGTTTCAGCCGATGCAGTGTATCCCGAAACATACACGGCCTATGGATCAGATGGCTCTTCTTACAGCGCTCCAGCTCTGGTCATCAACGATATCGCCACTCACAAGAGTTACAAATATCGAGGTTACGCTGGACATGGTGTTTCCTTCGATTGTGGGGGTTCCCATCACTACAAGGCTAGGTCATGTCATTGGAGTGTACACTGTTACCGACGACAAACCACGAGCTGGTCTTTCACCGGAGGAACTTCGTTTTATGGCAGATATGGCCATCATTGTCGTCCAGCATCTAGAAGCCATTAAAAATGACCAAGCAAGAGTACGAGGAGAACGACTCATTCGCGGATTCAGGGCACTCATAGAGGGGGACATTACCGAAGAAGCCACTCGCGCTACCTCATCCCCCCGTCTTATCCACCTCTTACCATGAGGAAATTCGAAACCAACAGTAACAGAATTGGTACTGATGAATCAAGTCCGGCGGTCAAGAACAACCCACCTGAATTCAAAGGGCTGGTTATCCAAGACGCAAACACCACCCCTAAGGAGTTTAAACGAATTGGGTATGAAGAGCCCGGTCAAGACCAACTCCTGGACCACCATGGTGCAAGCAATGAACTTCTGAAATGAAACCCTTGGCCCCAGCGCAAGCAAATATCAATTGTTCCGACCCAATGGTTCAAGATGAAAGTCGTTTCAGCACCGAGCATGGAAGGTCTCTCACCAAATTTCTTCTTTTACCCGGAACCACCACCAATTGACTATCTTATGGATCGACATGGCAAGCCAGACGTGGGTAGAGAAATACCTGTTATTGTATTATGCACCAATGCATTTGAAGCCGCAAGCCTAAGATCGAATGGCCTTCATCGACTTACCGACATTGGCCGAATCATCGAGGTGATCGCCCAACCGTGTGGTCCCCAGAAACTGGCCAAGGTCCTGCAGCGGTGTATGCGACGACTGAAAGTCCAAGGCGCAGATGGTTTCAGAGGGTCCGCAAACCATGTGACTCTGGCGTTGAACCGAGAGAGGTACTCATCATTGGCCACGGAGGGTCCGATCGATGCTACAAGGACTCGGGGAAACTCTCCTCATTCCCAAAGCCTCTCGGTTGAGAGAAGGAAGAGTTCGGCCGATCGAGCAATGAAAAGGCCCAGTATATCAGAACAAGTCAATCTTCATCAGCTAGGAGAGCCAAGCAGCCCAGCATCACCCATTCACTCTGATGAGAACAGACCAAAGGTCTTGGTGGTCGATGACAATCAAATCAATTTGCATCTCCTCCTGACCTTCGTTAGGAAGGCTGCACATCCGTACGAATCGGCAACCGACGGATCCAAGGCTTTGGAGGCATACAAACGTAGTGTGCTTGAAGATGGCGGTAAATACGGATTCCCAATTCATTCTGATGGATATAACGATGCCCGTCATGAATGTGATTGTGTCCACTCGGGAGATTCGCAAATTCGAAAAGGAGCATCAGATTGAGCAGCCAGCCACCATTATTGCTTTGACGGGGTGGGGGAGTGAAATTGCCCAAAGTGAAGCATTCGAGGCTGGATTTGATCAATTTTTGAGCAAACCAATAGGAAGTCTTTTGGGCCCAACCTCGACCGGAAAGCCCTTGAAATTTCTAACAATCATATCTTGCAGAAGTTTAGAGACTTACCAAAAATACTTGACTGATTTGATGATTGGACGATTCCCCATGGACCTGGTGTCTCGGGTTACGACACTAGAACGAATGTGTATGGGCGTTGTCCGATTGTTCTGGTCCAGGACTCATGGACAATGGATAACGGAGTTTGGTTGGTTGGTTGGAAGAGCATCATGTCTTGCACCCCACACAATGCAGTACGCTGACGAAATTGACAGGAAATATCTGTATGATGGCTTGGTCCTTATTCTCATCCTCATTCTATACCGATGAAAACATGGCTTCATGGCAACTCTTTGCTGTCAGTTTGTTTGCTGCTCTTGCTCTCATGTAAGGAAGGCACAGAGCTAGCGTTCAGTTCGTTCATCTCCAGAGCCGAGAGGTTTTTGTTCTTTGTTGTCAAAGTCTCTGTTCTTACACCGTACATGAACTGTGAAGAGCTGGCTATCTTGCTTACTGTCGGGATCCCACCCTATCGCATCCGTGTCCTTCAGGTCTGTTCTGTTCTATCCATCGTAGGGTTTGCCCTCAGCCTCCTTTGTTACCAGATTCACCCTGCCGATTTGTGTACTTTCTCGGTTATGTTCCGTGATATCGCCCCAATTGAAACGCCCTCGCTTGTGATTTCTTCGCAATGTACGAGTGATGGTCAAATCCTTGCGGAAAGAAAGATTCAAGGGAAAAAAAAAAAAAAAAAAAAGTACAGCAGAGTCCCATGTGTCTGATCTCAACTGGTGACTCTCTTAATCCACAATCCAGTGGGCTGCTCGTAGAAGTCATCTTTATCCCTTCGTTTCTGGACACGGTGCAACCTCAATCCCGTTTCGTGCTCTTCATTGGTAATCTCCTGCAGCTCCAAATTGAGATTGATGATCATCTTATCAACCTCTTTCCGTTTCCTTGCATCATAGACAATTGCGTTCTTTTTCAGCGACTCCTGCAGTTCTCGGATGATTTTATTCAAGTTTCGCTTTCGCCGTGAAAGATCTTCCAGTCGCGCTTCGAGGGACGTCACTTTATCAGCGGCTTGAAGCTCGACCGGTGTAGGAGGGAGGGATTTGGCAATCGACATGTTGGACATGAGACTGACAGCACGGGCCTTCTCGTTGCTGCCGACGGCCTTTCGGAGGATATTGGAGCTGGATTTTCGGGCGGAGACATTGGAGAATGGTGAAATGCCACTATGATAGTCATAACTCGTATGACCGCTGTTATTTGCGGTCACACGTTTCCGTAGCATACTCCGAGCAGGAATATCTGTTGACGGTGCCGCCATTGGGATAGGGCTGCTGGTGAGTTCTGCTCGTGCGATAGGGCTCGGGGGGGCTGTGCTATTATCCTCAACCGTATTCGTCGCGTAAGTGTTCCAACTTGATGAAGTGTCTGGTTCGCGATGTAACGGTTTCTGTTTCAGGGTTTGGTCGAGTGATTCTTCACTTGAGCTTCCCTCAGGTGCGGCGAGGGAGGGTGCACTTGAGCCGAGGGTCGGACTGTCATCTCCATAAGTGCGTATGGTGCTCGGGGCGGGGCTTGGAACTGCTTCACGAGGCGGCGCTGGGCCAGGGCTTTGAAATGGACTGTCCAGGGATCGGGGCTGTTCGACCTGTGTGGGTGACAGTATTCGCGGCGTATTTCTACCTTTAAGGGGTGCGACAGGCTTGATACTCTCTTCTGAGGGTACAGCTCTGACTGTTGGCAGCTGTGAAGCGGCCACGGAAACGGCGTCAATAGGAGATCTTGGGGCTACTTCCGGTGACCGTACCGGTCCAGAGGTTTGACTTTGAGCCTGCTGTTCGGCTTTCCTTTGTCGCTCGACCAACATCAAAGGTCTAGGACGCGCCGAGGGTGTGTTCTTGACTGGTTCTACTATGGCCTGTCTTCCACTGGCACCTTTCCATGGTGGCCGCTGAACTGGGTTATCGAGGGGATCAGGTCCCACCGGTGGAGGAGCCTTGCCCCAAGTTGACTTCTTGACCACTTCGCGTTCTTTGAGCCCCGAGAGAATCTGCCGCGTTCTTTCCTTGAGTTGGGGATATTGCGGCTCTAGTGACGGAACTGCTCCTGGTCGGACGGACGATGGTTTTCCTGTCTGATTGGGCTCGCCTGAATATTCATCCCACCTGGTTTCTTCATTCTTCTTCTCCCGCAAGGACCATCGTTTAGGGATGTCTCCTTCTGGCGATGTGGCTTTCATTACTGGAGGCAACTTTCGAGGAATCTGGCTTCTGAGGGCCGGCTCGGGTCGTGGCGCCTGGGTCGAGGAGGGAAAGGTCGATTCTATGGGAGAGACGAGGGAAGCATCTGAGCCATTGGGATGGTATGAGTCTTGGGTACTGATTGGTGAGACATTTCCTGTACCCGTGGAATCAGGTCTCGGCTGTGTTGTTGTCTGCGCGGCGGGGTTCTGGGAAACGAAGTTGGCAACAAGATGAGAGGCTGGATCATGAGAATCACGTTCATTCATGGAAGGGATAGCACGACTGCGGCTATGGTCAGTGGGGAGGGAGTTTTGTGGCACAAGACCAGGGATGGGTCGACTTACAATGGCAACTCTGGTAGAGCCGTAGCCGCGACACTGTTCCGTCGACTATACAAAGACTCGACTTCGGGGATGGTCTCCAAATAGCGCTCATCCATTGTTGGCTCGGGATGTGCGTGGTAGCCCATCTGGGGCTCCGCGGTGTTGTTTCTCTTCCACATGTTGTCAGCTGGGTATTTTTGCGCTTTACCACGGTCCCTTGAGCCCTGCGGAAGGATTGCGACATGCAGCTAGAGGGTAGGTCATAACGAGATCGGGGAGGTTCAGATATCGCACTCGCACAGTGGAGGATTTGCTCAAGTGATGTCTCGAGAGGTGAGGGATAGGTGCGGTGAATGGGGTGAATCTTGTCAATAGACGTGAGGAATAATCGTACTGACCAACTCTGCAGACAACAATTCAATGCAGCATCATCGAGTGATCCGTACTTCGACAAATTGACAAGCTAGTCAGGGGGGTGGGTGCATGTCATGTCATGTCTGGTCTCGTCAGAAAGCGAATTGACGGTGGCACTGATTGGCTGAGGGACGGTGGCAGCGAAGGTGAAACAAACATTGCAGGGTCAAAGACCCAGGGTCATGGGCAGATAAGCCACCAACAGGCCCAGCACTGGAATAGGGATGGGATTCGCCCTCACATAGAGTCCATCGCATTGCGTTTTGTTTGCCCATCTTGGAGCCACCGTCTAGCTATTGGATTTATTTCCAGATAGCTGCGGCGTCGTCACATAGTTTTGCTCGTATCTCCAGCCTCGGATAAACCCAACGGCGCAGGGGGCAGGGGGGACCAGGGACCAAAGTCGCCACGGATTTGTACCACCGTCTGATTTCGGACTGCGAAATTCGGCCTGATGAGGACACTAGCTCTCGTTTCGGGTCTTTATTCAGTCGTCATCTTCACTGTGAAACTGCCACCAGGCCCCCCCCGGTGGCCGTCCACGGATGACCTAGGGGGTCGCAGCCTTGCCTCCCCTTTCTCCTGGCAAGACTCCGATTTGTGGTATGGTCTAAAATTTTGTGCTAGGTTATATGGTACTAGAGAAACTTAATCTTGATACCTTCCGTTCGCAGGCTTCTTCCGCCCGCCTTGACGACCAATGGTGATAAATGGGACCAAAAATAATGCAACGACCGAGCCAACTAGCGACACCCAAAACGTTGCTTGATATGGTCGGTACCTTGACGATCCAGCTCCTTCTGCCGACCCTCCAGCACTGTTGTAGATACTCGTCTGAATCCCCAGTCCCACTGTGGCAGTCAACCTAGTGACCGTGTTGAACAATCCCCCTGCGACCGACTGTTGCTCGCTAGGTAAGCTCGACATCACATACATATTTGTGACGGTGAATTCCAGGTCTTGCGACAGCACACTGAACAGGAGCGCGGGAAAAGTCAGAGCCCAGTAGGAGATAGACGTGGACGTGGCGCTGAAGAGGGCACAGGCAACCACGGCGCTGACGGCCCCGACAATCATGATCAGCTTGTTGCTGATGCGATGCATGATCACGGCCGCGATGACGTTGACGACAATCCCTCCAATCCCAGCCGGCAGCAGCTGGACTGCATTCATCAGGGGAGACAGACGGTCGATCCGCTGCCACATGAGCGTGAGCCAGAAGATATTCCCGGCAAATCCGTAGAATCCAAGACACAGGACCAGGACCACGAGAGTGAAATTGCGATCTTTCCAGACCTTCAGCGGCATCAGAGGATAGCGGAAGATACTTTGCCAGTATATGAAACCGCCAATCAGGACGATTCCCACCACCAGCAAAGTGATCACATAGGACGTGTCCCACCCTCTCGGGGCGTCTCCAGCTAACGTCAACGAAGCGGTGAACATCGCGATCCCCGTCACGGCGAGAAGAGCACCGAGGAGATCGAACTTGAGAAAGGTCTCCATGTTCAGGCCGCCAAGTTTCTGTTCGACATCGTAGGGGGTGGTCCACCAGGCGGCAAGCGTAAAAATGGCATAGATCACAGACATGACCCAGAATGCTGCCCTCCAAGTCGAAATCTGCATGGTCACGCCCGAGATGAAAGCTCCCAAGACGAAGCCGACCGGATTGCCTGCACTGAAGCAGGCAAACGCTCTATTCTTCCGCCGGGACGGCTTTTCATAGACTGCACCCAGCTTTCCGATGGCCGGAGGCACAGAAGCGGCGGAGCTGAGGCCCAGCAGGCCACAGAATACGTTCAGGTAGATTGCATTGGTGGCAAAGCCAGCGATGAGAAGACAAGTGCTGAAGAAAGCCAGGCTGAGTAAGAACAGGAACCGTCTCCCAAACAGATCCGCCACGCGGCCGAAGAAGAGCAAGAAGGTTCCGGCCGCAAGCGTCTGCGCAGCGTTGATCCAAGTCACTTCGGCGGCGGTCATGTTCAGGTCCTCCGCGATGTAGTTGGTCATGCAGATAACGGCACCGGTGAAGATGGAACTTTGGCCCACGGCGACGGTGGTGGTCAGGACAAACAGGCATTCTTGGACGAGACTGCTGAAACACGATGGTCGGCTGCCATGGGGGTCAGACTCGGTGAGCGTCAGTGAAGCACCACCGACAGACGTTGTAGGTTCGATCTTCTCGAAGGGAATGACGGTCTGCGTGTGTTGCGGATTAGCTTCGAGGTCTCCTGCACCGGGATGAGGGTCGAGATTGTGTATTTGTTTCTCCATGGCTCATTCACGGCGTGCTCGCTTCTCCGGAAGCTCTTAGATCTCCAAACATGCAGGAAGCTCAAGACGCGGGAAGGGAAGCTATGATAAGACCAGCATATGTAGCCGATGTCGGGCGCCTATGATAAGCGAAGAGATGATCGAGACATGCCCCCCCCCCAGAAACCAAAATACCGGGAAATAAGAAAAGCGACAAATGACCTACCAGCAAGGAAGAAAAGGGTTCAGGGCATGATGAAAAGTGGGCAAAAGTCAACGCGAGTATATCAGCGCGATCTCGGCAAATTGGAAGATTTGTGGGACGGACGATCCGTCATTATATAAGACTGGATCTCCGTGTCGGATCTATTTCCGCTCTTACTTCCAATGCACATGCTTCTGCTTGGTTCGCTGCTTATCGAACCATTGCAGATATTGACGATGCCCTTGTGATGGATTCTCAGAACGTTGTCGGCGTCGGTGTTGGCGTTTTGCCGACTTACGCGTAGAGTCTTGCATCCCGTTCAATCTGAGTACATGAGCGAAATAAGAATTTTGGTGACTAGACGTACGTTTGATGTTTTTATGACAATGGTGATGTCCCCGCAGACAGTCACAAGAAGATAGCAGATGAGCGGTGCAGGCCGTACTGGGCACCTTATTGTCGAAGAGCCCGGCAAGACGCTAATCGTGATGGTCGAGGCCGCGATGAAGGGTGCTGAGATAGGCATCCTGATCCTGCCTACCTAGGGGTGGATTTTTTACCCCCCCAAGTACGGTAGCCATGCGCAACAACATACTCGTTTGTTTCGACAAAGTTGGGGTGAAATACATGCTATGGTCGCCGGGCGGCGGCGGCGGCCAGACCAGGTCGGCTCTGGCTTTCGCTACTCGTCCGACGAGCTTGCCCTATGGCTCTAGAAGTCGGCAGAGAAGGGGCTCGGGGACACGAATCGCCTCAACGAACGGCTGGTGCTGCTCACGGGCTCGCACCTTGGTGCGAGGTTGACGGTCGCTGGCTACGAGCACGTCGCCATCGAGTTCAGTCGCCGGATCAAGGGCCTGATTGTCTGGTAAGTCGAGCTCGACGCCGCCGCAGCCATTGCGGGTGACGACGATGATGGGAGTCACGATCTGCTGACGGGAGAGGTACGCAGGTCGCCATCGGTGGCCTGCATCTGAGTTCTACAAGCTACCCACGGTAGCAGCATAATGGGAGTCGAAGTTTTCCGGACACCGCAGCAGGATTATAAATAACCTCCAAGAGTTGATCTCGTTCATACAGCCCAACCCGGTAACACACGTCTCGCTGATCGCAATGTTTGGAAGCATCTTTGCCGTAGCAGCCCTCCTGCTCGGCGCAACATGCGCTGCCGAGTGCGGTGCTCAACGTTAGTCGTCCTGGAGACTTTGCAAGTTGGATATCCTCTAACAATTACAAAGCCGTGCAATTGGTTGATCCCAACCTCCGCTTCGCGAACGTGACGTTGGAATCACCCTTTCAGAACTTTACTGTTCTTCAAACCAGCTTTCGTTATCCTCCCGACTGTGGCGAAACAAGCTATCGTGGCAGTGGTCGTATGAAAGGGATGCGGACACTTACCACCGGAGGTGATTCTGGAATGGGAAGAGCTATTGTAATTGCCTACCTGCGCGAAGGGGCTCGGGTTGCCATTAACTACCCTCCTTCAGAAGAAGAAGAAGACGCTCCAGTCCTATCCGACTTCTTGACCCAGGAGGGATTGTCCATCGAAAGCAGCCGTTACCCACACGATCCGCTCCTTGGCCCAACAGCTGTTGCCCCTAGGCATTCGAGTTAATGGCATAGCCCCGCCTCTGGTGCACTCACCATTCCTTGCCGCGGGTGGCTTTTCGAATGAGGATCTCGAGACTGCGTCGCAATTCCTTCAGCTGGGTCGCACGAGATCGCACCGCACTACGTTGATATTGCGGATCCTAGCAAGACATACATGGCCGGTGAGGTTGTGTCTGTCTTCGGAGGTGACCCGGGCTTCTAAACTCAACCGTATAGTTTTGAAAACTGGGCGGTTCAGACTCAATTTGTCCACTTCGGGGGGGCCTTTATTACTGCACCCACTTCAGAGTACCGTGCTTTTCAAAAATCCATGAACGTGCAAGTTTGCTGAGTGAGCGCAACACCATACTGCTGAACGGTTGAACAGTAGCCAGTGCCCTTTATTGGGAAAAAGGGTTATCACTCCTGTGCAGGATATAGGGGTAGGAATAGGAGAAAAGGAGCTAACCAAACGTGTATAAATACCAGCAACCTGGTAGGACTAGTTGCCAAATAACCCGGCCTGTCTCGAACGACAGGTCACCACCTGTTCAACACATTGCATTCGTTCCATTCGGCCTCCTAAGTCTTGAAAGCAGTAGCAGCAACACCAGCCTCGACTTCACTCTCCATGATCCCGTCGACTATTCCTCTTTTGCAGCAATGATATGGGAAGTGGAAGATGCGTCTCAGAGCAAGCGAGAAATACCCTGTTTATCTTCTCAGGCTCGTGAAGCCCCCTATTCTCGCCTTGGTTGAGCGAGCAAGGCTGTGCGAGGCTCCCTTTGCTCCTTCCGGTTTGTTACATCACATTGCCTCCGGGGGAAAAAGACGTATGTGACTGAGAGAAAGAACGGTGGCATTGACCTGCTTCCAACTGCTGAACGTTCCTAGAATTTGGTTCATGTTAAGTAAGCAGAGACGATCATGAAAGAATGTGGGTATAGATCAGGTGTTAAACATGGTATTTTTTGGGTATTCTGTATATACACAGCCTTCTGCCCTCCAGCTCCTTCATCTGGCTTCACCAACCTCATCTACATGTTTCGTCCACCCGTGACTTCAATAGTCTGCCCATTGACATAGGCGAACAGGGGACTACAGACAGCCAGGACACTGCTCGCGGCTTCAGTGGCAGTCCCAGGTCGTCCGAGAGGAATGTCCTTGTACGCATTCTCTGCAGGACCTTTCCGATCGGCGAGCTGGGCACCGGGAATACCCAAGGCAACACGCTGGCCATCGGCAGTCGTGATAAAGGCTCCAGCCTCCTTTGCACGTGTGAGACGGGTGTCAATGTGTCCAAATGCAATGGTGTTGGCGCGGACGCCGAACTACAAAGCCAGTGTCAGATGATGGACAAAGTTAGATTTCCCACCGCGGATAGGAAGCTCACCTGAGGGCCCCATTCTTTGGCGATTGTCTTGGTCAACCCTGTCACTCCAGCCTTGGCCAAGCTGTAGTTGGCCTGTCCTGCATTTCCGTGGGTCCCACTGGTGCTGCTGATGTTGATGATCACCCGCTTCTCGCCGTCCTTGACTCGGAAATACGGTGCCGCTTGCCGAACTAATCTGAAGGGAGCAGTGTTGTGCACATTGAGAATAGTATCCCATTGCTTATCGGTGATTTTGTGAATTACACCATCCCATGTGTATCCAGCATTGTTGACGATGATGTGGATCTTGCCGTTGCCGAACTCGGCCGCTTTCTTGACCAGGACGGGGAAGTAGTTGGGATCAGTAACATCGCCAGGGACACTGATGGCACGGTTCGGCGAGGCGTCGTTAATGGCTTTGGCAACGGCATCGGCCTTGGCTCCGTCAACATCGCACACGACTACCTTGGCTCCTTCGTTGGCAAAGAGCCGGGCGCATTCGGCGCCGATACCTTGGCCAGAACCGGTGATCTGAGGCGATCAGTAAGGGAAAGCCAACGTGCGGAAGGTCGAAGAGGAGCAAATGGGTTTGAGAAAAGCGGGACTTACAATAGCAACCTGTCCCGCGAGCAGGCCGGAAGGGTAATTGAGGTGTGAGGCGATCTGCTGGGCTCGTTGGGCCATGGTGTCGTGTATCTGAAGAGATGGGATGGAGAGAGTGGCTTTGAGAGAAAAGACGCCTCACGATATTATTAAGACGAGAAGGGTGAGCGAGTGAGATATGGAGAGTAACACATTGCGGAGAAGCCATGGGAATTTGTCTGGAAATGTGCCGAGGCAGTTCGGTCGGGCTCTGCCGCTCTGGGGCTCACAAGGCTGCATCTTCTACCGCCAGTCTTCCACAAGGCTGAGCAAGACACTCCCTCTGTAGGCAGGGTTTCAACTTCGTCCATTTTCAGTATTCCGACTTTGACATCTCGATTTTGCGATGCACTGCTCGTTCGTATTCATGATAGCCTGCTGTCGCAGCCACATTATTAGTCTTCAGCGGCCAACACGTTGACTACCGAAGATCAACTCTAAGTCACACCCCATAAGTCATTTGATATCCTCTGACCCTTCATTGGTTTACTGCTCCTTTTCTTAGACATCTCTTCTACAGGATACTTGTTTAGGCTTTCGTAAAGCTGCAAGTAGCTGCCAATCAGGAAAGCCCAAGAGCCCCTTAGAAGGAAACAGTGTCAGCCCTGGTCCGCAAATTCATCAACACCCTGAGGGGAGAGATGCAAATCTTACCAAAATGTAGCCAATCCAGCCTGGTACTGCGCTCCTGAATTTCCATATGCCATACCCAATGCGCCACAGAGCGTGAATCCCACGGCGCCAACAAGATTCCAGAATCCAATGTGCCAGCCCAGAATACGAAATGCAGGGATATACCATCTCTTCTGAGTTTCGAGCATATATAGTATACTGCTCACAATGAAACCACTGCCACCCATCACCTGTGGGATCCAGTACGCTCCGTTCAGAGCACTTTGAGAATTTAGATGATCAATGATACCAGGGAGAGCGGTGAATCCAGAAATGCCGAAAATCGTCGCACCGAATAATTGAACCGCTCCTGCTAGAAAGCCTAGTTCGTGCAAATAATGCGTGTGAAGGTCATGCCATGATGGGAACCACTGCCAGCTTTGTCCGTTCTGTGCGTCCGGTCCGGCCGATTGTACCTCTGGCACGGTGGAGGGGGAACTTTTCCCGACAAAGTTGTGCCTGTTCTGGTGATGGTGGCGGCAGTGATGTCGATTCGCAGTGACTCGTACCTTGGATTTGCCGCCGTTCTCGTGGTCGAGAACTTGTTCTACGGCCCATCCAAAACAGCCTGGATTATTCGCATTGATTGCTTCGAGGACCAGAAGAATTGACCCGGTCTCGAAGAATATAATGGCTCCAACGAAGGCCGTAATGCCGCCTCCGTACAGGATTTCATTGTGGAACTGGGTAGAGGGAGCCACGGCCGGCAACCAAACGAAGAAGCCCTACGTCATCCAGTTAGTTTGCTGTCCTTGCCTTGCCTGTGGTTCTACATACATTCAAGACCCACACCATACTTCCCAACGTGAAGATAAAAGCCACGAGCCAGGAAATATCCCACACTGGAAAATAAGTAAAGGTCTTCTTGATGTTCCTCAGGACTTCCCTGGGATGAGACGTGAGGCGGGGTACTAGGAAACGGGAGTCTTCTCCAGGAGCTGGTCTTTCGACAAGCAGGGCATGACGGCCCTTGCGATTGTCGCGAGAACGCCAAAGAAATCTGACATGTTTTGCTGGGTAATTTGGATCGGAGTCGTCGTGCTTCGTGAAATCACGGTCAGGCTCCACCTTCGCGTGGGTTGTCGTAACGCCGCTTTTCGATGTCGTCAAGACAGAATAGAGGAAGTGAGCTCTAGTCGGATTGAGAAATCCGAACGGCCCCCCGGCGCGTTCCAGTTTCAAGTTCAAGGCGTCATCCTGGAACAGCCGTCGTGCGCGAAAATGCTTGTTTCTGCTAGTCATGACGGCCAGTCTGTCATAAGGCTTGATTTGAGGTGCAGTCTAGGACGGTCCAACTCTCCATGTCTTCCTACTATTTCAAGCAGAGGAAGGGGTTGACAACGCGGGAAAGCAAAAATTCCCCTGACAAAACAACCGTCATGTTGTGGCCGAATTTCTTTCGTCAGACGGTCCCACTTTTCCCATTAGAACCAACGGTCTTTCTGTCATCTGCTGACTGAGTCCTCGTCAATGCTGACTGGACAGACTTTCTCATTGCTACAAGAGCTTCTACTGTTCGTTTCAAGACACCTCTAGCCTACACGTGGTCGGAAATTTTGCCTTGACTGCTCTGCAATGGGAATGTTGACCCATTTTCGCCTCCAATCACCACGGTGGCCTGCTCACCTCATCCAGGAAGAAGAAAGGGTATTCTATACTCTGAATGGGTTGTTGAGATCAAATTGATATCCACATGAGAGTTGGGGAATTTGGGAGTAGTGCTCTTGAAGGAGTGCCCTCGTATTTTGTAAGATCTAGAACGGGTTACTGGTCATTTTCACGCACTCTGGGGTAATTGACTCACCTGCACATACGACAGATTCCAATGGATATCGGTCTTCATTGTCTCCAGGAACGCCCAGGACATGGCACCTTTATTCCTCCGGGTCAGTAGGGTCGTATGCCCCGCCAAAAGAAAGGGGGGTGGCTATCGACACTCACCGACATGCCGTCCGTTGATAAATGCATCGGCCGAAGTCTGCTCATCTTTGCATCCGGAGAACATGAAAACAGATTTGCGTTCCTGAGCCCATTCGTCCTCGAAGTCGTCCACAGCGTGCAGTCCTTCAGAATAGTCGCCTTCGTATTGATGCTTGAGTCCTCTGAAAAAGCTTGTGGCTCCGGCTAGAAGATGCCGCGCCTCTCCCAGGCCGTCAAACGCAAAATCCCCCCGAATGAGATGAGATGCCTGGAGATGTCAGGAAGGATACTTCGTTCCCCAAAAGATGGTCGACGTATACCAACCTCGCCAATCAGCTCGGCTCCGGCCCTGAGGTTGTCCATTAGATTGACATTGCCGTCTTCATCTGTTCGGTATACGAAGGGAAGTTCAACCGCTGAACCACTGTCCGAATCAGCAAGTCTTGGTCACTGTTGCGGGAGGCACTCCAACCTGTGGCAACAATCAAAGATAATAAACAGGGTGCTACCGGGAGCCAAAGCACTGACTAGATGTCGATGCAGCACATCACTGGGAATCTGGCCATTCACCTCCCAGTCGACGGGCACAATTGTGTCGTTGAAGCCAGATTCGCGCTCTCCGTCGGGATCCGGCACCTGTCCACCGTGTCCCGAATAATGTAGAAAGCACATACAGCCAGGTTCACTAACTAACCAATTCATAGCTGCTAGTATATTGTGACCCGAGGGCCAAAAAGGAGTGTTGGGACAATTCATATCGGTCAACACGACCATATCGGTGGGATGATTGCTATAGCCCCGCGAAACCAGGAACTCGGCCACGTTGCCTACATCGTCAACGCAGCCCTGAAGCTGGTGCTGAGAGCCAATATAGTTGATGCCAATAAGCAATGCTTTCCGTTGACTCATTTTCGGGCCTGGAGAGATAGGAGTCAACGGGCCCAGATGAGTTGTATATTTGGTGAGAAAGCTCATTCAGTCTGCAAGAATAGAACCATGCCCCCTGCATACCTAGGTGCAGCGGACCGGTCACCGCAGGTAAACGGTTGGTCGCGGTGCATCATGTGCAGCCAGATAGAATAGCCAGACACATCAGCCAAAGCTTCACCCGGGAAAACTTTTCGATATTGGCCCCCGTCCTGGCTTCATTTCTGGCTGTATGAATGAGAGAATTGTAAGACAAGGTTAAAGACGCAGTCACCGGTCACTGGCGATCAACTCACTTCCTGATGACGACATGCACAGCAACAAACGACGGGCGACGATGGATGCCCTTGGCGAGACTGTCTACCTAGGTTATTGTATCAACAAGACCGCCTCTCAATGCAACCGCAACATAAACCTTCAAGCTTAGCTTCCATCCAGTACGTCCAATATGTCCCACAAATTTTTCGTAGCTTGGCCCACGACAAATACGAAATATCTCTACCAGTGATTCCATCTTCTGTTCTTCGCCGGCCGCTTTCCAACGGGCGGACAGCGCTCAGGTTCCAATATATATCCCATTGAACATCCTCAATGTTCACCTGCTCCTGTGACAACTCCGCTTGGCACCGTAGAAAATAAAACTGTTAGAAAAGGTACAACTCGTTACCTCGTAGACACATAAAGAACCGGATTCGACCGCACCCTTTTGTTGTTCACACATCGATACTAAACCATTCGCAAATACAGTTGGACCCCATTTGCTGCACCGTATCTGGGCCACGTTTGCGAATTGCCATCCTGCTTCCTCCTGTGGAGGCGGCTGGGGTATATTCACTCTCTTCAATGCAAATGGTCGGTATCTCGGGTATCGGCACGATTTGCCAGTTGTTAAGAACTTGCATCTGCTGGCAATAGGGCTGTATGTTGTTCTCTGGCTTGCGCTTCTCTACCATCTTCACCAATTTGGGGAAATACGACGAGCCGACCGGTGCCTGACGTCGAATTTTCGGGTCACCCATATGCCCATCTTCGGTGGGCTCACTCGGGTATGGAGTAGTCATTGATGGATCAAGCGTGGTCGATTGGGTTATATGCATTGGAGATGATGGCGAAGAACCATACACAGCGGCACTGGTGGCCGTGGGGTCCCCAGATGTGATGGTGGCAGCAGAGCCCGAGGCACTCGAGTCATCATCGTCGGTGGTGTCCTGGTCCAAAAATACCCAAAACTCGCTGATTGTCGAATTCCAGAAGCAGTACCATGGTTGATCACCAACGCTGAGATAGTCCGCGGTCCATATATCATCACCCCTTTGCTCCAGATGAGATGCGGGAACCGATCGTTTCTTCGGACCAGAAGGAGTGAGTTCATCGGAATGTACTAAAGCACATTGTCAGTGGTTAGATATACGAGTTGCGCGAGGATAACGCACAAATGCTAAGCTTGTCAAACAGGACGCTAAAGAACAAGGCGACACCAAGTTCGTCGTCTTCCTTGTCCTTATAGGGCTGTAGCGTGAAGGCTGTACCATTGAAGTCGGGCGGCTGTGGACCATATTTGAACAGTTGAGGCCTCACAGAGTAGTCGTCGAAGACCACCGAAAGGGGTGGACCACCGTTCCCGCTTTCAAACACATCAACTCCAAGCTTGGGAAAATTTCCACAGTCCCAGATGTGTGCATATGTGCCATCGACAACGCACGCGTCAATTTCTTGCGTTTGATTGAGGGGGATAGTAAAATGTCCGGTCGGGCAAGCGGGTGTTGATGGGCCTGTTTGGGCAGGATCCGCGTCGAGCCAAACCGTCGTGGTGGCTCCTGAACTGGACGAAAGTCAGTGAACTGTGCGTCATCTTTTTTTCCTCTTCCTGAACGTACGCAAGAGCTCGATCTGTTCCCTTTTTGGTGCCTACGATTCCACCGACCACGCCACCCAGTACAGCTGCCAAAACCACTACTGCTACCAGGATGACCATGGTCCACACTGGCAGTCCGCAGCAAGTCCTCCTCCTCTTCTTCTTTTCGCTCATACCTTCTTTCCGTGCAGTTTCCTCAGCACCAGGTCCAGACCTCACTGCGGTCAGTTCCACGTCAGACGCGGAGGATGTCGGGGGTTGGGTGGCTGCAGCGGTCGTTGAATCTTCACTGGTACTGGTTCTTTGCGGATCTATCCTCGCCATATCGCCTTTTGCAATGACATTGTCGGCGTACCGACTATATGGGGGTAACTGCTCGACGTGGCCGTCAGTTCCCACAATATCACCCACATCGTCCCCTGATGAATTTGTTCCCGGTTGATATGATTGCCCTAGCCCTGGGAACCCTAGAGGTATATTTGTCTCTGGATTATCGCCTTCTTCAGGGACCGTATTTTGCGGGTACATCGAATATGGGTGTTCTGGACCACCCTGAGGAACAAACGGTCGCTCCAGGGGTCTGATGGTAGACTCGCTAGCAATGCTCGAGGCACGAGTAGCCTGAGGATATAACCCATATGGTTGACTCGGTGCCGTCGGTCCCCGGTAGGGACTCTGAGCTCGGGGCATAGAAAATCGAGAGGAGGTGCTGAGGGTTCTTCGCGAATCAGCCATGGAACGGGAAGAGGTCGATACGGCTCGGTGGGGATCGGCGGATGATTCGGCTGGAAAGGGTCGGTGGGAGGTGGAAAGACGGTTGAGGCCTGTAAGAGGAGCATTTTGCACATTGTCACGGCGGCCCAGGTTCAGGCGTTCGGGTTGGCCATCGATTGAGCCCGTTGGACTCGGGCTAGCTAGGGCTTCAGCAGGGTCGACTGCGTATTCGTCACTGAAGACATTCGGATTGGACGGCTCGACTGATGCCCTCCTGGACATATTCTCGTCTCCCATCGATAACGATCGTCGTGAAGGGAGTCGTCGCGCCATTGGCGCTGCGCCACCTCTTTCGGAGACCTGCTCTAGAAACCGCGATAAGGGACCACTCGGAACGAACGGGGGGTGGAAACGAGTTGGAGGAGATGTATCTCGAGATTCGAGGTATGAGAAGGCGTGTCTGAGGATGGGAGAAGGAGGAAGGTGACGACCTTTGTCGTTGACGGTTGATGACTTGTGGTTCAGGGCCTCAGGTTTCATTAAGCCCTTGACTAAACTCGTAGAAGTAGTAGCCGACTGGGACTAGCCTGGTTGCCCGACCCGCGGGGTCTTGGCAGCCTCTGGAAAACAAGCGCCTTATCATCTAGCCAGAGCCGATCTTATCCGATTCGAGTCCCGGAGTTGGCTAAATAGACATTCTGCCTGGCCAACATCCTTCTTCATTGTTAACCCTGCCGGCAGGGGGCCGTATAATAATCCTTCTGCCGCACTGTAAAGCGGCTGGCACTTTGTGACCATGACGGCCGCCGCCGAGGTCCAAAATCTTCTGCGATTCCTGACCAAAGATGCGCGCCTTTCCTTGGCGGATGCAATGTCCAAAATCAATGCCCTTCGAAAACAGCAGCTGAATACCCCCGAGAACATCTCTAAAGCCGATGAGGCCAATCTCAAGTCTATCTTTGCCGATGAGAAAGTGTTGAAGCAGGTCATCAATGCCGCAAAACGGGTATCGAATCCCAAGAAGCGATCGTCAGGCCAGACAAGTTCTCCTCCCTCGAAGCGTGCGAAAATAGAGTCAGATGAATTCGACGACGAATCCTGCCTCACATTGCCTCAGACAGACCTCTCCATCGACGAGATTGGGAAGATGATCATTGACACAAACCGAGCACCGCTCTTTCTCGCTTTCACGATTACCGTTCTCGCCTACACCCATCCTGAACAACCCCTATCGAGCCGATTGAGTCTAGCGCAAGCTGTCGTTAGTGCAGGTGCGCAAAGCAAGGCCAAATACCTTGGTTTAACAACGGGCCCTACTCCGGAGGAGGATGGATGGGCACAAGGCCAGCCAAAGGTGAAAATAATGGGCCGGGAAGTTGCAGTGATGCGGAGGCATGTGGTGTCGAAACAAGAAGACGACAACGCTCCCAGCACTGCTTTTTGGGGTTTGGATCTGGAAGCGCTTCGCAGGTCAAATGGCCCTCTGATTGCTGGTAAGGACAGTAAAGGTCACGAAGGGCCGCCCATACATAAACCTGCCGCGGCTCGAAATTATCTGCTGAAGTCAATGATGGCGGTTGATTCTGGCGCGAGAGCACCAAGTCAAGATGGGGGAAAATCAGAGACGGTTGTCAAAAAGAACCCCAAGGATACGAGCCGCAAGAAGGAAGAGGCCGCGGCAGTAGTTCTCAAAGCCATCGACGTTGTCTGTGAAAGCTGGGCGGATTCCTTAACGAGGGAAGAATTAGATCAAAAAGCGCAGTCTTGGTATGTCCGCGCTCGGCCAGATGTGGCTCAAGGACAGGCAGGCTGGGGACAGAGAGGTCAAGTGCGTCTGGAAGATATTCTGCGCCTGAAAAAGGGATGAAGTCAAGGTCTCTCTTGAAAATTTTGAAGCAGTAAGGACACGGCGAGGAGTCACGCCGACCCTGCCAGCGTCGATTTCATGGAACCAAACCCAGACTACGGACGATATGTTGACGCTCAAAGCAGATCACAGCGCAAGCAGCCTCAGGCCACTCTACCCATCGAAATCATGTTCCTCAGCTTTTGATTCTCACCAATATCCAATTCTAATTACCCTTCTTCGGCCCGACGTCACCTATCAGAGTCAGATCAAGGCACAAAGATTATGGCGAGTTGGATGTTACCCTGCCAGAACTTCTTATCCACCTTATTATCCTCTTCCCCGAGCTGGTTCGTCGTCCTCTCACTTCGCTGCTCCATCTCTTCATTGTGCTTCCTCACTTCCGGGTCATCTATCTCGGCGGCCGACTTGGGACGGTGAATGACGGGTCTGGCTCCCTGACTGGTGTTGTCGCTGCTGTTGTTTGATTGGGACCGAGAAGAGGATGATGCGGTGCCTTTCCTCGCTGGGGCTTCCGGGCCGGGATGTTCAAAGTGGGCTTTGGGGTTTTTTTCATCTGTGCCCTGTTGCATCCCGGATTGTTCATTTCCATAAGATTGGTGAGCAAATCTTGTTTGCTGAGGATGGAAGGGAACTGGAGGCTGACGCGAAATTCGAGGATACCTGGCATGCAGATGCAGGAATGATTGCATGCTGGCGACTTAATGAAGTGTATTGAAGTCGGCGCAAAGGTGTTTTTGCAATTCTTCAGGATACGAGTCACGAATGAAGGAGAGCTGGTCTATCAGAAAAAATCGAAGTCCCTTGGTTTACGCCTTCATGACTTCATCGCATGCCAAGGCCAGTGCATCATTCCCCGTCCAAGGATTAACCTGGTACGATCAACCTATTGTTTTGGGCTGCAAGCGGAATATCTCCTGCCTCGGTGTCTCTGTTGCTGTACATAATATACTCGAACTATGGCTCAAAACCTGCGGACATCTAGCCTAATGCCGCCAAATACATCCCGTGCAGTATTGGCTGTAATGGGTTTGTAGGTACAGTACCTAGATGTCTCGTGATGTAAATAATTGTAACAGGAGATCCATCGTGAGGCACCCACCCACTCGGATTCGCGTGTTTCTCCCCCCGCATCATCACGAGCGGATGTATGAGTTGGCAATTCCGGGTTGAATTTTGCTTCTTATGTAGGGAATCTCGTCCGGACCGGTTTCCCGCACTCGCTCTGTAAGTACCTGCACCTCACGTAGTTACGATCCCACTGGTTCTCAACCTTGGACCTTTGAGCTTTTGCGCCACATCTCATGTGAACGTGTAACCAAAAACACCGTGACGTCAAAAGTTGGCACAGACAATCTGTCACTTCCTCTTTCCTGATGATTTGAAGTCTCGAGACTCGTCGTAGTTTTGTTTCTTACTTTCCCTTCCTCGATCATTGTCCTTCTAAGATACCTACCTACCGATTCATCTAAAACTCCTCACGGAATCAGCTACCCACCATGAAGTTGTCCCTCTCCAAATTCCTCATCGTTGCTCTCGCTTCGACTCAAGTCGCCGTAGCCGGCACCTGGTTCGGTAGGACCGGTATGATTGAAAGCCCCTCAGTCAATGCAGCCCCATGCTTACCTTATTTCAAGTCTACAACAAGTGGCACGAGACCGAGCTCGAGCGCTGGCTCTCCGACCATGATATTCCCTATCCTACCCCCGCAGATAGGAAAGACCTCGAAAACCTGGTCAGAGAGAACTGGCAGGCAAAAGCTGTCGACCCGGTCGCTGCAGCTGGAGACAAAGCCAACGAGAACTATGGTAGTGTCAAAGACTGGATTTTCGACAGGTAAGCTTACCAACGGAGCACAAGGTCAAGCTCCATCGAGTGACACCCAACAGCTGGACAGAGTCCTCCCTGAAAGCTTTCCTCGACCATCATAACATTCCCCCCCCTCAGCCACGTACGCGAGACAGCCTCTTGACCACCGCTCGTCAGAATTATGATGCCATCGCAAAGAAACTGGGCGAATATGCGTCATACCCTGGCGACTGGCTTTATTCGATGTGGTCGGAATCTGAACTCAAAGAATTCCTCGATGAGCGTGGTCTTCCTGCCCCGCAGCCCACCACCCGCGACAAACTCATTGCACACGTCCGACGAAACGCTCGTCTAGCAGCCCTCAACATGTCTTCTGCGGCATCCGCCGCAAGTGCGTCATATTCTCGTAGCATCTCTGAGGTTAGCAAGTCGGCCGCCAGTGCACAGGCGAGCTTGAGTGACATGCTCTTCGATGCATGGTCTGAAAGCCAATTGAAAGAATTCCTTGATACCCATGGAGTTCCCGTTCCGCAAGGTAGCAAGAAGAACGAACTGATCGCCTTGGCTCGTAAACACCGTCATCAGCTTGAGAGCAGCGCATCATCGCTTTCCGGGTCGGCTGCTTCGGCGTATGGAGCTGCCACTTCATCTGCCGGTAATGAGTACGCCAAAGCCACCGACGATGCTTCTCTCGTGGCCGAAGATGCTTTCAACAGAGCTGTTGAAATGTGGTCAGAATCTCGTCTCAAAGCTTATCTTGACTCCCGAGGTGTCCCAGTTCCTCAGGGCAGCAAGCGTGATGAGCTGTTGAAACAGGTCCGATTGAACAAACACAAGGCCGCTACCGCGTGGTCCGCATGGACCTTCGACACCTGGACGGTCGAGAACCTTCAGAAATACCTTGAGACGCACGGCAAGAAGACGAAGAAAAATGCCCAAGCCAGCCGTGACGAACTTCTCAAACAAGCCCAAGATACCTACGCCTCTGCTTCCAAGGCCGGTGGCTCCAACTATGCCTCGGTGACCAGCTATCTTGCTAAACAAACCGATGCTGCAAAGGACACAGTATTCGACACTTGGTCGGACCGCGAATTGAAGTCTTATCTCGATAGCTATGGCATCTCCAACTATCAAGGCTCCACCACCGACCAGCTCCGAGCCGAGGCCCGGAAGCAAGCCACTTATTTCCGATACGGAACTTCGTCTCCCCCAGGAACCATCCTCGAACAAATTAAGAATGGTTGGCAGTGGATTCTAGGACAAGTTCAAGGGCCAGCGGCTTCTGCTTCTGCAAGCTCCGCGGCCAGTGCTGCTTCCAGGAGTGCAGCTGATGCCAAAGCCGAGCTGTGAAAGGATTGGAAATGATTAACTAAGAATTCAGACAAAGAATCATTCGGATCGGGATGAGGACCAGGGAGTTGGTCGATCGATCAATACTTCAAGCCTGAGTTTGGCGGATGAATAGCCTATGCACGGTACCCCTAGAGCTTGAGAACTACAATAGCAACGTCATGGTGACGAATATAAAAGGCCGTCCTTTGATGGAATCCACATGATTGTTTTCCTCCAATCCTTCTCTGAGGAGAAACAGCGACAATTCAATGGAAATCGGTCTTTTTAAATGCCACCAATTTGCCAACAACAAGATACTGGCTAGGTGTGAGTGAAACCCTGTTCACCGAATGCCAAGCAAACATTCCGGGTCAAAACTCACCTTCTCATCAAACCTCTCGATCCACCCATTCAAATTCTCAATCTGTTCAGGCGTCAGATCCTTACAATCATCTAGCGGCCCGTCGAGGTCCTTGGTCAACATCTCCTCATCAAAACTCTGACAGGCCAGGCCCCTCGTGGCATCACGGCCCGCAAAGTTTTCATAAGGGCCACCGGGTCCATAGAAATTGCGCCCGCTGCTCACATCGTATACTTTGCCCTTGACCGCGAGGTAGACGGGCCTGTTGTCTTTGCCATTGTACTTGAGTAGCGTGCGCGGCGTGTAGGTTTGGAAAACGATCGGTGAAGGACCCTTGGGGAGGCTCGGTGGCTCTGAGGGCCGTAGACGAAGGTACAGGATCGTAAGCAGGATGAGGGCGAGGGTGATGTTGAGCGGTGTCGCGACGGCGTAGCTGATTGTTAGTTAGTTGAGAGGATGCAAAGGCAGAGAACGGGACGCACATGGATTCTCGCATTTTTTCGTTGTATGCTTCGACTTCTGCTAGAGTCAGATTCAGGTCCATGTATCCAAGCCGGGGGATTGAGGCGCACCTGGTGGTATTCCGCTCATTTTGATGGATGACACTGCAAGTGGCACTTGTGACAAGACCGACTAGATCAAATTGGAGAGTGAGGATGATGCCACAGGGAGAGAATTGTAAATTAGAAGAAAGGTTTGTGAACTCCGTTTCCCGGATTCTTATATCGTACAAGGTCTCCTGCGGGGCGGGGCCGTGGTGGGGATCCCGAAACATTGTGGTGGTATTTATGTAAGCCGACTTCTCCTTACATCAAAGCTACGGGTAGAGAGGCCCTCCATGATCTGTATTTATAGAGACTTCAAACACAATTTGCTCTTTCCCACTCTCACTTATGTTAATGACAATATTTTCCCCCGTCGTCCCGATGCTCTTCATACTCCCCCCGCAACCGAATAAAAGCAATATCCTTGAGCCTCTCAACCAGGAATAACTTGCGAGAGGTCAACCTGAACGCTCGAGATGCTTCAAGGGCGTCCACCTATTCCTTCCCATGCTGAGCTAAGCCGCATGCAGATTGCGTTGACTGGTCCGCCAACATCCCAGCTCTTTGTCTGGGACTTGCGCTTCCATCGAGACCGGAATGGAATTTAGCTTGGAGCTCAGTCGTGTATCGTGCTCATAGCGAAGACTCGTGGCAACTGAGGCGTGGTTTGGGCGGTCTTGTTGAGAACGTGGAGCTCGTGCTTTGAGCTTTTTGACCCGCTAGAAGTATTGATTGGAAAGCGTTTTAAAGCATGCAGAGACAAGATTACACCAAATCCAACGAATCCTCTTCCACCATGTCTTAGCGAGAGTAGAAGTCATTCAAGGGAACAGCAACTGTTATGGTTAGCAACGTAGGTCAACATGGTACCAACGTGTTTGACTTCAATTCCCCCATTCAAATAAATGTTAGCCTAAACCCTAGGGTAGCCATGGTCCACCACAATCCGTTCTCACGAGTTACAACAAGTTTGAACATCGTGCAGCGAGCGAAGAGATTCATAAGAGACCGATGCTGTACTTCAGGAACTGCGGTAGGGCTAGCAGAAGAAACCTAAACCATGATTGCGAGAATGACAATGCTGAGAACTGGGACGACTTTCATTGGCCGCAAGAGTCTCTGCTGGGAAATCGTGCCGAAGCAATCTGAAAGAGTATCTCTTTCCGCATATCGTTTCGGCTATGAGCCGTGTGGCCACAGATGGACCCTAGTCCGGTAAAATTGATTTGGCAAAGTGACTGTTCCCAAAGTTGAGACTCTGATCTAACTACCGAAAAGGGGTTGGCGCAGCTGCGTTTTAGGAAAGATGCTTCCCCGTAATAGCCGGCCGCGCTTTTGCATCGACGTACGCCAAAAATGTCCAAGATATCACTGAGACTCAATTTTTGGCGACCCGGGCGGAATCAATTACCATTGCTGGCTCGAAAATTTATTCTCTTCAAGTTGGTGTCATCTATCACATCATTATGCGATAGCTGGCTGGCCTCCAAATGTGTCTCCTTGAGCTCCCCTCTCCCAGGCCATGCGCAAATGCTTTAAGCAGGCCCAGTCCAGAAGATATTTTTCCTGCTACTGGTCTCCGTCGCGTCTCTCTGCTAGGGACATTCGATCGTACCAAAGTTTCATCCGCTTAAGAAAGCCTTCCCGAGTCCCGTTCTCGAATTTCTCCCGCCATTTCTTCTCTTCCCAGCAGAGAAGCCCGGGTCAAGATGACCTCTCCTCTCTTCCTTCGGCAGCAGAAACAGACGTCCAAAAGGTGACAATTGGCGATGACATTGGACCGACAGAGAGGCCGCAAGATTATCCTCAATACTGGGTGGCTCTGCTGGAGAAATTCCTACCCGAAGATTTGAGTCTGTCAGATCAGCCAGTATCTCACACAGCCTCTCCGGATAAATCACGCTTCAAAAATGTGCTCGAAATCCTCACCGAAGCTCAATCTCAGCGCAATTTGGACATTTTGGCCTATATGGTACTAAAGCAGTGCCGGCACAGGGCTGTTATATACTTGGTCGAATTGTTTCTGAAGCCTGCTGCAGTCGCCACGGATTTCCGCAAGGAGAGGCCGCCTTCCAATATAACTTGGCCGATTACATCGTTGTGTAATTATCAAGGTTGGCCAGTCGAACTTGATCTGGAGTCTCACGTCGACAGATGGGCGCCAGCAGCGTGGCTCCGGCCTTTCAACCCCGATTGTGATACAATCCCGGCGGAAACGGCAATGCAATTGGTCTGGCCTTTTCTGGCTGAATTGGTCATCGCCGCCGCCGAACAACCCGAGGAGGAGGCCAGATTGATCATGAATACAGTCTATCAGATCATTGCTCGGATCCATAATTTCGGTTTGGTCCCTGAAAATCTCTACACCTACTCCTTGCCCAAAGGCACCACAGCTGTCCAGCAGCCACCAATTCTTAGCTTGTTGAGCTCAAGAATTCTTTCAACGCTTTCGGACGCCGTTTGGCGCGCACATCAGGAAGAAACAATCGCACGAATGGAAAGGGAAGGAAAGCAATTTTGGCGTTTCTTTGAAGATGCCCCAGGTGGTCGCTTTCGCCTCAAAGTCCGTGAACTTGGACCAGAAGTGTGGTTGGAATTCATTCTTTGGTGCTGTGTTGAAGGAGGATTTGCTGCTGCGGGGACTCGAATTATCAACTCGTTGCGTCAACAAGTTGATCATCCGTGGTACGCCCTTCATTGGACAACGGGCCAGTGTATAGACACTCAAGTCCCAAAGATCGACTGGGATAGGGTCGATCGTCGTCTCGGAGGGACGGTGGGCCGAATAGAAGGTTACAGTTTCGACAGACCTTTTGCAGAAATGCCACCGCGAACCATTAGCGCCGAAGTTGTCCTTGCCCTCGTGGACTGCTTGATCAACAGTGTCGATCTCGAAATCGCGGGAAAGAAACTGCCACCGGATCAAGTTCAAGATCAGCTCAGCAATGTTGTGTCGTTTCTTGAACCCCACGGACTGACTCCTACATATTTCGACTACCTGGCTATTCGATTTTTGGAAGCCGAGAGGATAGGAATTCATGCGAGGGCTCCTGGATTGCGGAAGTGGGCTTCCACTCTCTCCAGATTACGCACTTTAAAGGTCGTACGACGACGACGACGTCGTCCTCGTCCAAAATCTGGACTCAGCTTTGATTCTGTGGTAAATCACTCCGAGTTACAAGCAGGAATTCTTCATCAAGCACTCCAGGCTTGTATTAATTCAAATCTCACGACAAAAGCCCTCAATACCTTGACCGACATTCAGAAGCTTGTGGATGGCAATAAGCTAGAAGCAATCAGCCAATTTCTTTCTCTTCCAATGCGTCCAGAACATGGGTTCTTTACTTCCAGACCCGGCAAACGTCACTCCGAATTTATCAATTCATATGGTCAACTTCCGACATATAAGCTGGTGCCAATTCTGAATATGGTCACTCATGCCAAGTTATTTGGCCTCGGAGACTGGCTTCTTAATTCGCAGGATGTTGATGGCCCTGTCATCCCATTCTCGGTCTGGCGTCAACCTTCTATCGCAACTGCAATCATTCGCTATGCCGTCGGAAAAAATGACCCTGCCCTGATAAGCTCCGTTCTGGTTGCTCGTAAAAACTCAAAGAGAAAGCCGACCGTGAACCTATTGAGAGCTCTGACCAACTCTCAAATCATTTTCCGCGATTGGGACAATGCGGTCTTTCTTCTCGAAGAACTGCAACGAGCTGAGGGTGGTGGATACAGTCCAGATATCGTTGCGAGTCTTGCCGCCTCAATTTTGCGAATGGAAGATGAATCAAGGAAAATGCAACATGATAGCACTGACAACGGTTTGCATCACGCACAGTCGCTACTCGGTGATATATTGCAAGGCCATTATGATGCTCCGAAGAGCGGCTTCAGGACGGATCAGAGACGAGAATTTCGACGGCAGATAGGGTTTTTGTTGCGTTTCTTGGAAAACATCCCAGACAGCAGCGTGCAGAATATCGCCGTTCAGTTCAAGACACAGTTTCCGGCCAGCAATATGGCGGGTCTGTCCAAAGACACGTTCAATATTGTATTCTCTGCAGTCGTGGAGACTAAAGGAGCCTTGGAGGGTCGTCGGATGTGGGACTTATTTTGCATGCATCCTAGAGTCTCTTCGGCCTCCAACGAGACACATGCACCCGGTTCTTTCGGTCGCATTCCGAAAACGGGGTCTTCTGGAGATGATGAAGGAGAGATCACTTCTGATCGACGCCGTCCTGACCGAACATCTGTAACACAGAGGGATGATAGGGCAAATCAATCTGAACCCGATGCGGGCTCAGCTTATACTGAGTCAAACCAGGATGCCCTGCTTGATGGTGAAGCCTTGCAAACTGGTCTAATCAGCACTTCCCCTCTTAAAGACAGCGCCTCTTCATCTAATCCGATTGTCGTCCCCAATATACAAACGCTACAAATTCTTGTTAAAGGTGCGTTGGCTCAGCAAAATTCGAGACAACATGCTCCGAAACACACCGAGGCTGAGCTTGATGAGCTCCTTCATTGGGTCGAACCTTTGTACCGAGCCTTTGGTATGTCTGAAGAAGACGTCGACGCAGAACTTCACATGTGGACCACACTGCCTCGGCAGACGAAGTTCCAGAAGACATTGGGCAGATTCCAAAACAAACGAGCCCAGTTGCGTGAGAGGAGTAACCCAGACATCCGAATCCATTTCTCTAGAGGAGCGTATTCTCCAAGACGACCTGGTGATGCCTTCACCCAGCCAACTCTCGCACCGGGGCGAAAATGAGTGGGACGGACAAGTATTGACCACGAAGGATGCCGAAGTTGCCCGAGACTTCGGTGGATTCGATCCAGCGAGAATCCCACTTAATGGTCTTTGAATTTTGCGGCCGTCCTAATGGATATATTGTCCTGTGGATACCGGCCGCTTTATGACTCGGGCCGATGTCATGTCGGAACAATGGTGTCCAGGAACCGTCAATTGAGAACAAAGTTCATGATACCAGGACATATTCTAGCCCTTCGGTGTATATATATGTATGTATTCTACAATCTCGGATACCACGAACATTGAGGATTGAATAAATGAATCTGTTGCGCAAACCGTCCATAATAGCTGGCCACTATTCAATGCCAACACCCCGGCGGTTCGGAATGAAGTCAGCTTCGCTTCCTGGAGTACAGCCTCTCTGTGTTGGCGTCTCTCTTCACATTTGTGACAATGTCCCCACCAGAGAGCATCGAGCTGTTATACACCATGTAACAAATTCAGTCTACACCTTGATTGCACCAACGCTTTCTGCTCCTGTTTTCTCCATCGTCACCGCCCCAAACTTTGATCTCCCCATACTTACACAGCGGCACGGACGGCAAAACCCACCGGACCCGAGCAAACCAGAAGACTTCATAGACTCGAACTCTCTCGGCCCAAACCATATATTCACTCTACCACTCGTGTTTGTTTACTCCCGCCGCCCTTCCACCCTTGTTCCGGCCACACCCACGGGCGGGGATCTTATCCAAGCCAGCTTTCGCCGCTTCCCGAGCGAATTTCTACATGAAGAGGATGGCAGACGTGGTGTCGCGGTCGTTGATGGGGAAGACATAGTTTACCAGTGCCAGTGTGATGTTGAAGGTTTTGGCCAAGTCGTATTGTTCGAGGAGAGAGTGGGCAACGTCGGAGAAGAATTTGTGGCCTGATTTAGTGAGGAATTCTTCTCTCATCCTATGAGTAGAGGTTGTGTTTGTATGGTAGGGGAAAGAAGATGGGTGGAAATTTAGAATTAGAGGGACAAGGGGACGGACATACTCATTCAGAATTTTTCGTCTCCATGAAGGTGTTATGGCATCTATATAACGCCTTCCGTCGGGAGGCCTCGCCAATGTTGGGTCGCCGATAATTAGAGCTGGACACAAAGCACAAAAACTGAGATCAAGTCCTCCACTTCGGAGATATCTGGTGCCCAGCCTGAATTCATCGTCACAGAGATTCGCCATGATGGCAAGCCGATCTGACACTGCAAAATTTTGTTTATTGAACATGTAGTATGGCGCTTCGGCTGCTGTGCACACGTAGCGAGGACCGTGGACTGTCATATCTCGCGTTGTTAAGACGAACTTCGGGAAGTACTTGGACCATTCTGTCGTCGGCTCGAAATGGTATCGTGAAAATATACTGTACCTGTCTAGCTTCGAAGCCAGGTTCCCATCGATCGGCATAGATACTCCCTCCAAAACAGGAAACCGTCTGCAGGTATCTGTCCTCGCCGTGACAGATCTTCTTTAGGTACTGATCAAGTGTTCGATGTAGCTTTGCAATGGTTAAGCGAAGTCTGCACATGGGGGATTTGTCGTCCCATTGGGTCCAAGGTCCTGAAGCTGTACATTTAGCTAAGGCATCAAAGACGTGTTTGTTCTGTCAGCTCGTAAGCTGAGACTGCCAGGTAAAATTCTACATATTCAAAGATCAAGTCCATCGCCTGTATTCCACCATTGTTATCTGAAGAATCATTTTGGCCAATGCACATTTGATCAATCCACAGCAATTGATAGCCATAGCGGTAGCAAAATTGTGCAGCTCGCTTCAAAACACTGTTGGGGGTAGCCATTTCGCTTCGGGTATGTTCATTGATGTTACAGTCGTTGCCGAGCATCGTTGATCGAGTGATGCCCGCGGTAGGAGAGGGCCATATAATGCGGGCAAGCTGGTAGAGTAATTGTTATGAAAGTCATCCACCGAACAATCGAAGGGAGCCGACACTGGCCACGCTGTCGATCAGACAACTGGTCTGTCATGCCTTCCATCTACAGCTGTCAAGGCAGCGGTAGGTGGCGGAGTCGAATTGGTCGACCGATTCTTGCTGGCCCTTTGTCATGAACTTTAGCTCAAACATCCATTTTCCTGCCCTAACATCGAGATTGATTTGATTGATTTGAATTTCTTTCAACTGTGCCGTCAAAAGCCTTCTGGCGACCGCTGCTACATGTCTTGGACGGTGAGACTATCGGACTCTGGTTCTCATACTGTGTGCGTATTCCACCTGCTCGTGACATTTGGCGTGAATAGATGAAGGACCACCACTTCGACCTTCTCTGACATGATACTCGCGGAAGAATCCTCCCTCAGCCTCGTCATCGACGTTGTCCTCATCCTAACTGGATTTGGTTACTAGATCTGCTTGAGGCCTGGTGGCTTTGCCTTTGGGGCATCATTTAAATTTAGTCGCTTGAAGAAAATCAGAGGGATATCAGTATCGTCTTTCATTTGATCCCTGGAGAGGTCGGCTGCTTTTACGTTGATGAAACATGGGGAAGCCACCGACATTTCTGCACGAGCGCCTCTAGGCCACCTGCTGGAGGCTTTTTGTGCTTCTTCCGTTTGTGGCATGCAGTCTGTTGTCCTCCTTCGATCGGAAACCACAAAGCGCAAACTGATTAGGTGAGTGCTGCAGTTGCAGCAGATGAGTGGAGGGTATGGTGAGGTTGAAGGAGGTTCTTCGGGCGCCAACAAACTAGAGCAACAGTTTGTACTAAATGAGTTAAAGCATCCGTGCTGTCCTCCGTTGCGTGAGGCTGTCATGGGTTCGTCCTTCGGCTGCAGGGATGATGATTTCTTGCTTTCTGGAATGAGACACCTGGAAATTACGCCAAACGAATATCATCAGATATCAATATGCAAATCCGTTTTATCCATTCACCTAGTCGACAACACGGGACTTGTATGTCGACTTGATAGCTTTCAGCGGAGAGGGCTTCCTCTCCGCAGGGGGATTGAATATATCAGTGAGTCAGTGGTGCCTACTTCTTTCGTCTCTTCCAGTCACAACCAGACAAGAAAGAAAAACAGCGAGGCACCCTCGTCGATGTCAAGGAGGCGCTGGTACTCCCTCGCTCAAGCAACGTGGCCGGGTCGGGGCCTCCAACATCGGGGGTGGGAGTTTCTTTCGGCCCCTAGATTGTTCGAGACTTATCATCATAGAAGTAGGCCGCATAGCCAACTGGCAAATACCGCCAAGGCGGCGTAAGAATGCCACGATGTATTTGATAGACACCCTGTGTCATTTGAGAGCATACGACAGATGTTCATCAGCCGATCGAGGCGATTGATGTAGTTTTCCACAATGCCAGATATCTGATGCAGAGCGTCTCAGGCTGCCACGGGCGATCCGTGACACACCTACCTCCATGATAATATTGTCGTCAAGCACCGTAAACGCGGCAGAAATCTGGTGCATTTTGGCTTTGAAGCTGATTGCCCGGCACGTTGCGGCATGTACAATGAGATGTGGATGTATTCGCGCGCAAAATCTAACGTGTCGTTTGCCGCAGTTGGAAAGCACGTTACTGAGATATATACTGAGAAAGCGAAATCTCCCGATCCAAGGGGCGATTTCGCAGCCATTGATCGGAAAATAAAGGGGGTCCTATCGCCTGGCGTCGGCAAAGGCGTATGAAGTCTTGGTAACCAACACACCACCAATCATACCGACACAAGCCTTTTCCCTTCGCTGATATCGGGCGCTTCTTTAGACGATCAAGTTTCAGATTATTCAACCAGGCTTCCTAGCTAGTGCACGGGCGTTCTGCCGGGCCAAAAAATTTGGGGGAGAGGCTTGTCACCATCTGAAATTCCCTATGTCATCGTGTTCAATTGAAACTCTCTGCTGTTTTGCGTGCCAGCATGCAGAGCCACGATGTCGTTTATCTAAGCCACGACCAGCAGCATTGAACTGTCCTTGTCGGAAGACTTGATGAGAAAGGAAAAAAAAAAAAAAAACCCCAAAAATAAAAAAAACAACTCATTCTCGTTGCTTTTTATTAAATGCCTGTCTGACAAGCACGAGATCTGATCGGTGATTTTGGTGCACGTCAGACTACTACTTTCAAGACTCGATAGCTGATTTAAAGGATGGATCAACGGGCTCAGAAGTCAGATCCTAATCATCCTGACAACGAAATGATTGCCACTGTGCATAATGTCAATACAGGCACGCCCTCTCCTGTCATGGAGAGCGGGCTGCAGCGACTAAGACATCTAACGTGGGTACGTCCGCACCAAATACGCCTTTCATACTATGCTGGCGACTTCTTATGGAATATCAATAGGGGCTGATCTCTAACAAATACCTTGGTAACATCAGGCGTGGTTCACCTTCCCGATGGCCACGGGGGGACTATCATTGCTGCTCTCACCGAAGAACCAACCACACACATTCCCCGGTCTCGAAACCATCGGCAAAATTGTCTACATCTGGGACTTATGCGTCTTTACCCTCACGGTCACCGGTATCACGTACCGCTTCGTCAAGTGGCCGCGCGTCCTGAGATCCAGCCTCGTGCACCCGACAGAATCGTTGTTCTTCGGCACCGCGTTCCTCTCCCTGGCCGGCATCATCATCGGCATAGCTCAATACGGAATACCTAACTGCGGCGACTGGCTCATCGTCGTCTATCGCGTTCTCTTCTGGATTTACTCCGCCGCGACCCTCGTCGTCGCGGTCGGTGCATATTGTATGCTGTTCACGAATCCGAGGCTGAAGATCCAGGACATGACTCCCGCCTGGGACTTGCCGATTTTCCCCTTTATGCTCAGCGGGACCATCGCCAGTTCGGGCATCGAGTATCAGCCCCACGAGTTCGCGATGCCCATGCTCTTCGCCGGTCTGACGGCTCAGGGCCTGGGCATGCTGGTCTCGTCCTTCATGTACGCCAGCTACACGCGCCGCATGATCAACTATGGATTCCCCTCGCCCGAGTCACGGCCCGGTATGTTCATTGCTGTTGGCCCACCGAGTTTCACCGCGCTGGCCATCATCGGTCTTGCGGACCATTGGCCCAGTGGCTACGAGTACTTCGGCCCCGACGCCGTGACGGCGCAAGTGGTCAAGATCCTCGCGTTGATGATGGCCGTTTTCATTTGGAGTTTATCGCTATGGTTCTTTGCCATCAGCGTCGTCAGCTGTCTGGCGGTCTACAAGACGTTCCAGTTCCGTTTGAACTGGTGGGCTTTTGTCTTTCCCAATGTCGGTTTCACGCTCGCCACGATCAATATCGGCAAGAGCTTACGGAGCGAGGCCATCAAGTGGATCGGGTCGGTCATGACCATTGGCCTCGTGGTGGTATACTTCTTTGTGCTGTTCAATCATGCGCGCGCTGTGTGGAGGAAAGATGTCCTCTATTATGGTAAGGATGAGGATAATTACAAGAAAGAAAAGATGGGAAAGATGGAGGCGAGGGACGAGGATCTGGAGAACTGTAAGTGCGTGGGAAAGGGAGAATAGAAAAAGAAAATTCACGATGCTTGAACTTTGTGACATACCCTGCCACGGAAATGTTTTCTCTTTGGATGAAATAAAGGCTGGGGACTCTCGCAGATTTAGCGAGACACAGGAAGTTTCTTTTCAAGCAGGAAGGGAACAGCAGAAGAGCGATTGGATTGAAGATCTTCTTTTAAGCCATCATACTTGCGAGCAAGACGGGGCGAGGCTTGACGGGGAAACAATCACACCATGAAGATAGAAACGACGACATCAACATCCCAAGATTCAATCCATTCCTTCCATTAGATGTCCGCCCCCATAACTACATCATCCCAGTCCGAGACCTTTCGGATTTGAAGCATAAGCGAATAATATACAGTCAATCATCCACTCCATTTCATATTCCTCCCAAAACGTCCCTCATCCGCTCCGGTCCCAGTCCATTCATCATCCAGCATTGCGCGAATTCCGGTTCCGGCCAGCCATCCCAATCCACCATGTACATCCCCATCCATTTGGACGTACAACGCAGCGGTTGCTCTACGAAGACTTCTGCTGGCTCCTTGTCCGAGAACCAATGCCCTCCGTAGCCCGAGGAGTGGGCTCTTTCTTGGACTTGGGTAGCGCTCCGTCAGTCTTCTTCGGCCGACCGGGTTTCTTCTTTTCCGTCTTTGGCTCGTCTTTCTTTTCTTGTTCCTTCTTCTGCTTTTTGTTGCTGCTGTCTTTCGCCTTGATCGTTCTGCCCTCATCGTTCTCTTCTAGAGGTCCATCTTTCTTGTCTTCAGCTTCTTCCTGTTTGTCTCCACCCTCCATATCATCGTGGTTTCTTTTCTCGCCATTTTTATTCTCGGTCTCTCCGTGGCCCGCATCAGCCGATCCGTTGGCCTTCTCTTCAACGTTGGGCTCCGAGGCTTTCTTTGCCACATCATTACCGGACCGCTCGACGTGGACCGCAGGGTTGTCGGGCGCCGCGTTTTCCTTGGTGGTATTACCGCGCTTGGAGTTAATGGCAATTTCGCCGTCGGTCTTCTTCTCTGCGACGACACCATCTGGTTGGTCACCGCTCCGATTCCAGGAGACTGTCAGGAGGTCAGTCAGGAAAAACGATTCGGCGACGGTGCCGAGGGTTTAATCTACAAAATGGGAAATGAAGAACTCAACACCAAAAGGCATTGAGTCCCCTCCAAGCGGATCGGATCCCACAGAATTCAGATGCTTGACGACATTGACGCTCAATGAGGAGAGGTCAAGATTCGACGTACCTTGGTCTCCTTTCTCAGGTTCCTCAGAAGGCATGGTGACGTCAGCGAACACACGCTGTTTACTCAGTCCGACAGACGAGCAGTGGAAGCCAAGTAAACAGAGGAGGTTTGGTCGCAAGAACTTTGCGACCACAATGAAAGAATGTTAGAGATCTAGGTGGACGGTAGGGGGTGGGAAGAAGGAGAAGAAGTCCAACAGTGAGGGAATATGCCTGGGTCAGCTCGAGGTCTAACGTAGACGCAGGCCTCTGAGGCACACCATTTGTGCCCATTGAGGTGCAGCTGTCGACTTGTCAGCCACCCCCCAAACCCTCCCCGTATCGTAGATGAATCTACCCTGGAAGTCACCAGGGGTGGAAGCTACTCGGCCGCTCATCACGCCTACGCAGGTAATACTCCGGGCGTGGATTAATGACCATTCGGCTCAGGGGAACGTCTCCCGTGGTAAGAGAAAAGTGGCTTAGTTTGATCCCAGAAATCAAGTTCGATTCTCCTCCCACCTCCACAAGTTCGAGCTCATGGCCGCACACGACTCCGTGCTCCGTTAGTAAAGGATTGAATGAAGACGTATCCGGACGGTCCCGTTGCAGAACACAGCTACTTTTATTTGCGCAGATGCTCGTCGCTATCATACGGTATAATCTGCTGGCCAGTTCATAATAGGGCAGGGGGAAGGAGCATGAATGGGGGGAATGATGGAATGATTGTATAAAATGTATGTTTGACGCTTTGCGACCGATTTCTGGCCTGCCTTGGCTTGGTCATTGATAAAATATCCCCCTTGCCGGCGCATACAGGTATACTAGTGGCTCAAACTCGAATCCACGCTGGACCCAGCCACATTGCTACGGGCATCTTCGGGCGCTCCAGACCCTTCCTCATCACACGACTCTCGGCTGCTCAGCAGCTCCGTGAACTCGATCCTCAACTATGTCACTTTCGTCAATGGCCTCGTCGTCGTCCCGGGCTGAAACAGGACTTAGAAAATGCTTCCATCATAAATAGGAATGGAGATGCGCAAACCGAATTGCTCGTCTGCATCAGCTGAATTTGGATCAAAGGGGTCCTCAGCCGGCTCGTCATCACTCTGGGTGAGAATATGGCTTGGTCCAGTTCGCCATTTGTAACCATCTTTGGATGGTGTCGGGCCCAGTGCTACCCTCGACACCCTCCGAAGTGGGTTGAAAGTCTTCCCCTTGGAGCTGCATACATATTGATATAAGATCAAGTAAGTAGAGTCAGTGGAGATAAAAGATGAGGAGTCGAAGATTGAGGTGGATGGAAACCGTATTTCAATCGAGAGAAGATATTATAGGATTATATAGACGACAAGACTCATTTGATGAGAGTGATCGAAGCAACAATGTCGTTATGACGAATTGACCCCTGTCAGATTCAATATGAGTCTTGAAAACCAAAAAAAAAAAAAAATCCATTGTCGTCAAGGCCGGTGCACGCTCCACGACCATAGTCCGGGAAGGTAATCCATGGTACACCTCGACCTCAATTATTCCTAGAGACACCAGCAGAAAAGCGTGAGACTAGGATAGGCAACCAGTACCGGCGGAAAAATTAGAGTCTAGGACGTTCAGTATTTGGTCCTAAGCCTGATCTCAAGTGTTGGCCGCTCCGCTTTTGGATCTTCGGGAGGCTGGAGTTCAAAGTTATGGATATACGATGGCTTGTCGTGACACAAGACTGGATCTCTCCGAGCGACGGTCAGGTGACACCGCGTTTCTGCGCGACGCGGTTCGTTTCTCAGCTACAATCGTGAACTTCCGACACAGCAGTTCGATAGTCCTTTGAATGCTCTCTTAAACTTTCCTTATAATGCGAAAGCCTTGGCTTAACTTTCATAGAATATTTCTCGGAAGCAAAGCGCGTTAAACATGCCCGAAAACTGCGCAAATCCCAAACTGGCTGAATGGCTGAAAGAATGGATGGACCAAGCCAAAGAACAAAATAACAAGGGCTATTTTACGTTCGCTTCCCCCCTTTTAGTTTGACAACGTTGCTAATTGCCCTAGGTACAAGAAAGCCTACGAATCAATCAAAGCATGTCCACTACGCTTTTCTCATCCTTCGGAAGCTCAACAGCTCAATGGCCTCGGCCCAAAGTTATGTGACCGGCTGACCAAGAAAATGAGGCAATTCTGCGAAGAGAATGGACTTGACATGCCTTCCAAAAAGGGGCATCGAAAAAGACCTCGGGAGGCTCTTTTATCTGAACCTGTGGAACCCGAACAAGCGTCACCGGTGAGACGACCAAGGAAAACACAACCCTACGTTCCAAAGTTGAGATCGGGTGCCTATGCTCTCATGCTCGCTTTGACTACTTTGGATCAAGACAGCAACCAAGCTATCCCGAAGAAGGAGCTTATAGAACTAGCACAGCCTCACTGCGATTCGTCATTCTTCGCACCCAGTGATCCTACCAAATTCTACACCGCCTGGAAATCTATGGAAACTCTGGAGAGAAAAGAGCTGGTCTGCACCAAGGGACATCCGACTAAGAAGTATTACCTGTCGGATGAGGGATGGGAGGTGGCAACCCGTATGAAGGCGACATTGGCGGGACGAGGTGTCCCATCTCCCAGCCCAAGGAAAAAGCGGAAGACAGAAGCTCGCGAAACGAGGATTTTGCCATCACTTTCTCCCGAACCCATGAACAGGCGGACTGCCCCTGCGATTCCACCGACACTTGACCGACCGAGAGAAGCAATCACCCAGAGCAGCTGCTCTACCATCGTGGATCTGTTGTCGAGTCCAGAACCTGATTGGCCAGCTTCAGAACCAGAGTTGAACAGTTTCAATTTTGGAAATAAGCATCTTCACATGCGACCCCCCAGTGCTGGGCCATCCTCTAAAGAATCCATCGTTCTGCCTGCTGGCAGTTTCGAAGTGAAGATGATTCTTGACATGCGCGAGATCCGGACCACCACTGACCGTGACTACATTTCCGGAGAGTTGAAGAAGCTCGGCGTTGTTCCTATCATCCGCTCGCTTCCTTTGGGTGACGTTTTATGGATTGCAGATGTCCACCCCTTGTATGCCGAAGCCCTCAAGGCCGCCAACGTGGGTGATGATGAAGGAAACCTGGAAATCGTTTTAGAGCACATTCTTGAACGAAAACGACTAGATGATTTAATTGGCAGCATCATAGATGGACGTTTCCATGAACAGAAGTTCCGACTACACAAATCTGGCATCAAGCATGTTACTTACCTGGTCGAACAATATTCCCTCTCGGCAGAACGGAGTGAGAAATACGGAGAGTCATTGGAGAGTGCCATTGCCGGTATGCAAGTGGTGGACAACTTCTTCGTCAAGCAGACAGCCAAATTGGATGACACTATCCGATATTTGGCCCGTATGACGAAGACATTGAAGGAACTGTACGAGAGCAAAAATATTCACGTTATCCCTTCACAAAGCTTTGAGGGGGGGGCCGTTGCAACAACGTTGGAACGGCTCAGGAAATCCGATCCGGGAAGAATATACGGAATGACATTCTCGGTTTTTGGCGCCATGTGTGACAAGTCGGAAAGCATGACACTTAGGGATGTCTATTTGAAGATGCTGATGTGCACGAGGGGCGTGACAGGAGAGAAGGCAATTGAGATTCAAAAGATTTGGCCCACTCCGCGTGCTTTGGCTGAAGCATTGGAGTCTCGAAACAAAGGACCGGAGAAGGAGAACATGATCAGCGACCGACTCGGGAATGCCATTCCTCGGAAAAAGGTTGCGAAAGCACTCAGCGCGAAAATTGCTGAGATCTGGGGTTGATAATGCGCACAACTGCGCCAGATGTATAGGACTGTTGAAGCATAATCAAAATAACGATGATAAGATTCTGGCGGTCCGTCCGTACCGGTGAACCAATAACGGATTCGAGACGATTGACACAATTATCCTTGAATACGCTCGGGTACATTGGACCTCTCAAATCGGAAATTCGGCAAACTCAAAGGGAAGAACTGGCAAGCTCGCGCAAGCTTGCGCAAGCTTGCGCAAGCTTTCCCCAGTCTCCCATCGAATCAGCTTCTTCTTGCTGCGACGTCGATCAGGCGTCCCCACGCGGCGCAGATTCTGGGGCGTTGGACCAAATACTAGGTCAAGCACCATGTCACCTTGGGGACGGCTTTTGCTGTTTCAAATAAAACCTGGCGATGAGATAGGCGTTGTTGAGTTCCCTCCTCTTTCTCTCTCTTTTTTTTTTTCTTTAGCTGTTCATCAAATTTGGTTTGCACGAGGCTGCTGACTTCAAGCTTGACAGGAACTAGCTAGGGCTCGTGCGACATAGATCCTTTTCTATATACGCGGGCTTAGTGGATAGTCAGTAGTGACCCATTTCTACATCTCAGAGGTGTCTTCTGAAACGATTCGCACGACAGATATCGACGTCCTGATAACGTTTCATCCAATCATCCGACCAATTCACCACTACTTCATCACACGTCATGCTCGGGATTGAAGGTCTCACAGATGCGTCGTTCAAAGGCGATGTACGGTGGGCGAGAACGGCGAAATGGTGTGGCTATGCGCCCATTGTCGTTTCGGTTATATGTGTTCTTAGCATGGTCGAGATTGCCTTGGGCGCCGTCTGGATTGCATCGTTGAAGACAGACCTCAATTTGTACGTTTATGCCAAAGTCAAGACCGAATATTGCCGATCGACATCGCGGTCACTAACATTATCTCGTCCAGCGCCCAAGTCATTCAGCCCATACTGATCCCCGGACTGTGCTTCTTCAACGCCATCCCGTCGCTGCACTTACACGTCCTGGCGCGTGTCAATCCACCGCGTCTGGCCCTCTGGTTCTCGACTACACTCTCGATTACCCTCCTCGTGAGCTCTGTACTTTTCCTCGGCGCATGCGTCGGGAACAACTCGCGTGGTTCGCTGCAGCGCAGTGAATGTCCTGGCGCCACGGGCGGGCTCGCTCGTATCTGGGACATCATGGTGGCATTGCAATTAGTCAGCGCGGTGCTTTACGGCTTGGTGGCTGCCATGGCGTGGACAGTGAAGAGAGCGCTCGAGGCAAGGGAGCAGAGGATTGCGACGGGGGAGGAGATGGTGAGTCAAGAAGAGAAGGAAAGGAGGGAGAGTGAGGCGAGGGAGAGGTGGAAGTATCTTTCCGCTGGTTGATGTTCTCAATGTTACTATGACCCGGATGCTGTCTATCACCCAATGCACACACACTCCACACACACTCTCCTCCTGCTAGCGGGTCGAATGGGATGCGCATATGGGCATTCAGATCGTACCTTCAAGCTGGATACATGTGAGAGGGAGATCGTTCTGCTCATGGTGTGTTATGGCGGCTGGATTCAGGGCGAGCGGGGTCGTTGCGTTGCTTGAAGAAAGATCTGTGCTATGGGTATCAAGTTTGATGACGACATCTTCTTTCTTCTAGGCCGTGAATGCCAGATTGCGATCATGAATTTGGAGCTCGAGTCAATTTATTCGATATGTAGAGGAGGACACCATCTCAACGTTGAGGAAAAATCTCCGTAATGTCGACTTGCATCTTCAGCTCCAAAGAAGCCGCTTTAATAAATGGAAATCCTTGGCATGGATTTTTTAAAGGCGGCGTGGTGGATTGACCGGAAAAGGCAACGCAATGATCTGAATCTGGGTTTTGTGATCTAGCGTCGAGACTCGGGTAGCAGTCTGGGGCGTTTGTTTGTTCTCTGCCCGAATTTCACGCTCAACAATTTTTGCGCAGGGACTCCAACATCTGATCTGCGTATAATGTTACTCCCAATATCTTCGCCGCACTCCATCAGGTAGCATGCGACAACCAAACATTCCACGGTTGCGACTCCACGCGACATGGCTCGAAATAAAGAAGACAACCCACTCTCCACAACCCAGCGCCATGGTTCCATTGCGTCCCTGACCAAAAACCTACCCAGTGAAGATTTCTTCACCGACAGCATCCTCGATGAGTCGCATATTCCATCGCCAATCTCTCAAAAGACCAGACCGGTGAAGCCACGACGCGCTTTCGGTACCAACAGAGCCCTTCAGGTCACCAAAGACTCCGGAAACAAATCAAGTGGATCGTCACTTGCCGAGTACACTGCCGCGCGGTCGAATAGACACTTGAAACCTTCGTCTCCTCTGACAAGAAAGAAAAGTCCCAGTCCGCTTCGAACCAATGGTTTGACCACACCACCGCAGTCGAGAAACGGCCCGAAGTTGACGAGCCCCACGTCGGAATTTTCAAGCCCTCCCGGCGGTTTGACCGAGTCATATCAAAGGATAGCGGATGAGGAAGATCTTGCGGCCACAGAAAGAGAATTTCGTAGTGATGAGGACGATATAGATGACGATCCACAAGATGCGCTGGAGGTTGATATTGACGCCAATCCCCCTGAGAAAGAAGCTGTCAAGGGATCTCCTCCACAAACACGTACTTCACAAGAGTCGACACCGGTTCAATTGCCCATTGATGCTGAGAAGGAAAATTTACTTGATAGCTGCATCGAGACTGCCTCAGAACCCTCCACTTTGGACTTCATCCGGAATGAGATGACGGATAGGGTGCTTGCTGCAAAGCTGACGCCTCATGTGATCGATCGCGCAAAGGACCACGCACGCCTGGAGCGATTACGACAAAGCCGGATACCGATCGATTTCGGGAATAGTCCCAGGGCCGACAGAGACCGTCCAAGCAAGAATTACGCACGAAATGATATCGCCAGTGTCTCCAATCGCGGACCGATCACATTCGACAATGCTTTGGCACTAGGTCCAAACGGCGTACCGAAGGCTTTCTCGGATACTAGTACCGAATCGACTCCGCAAAAAAGAGTCAAGGCATTTTCTCGAGCCACCAGGAATGGAATACATAAGAGTGTACCGGAAGAGGAGGATGACAGTGACACTCCTCCAGACCTTCAGAAAAGAGAGAGAATAGTGGCCTTCAGCAAAGCAGATCGACGAAGGACTCAGCTTACTGAAGCGTTGCATTCTCAGATGCCCTCGCAACCACCTAAATTAATTGCCTTTTCCCGAGCGAATGGACGGTCTCGTCCCTATGGAGCTCTATACGAAGGAAATGAGAACCGACAAGATCAAACTGGCCATTCAAGCGAAAGTGTTGCCTCGGCAGAATCTGAGCCGATATCCATGGCGGCTTCGCACCTGGAAGAGAATCTTCAAGCAGCACGATCATTTCTCGCAAAATGGCGTCAAGAGACGGCAGAGAAACGTGCCGTGAAGAGTCCAAAAGGCGCTGTCAACGATAGTGCTCAGATCGATTGGGCGGCCACGGCCGCGGATGTCCCACTGCCGTCAGTTGAAGAGAGTTCAACACCTCGGGATACTCCTCCGCGGGATGCATGGCCTTCGTCGATTCAGAAGCAGAGATCGATCGATCGAATACGGAAATGGGAGAATGATTTCACAGGTCTTTCATTTCAGGTCTCAGAAAGCCCCCCGATACGAAGCCGGCCTAATCTTAATGATACCTTGAGAGAAAGAGAGATGGAGAATTTGGCAAAGCAGGCTGTCACCACCAATCGATTGGATGAGATACGAGAAAAAGATCCAAATGTGATTGTTCGAAAGACTTCTCGATCATTTGGTCCCGAAGATCGCAGACAAACACCACCAGAAGCACACGAAAATCAAGTGAAAACACAACAAAGTGAGTCACTGGACAGGGGAGAACCGGTTCCCGACGCCGCCGGAGTGGTCTATACGTCCTCTAGCAACGGCGCCGAAAAGTCGAAGCCTTCTCAGAGACAGATTTCCGAATCGCAGAACTCCCTGGATCATCTACAAAGGCTTGCCAGAGCAGTCAGCATAACTCCGCGGGCAAGTACGGTGTCGCAAGGCCTCGTTAGAGAGACCGAAGAGGATTCAACTATCGACAACCTTGCCCCCAATCCATTTTCAGAGGATGATGATAGAGCGCCGCCTTCGCGTGGACCACAGATTTCCGCGAGGAATCATCAAGTCGTGGAAACCCCCAAAGTGGTGGGTGCGTGGACAGATACAATCCTGTCCGAGACAGTGAAGGCGGAAAACAAGCAACAAAGGGTTCCGTCTTATATGCAGACTCCTCAGGTTAACGCCGGGGCTTGGATTGACACTCCATTTCCCAATGGGAGTCGCACGTCTGTTCCACTTCCAATGACCGTTGAAGAAGTCACCGAGGAGCTCACGAATGGCCATATCGAGGAGAACGATGAAAATGCGAACCGGGGCCACGCCGACGAAGCGAATCAGTCTGAGATCTTTTCACCAGAGCAAACAGAAGCAGAACCCAAACCCGCTGCAGAAAACCCGGTTGTGTTACCACCCAGCGCGCTCACAAATGTTTTGAACGAAGCCAAGCAAAAACGGCTAGTGTCACGTGATCTTACCGATGTTCGAGATGATACTTTGAATTTGGGTGACGGCACAATTCAATCATTTGAGGACCTGCTCATGGACGCTGCCGATATCACTGCGGACTTGACGAGTCTAATCAAAGCTGGTGCGGAAGACGAAGTCATGGAACAAAAGAGGCTAGCACGTGAAGGTAATGATGGTGACCCCGCAACCGCTGAAGTGGCATTCATTGGCCATCTGACTTCGAGAATGGAACGTCTGATGTCAAATCTTCATGAAGCAAGGAAAGGAATTTCAAGGCTGGAACAAAAAGTCTCACAGACTCCACCACCTTCAGATGAGCAAGCCCAGTTACAAGCACTCATTGCGTCGCCGGATCCCGGCCAACCCTGCATGGTGTGTGGTCGAAGTGATGAACCTCACCTTCACAAACATGACATTGACACCAATGCCTTCTTCCCGATGTCATATTCCACCTTCACGATCCCGATCCCACTCCTCTTCCACCCGCGCCGCCAGGACCGATACCAACTCTTACCACATCCGACATGGCTAGGATGGTTTACTATTGCAATTTGGACATGGTATATTGCCGAATGCACCATGTGCGAGATCTACTCCCGACCCTTGTTCGCGGAGCGATATATGTGGCCAATCCAACCGGAACCAGAGTTTCCTTTCGTTCTCCCTACAATGCTATGGCGGTGGACCCATTTCGACATGCTAGCACTGGGTATCTTGGGTAACTTTTGGAGACTCCTAGTAGCGGTGTACAGGATTATTGGAATGGGTTTGGGTTTGTCAGATGGATTCGTCGACGATAAAGCCGCAGCCACAGGATTAGCGGAAGCCACGAAATCCGCACTCAACGCGGCTAAGAGTCTTGTTCCCGGTGGTGGCGAAGGCGCCGATTGGAGTATGATGAATGACGAGTTTATATGAAATGAGACCAAATGACTTGATTTTTGGGGGCGTGATGGAGTTTCCTGAAGGATGACGATTCACCAAGATCAGGGGGATTAGGGGGCCCGGAACTTCACACCAAAGGTTTTCTGTCGGAGCTTATTTTTGCCCTGTTGGACGGTCGGGCGGCTTCTTGATTGTCAGGGTTCTTGGTCAGTGTCAGGGAGAATGAGTGAATTAGGGGATCATGCATCGGATGGATCGCGGTGTTGGTGGGATTATAGCGGACAGGGACAGAGGTTCCAGGGTACGCTTGGTGTTGCTGTTACGGTCTTATTGTCTCCACCTCTCCTTTTGCTCAAAGATACTTGAACTTGTACTGTAGGACCAACAGGCCAATCAATAAATCAGCTTACCAACCCAATCATTCTATTCTGACCCGAATCCTTACTGGAGAAGCGTAGTATTTTCTAGATATTCATTCGTGAATATGAAGATTTCTTATCAATTGCGGAAGATGGAGAGGAAAAGTCATCGTCGTATATCGTCGTAGGTATGTATCCGAGTCGTGTGCTTCGGAACATATGTCAAATGAAGTGAGAGAGAGAGTCCGTCAGCCAGTCCATCAAGTCGGAGTAAGAATTCCACCATCTTGTTCTTACAGGCACGCACATGTTCGTTTCGTTTCGTCGATCCATTCAGTCGTCAGTGATATCGGGCCCAGGTAGATATATGGATCCATCAATGACCAGGGTTTTCCATCCGAAAACACAATCCCGATCCGATCTGCGGCCCCTCTTAATCCCAATTCGCGCTCGAATTGTTACATCCTGGCAATCTCCTTTCCAAAAACCCGATTGAGAATCCAAGTCAAGACGATCGCAATTCTGCTTCTCCAATTGCGATTCCACATCAAACTGCCGCTCCGCCATGCCAGCCAAGCAGAGCGACCCGTCCAGCCAGTGTCATTGGGTCCTTTGCCCGCAATTACCCCATCATGTGCGCCGATGTAGCTGATCAATTGCTTTTGCGAGTAGACGAAGGGATCTGAGAAAGCCGTGGTGGTGCTAGACGACGAAGAAGAAGCAGCAGAAGGAGGAGGAGGAGGAGGAGGAGGAGGAGATTTAGATTGAGCCAGCGCATTGAGGTTGGTGACTAGGTACTTTGCCTTCTGTACCGCGACTTCGGCGGTGGTAGGCAGACTGGCGTCCTCGATGTCAGCGGCGTCGCCGAGCGCGAAGACACCTTCATAAATTTCCCCCGTATTTTCACCAGGCTTGAAGACACGGCAGTAGTCGTCGGTGAGGATGCGTTTTAGGCCCTTCTGCGAGAGTTTGACGGCAATGGTCCCCAGTAAAGGCACATGCTTGTTGCCCGTGGCCCAGATGAGCATGCCGTAGGGCACGCGGCCTTTATCCTTGATGTAGAGGGCGGAAGCGTCAACTTTTTCGATGCGCGTGTTGGGCGCGACATCGATTTTACGCCGCTCCAGTTGTTGTGCTGCGTATTCGTGCAGCTTATTGTCGTAGGCGCTTAGGATGTGCGGTGCTACGTCGTAGATTGATATGCTCACGTACGGGGCAACGTGCGGGTAGACGGAGCGTAGTTCATCCTGGCACAGATCATCGAGCTCGGCTGTCAATTCGATGCCTGTTGGCCCGCCACCGACGATGGTGATGTGGAGAAGTTCTCGCGCTCGCTCGGGCGTGATGTGCGGCAGGCTGGCTTTCTCCAGGAGATCGAATAGGGTTTTGCGAACTTTCATCGCATCGGAGACATTCTTGATAAAGATGGCATTCTCGGCGACGCCTGGTGTGTTGAACGTGTTGGGCATGCATCCTGGCGCAATCACCAGGTAATCGTACGGGACGGAGAACTCGTCATTGGCAAGTTCCGGGTCCTCATCGAAGGCGGGTGCACATCGACATTGCTTGGCGTTGAAGTCGATGCCTAGCACATTGGCTTTGATGAAACGCAGGGCTGAGCGGGATTTGGATCGTACAGGTTCTTCAGCCAGGTAGAAGTTAAACAGACCCACGGCTGCAGAGGCCAGAAGTGGTGTATATGCTGATGTTCGACGCGGGGAAATCAGGGTGACGTGGTAGCCGTTCAAGCCGATGTTCTCGGCGATGTAGAAGCCGGCCCATCCTGAGCCTATGATGACGAGATTTGGCTTGATCGTTGACATTGTTGTCAATCTTGGTATCTTTGTAACCCAATTTGTTGGTGTGGAAGCAAATAAGACTGAAGTCACCGGCTGGAGGATATATTACCTAGAACAAGAAACCCACATGACTTACCTGAGTCACGAACAGAACCCGTCGTCGTGTTCAAATTGAAAGACAGAGTCACCAGGAACCTTCTCGTCACCAGGAGCGAATGCCTAGCTGATCCGAGAAGGCGTCGCTGGTGGCGCAATGGCCAGAGAAGCAGAACGTGGGCGGCGACCAAGAGACGAGGGACGTCGACGCGTAGCCAATCAGATGGCGTATCCAAGACTTCAGCCTGCTTCCGGCTGCACGCTGACTTACTGTAAGACCAACACTCAGCATCCTACAACATCCTGCATCCCCGTCTTTCCGTCAACGGCCGTACTGAGTGCGCAGTGCTGGGAGGGAGGGATATTGGAGGAGCAGGTGAAATTGGAAATGCCTCGAGAATTTCTGGCCCTCCGAAAATGCCCGTTCCCTACTGGTACCAGTGGAGTATCGCAGCATCTCGTATAATCAGAGGTACCTCAAGGTATTTGCGATGGGATATTTACAAGGCCCATCATGATCAAACGGTAAGGTGTCATTTTCACACCCGTGAAGATCAACGAGTCAATGACATGGATTGTCGATTCGTTCTCATCCTACCTAGGTAAAAGAAGAGCACATTCACCAATGCAATCAAACTCAGTGCGGTGCTTTTTGTTCGCCTCGTGCGTTTCCTTCCATCCACTGTTGCTCCGACTTCACCGACCCATGATGACAATTCTTTTCTTGTCTTCCCAGATCCAGTCTCACCTTTCAATCCCATGGTTGTGTGTCGAGAGTGTGTTTTGTTGTGTACAAGTACAAGCCATTAAAGAAGAGAAAACTCAAGGGGAAAAAAAAAAAAAAAAAAAAAAAAACATTCCCCCGCAATAGGTGATGGACTTGCAAACAGTTTTTACAATCTGCCCTGCTTTCGCCATGCCTCGCAAGAGAGAGAACGTTCGACTCCACCAATAAAAACAGACGAGAGATGACCGCTGGTATCATGTCGCAAGACCGGCCTTAATGTCCCGACCCATAGCTGCCGGTCCATCCTCTGCCACTTCCATAACCACCATAAGTTCCAAATCCAGTATTCGAGCCATAGGCCCCGTATCCGGTGTTTTGATGAGTGCTTTGGTGGCCCGACACGTTGCCCAAACCCCCGCCGTAGTGGGGATAGCCAGCATAACCTTGTTGACCCGAATGCTGAGATGGAGGAGGCAACCCACCTTGTTGACCGGGCAGGCTGTTGACCGCAGATCCGGGGCGACCACCTTGCATCGAAGGGCTTGGACCAGAAGCTTTAGAAGGATCCTCACTCCCGGGTGCGCCGTGCTGTTGATTCATGCCTTGAGTTTGTCCAAAGCCAGAAGAACTTCGACCGAATGGATCAGGAACACCACCGAATGCGGTATTGCCGGCTGCATTTTGCTGCGCTTCAGAAGGCTGAGCGGATCCCGTCCGTCCATACCCTCCGTCACGACCAAAAGCATTGACATTAGCAGGAGAGGAAGAGTGTTCGTAAGAATAGCCTTGCTGGGGTTGACCATACATGCTGGATTTGTAGGCACTGCCATAATGATTTTGTCCATAGCTGTACTGACCGCCGTAGAAGTCGTTGTCCTGACGACGAACATCGTCGTACATGGGTCGATTCGATCCAAAACGATGGTTCATTTGGTTCATGTAAGAGGCCGAATATTGCGGGTACTGCTGATTGTACGCATTCGGGTAGCCGTAGCCGGGGTATCCGTGACCTTGATTTTGTGGCATGTGGCCGGAATGTTGAGTGTGGTGACTCGGTATGGCCGGCGCAGGCGTGTTTTGTCCACTACCCTGAGCATCTTGGTGACCCATTCCTTGCTGCGGGCGTGAGGTGGCGTAGTGACCTTGACTGTCAGGGCCTGAAGTCCCAAATGTACTGCCCGTCCGCTGACCGTCTTGACCATGGCCATATCCTCCATAGTAGTTGTATGCATCGCGTCCATAGTAGGAAGAATAATCGGCCTGTGAGGTCGCTGTGGCCGGTTGATTTGGAACTTGATTGGAGAAGGGTTCTTGCGCTTGGGTATGGGTCTGCGTGGACTGAGGTTGCTGACCGAAAGGATCGTACGGCTTCTGTCCTTGTCCAAACCGATATTGGTCGGTGTAGGTCGAAGAGGATGGAGGCGAGGCTTGTTGCGCTTGTTGGGAGAGCGGAGGGAGGCCGGGGGCTTGTCTCGGCACTGCCGACGGGGCTTCCGCCGGTGGTTGAGTCGGGGCAGGAGCCTGCTGCGTCTCAGAGGGAATAGCTGGAGGTAATGAGGCGCGTGGAGCCGCCGGGGAATCATCTGGAAGCTGGGTTCTGGTTTCCGGTTCCTCTCGGTCCTCATCCACGTCCATATCCACATCATCAGGTCCATTCAATCCCATCTTGCCGAATTGAAGGGACGTCTTCTCCACGGCCAGGTTCCCGGGCATGACCACCGCTTCTTGTTGCTCCAGGACCTTTCGAGCATGGCTGACAGATCGCCCTGTTGCACCCGTCGCTTTCAGGGCCGTGGCAGCGTAACCAGAGATTGGTCCGGGTCGGACTTTCGTGGCCTCGGCCGCGGCGAGAGGGTCGAGAGTGCTGGCGACTGTACTTGCTGCGGTGGCAGAAGGAGGTGGATGTGACGTATTGGGCAGCTTTTCCAAGTTCTTCTCGGTCAGCTCATCTTTGGAAGGCGTCAGATCTCTTCCTGTATCGGAATGCGGTGCAGATGGTAGCTCACTCGGTCCTCCTTCGCTGGGGATTGCCTCAATAGGCGGAGGAAGTACCGGCTCTGTTGGGGGGGATTCTTCCACGGTAGGTTCAGGTTCGGCCGCCGTTTCTTCATCCTGCGTGACAGGGGGCGGTGCGGGTGCCTTCTTCGGCGCTGGGGGTGGTTTTGCAAACAATCCGGCCCATCCACCCGGTTTCGCAGTCGCCGCCGCCGCCGCGGCGACTGCAGGCTTAGGTTCGTCGGTTTGCGGAGATGTCAATGAATCCTTGCCGGGCTCATTTGCCCAGTCGTCTGCTGCGGGAGTGTCACCATTGGTAGGCGCCGTATCCCAACCTCCGACGGCTTCAGTAGTTTGAGTCGTGGCGGTATGATCCCAATCATCTGCAGTCTTCGTGCTCTTGGTACCATTTGTGTGTGTAGCCGATTTCGAACCACGGCCGCTTCTAGCGGCGCCACGTTCGGTTCCGCGACCTCGTCCTCGACCTTCAAAGTTACCACGTCCTCGGCCTCGAGAGGGAGATTCGGTTGATGCAGGAGGAGTCTCTTTCGGCTTTGGATGCTTCTTCTTGACTTCGCCCCACTGTGAAATGGTACCTTGAAACCAAAAGTCAGTCAAGACGTACCGCGACGGGTTGGGGTGCTCCTTACCACTGGAGATTCGGTCGACAGCGGCATTGACGTCGCCATCGGTCTCGTTCAGCGCGTAAACCAGATCTTCATCGCTCCATCCCGGACAAATTTCTTTCAACAGGGGAACTTTGTCACCGAATTTCTTTTTTAATTCACCCACTTCGCCTTGATCTTCCAGGGTGGTGGGAGGGATACTCTCCTGCTCGTGATCGGCTTTGTGGTGTGTTCTACTGGGATTTCGGCCGCCTCTGAATCCGCCTCGGCCGCCTCGAAACCCGCCTCGTCCTCTTGTGCCGCTGCCGCGGGCTTGAACTTCTGCCATGCTTCTGGAATCTCAAGAACGTGAGGGTAGGATGGAGAGGAAACTTAGGGAGTCGAGTCGATGTGGCAGGAGAGAAAGAGAAGGAACGAATTAAGCTCCGGCGAGGAGAGGAGCTGCCTCCTTGTCAAAAATGGTCTCCAGGAGAGACAAATGGTGAGATGTTAGCGAATAAGGTCTGCGAGGAATGGTTATGTTGACATGGAGGAATTGTGGACATTTCAGGTCTTTGCAAAAGGCCGCAAGCCAAAAACTTGAGCGTGCCAGCGCCAAGCGTGCATAACGGAGGCGTCCAGGCGGCAAGCTAAGCACCAGTACAGTAAGTACCCAGCAGCCGTACGGCGGTAGCGCTGAACAGGATACTTGTAACTCCATCACCGTCCTTCCCTTACGCCGCCGTCGCTGTGGTCGCTCTCTGCTCCGTCACCTCACATGGTCACTGGAACCATCCTGCCATCGATGAAACTCCATGCTTTGTGTTCTCAGATGACTCTCCAGGATGAAACTCACCCCATCCCTCCTCTACGTGCGGAGCCTGCTGGCTTCAATCCATCCGCCATCACCGCCTACTCCTCGCGAGTCGAGAAAGCTTCTTCAAGCTCTTGAATCTAAATTTCAAAAACATCTCGACGAATCACATCCCTCTCCAAAGGCTCTCGGCCTCGATGATCCCACGGATGAAACCGAATCGATCCCTGATCCAGTCCACAGAGTCACTCGTTCGACGCATTCTCATCTCGACGGCATACTCAGACATCCATTGTTCAGATCCAAATCCCCCATCCGTGACGTGTCTCGTCACCGTACTAGCAATGCGGTTGCAGCTTTCGACAGTGCATTGGTCGCAAAGAAACTGAATTTTGATATCGTGGAATTTTGCACACAAAAGTACCTCCAGGGTGTGAGGCAGAAAGAGACCGTCCACAAAGATGGCAAACTGGGCCCGAGGCTAGCAAGTTGGTTCACAGCCCTGAATGAATTGGAGAAGAGGAAGTTTCTGGCCGAAGACAAAGCTCTGAAAGCCGTGGTTCGAGTCATGTATATGGATGGCCTAGAAGCCGAGGTCTGGGAATGGCTCCGGATGCTCTACGAATCCCACGTCCACAGCTCAATCTCGGAGCCTTTTGGAGATGTTGATCCTGATACGCTGGCCCGCCGTCAGGCGGAAGATCGGCTGGTGGGAATGATGATTAAAGAATCTATCAGAAAGGGAGCTGTTCAAGAGGCCGTCCAACAGTTTATTCAGGACGCCCAATATCGTCAGACGACCAGGCGAATGAACTTTCACCCGTTTGGACCGTGGCACAGCATAGCCTTTCATATACTTTTCCGCCGGGAGGATCATCAAATCCCTGGTCATTTATTCGACTTGATGTTGACATTTGGTCTCCAGATCGACTCGTCTCCCTTTGACCGAGAAATGGTCCGCATCTATCACCCGCAAACCCCAACCGCCATTCCTTTCTCCATCAAATTGAAAGATCCCTCTTTCCTCCTGCATTTTATGAAATGGCAGAATAAATTGTTTGGATATGCCATCAAGCTTTCGCTTGTGGCGATACTCGACGCTGCGCAGTTATCCTTGGAGCAAGGTCACCCCAAAGAAGCATGGCAATTTTTATATTTCGCGGAGAGGAATTATCCTAACATACTGTCCACAAGCGCAGATTCCGACATAGCGAAAAGATTACAATCAGCACGGGAGAAAGTTTCGAATCAACCAGAAAATCGGGTGACAGATCATATACATATTCCGGCTCTCGTGTGATTTCAGACGAACATGGCTTGGGCAGAGAAATCTTGGATCGAAGAAGCTTCTTGGCAATCCAGATTGGAAGCCATAGTTCAAGTCCGATCATTGACGGAACTAGTTGGAAGAAACAGTCCAGAAACATCATGGACCCGGCGATCCTGACAGAGGAAATGGAAGAGAAACTAGGAGATGATAGTTCCCACCAGGACAGATGCCTTTTTCGAACAGAGCAGTCACTCCAATCGCTGGGGTTCTTGCTCCTGCTAGCTACTGTCATTATTACCTTGGAATGCGGAGCCAGGATTTCACGGACATTCAGCTCAGCGCGGTACAAAATGGAAGAACTCACCCCATAGCACTCCCTTTATTATCCTCCTGTCTTCCTACCTATGAAGTTGGATGGCCTCATGCCAGAAGAGATGGAGTGCTACATTATTGCAAGATGCAGAGCAACCTTGATCGAAGAACGATCAATATACAACGCACATAATTCATGAGTGAACGAGATATTAGCCCAAATGAACGAAGGATTTGAAGCACATTCTCATGGCTTCTAGTTCTTGGTCCATGTATCCATTTTCATTCCACTTGCATGTCGAAGTAAGGTACAAGTGCGGGTGTATTCTCAATCTCAATCTCATGTCCGGATCATTGTGTTCGTCTCGTAAGGATGGAGAAAGCATTCGGTGGCCCCTCGGAAGCGGTCGAAATGCGAACCTTTGAAAAGCACTTTTAGACTTGCTGGCGCTGTTGCTGTGTTGTTTGGCCACCGGCAGTGGTGATGGATGCGGTGGACGAAGTTGAGGATGCATCTGAAGTTGAAAAACAGTCAAAGACTTGTAAAATACCTGCACCGATATTCCAAATACTTCTCTCCCCTCCTTTGATAGGGTGAGCTCATTGCGTTTGCGCAAAGTACCTTAATCCCCTCTTCTGACATGCCGCTTGTATTGAATTCGCCGGCTTTCCATATACGTTCAAGATGCCATCCCTTGGCCTGCCACCGTGAATTGTTTGCCGCTGACGAATGCGTGACGGTCCATTAATTGTGTGCTGAGCGCTGAGCGTGGTGGATGTGAGGGATGAGAATATCGATAGCGCACCTGCCAGAAAATTTTGCTCCTAGGTTCCAATTTGACCATGGCCTGGACCTGAAGAGGATGTGTTTGCTTGTGGTACGGATACCGCGGGCGGCGGAGTGTCGTTGTCAGGACGGCTTTGTGGTAGTGGTTGTTTGGGATTGAAAAGAAGTGGCCTTGTCGGATGGCGATGACGATGACGATGACGAGGCTGAGGTGATTCGCTCGTGATTTGCCCGTTTAGGACCGGAGCGCGAAGTTGTTGAGACTAACTTTGGGCTCAAGAAGGGGGTTCAACTGTGGTTTCTGAGAGGCGCTTGCTGAGCTGTTGATGTTGAGATTATGAAGAAAGATTGAAGACGTCGAAGCGATAATCCCGCTGGGCCCGGTGTCCCAACTCACATCTGGCCCCCAGACTTTTGGCCGGGTATACCAGTGGTCATGCATGCTCGCTCTCTTCTGTATTACGGAACGATCCTTTATCATCTCTAGTTTACATCTTCGATTCATCCTTGTTCGTGCCCTTCAGAGCCTCAACCCGAGCAATCATAGACTTCAACCATTGTTTCATCTCCTCGTCGGATCTGCCACTGGGGGGAACCTTCCTAGCCCGCTGTACTGCCTCCCTGTCGGCAATGCGCTTCATCCATCTCTGCACGCCAGGGTACTCGTTAAAGTCGATATCCTCCAAGATCTCACTGAATTTGAGCCAGGAGTAGTTAGCAATATCGGCAATCGTATACTTGTCACCGGCAAGCCAGTCGGCCTTGGACAATCGGATCTCCAGCACACTGTACAGGCGTTTGGTCTCGTCCACGAAACGTTTGATGGCGTATTCCGAGTAGACAGGCGCCATGGCGCGGAAGTGGTTGGCTTGTCCTGCCTTTTGTTAGAACAAGTATACAAAAGTACTTGATACAATCCCCTGTTCAAGGACAAAAGGGGACATTCGTTCCCTACCTTGCATAGGCCCGATGCCGGCCATTTGAAACATCAGCCAACTCAACTCCTCGTAGTAATCTCTGGTGCCGTACTCGTAGCTAATCTTTCTCTCCTTGTCGTACATGTCCGTCAGATACAACATGATGGCACCGGATTCGAAGACGCGAAAGTCGTCGCTGTCCTTCAACGCGGGGATTCTTCCGTTGGGATTGATCTCAATGAACCATGCCTCTTTCTGTTCGTTGGTCATGAAATTAATCTCCCGAACTTCGTAGGGCAGGCCAAGCTCTTCGAGCACGATGGCTGGCTTGAATCCATTGGGTGTGCCGGCGGTGTAGTACTTTAACTTGTTGTAAGGAGGTGCCGACATGGCGTTTGCTGTATGGATGTACTTGGTCTGAGAGTCTTCTGCGTCTGGTGTAGGGTCGATGCGATGTCTTTTCGGAGTCTGAAGTTGGAACGGGTTGCTTTGCTCTTTTATCCCCATACTCTTGGGGTGTGTCCGACTCAGGCCAGGCGAAGACGAGAACGAGATAGCTCCACTGCGTCGTATCCAGCTGCAACCCGTGTTGGCCAAAGCTCTCGGGCGACAGCTGGTCAAACCAATGATATGGTGTGCTCTCGGGATTGCGGCCAAGGCTTCCCCTCGTGTAGACCACGGCACGCTCATCGTCTTTCCCTCTCACTGAGTATCTCTGCCTATCTCACCTCAAGCTTGGGACCGATCCGCTGTTGAATGAGTGACGGCTTCCTCCTGCACCGGGACAATCAGGCATCCCACAGCTCTTTGAGAACGATTGAGCAAGGACACAGGTGACGAACTTTAGTGGACTGCTTACAAAGCAACGGAGTACCCAAGCACCAAGTTTGGTTGCCTTGAGGAGTCAGGACAAATTATATCCTTTGTTAAGCTACGTGAGATCAGCCTGGAGGCCTTCCTTAGCTGAGTCACTTCTCGGACGAGAGACTGCATTCAATTCGGAATGATCGCTCCCGTGATCCGCGACGTGGGTAAACCCGCCCCCTACAGTTGAGATCATGGGTGGCATTAAAACAATATATTCTATACCAATACAATCCTGCTCCAGGGCTGATGTCAAGAACCTAATAATACAACAGCTCTGAGGACTCATCTTGCTCGACTCGGCCGTTCGTTCTACTTCCTTCTCAAAAGTCATGCCAAATCAACTCGTATGGCTGTTCTGGTTGGTCGTGACTCGACTCACTGGTGCCGAAGTCCCGTCAGGATTCTCTCCGAGCGCCAGGAGTCCTTCTTGATGATATGGCTTCTTTGCCTGAGCTGCCTTTTTCTCATCATATCTCCACACCCCGGCCGTCTTGTCAGGAGCCACGCCCTCCCAGCTATTGATCCCGAACCCCGTGATCACCTTGGCTAGGTTCTGGAAGGTGGCTTCCTCTTCGTCGTTGGGATCGACTTGGGAAAAGAACACTCTTTCCCAATCCCTCTTCTCATCACTCTCCTTCCGACGCAAAGCTCGCTGAGCGTTTTCGATCCGGGATTTGAAATATGAAGCAGCGTCCATGTCACCCTTTTCAATACTTCGCGCCACATTAGCCCACGCCCTCCGACTTTCGAACACGTCTTGTTCTTCGGTTGGTGCCACATTCAACTTCGACAGCTTTATGTCGCCTGGCTTGAATGTTTCAATCTCCTTGGCCCTCTTGCCCTCACCTTCTTTCAGCGTGAATGCATCGGACCACTGTCCGTCTCCGGTGTATATTGGGGTTTTCTCCGACCCTTCTCCTTCTTTCCACAATGAGGCTGTGAAACTGTTCTTCTTGCCTGACAGCCAGCCTCTACCCGTGAAATTGATCTTGGCTACATAGCCACTGCTCGAAACGATATGGATAAAATTGCCCAGTTCCACGAACGGTGCGCCATAAACGAGGCCTTCGATGTGCAAGAAGGGTAAGGTGATCAGATATGTCTCGGGTCTGTCGCTCCCGGCCGGATAGAGCGTCAAAAGCGCATGTCCAATCTGCTTGACATAGATGGTCGTACTAAAAGTCGCCTTTTGCCCGTTGTAGCCCTGCAGTCGAATGCGGTATTTATCGTTCGTGATGCAGTAGGCCGTCACAGGTGGGTGGTGACTGACTTGTTCGGAAACCAGGCGTGTCTGGCCAAACTCGTCATCCCACTCACCCAAGAACAGCTCACCCAGAAAAGGGTTGAGAGGTTTCTTTTCTGAGCCCAATTTTTCCGAACGAGAGCAGTATTGTTGTTTGAAGGTATTCAACAGCCACTTCAGCACCAGCAGGGCGCGTTTGGCCGGTTCAGGCTCTTGTGTGGGTGCGATGAAGAGCGAGGTATTTTCCGCCCAATATGCAGAGAACTCCACCAATGATTGGGTGGACAGAATAAACGCAGGGGCCGTGAGGGTAGATAGATCTCCATTGAAAGAGGAAATGGACTGCGATTGTCAGGATTTGTCGAGTGTAGTGTTCGATGGGCTCAACCCTTACTGTCAGGAATGACGACCAGGAGCCTTTGCTCTGAGATGGTATAGCACCCCCCTCGTCTTCAAGCATTCTATGTTTTGCAAAGATACTCAACTCACAGCTCGTTGCAGGGTTTCGGAGAAGGCAAAATGACGGGCTATTCAATAGGAGAGACAAGTTTTGGGATTTGGGCAGTGAAGAGGATGCGGCAAACCACGTCAGTGGTGGTAGCGAGAGAGAGGTTCATTCCGGGCATACAATGATGTGGTTGGCGGGAGTGTACAGTTCATGTCAATTCCGGTGACCGTATTGGCCGAGTCGAGCCACTTGGGGGGACACCGCGCGGGGGCGGTTTACAAAGGGATTCCGCCAGGGATTCAATCATGTCCCCTCCATGACTGGGCCAATGTACAAGGTTTTAATGGGCTACAATCATTTCATGTCATTTTCTTCCCAGCTAGGTATGTTGGGCAGCTATAGAGACAACGCAGGCAGTCCTGGGACACCTCCCGCTACTCTTGCTAGTGATGGAGAAAAGAACAACTTCGGTCTCTCCCAAAACAGGCCCTTCCAGCCATCTCTCCAATTTACAGCTTGTTGGCGGTGTTGAAGTCTTTCAATGCCTCAGCCACACGGGCACTCATGGTTTTCTCGCCCTCACGCACCCACACGCGAGGATCGAAGTATTTCTTGTTCGGCTTGTCCTCACCTTCAGGATTTCCAACTTGCTTCATGATGTAGTCCTTCTTGTTGAGGACATAGTCGCGGATACCCGTCAGGTAAGCCCATTGCAAGTCGGTATCAAGATTGACCTTGACAACGCCATAGCTGATGGCGTCCGAGTATTCCTTCTTGGTCGAGCCCGAACCTCCGTGGAACACGAGGAACACCGGCTTGTCGGTCGAGGTAGATTCCTTCTCCTTGACATATTTCTGGTGCTTATCGAGAAGTTCAGGATGGAGACGGACGTTGCCGGGCTTGTAGACACCGTGAACGTTCCCGAAGCCGGCCGCGATGGAGAAATAGGGCGAGATCTGTTTCAGAGTGGTGTAGATCATGTGGATATCCTCGGGTTGGGTGTACAGAGAGTTGTTGTCGACGTCTTCGTTGTTGACCCCGTCTTCCTCACCACCGGTGATACCAATTTCCTAGACTCTCGTGAGTTTAAGCTCTTGCGCGAATGTTTTTTCTCCGACGCATACCATCTCAAGCCATTGCTTCATCGGGGCCGCCCGCTTCAAGTACTTGGCAGTCGTCTCAATGTTCCAGTCAACCGCCTCTTCAGACAAATCAATCATGTGTGAAGAGAAAAGGGGCTCGCCATGTTCCTTGAAGTATGCCTCATCCGCATCCATCATGCCATCGAGCCATGGGAGGAGTTTCTTTGCACAATGATCGGTGTGCAGAACAACGGGAATGCCGTAGACGGGAGCAACGGTTCGGATATAGTGAGCTGCTGCGATAGCTCCCGCAATAGAAGCTTGTTGCTTATCATTTTTCACCCCCTGAGAAAGGAGTGAGCCTGCGGACGTTTCCTTCGACACCGTTTCCCGGATATACGAACCTTGCCTGCGAAGTATGCAGCACCACCCTGGGATGCTTGGAGAATGATAGGAGCATTGCTGTCTCGCGCAGCTTCCAGAGCCGCAACGACGGTAGAGGAGGAGGTCACGTTCTGGGACACAAAAGGTTAGTGTTTGATTCCATCAACGTCGAGCTGGCCCACGCACAATGGCAGGAATGGCGAAGTTGTTCTCTTGAGCATATTTAAAGAGCGCCAGAACATCGTCCCCGACGATAACGCCCTCCTTTCGAGACAGAACGTCCTTGACGCCCATATTGACGACTGTTGAGTGGGGTTCCGGAACAGGGTATTTCGACTCTTGTCAAAGGAAGACACTACTAGTAATGTACTGATGTGCACGTTAGGAACAGCACGTGTCGCGGTTCTCAGGAAGAAAGTAATAACAAGAGGTGTGTGAGGGGAAAAAAAAAAAACAATCCGGAAAGTTGGTGATTGAGTAGGAGCGAGTACAAGTTTGATGCAACGGGTTTGAGGAGGGGCAGCAAATGACATAAAAGGGATGCTCCCCCTCTTGGCTGCTTCGGTATCCGTGGAAGGTTTTTTTTTTCTTTTCGAGGCTCTCGGCAAGGTTGAACTAGTTTGAGCTGTCCCTCCGCCTACATCATCCAATCTCTCTCCATCCAATTCGAGATAGGCCTTCATTTCCCCATTCCTCCCCATTCATCCCGATTTCTCCCTCATCGGTTCCTTTCTCTTCTTCGATCGGTCTCTCACCTTGAATAAGCCTCGCAATGCGGAATTTCACGGGAATACGCCCCAGTGTCCCCACGGAACCATTAGCCGACTCTGGTGTTCCCCTTGAGCCTGATAGACGGTTGCCTCGGTAGTGATAGGGATAATGTGACGGGAAGGAAACGGATAGAACTGCCGGCGTCTTCACTCAAACATAATCATTGCTGTATCTACATATGTTTCGGTTCGAATGTACCCAAATCTAGCAGTATCACGACGCCCAAAGATTTTCGGTTATATCAGTGGTTGCTTGCCAGAGGTCCGCGTGGGGTTGAGTGCCAGAAGCAAAAAGCACAAGCCCAATCAACCCCGTTAAACTTTGCTGCTCTGCATCCTCAAGCAATAGCATCGTCGCCTGGCCGCTCCAGCTCGTAGAAAAGCAGATATACCTCGCGTTGCATGGATAGGACATCGGATAAACGTGCTTCTTTGATCTTGTCGTCTGAGATGCGCCACCAACGATCATGGGATCTCTTTCGTCGGCGAAATTTGCCCGGTGTTGCTTCCTGCGTTCGGATCTGAGGTTTTGATGCTTGCGTGTCGGTTCTCTGCACAGGCGACATGGTAGCTCCCTTTTCTTCTTCCGCCGGTGGTTGAGTGCCATCGACCCCATCCGAATCGGGCCTGCTATTGCCAGTCGACAGTGAAGTTGTGGACAAAGAAGTGCTAGATTGTCCATCAGAAGCCCCAAGGGCACCATTGGCGCCATTGGCGTGTGTAGCGTCCATGCTGGGACTCGGGGTGGTGGACGGCGCCGTACTGGGGTTGCGACTGGCATGGGCATATGCGCTGAAAGGATCTCGGGTGGCGAAGGGAGGATATAAATGATTCCTCCGAAAAGACTCGTAATGGCCGCTGTGATGGCTGCCTTTGTGGCAAACGACGCCCAACAATTTGTACCATTTCTCATTTAAAAGTCCTCCCAAGCGAAGTCGTTGGGTGTATGACACCTTGGCCATATTTTTGGTCGAATAGCTCCCGGCGTCAAACACTGATCGGGACAAGTGTATTGCGATCACTTTGGGAAACACCGTGATCCGGGTTGATTTTCGAATCTTGCATGTGGGAGCAAGGCTGGAGTCAGGCATCGTCACACCTTCGGGGGCCTTTTCGGGGTCTTCGCGAATTGCCTGCTCGATCCGGGCCACATCCTCTTCTAGGGCTGCCCGGTCTTTTTCCATCGTTGCCGATTTCAATTTATTATTTTTCCATTCCAATGCATGTCTGAGGCGACACTTGTCGCATTTGAAATCATCAATCTCCTCACTCTTCAAGAGAATGTCAAAACAATGGTCTAGAGAAGTCGCACTTTTCTGGGGCACGTTCAAGGTCAATGAAACGAAAGTAGTGGCGCTGGGTTTCGTCTTGAAGCCACAGCGCTGACACTGAATTTGAGACTCTATCCGTCCTTCAAAGGGAAAACCATCGTTGGTTCCGACGACGACCTGGCTTAAGGGCGGATTGACGCCCGAAGGTTTCCTTTCTGGCTCGGGCGGGATTTCTGGTCGGTCCGGGTTCGCAAATCTCAGGCGTGCTCTTTGTGCCGCATGATATTCATCACAAAGTCGTTCCAGGACGATCTGTAGAAATTCCTGGGCATCCTGCTGATTCCGACTGATTCGTGTCTGAAACGCCTTCTCGAGGGCTTCTATTATCGGTCTCGCGCTGATAGTCTTCTTGTATATTGGTCGTTCGTTTAAGGCATCCAGCATCTCCTTTAATGCCTTGGTCACCGGTCCCTTTTGTAGACTCACCACCTTTTCAGCTCTTTCACCTTTTCGCAGTACCGGAGGGGCGGAATCGTATATCTCGGGTCCTTCCAGCTGTCTTCTATGCAGTTCCTTGATTAAATAGAGCCTGAGATCACCCAGTCCCGCCAGAGCTTGGAGGACGGAGTTAATGAAGCAGTCGTTGGCCGGGTTGGACAGGCCAATGATGGTGCGCTTTCGTCCATCGTGGCTGTTATGGGAATTCTCGCTATCGATGAAAAACGTCGGACCGAAGACGTAGAAGGCGGCGATTGCAGCAAGAGAGGCACCAGCCGCATAAGCGACTACGGTCGCAGGCTTGTCAGGCATCCGGAATGTATCTCGAAGTCGGGTACAAACCCATCGTGCTCACGGGTGTCGCCGTCACCACATTGAAGGATAGAGGGCGAGGGACTCGGAGGATTATAGGGATCGTCGCAGAGAGCGAATTTCAGGAGAAGAGAAGAAAAAGTTCCGGGGTAAGGGACTGGGTGCCGCCGTACCTTTCTTGCGAAGCGCTCTAGGTACAGAAAGGATACCAAAAGCGTTATTCAGCCAGGCTAGTAACTACTGTACATATCTGGCAAAGGTACCGAGATCTATGTCGGTAATTGAGAGCGAGAGCCCAAGGCCGACGACCGTCAGAGCAAAGTCGGAAGCAGAATTAGGTAAACATCATAAGAACCCTCCACGGAAGCAATATCAATTCCTTCCAACTTTCCCCCATTCAACCATTACGACTCCAATGTGGCAGGATGTGAAGCTGATCACTTTCGGGGGAGCAATGTCACATATCTACCCAAAATGACAATAAAATGCTGAAGCAGCATTACCTCTGGGGAAACAGCCAGGTGGCCTAAAGGGTGTATATCGATATCTCGACCGGCACAACACCCCTCCTTTCTACACTTTCACTCTCCAGAACATGTCTGAACTACTTTGTCTAGGGCCCTACGATCAAACTTGGTGCCAGTGACCGATCTCAATCATGTCTTCAAATGCATCCGCATATGTACCGCTGCCGAAGCAAGGAGACTATATCAGGTTGCTGGAGTTGGCCCCAGGCGATCCTGACAACGAGCTGGTGGGGAAGTTCGTGGTCCACGATCTCTCAAATGCAAGTCCTCAATACATCGCCATTTCATATGTCTGTGGAAACGACGACCGCAGCGTCTACGATATTCTTATATCCGGCTCCAAGCTCGGAATATACAAGAATGCCGACGAGGTGTTGAGAAGGTTCCGCTCACCAACGGACATCAGGTATCTGTGGATTGACGTCGCGTGCATCGACCAGGATGACAGAATCGAAAAGGCCCGCGAAGTTAGTCTCATGTACAAAGTGTACCAAAACGCGGCACAGACCATGATCTGGATGGGCCCAGCCGACAGCCACTCGCAAGCTGCGATTGCCTATGCGCGAACGCTGGATGCAGAAGCATATCTGCAGGAATATATCCCGGCCTCCAAGTACAGTGCGTACGGCGACTATTGGGAAAAGAAGTCGTTCATCCTGGACGTATTGGCTGACCATCCGGACAAGGAGTCACTGGTCAATTCATGTGCCGAGTTCTTCCTCCGGGCCTGGTTCTCCCGAGTCTGGACCCAACAAGAAGGCGCTCTGAGTTCGACACCTATAGTGGTGTGTGGCTCTGAGGAGATCCCCTGGGCCCAGATTTTCTCCCTGGCGTGGTTGTTCCAGCCCCGAAAAACAATTTCGTGGCCAGCGTGGTTCCTTCCCGGGATCGGATATGCCAAACTCGAACCCAACATAGACGCGGTTGTCAGCATCCACCACTGGAGAGTCCGCCAAATGATGCTGGACAATCACGCCCCAGAGACGTCCGCGAACTCTCTACTGCAAGCCATGCGCGGTGCGGCAAAGCAGAATTGCTACGACCCTCGCGACAAGATATTTGCCATGAGCAACATCGCTTCTGACTTGCTCTTGGACGACTGGGCGCCGGAGCCCGACTACACGACCACCTGGGAAGAAGTGTACACCGACTTTGCCGCCAGAATGGCGGAGAGGGGTGACAAAGAAGTCCTAGCATGGTCTGGCGTATGTCAACAAGGAGCCGATTCGGGCCTACCATCCTGGGTTGTGGACTGGAGATCCGTCAATTGGATCCAGTACTGTGGCCACATAGAATGGTCGGCGGGGTCCAGATCCTTCCGCGCCAAAGTCGAGCAGCTGCCGAAGAAGCGTCAGCGGTATATCCTGAACTTGCTCAAGCAACAAAATCAAGTAAGAACATCACTTCGGTACAGTCTACAAGTCACCGTCGTCATGCAGGACACTGTTGTCCATCTCAGCGGCGTGATCGACGGCTGGGTCCGTTACGACGATATCCAGACAGTCCGCGGAAATGTGCTGGACCGGGACCAACGGCAACGGAGTTTTATCCAGAAGTCCCCATTATCCGCATACATTACCTCCGAGCCTGTCACAGACGCGTACAATGCTACCCTGATAGCCAATACCACCAACGACGACAAACTCGCCACGTCTTCCTATGTCGCCGATGGTGTAAGCACCTGGCGCAGATGGCTGTCAGACGGCGCCGACCTCACCAACATCCCTGCGTTCCATGACGCGATCGACAACATGGACACCTTCGTGCTCAAACAATTTTGCGTCTCGGCCCGCGGGTACTTCGGTCTGGTACCCCACATCACCAAGTCGAGCGACGTGATTGCCATCGTCAAGGGCCTCGACATACCTGTCGTTCTGCGCCCCGTGGGAGAGTACTTTATCCATCTGGGTGACTGCTACGTGCACGGGATGATGGAGTTCCAAGCCGGGACACTAATTGAAGAGTTCCGCGTCAGGATTCGAGACGGTAAGCCCGTCTGGAATCCTGCGGGTGATGTGAGACGAAATGGAAAGAACATGGACGCTGGGGAGTACGTGAGGATCCTTGACACGCTCGGAGAAAGGAAAGTGTCGCTGATTTGATCAATTAACAACCCACGTCGGTTGAGATTTGGGGATCGGACAATTGTCCAAGCGACCGTCGGCTTGACATCGAGGATTCACTTTGAAAGACCATACGGTGCAAGCACTCCCCCCAAGTCTGCGACAGAGAGTCAAATTGTGAAGCAATATAAATTTCCTAGATGGATGCATCGCCGAACCATTCTTCTACACCTGTGAAGATCCTTGCTGTGCGCAAAGTGGATCAAATTGTTGGTTCCCATTGGTGGCAATTTAAGGCCATTGATAATTCATCTTCCCTTTCACGGCTTAATAGTGTCAAACAAGGACAGGTGAACTCTGCCGAACTCGTTCAGTCGAGCATTCTCAGCCTCGAGCCAGTTTACAAACTGCGTCTGTCCAGATGGGAGAAATGGTTGCCTAACACTGGGCTACATGCAAGGGGGTACGAGTACGAGATTTCGATGTAACGTGATTCCTGTATAAGTAGGTGACAGATCCAGCCACACTTCAATATCGCCGCACAGTCGAGACAAGATGAAGGTGGTCGTCGAAGAATATAACCCGGAATGGGCACTTCAATTCCAAACAATCAAGCAAGAACTAGAGGAAGTTCTCAAAGGAGTTAAGTATATCACGATCGAACATGTCGGCAGTACTTCTGTTCCAGGATTGGCGTCAAAACCAGTGATTGATCTTTCGGTGATCAGCGAGCGAGAGGACGTCGATGCCGCCATTGAAGCATTGACAAAGAACGGAGGATATGCGTATATGGGTGAAATGGGTATTCCAGATCGTCATGCCCTTCGAAAACCTGGCGCTCTGCCTTTGAGAAATTTGTACGTCTCTGTTGTTGGATGTCAATCCATCAGAAATCAGCTCGGGGTGCGGGATATCTGCAGGCGAGACTCAGAAGTCAGAGAGGCGTACGGAAAGACCAAACTGAAACTCTCCCACCGAGAATGGACGGACGTCAACGAATATTGCGAAGCCAAAAATGACATTATTGCTTGGGTGTTGGAGAAGGCCGGAATGAGCAACGAAGAACGAGATCAAATCAGGAAGTTGAACACAATGATATAGTACAAGCTCTGGCTGCATTGAAAACGGGCCTTTTCTTCGATCCAAATGAGGGACTTGGAGGTCTGAGGTGTGGAAGAATCGTGTAGGAATACGTCATTTTCGGTTATAGGCACGGTTTCACAGGTGGAACTCGACGCTCGTCGGTGATATCAACTTTGTTAAGTGGTCTCGATCCTCTTCGGTGGAGTTGCTGATGCTTTTCGCCGGTAATTGGGCAAGAAGAACCCCCATCTGCATGAGAGCATATCGAGGACGAGTATGAGCGATCCTCGAGAACCATGATCATAATGAACGGCCTGGAGGAAATCGTTAGCGATGGGGAGGGAATTGAGACCTGGCGAATGAAGGAATTTGGATAGCGAGGCAATGGCAGGAGAATGCCAATTTGCTCGCCGTTTCATGCATAGAAACGTCGATGCAACGCAAGACTTTTTGATGGCGGCCCTGATAGCGGCCTTGATGGAGGCGGATGAATGGTGGCGGCCAGGCCTGGACACTGAAACCGGTGGATGCAGGTCGCCGCAGTTTCCTCGTCCCTTGCATTGGATTCTTTGCGCTTCGCTTGAACCACTTCTAACACCGAAAAATAAAACCTGGCTCGCGCTTTGGTCCCTGACACGCGCCCAATTTGAAACACCTTCCATCCTTTTCTTCATGCATAGGTCAGTCTTTTCGCTTCTTACCGTAGCAACAACTGCCTTCAACGTCCTTGTGATCCTCGTCGCTCGTTAATCCCACGACATCGAAGTCCCCCTTTTTTCCGTGCCGAAGTCTTTGTTCTTCCAATTGAAAGAGCTGGTCCCCAAATTGTAATAATAGGATAAGGGACACTTTGCTGCCAATCGTTCCCGGCTGGATGCAATAACACGCGAGTATACCTGTAAAATCCTGCAGCGCGGAGACCGAGTTACAATATGTCTGGCATTCAAGAAGTCTCCCCTCGACAAACCTCCGCTTCCGACCCGAGTCTCGACACTGGCGAGCAGGTTCTCCAGTTGATCTCCAATCCCTTTCAGGCTTCTGTACGTGTAATCGGTGTGTCTCTTTCCGATTTGTACTAATTGGAATAACCAGTTGCAAACCAACGCTTTTTGGGCCTCCCTTGGGACTTCACTCGGAATTACCGCTGGCCTCGCCCTCCTGTTCTGTTTAATTCGTCCACGAAACACTCTCGTTTATGCTCCCAGGCTCAAAAATGCGGACAAAGATCACGCTCCTCCGCCACTGGGCAAGGGGTTATTCAGTTGGGTCAAACCGGTCAATAAAGCAAGCGAAAGTTATTTGATGGAAAAGATCGGCATGGATGCTGTGGTCTTTTTGAGATTCACCCGAATGCTCCGCAACATTTTCCTGGTACTCGGCCTGATCGGAATTGCCATTATGATACCTGTCAACGTGACCCAGGGCAATAAGGAAATCTCCAGTGACTCCTCCGCCTTCGCAATTATGACACCTTTGTTTATTTTCGGTGGGGGACTATGGGCTCAGGTGGTGGTCGCATGGCTAATCGATTTGGTCGTCATTTATTTCCTCTGGCACAACTACCGGCGAGTTCATCGGCTGCGACGTGCTTACTTTGAGAGCCCAGAATATCAAACAAGTCTCCACGCCCGGACATTGTTGATTCGAGACATTCCGGCGGCCTCCCGAAGCAATGAAGGTATAGCCCAAATTACCGACGAAGTCAATCCCACTGGTGTGGTCCCCAAGACCACCATTGGACGCAATGTTAAGGTTTTGCCCGACTTGATCAAAGAGCATGAAGAAAACGTCCGGAAACTTGAGTCCATCTTGGCCAAGTACATGAAGAATCCTGGCAAACTTCCCGCTCATCGACCGATGATGAAGGCACCAAGCAAATATAAGGGTCATATCTCAAATGGCAAGGTCGATGCTATTGACTATCTGACCGACCGCATTCGAGCATTGGAAATGGAAATATCTGATGTACGAGACCGAGTGGACAATCGAGATCCCATGCCGTACGGCTTCGCCAGTTGGGATCAAATATCCCAGGCTCATACCGTCGCATTTTCTGCCCGCAGTAAGCGACCACAAGGGACCAAAATTCAATTGGCACCCAGACCAAACGATCTCATTTGGGACAATTTGAAGCTCTCCCGAGCAACCCGAAAAACAAAACGCTACATGAATGCCGTATGGATCACGGTCTTGACCATTCTTTGGACCCCGATCAACGCCGGGATTGCAGTTTTCTTGTCCAATCTCTCGAACCTGGGTCTGGTTTGGCCAGCATTTAAAACGCAGCTCGAAGCCCATCCGACAGGTTGGGCTATTGTCCAGGGTATCGCTGCTCCGGCGATCACGTCGATTGTTTATCTGGTTCTTCCCGTCATCTTTCGGCGACTACAAGTTCGTGCGGGGGACGTCACGAAAACCGAACGTGAACGCCATGTGCTTCGAAATTTGTACAGCTTCTTCACCCTCAACAATCTGATTGTCTTTTCCATCTTCTCTGCCGTCTGGCAGTATGTGACCATCGTGATCCAATACAACAAAGAAGGAAATGATACTTGGACTTCCCTGCAAGAAGGCCGTTTCTTCCTGGTGATTACCACCGCGCTCTGTCAGATCTCGCCCTTCTGGGTCACCTGGCTCCTTCAACGAAACCTCGGTGCCGCTGTCGATCTCGCACAACTTTGGCATCTGACCAATGTTTGGTTTGCCAGGAAATTCATGGCACCCACACCTCGCCAAAATATTGAATGGACAGCACCGCCGCCATTCGAGTACGCCAGCTATTACAATTATTTCCTCTTTTATACGACGGTGGCTCTTTGCTTTTCCACCCTTCAGCCGATCGTGCTGGTCGTGACCGCTCTTTATTTCTCACTCGACGCTTTTCTCAAAAAATACCTTCTGATGTATGTGTTTATTACCAAAACGGAATCCGGCGGTCAATTCTGGGTCACCATGTTCAACCGAATTGTCTTTGCTGTCATCCTTTCGAATGTGGTGATTGGTGTGGTTGTGAAGGCGCGAGGAGAATGGACGCTGGTCGCTGCCATCGCCCCATTGTTGGTCATTATGATTGCCTTCAAGTGGTATTGCATGAGGACGTTTGACCTGGACTTGAAATACTATGTTCGAGGTGGTATGCCGGATCAAGAACGTCTGGCCGCAGATGGCAAGCCCAACAAAGCCGAAAAGATTTCGGCCAAATTTGGTCATCCGGCATTGTACAAGCCATTGATGACACCAATGGTCCACGCCAAAGCCAAACATGTACTGACAGAGATCTATCGAGGCCGATTGAATTCCGAAGGGGCCCCATCCATGGCCTTTTCCGACATTGCCATGCAACCGATGACACAAACCGGCAAACCTGATCAGGATGCCCCGTTTGAAATCGTTCCCGAATCTCAACAAGACTTTCAGTTCTATAAAAATCGAACAGACTTTCGCGAAGAAGCTGGTGACATCATCTCCGATTCTCGAAGCCAGACACCGATTTCGTTCATGGCCAAGGACCCACCGGGAAGATCCCGAGAAGCAAGTCCAGCCCCGCGCGCAGTGCAACAAATACACAGTATCCCGCGCAAACTGCTCGACCAGACTCACGTGCCAAGTCAATTCAGAAGATCCGTGCCTCCAACTGCTGATGGAGGTGATCTAGGCATGCGCCAACCGACTTATGCGGATCCCTATGACGACCGAACAAATTTACTCAATGACGGGGGAGACGTCAGAACTCCCAACGAAGAATTCATATCCCTTGATCGATGGCAGACATCCAGTAGAGACGGAAGCATTCCTCGCGGGTATCGAGATAATAGCGCCACAAATACCCCGGCCGAAGAGTTGAATTCGGGATATGATTATTTCAGAGGCAGGAGATGAAAGAGAGGGAGTAATGAAAAATGGATCCATGTTGAGGGAAACTCGGCATTTTGTCTCGTTTGATTTTAGAATGCTGTTCGACACAGTCAAATCTATAGACACGCAAATGGGATCAATGACGGTATGAAATGGGTTATGATTATGACTACTGAATATGAAAAAGAAGATTTGAAAACTGCACCCTTGATGTGTTTCATTTGGCGCTCTCTGTCTCAATGTTTAAAGACATCCCATGCGCTCAGCTCCTCTGAGCATACCTTCCAGACCTCTTCCCTCAGCATTTCCAAGTGATGGGCCTAAGCACCCATCTCCTGGATCCTCTTCTCCGCCTTCTCCTTCAAGATTCTCTCCTTCTCCTTAACCTCCTCCGTCATCGCCTCCCCCATATCTTCAATCCCACTAATCTCTCTCACCTCGATCTTCGTGCCCCGTATCGGCGCCTTAGCGGCCCACTCGGCCGCTTCGTCCAAACTCTTCGCTTTCACCAGCCAAAATCCACAGATCAAACCTGCAGAGAGATCGAAAGGGCCTTTAACCACACTAGGAGAAGCAGACGCTTCTTGACCAACCTCTGGAAAGACAACCCGCGCCCCGTGAGAAGATGATTTTAAGCCATCGCCACCCAATAACATGCCGGCGTCAGAAAGGGAGGTGTTGTAAGTCGTCATGGCTTCGATGATTTCTGGGGTGGGAGGAGCACCGGATTCGGCTTCAGGCGTCGCGTGGAGAAGGTAGATGAATTTGGGCATCATTGAGGATATATCAATCCCGACTATAATGGATTTGGAGCGCTGAACTTGAAGATGGGTTTGACTTAAGGATTGGAGGTTTGAATGGATTTTGAGTTTGGACTTGGATGATCAAGACTGCTTTATCTGTCATGAGACCGAAGAGGGAAACCGTCATCACCTCTTTATATACACTTTCTCTCGAATCCTCAAGATATCCATCCGGAATCCAAAAATGTCCCAAGCGCAAGGCATCCACAGCCCTCGTGTTTGCCTTTCTCTTGGTATATCCTCGTCCTTCTGGCATATTGCAAAGGACACTCAATTATGATGTTGCTCAAATAATGGTTTGCTCTACCCGTTAGCGAGAAGTGGGAGGATAGTTGCTCCGAAAAGAGCAAATTCATCGTATTCGGAAAGTCGCGGTGAAAACCTTAGGCAGAAGTAGCGTTTAGGTCCTGGACATGTCTCAAGATGACGCACCTGCGGCAGTATGCCCAGAAAGGTTGCCTGGAGATGCCTGGGACAAGACATTGGCATGCAGATGGGAGGCCAAGAACACACTAAGCCTTGCCCCTTTTTCGAAGATCTAACTGAGTCTTCTATATTAACGAAATTCACGTGGTCTAGAATCGAACGCTGACAACACGGCATGAAATTGTTTCGCTCATATTCAAACGTTGTATCATATCCATCGGAGAGGTCAGTTTGCTTCGTCAGAAGATCGGTAAAGCTAGCAGCTAGGTTCAATGCGAGTCGAAGCTTCCACTTACTTCATTGCTGTAAGCTTGTTTCTGTTCCTTGATGAACTGGATCTTTGCCATCATCTCAGCTTGGGTCGATCCAGTGTGTCCAATTGCTGAGTATATGGCGCAGGACGAAGATCTGGCATTAGTCCAGGAATGTGCGTCTAGGGATGTGGTGGGTCATACGGTATCCTAAAGTGTGACTGGACTTCCATCGTGCAATGAGCATGTTTCAATGACTCAGTTTCGACGAGAGCAAGCCAGCTTCGAGGTCGTTAAAAATGGACTCGTCGATGGCGAATACAACTTCGTCTCCATCGCGGTATTGAAGACTCTTCAGAGGGTTCAAACACAACTTTGGCTCCACCGTAACTGACGAATCTACCCTCTTTCACAGCTTCGACTTCGTCATCCGTTGGATGCTGTGGTATCGTATTCAGGTATGCCACACATTAATCCAGATGCTCCTGAACCCCTTGGAGGCGCCGGAGGAGCCGCTTATGTTCCTGAAAGTTAGAGCTTCTCTCAGAAGAGTACCATTTCGATGTCTCTCGAGTTGTTGCAACTTGGGTTTTGTCTGATCTATTTGTGCTTGAAGATCGATCAGGCTATCAACTGTTTGCGAAAAGGTGATGGCGGTAATTCAGGCTCAGCCTGCGTCTCCATTTGGTCCAGGCTTGACCCGGTTCCTGTGAAAACAACTTTCATCGCCATAGGTTTCGTCTTTTAAGTAGAGTGTTATGATCAAGCTTAGTGCTTCCAACTCACCCAGTGTATCTCCTCCGCCTCGAAGACCAACCCTTTTCCGCTTTGTCGACGGTCTCTGTATCTTCAGAGCTAACGGCGTAAAGACTGCTTTGGCAGTTTGGAGAGTCGCTTTCCATCAGACTGCTCTGGCTTCGATGAGGGAGACTCAACAAGTCGCTCAACTTAGTGGGGGCTCCCTCAAGATCGAAGTCTATAAGCATCAGAGCATTAAAGAAACTCGATGCAAATCTGAGAGCGAAGATACTGGTCAAGCTCAGAGCCAAGGCCGGCAGGACTATCAGGACCACCTACTTCATCTTCTCTATTGATATTGCGGTTGTTTTGTTGGCCAGCTGGAGGATTTCAACAGCCAGCTAGATCCGCACTCTAGAGAAAGTAATTGTCTATGTTTTGCCGCCATTGTTGTGGGCCGTAGAGTAAGACGCGTATATGGGGTGCCCACGAAGGTGGTGGACTACGTATGTAAAACCGTTACATTGACTGTTACAATAAGGAAGCATACTTGTAAAATTACCTGTATTAGGCCGCTAAATTACCGTACAATATTTGTCTCTAAATTCAAGACCCGATTAGGGCTTTGATTTTAGATACCCAACCCCGTTGCGCAGCCCACAGGCACCAATGATGATGTACACTCGTTAGATAGGTATATAGACAGGCTCAATGCCACCATCTGATCAATTCGACCAGAGCATTCTTTCAATGAGAGAAGCTTGTCAGGTCCACATACACGCAAACCAAAAATTTATTAAGAAAAGGCCCCCCTCCTGTAGTCCATCTCTGACGAACTTACAGATGGGGCGCCGCAGCCAGTGAAAGTCAGCCACACAAGTTCAACTGTAGAAGAGTTTATATCAGTGACCCCCCAACGGTATGAACAAGACGACATCATCAACAATCACTGGCTGGAGCATTACGTTTACCCATCGAACACTAGTAAGGCCTCTCAATTCTATCGGTTCGACTGCAAGCCGAGTGTTTTACCACTCGGTTACGTCCTTGATAGGTCAACCACGATTTGGTGTCAATTTTGAAGTAGTTTTTGGGATTTTTTAATTTTGGAATCGCCTGGATAGGGCTTGGCGTTGTGTGGCGACGCCAAGAGCGACGTGCTGGCCAATCACGTAGGCTTATGGCTTGGCTGTGTCACGTGAGCAAGTGAGTACTCCCCCTTTCGGCCCTACTTGATTGAAGTTGATATCGACATGATCCACGCATCGGATCCAGTCTGTGGACCACCTTAGATAATCTCTACTGATCATACTCGACATGGCTCGTAACGGAGCGTTAACGGACGAGCCTCGATGTCGACGTGGTCCATGGATTGGATCCGATGGGTCGTGGTATTTCATCGGATCCAGTCTATGGACCACCTACACGAGCTCTCACTGATCACACTCGAAATGGCTCTTAACGGAGCGTTAACGAACGGGCCTCGATATCGAAAATTTTATATCTGGGAAAGGGAATACCGCAATGGCAAAGGCTGACTGAAGTAGTCATTGTTATGGGTCTATCCGTGTCTTGTTGTCCTGAGGGTTGTGTGGGGTGCAGGAGTGTGCTAGTCCCAACTAGGACTAGCGTGTCGCGTGACAGAGATGATCCATGGATCGGATCTGATGAAAGACTACCCATACAAGCCCTACTGATCACACTCGAGATGGTCCACGAATTGGATCCGACGAAAGACCATCGCCATCGGATCCAATCCGTGGACCATCTAGCCGGGGACACCCTACTCGATAGAGGTCGACATCCTCGATATCGACATGACCCACGCATCTGTTGAACGGTTGGACAATAACAAGTGCCCCTTTACTAGGAAAAGGGCATTTGCTACCGTTCAACTGTTCAACAACAGAGCATTCAATTCATATTCTCTTGACATTCAAAGTTTGACAGCATCGGATCCAGTCTGTGGACCACCTCAGACAAGCTCTAATGATCGCACTCGAGACGGTTCGTAGATTAGATTCGATGAAAGGCCGCCGCCATCGGATCCAATCCGTGGACCATGTGGCCAGGTAGGGCCGGGGACAGTGTGTCAAACCGGGTGCAACTCGAGATGTATTGAATGCTCTGTCCTCTATCTACTTTTTGCGTTCCTAACGTCTCTGTCATGGCACAACCTGGAAGTCCCTCGAACGGCTTTGGCAGGCCCACTGTACCGCTGGCTATAAGTATCTAGGATAGCTTTGCACTGCTTTCATGTTCTTCGTCTCTCGTCTTGTACTTTATAGTGCATTGGATAGTAATATTATTATCGGATCTCCACTCTCGTTCCCTCGTACGTCCCCACCCTGACAAGTATATAGCAACATGTTCAACTGTGATACTGGAATACTTAGCTGGACAAGGATCTCACCTATGAGCTGGACGCGGAGACGCCGAAAGGCTGTGCCAATCATTCCCTATATCTGTGCGAGGCAGGACCTCAGTATGATAGAAATCAGAGCACTTTAACAACAATCAATGTACGACCAGTGATTGTTTCACATCTTCAACCCCCCAGAACAATCTACGGCTACTCGCAAAGATATTGGCGGGATGGCGCTGTCTAGACGGGAATCTTCCCTTTATGGCGTACGTTAGAGACCGTCTCTAATGCCCCCAGCGTCTATAAAAGAACTCTTGATGCGCGTATGAGGCTCAGGATCCCTAGAGCAACCCTCGTCGGATCTGTATATCGCGACGGTCCCGCTCTGTAACACCCAAATATCATGCCACGAATTCCCAGCCATCGTAAAGGTGGCAGGATGGGGGCTGGACGTCGAAAGGAGGTACGAAGATGAAAGGATCGAAGGTATAAGAAGAGCCTTCGAACCCTTAGATAGATAGACAGGTTTCAGTACATTGCCATTCCATACCCTACCTTGTGTACTCGCAACAATTTATGATCCCTCTCCTCACACCCTTTGTTAGTATTGTTGTTACACGCTCCCCCCGGGATTACGGGGGAGGAGTCCTCCCGTCATGGCTTCGACCTATACCGCAACGAGGACTTATCTATGTAGAAGCAACGTACCACGAACGTAGTAGAAGACTTCCTAAATGACAACCTCTAGGTGACTAGACTATAGTGTGATTTTCCTTTGTCTGTGTATTTGTCTGTCTTCCATAGCTTTCCTCTGTAATCAAATGTGCCGCCGTTGCAAGCCCTCCCAGTTTCCTAAGAAAATAATTAGCAATACAAGCCACCCAGCAACCTCTGATATCTTTCCTAGTGTTAGGAAACTACAGAGACATGCGATCTTTAACACTATGTTGCCGTACTATCTATATTTCTCTCCTTAGGAATAGGAAAGGTGTTTCGCACTTCCATAATTATGTCTCTAAACCGATCTGGCCCATCCTCGCTTGTAAAAGAAAAATTTTTCACGCCTTCAGGGGTACTGAGACAGAAGGTACGACCAACGAGGCACCCATTTACCTGTACATCAAAACTGCGCTGTAGCCAATTCTTGTAGAGTAATCCCATATATAAGCGGTTGAGAAGGATCTTATCTGGCAAGGAGGACTGACGTTCAAGTGCTTCAATGGCTGCCTGTCTGACGTCCGAGTCTCGGTGCTCTAGTCGCACCGCCACCTTCTCGAGTATCTCATCTGGCAAGGAGGATTGATGTTGAAGTGCTTCAATGGCTGCCTGTCTGACGTCCGAGTCTTGGTCCTCCAGTCGCATCGCCATCTTCTCGAGTATCTCATCTGACAAGGAGGATTGACGTTCAAGTGCTTCAATGGCCGCCCGTCTGACGTCCGAGTCTTGGTCCTCTAGTCGCATCGCCACCTTCTCGAGCATCCTATCTGACAAGGAAGATTGACGTTCAAGTGCTTCAATGGC